GTGGATCTTATGGATCTCCTTAATTAAGGGATCTCATAAGATCTATGAGATCCATAAGAGCCCTAAAATCCATTTATCCGAGGTTCAACCGAAAAGGCGTTGGTTAATATCCCCGCTTCCATACTGGATATAGCCTCGTTGCCTGTTGGTTCGTAACAATTTATAATTTCTCACTTGATTTATTTTTTATTATATTTAATTAATTGTCCGTTAATTGCTAACCTTTAATACAATAATTCTTTCTTTTAATAATTAATTAAATATTTATTAATTATATTAAAGTTAATAATATTCATTAAATATCCATAATTAATTAATGCTTAAAACTTTTAATCCTTTTATTTTACCGTAATATATAAGTGATTATTAATAATTTAAACCATATTAAAGTTTAGCAAAATATTTTCTTAATTAACGTTTTTCTTATTGAGTTACTTTTATTATTTTTTAATAAACTTTATTAAAATTTTATTAAATATTTTTAAATTTTTATATTAATCCATATACTTTTTTAAAACGATAAATTTATAAATCTTATATATTTCACATTTATATTTATCGCAATATTTCTATATTTTTCCTTAATATATATAAGTTTAAAATTTGTTTTTTATTAAAAAAGCAATGTTAAAAATAATATTATTTATTTATATATTTTTTAAAAAAGTTAGTTTAAACTTAATTTAAACTTTATTAATCTTTTTTTATAAGTATATAAATAAGTATTTTTTTATTAACTTAAATTAAAAACCCATATTTTTTTTGGTTAAATTATATACTTAACAGTAATTATAAAAGCATAATATTTAAAATATCTTAAGATATTTCTTATATTTTAAATTTTGCTGTAAATCGTGTATATATATTTTTAACCTTAAGTTAAGCTTTTTAATACTAAAGATAAAAATTTATCCATTTACATTTAAAATACGTTTAGTTTTAATGGCTTTTTATAATATATATATTATTTTTAAAATATCATTTCTTACCGTTTTTAAATTAATTTAAGTGGTTAATATCTTTTTTTCTTATGTTTTAAAATACTTATTAACTTTTTTTACAATAAATTTTTTTTTATATAAATTACGTTTTGTTTTTATAACCTTTAAATAATTAAAAAACATTATGTCTTTAATTTCTATAATTAAATATAAGTTATAATAATAAGAATTAAAATTATTTATTTTATTTAAAATATATAAAATTCTTTATTTTATTCTTTTTTTTATTTAATAATTTATTTTTAAATTTAAATGCGATTTTCGGAAATTAATTATCTTTAATTTAAGTTTATAAATACTTTATTATATACTTATTAATTTATAACCTATTATTCCATTTTATTTAATTTATAAAAAAGTTATTCGTATTTTTATTACTTTATTATAATTTTTTATTTATTTAAATATTTTATAATTTCGTAAAACTTATTTTTATTATAATTATTAATATAAGTTATTATTTAAAATTTATTCTTTAAATTATTTTTAATAATTATAATAAATATTTATTCTTTTGGATTATAATTATATTATTTTTTAATATAATTAAACATCCTTTATAAGCAATTTTTATTTATATTTTATCCTTTTTTTACTTTTATAATTAATAGAAATAATTAAAACATTAGTTAATTTTTTATTTACTTTTTATTATTATTTAAATAATATAAATAATTTTATTTATTGCATTTATAAATATTTTCTTAAAAGTAATAATTATTAATTATAATATAGTTTTTAATATTTAAGGTAATTTAAAAGATTTAAATGTTAAATACTTTTAAAAATACCACTTTTACAATTTAAGGCTTAAATTATTCTTTTAATACTTTTAGTTATTTATAAAGTGCTTTACAGTTTTTAAATATATAGCCTATTTTATTATAATTATAACATTTAACTTTAATTATATCTTTTTTAAGTTTTTCTATTTTAATTACATTAAAACTAATTTCCTTAATTTCTTTTTTAATATAAATGAAAGTAAGTTTTTTAATTTTCTTTTTTTAAAACCTTTTATATAATCTTTTATTGTAAATAATAACTTATTTAATATATTTATTAATATGCTAAGGTTTTTTCTTTTTAAAAATTTTATTTTTAACTTATATAATTAATTTTTTATAAAAATAATTAAATTAAGCGTTTTCAAAAAGTTAAGTAATTATTATAAGCCGTTTAAACTTAATAGCGTATTTTAAAGCTCTTTTAATTTACTTTAAATTTCGAATAATTTTATAAGCATTTTCTTTTTTAAGTAAGTTATTAAATATTAACCGTATTTTATCCTTAAAGTTAAAATATTTATTAAAAATGTATTAAAATTCTTTTATTTTTTCTTAAATATTATTAAAGTGGTTATTTATAATGGGTTAAAACCATTTAAAGGCGTTACCTTTTAAATGTTAACATATAACTAGGACCTTATGTTCGTTTTTAATGAAGTTACTTTAATAAAAAATTAAGTAAAGTTTAACTGCGTTAAGTTAAGCTTTTATATCCGTAATACTATTATATTTAAATGGTAATAAAGGTTTAAATCCTTAATTTATTAATAATAAAACTATAGGTTTTTATTATTTTATAGGTTATAGATTAAGGTCCTTATTAAGGTTATTATTAAAATTATTATTTAGATTATTATTTTTTTTAATTTTAAGTTTAGTTAATTCTTTTTTAAAAATTTTAAACTTATTTTTAAATTTTTTATAATCTTTATATATATTTTAAAGTTTATTTTTTAAAAGATTAATTTACTTTCCCTATATTAAGGCCTTTTCTTTTCTTTTATTAATAATTTTTATAATTTCTTTTACTTCCTTTTTAAAGGATTTAACTTAAAATTTAATTTTAACAAAAACCATATTATTAATAAATCTTAATATATAATTAAAGGATAATATGTTAAATTTATTATAATATTTTACTTAATTAATTTTTATTAAAAGTTAATTTTTAAGGGATTTATTTAATAAATATTTTAAAATAAATAAATTATAATTAATTTAAATAAATAAAAGAATGTTATTATTAGTACTTATATTATATTTAATTGGTAATAATATTAATTAAGGAATTATTAAAATATAATAAACTTATATTTAAATTTGTTAAAATATAATAATAAAGGTTTTAATTTTAAATAAATAATAATAATATAGGTTAAATGTTAATAAAATGTTGAAAATATTTATTAAAAAAGCTTAAAGTTTTTCTTTTTATATAAGTTAAATATAAGATTTAAATTAATAATTAAAGAAATGTAAATAAATATTTAAATATATAATAATTTTAAATATTTTATTAACCTTTTTTTTATTTAATATTTTAAAGGTATTATAATATAATTAATTTAAATAATTTAGCTAATTTAATTAAATTAATTAAATTAATTAAATTAATTAAATTAATTAAATTAATTAAATTAATTAAATCATATAAAGGTTAATTTGTAACTAAAGTTTATTCGTTCTTTTAAAACGTTTTTACTTTTATTACTTAAATTAATACGTTTTCTAATAAATGTTAATTCGTAACATTTACTTATTTTTAATATTTACTTTAAAATTAATATAAATTTATTATTTATTACCATTTAAATTTAAAAAATATAAATAATTTAAAAAGTAATAATGGAAATTAAAAAAATTAAATTATAATGTTTTATATAAAATGCTTTAAATATTTATAATAACTTTAATATTAAAATAACTTTTTTTATATTTTACTTATTAAAAATAAAGTATTAATTTATAAAGAAAAAAGTAATTAAAAAAACTTATATAAAGTTATTATAATTATTAAAAAAAATGTTATAATTATTTTAAATATGTTAAATAATACGTTTACGTTTTAAAATTCGTATATTAAATCTTATATTTAATTTAAAAAAAAACTTAATTTTATTAAAAAAAATCGAAATTAAATTACTTAATTCCATATTTAATTTTAATAATTATTAAATTATTTTAAAAGAAAATCTTATATATGTTAATAATTTATTATATATTATTACTTTATATATTAATATTAAAAAATGTAATAACTTTATTTTAACGTTATAATTTTAAATAAATTATAAAATAATTATATTAAAAAAACTATATAAAATATTAAATATAAAAAAATTAAATACTTTTTTTAATAAAAACATATTATAATTTAAAATATATAATGTAATAATATATTAAAACGTAATAATATTTAAATTATAAATAATCCGTAAAATTAAAAATAAAATATTTTTATTTTATATAAAAAATCACGTTTAATAGTTTAAAAATATAATAATTTTAATAAAGAATTTATAATAATATATATATTTACCATTTAAAAAGTTAATTAATAATTAATATTAGTATTAATTTTTATATTTTACTATTAAAAAATAAAAATTATAATAAAAAAATTATTATAATTTATATTTAATTTAAAATCTTAATATAAAAAATAATTTTTATACGTTTATTAATAAAATTAAAAAATAAATATTTTAAAAAAACGTTATTATATATTATTAAATAGTTAAAAAGTTAAAAATAATAATAAAAAATAATTTAAATATATAATTATTATTTTATAACTTTTTTACTTTTTTTTTCATTTTATAAAATTGTTTTATATTTTTTTTAATAATTAATTTTCGTTATATTAATTAATTAAAGTTTAAACTTTTAATTATTAATTATTAATTTTAACTGAAATTACTTTTATACCGTTAGTTTTTTTTTTTAAATTTTTAAAAAAGTCCGTTCGGAATTTTAATTTAATTTAAATTAAAAAATTCGCTTTTTTAAAAAATTTAACTTTCGGCCTTTACTTTTTTATATTTTTAATTAAGTTTTTTCTTATAATATAATTAAATTTTATATTTAACGTTTAATACTTTAACGTATAAAAAAAATAAGTTTTATAGTTTTAACTTTATTATAATTACGCGTTTTTATTTAATAACTTTATTTACATAAATAATTTTTCGCTTAATTATTTATAAAAGCATTTAATATAAGTTTTTACTTAAATATCTTATATTTAGCATATTTTTACTTTAAAAAACTATATATAATAAAACTATTTTTCATTTCCAAAAAATGGAATAATTAATATACTCGTATATTAATTTTTTAGTTTTTTCTACAAGTCGAACAATCCTTTTCCAAGTCACTTAACCCTAACCCTAACCCTTCCATACCAGATATGGCTCCCGTGCTATTAGTTCGTGACACCAAGAAGCTAATAAATATATTGATTTGCTATTACTAATGGATCATTTTTGCCTGCGGAAAGGACCTGCCTCATCTGTGAATAAAGGACCTCATTTTTTCCCTCCCATCTACCACCGTTTGGGAACACTACTCGTCGCAACCTGTTGACCCAAGGTCGTAGTACCTGATAGTATGATGTAAAATTGTTTTCCATAGTGCGAATAAAATCACTTTCCTTAGAGATTGTCCCCGCCTTGTAAGTTGCCAGGGATTCGGGATTTTCGTAGTTCCAATTTTCATACTTAGTAGGCTTTCCTTCCTGGCCCGGCCCCTTGTAGTGGATACATATCCAGAAAAGCACCCAGAAGAAGGACTCGAGGTCATGCATAAACGTGTGGTCTTCGCCCAGGAGAACACCGATTGCCATAAACGCTCTCGTACCAGTAATTCCCTTTGCCCCCGACGCCTCTATTCGATCAACCTTGATTGCGAGGTCTAGATCGATCAAAAACGAAGAGAAACTAGACTCCTTGTTGCCCTTATTTATCATAAGATTGTTGATCGAGATATCTCTGTGGAGGAAGCCAGCCTTAAGAAGAGACTCATGTCCTGTAATGCACCCTTCTAGCGCAGCAAGTAAGGCAGCTGGGGAACTTGCCTTGTAAATAGGCTCCCCATAATCGCAGAGAACGATACGTCGGTGTATTCGGTTTGGAGGGGGTTCGTTATCGTGCTTTGTAGGAGATGCAGAACCGGAACGAGAGCGTTTGCTGGGTGGAAGCAGGGCACTAATCTGGCTGGATGATCGTTTCGAGCCGGTAGAGCTATTACGCGATATAGCTTCTGAGGTCGGGGTCTGCAAGTTACGTGCACGCCCCGTTCGGTAGTTGCTTGCTCTGGTGATATCTAGCCCTCTCCGAACATTGCCCTGGATATCGTCATCTTTTGCCTGTATACGCACTCTCTCGTGGTAGTAATGACGCGCCACGTTTGTTACCCCTTGGCGGGTCGCTTGCTGCAGCAGCTCGCCTTCCTCGTCACGTTCTGGGAATTGCCATGAATCCTTGATAACAAGCGGCCTGGACTTATCTCCTTCCGAGTATGCTCTCCAGCAGATGGTCGCACGGCCTACTATGCTATGCGCCGATCTGATGACTTTGTCTAGAATTAAACGTTCCGTCTTCGTATCCTGTCGGATTTCGATATATTGTTGATGTTCCGATTTGATGATCGTAGGGTCGAAGCCGAGGGCCTCGTCGTCCATCCAAAAGAAACCAAGAATCGTCGACACGAAACGGTGTCCGTCCTTGTTAATATCGAACTTTTCGGACGCGATGCCTCCAAGCCGGTCGAATTCCCAAAGCCGCATCCAACTTCCACATAGCGTAAAAGCCAAGACAAAGCGCCGCGTGGGTTGAGCAGTAAAGACTTCCTTCGCGTATCTTCCTATGTCAAGGTGTGCCTCAGATGCTGTATCGTCGTTCGGGTTGCTCTTTAGCTCGCCAGGTACAAGAATATTTGACCAGTGGTACTTTCCCGCTTTGCCGGCCTTAGGGTCGTCCACAATCCCAACGTCCAACTTACGCTTCGCGACCGAGCCCTGGAGTGGCGTGTCGGGCTGTGCTAATAACCTCCGCGTTGTTGTTGGTCTGTACTCCTGCGCCCATTGCAGAAAGCGTTTGACAATGTCGGCAAGCCAAGCAAGAACGCTTTCTTGCTTAGCATTCTTTGGCCATCCGGTCCAGCCTTGTTGAAAAGGGGGTTGTGGCCCTTGAGTACACTTCTGGAAGATGTCTTTGGATGCCGTCTCGAGCTCTGGGATGCAGCCCCAGAAAGCTTCGTAGAAATTCGGAACATCAATGTACATAACGCCAAGCTCATCACTGAGTAATCTGTCCATCTCATCGCGCTTCTCAGAAGAATTTACAACGCTATTTGTAGTGAGGCGCCATGGTGTCTGGAGGAAAGAAGAGATGGCTTTTAGGGGTGGGGTAGATTCGGTAACAGCGCGGTAGACTTGTTCCCAGATTTCAACATCGGGTCGGCGGGCAAAAACAGCATGTAGAAGGGGTTTGATTCGGTCGGAGTAGGAAGCATCGGAAGCAATCAAAGAAATGAGTTTTACGATATCGCCGCCGAGATTATCCTGTCCCGTTTGAGACGGTAGAAGGCGGGAGGCCACATGGTTCCTTAATACGGAGAGGACGAGAAAGCCTAGACTCTGGATCACTAAATAGATAGTTAGTATAACAGGTGCACCTGAGGGAAGATTTGGGTTGCATATACCTTCATGGCTAGCTGTCTCTAGCTCGGCAGGGTCTTTGTCGAACGAAGTGTATACTACATCAAGGTGTGTGCCAAGAGGATGGGCTTGAATGGTTTCCTGCTGTTCTTTTTCTATCATAATCATGATCGCTACATTTAATGGCTACATTATGCTAAGGTGTGTGGTGGTGCGTTTGGTTAATCATGTTTGGGTAAAAGAGTAGAGAAGACAGGACGTTGTCGGGCAGCGCGACGCGTAGTAGATACCTATTATAGGTACCTATGGTATTATTTTGATCTAACCTTTAAACCTTTAGGTACCTGGCAGGAAGGAAATCAAGCACATGCCAAGCTTTTAGCCCAGGCACTCAACCTGCACAACTATAATAGCACAGTATTAGCTTAGATTAGCTTAGTACTAATTTCTGGGGCCGATAATGGCTCGTACGCTAAATTCCAGGTGGCTAACCCTTACCACTATAGTTACTACTAGGGAGAAAACCTCGGGTTGTTTTCTAACACAACGCACCTTTGATTCGCACCCGATTCCACAGTTTGATTCAATTCAACTGAGATTTCGGGAGGTTGAGGCTATTCCCAAATATGATTTGGTGGTTCTATTTAATAGATTGCCATGTATATATATATATATATTTCAAGACGTTAAATATAAACCTTCACGCTGGTCCTCTTCACTTTATCATGATCAATCACTACCAATGTTACCGGTTAACGTGTTTGCTAGTTCCAAACTTAGCGCGCCTCGATGCTGTAGCTATTTTGGGGTTTTGAATCTATCTTCTATGACCAGAACACGTTTTTGACTATAAGTGTTGAAAAGTGGTGACAGCTGCAATGTCCATCCGATCACAATTGCATTGACTTCTGATACAATTCTTTTATCGTCCCATTTTGCACGCGTTACAGTGAAGTTCACAAGTTTCATCCCTTGCCATCAAGTATGTCGGACGACTGTTTAACTCTATCTTGGTGGAATTGGCAAGGAGAGGATCTTCAGCTCCCCGATGACGATATAGACTTGAACGATGCGCTACAGCTCACTAGCGTGGTGGTTGATCAAATTCGAGTTTGTCGTTTCAATGATGCGCGAAGCTTAATTGAGGAGCGAAAAGTATCTTCATCTTTTCCTCGCTTCGTATAAATCAAAGCTCACGACTTGTAGGATATCGTCCGCTTGATTTGCCTTAAAGAACTTCGGGAAAGGGGCGAGGTTACGCTACCAAAGCTTGACCTGACCCGACAGCAAAAAATGTCGGCTTTAGCGGCTTATCTCACGATCGACCAAGAAAACTCTAGCCCTTGTCAGCAGTGCTTAAGCAGGAGATCGCGTGGTCCGTGTGTGGAGTGCGTTGCGGGCGACGAGACTTTATTTAATGGAGCTTGCACGAACCGTCAGTTTTCCAGTTCAGCCGCTGCATGTTCGTTGTACAAAGGTGAGATTTCCGACGAGCGTCGATGAGGGCTTCGAAAGCTCATTATTGCGGGCAAGAGTCGGAAAGCGAAGAAGCGAAGCCGTTCTCCCTCTTGCGAGAAAATCCCCCGCCTACCTAATCCAACGCCCGAGATGATGCAACACTTATCAACCCGTGAGCTGGAGCGTTGGCAGAATATGATAGCGAACGAAATCGCCTTGCGGCAGCTGCCTTTTCCATCGGAGAAGCGACGACGTGTGTAGCATTGAGGTTTCGCGAACGCTTGACGCGTTGGTGGCGAATTTCCACTTGATCATCTTGCGAATTAGCGCGTCGGCTGGAGGAGGTCGATACCGACGGCGGATATTGGCTGGTAGACAGGAGAAACCAGGATTCAATGGGTGGTTGGAAGCGCCGACGAAAGGTGAGGTATCTGCCTGGTGATAAATACATTCAAGTCCTACGATATCTAACAATAAAAAAATCTTGAAGACACGTGCGGAGAGCATTAGTGACAGGCTTTTCCATACTCCCTTAACCGTAGACAGTTGTAAGGCAATGGAGCGAGAAATCCAGCCAGGAGCCAAGCCAAAGCAGCGGCCCAAAAGATATGAGAGTCGAGCCGGACAGCTCCGTCCGTGAGGTGATAGTCAACAAGATTTCCTGCGAGCTCCATCGTGAGCATTGATATCATACTCATGCCGACAGAGGTTCTAGCGGCAGTAGCCCAAGGCAGACTTTCTTTGCCGAGCCGCAGCAGTACGGTCTCTAGCATAACGGACGTAGTAACCCCGTTGGCCACTAGGTTGGTTTATTCGGCGTGATACAACTTACACGGTGTTCTATATAGCCACGATACCTCCCATTCCAACATCGGGATAGAATATTTGAAGGTACCATATGAAAGAGAAGCCGCCTAGACTGCAGCCCACCAGACATCGCGTAGTATTTACGGTCGCTCGTTTTCATGTAGATCTTGAGGTCCAGAAAGTCGGCAAGGTCGCTTTGGGGCGCCCCTCAGGCTGCCGCCTCGTATTACAATGTGATTCTTGGCTCCGTTTAGGCTTGGATATAAAGCCTCACGACCGGCTAGTGTCACTTCGCACGCCGGGAGAATACAGTTCGACTTTTCGCAGTAACAGCGCGGCTCCCCGGACTTATTCGTTTTGGCAACGGACCTCCGTTTCCGAATCTCGCCCTTCACATTGCCTCTTCGTGCCACAAACCACAGAGTGAAGCGGAATCGAGCGCAGTGGATAGTTCAAAGCATCGATACAGAGATGTTGGCCTGGAGAATAACAAGACTCGAATCATGATTCTGATCCATATCCCAATTTTCCCCTGCTCCGCAAATATTCCTTCACGAAGCTCTATATCTGCTGCCACTACGTATTTCAGCATTGAATTCATGTTTCCTACTGACAGATGAGTGCGTGAGACTAATACCTATAGAACCTTCGCCTCCGAACATAAACAAGACACGTATCTTAGGCCTCAACCTCTCGCTGCTCTCGGTCCAAAATGGCACGACCGCGACATATATATATATATATTTGAACTACGGGCGTTTAGCTATATGCGCGCTACGCCTACCAGGTTCCTGATACCGGCAAATCTCTGGAACTCCGGCCGACCATGAATTTGTAACTACCCTCCACGACCATGCGCCAGTTTTGTGTCTGGACGTCCCAGTAGCTCAGATCTCGCCTCGTAAGGTTGAACGTGGCCGTCGTAGTTTCGCCTTCTCTCAACAAAAATTTATCGAATCCGCGTAGCACCTTCGCCGGGAAGTCCACTGAAATATCGCTTTGTGGATAGCTTAGGTATAGCTGCGGTACGACCTGGCCCGCTCTGCCGCCGGTGTTGGCGATTTTTACGGAAACGGTAACATAGACGTCCCACAGGTCGGGGTTACCGCCTTCGTCGCCTCCCGCGCTAGAGGGAGGTTGCTTTACGTCGTAGCCGTCGGGATAGGGGTAGGGATCTGACACTATATCGTCGATAGTATCGAGGTAAGGATAGACATATTTCTCCAGCCTTCGAATGCCTTTAGGGAAGAGCGCCTCCTCTGCGTTCGGGATGGTAGCGTCGTACTCTGGAGGGATTGCGAAGTCTTCGGGTCGTGGGGCGAGTTGGGCGCTTTTCTTCCTCAGCCCGGTCACCACGCAATCGGTGAATTCGAACGTGGTATAGCTTAAGCCGAATCCGAACTCGAACCGAGGTTCTATTCCGTACTTGTCGAAATAGCGGTAGTCGACGTATAACCCTTCTTTGAAGTCCTGCTGAGGTACGACGCCGTTAGGCATGTACATGATCTTCGCACCTTCGCCGTAGTCGTCTAGGGACTTGCCGATGGTCCAAGGCAACTTTCCGCTAGGGTTTACATCCCCAAACATAACATCGGCTAGGGCATTTCCGCTCTCCTGGCCCGGCAAATTCGCGAAGAGTACCGCCTTGATGTTTGGGAGGTCGATCCATTTTTCCACCAATACGGGACCGACCGTGTGGATGATAACAATCACGTCGCCGGTACCGCCGTGGCATCCTTGGGCAACCTGGATGATTAGATCGTCGCCGCCTTTCTGTAAGAATAGATTGGGCCGGTCGCCCTTGACGCCTTCCCAGACCTTGAAGCCTTCCCCTGAGTCGGCGTTGGCGAAGATGATACATAACTCGGCGTCCTCCAAGATCTCGGGCTGCTTTTCGGTCGGCGGATTGTTCGTTAGGTACGTTGAAACTTTCACGCCGTCGACACCTTCCCAATTTTTAGTCAACGCCTCGGCCGGAGTGACTAGGTAAGGGAACTCGACAGAACCGGAGCCCCAGCCGGAAGCAAGCGTGCCTTGGTTGCAACCTCGATCCGGGCAGTGGTTGGGACCTTTGCCGGGACCAGCATCCTCCCCAAATATCGCAATACGGAATGGGTCGCCGCGTGGGGCTGTTTGGTCTGGCAGACCGCTATAATTATGAGAGAGGGGGAGGATTCCCTCATTCTTGAGTAGCACGGTTCCTTCTGCCGCGATCCGCCGCGCGATAGAGGCGTGATCGCCCATGACGTCGACGTACTGGTTTACGGGGACTTTCTGTTGCTCGGTAGGACTGCCCGGTGCGGAGATACCTTGCGGTTCGTCCGTCCACGAAGAGAAGTTTGGCCCCTTACGGTCGAACTTGTCCTCGTCGTCTTGGCCCAGTTGGTACCACGCCGCGACGATTCTGGTAACCATGTCGTTCAACCTATCGAGAGGAACCGAGCCGTTGAGGATCGACCTTGTGAGCTCGGAACCCCAGAGAGATTTGCCATCCTCCCAAAATAATCCGTCTCCAGGCATCGTCATGTCGAGACCAGCGAGCGCGCTGGCGACGCCGCTCCTCTGTGCAAGCCAGTCGCTCATCACGAACCCCTGAAAACCCATCTCATCCCGCAATAAGCCGTTCAGCAGCTTCGAGTTGCCGCATGCGTACGAGTTGTTAATCATGTTGTAGCTGCACATGACGCTAGCAACGCCGGCCTTGACGGCATCTCCAAAAGGCCATAGGTAAAGTTCATGCATGGTCCGATCGTCTATGTTCGTACTAAGAGCGTTGGGGAGGCCCCATTCCCAAGGCTGACGGAAGTGCTCCTGCTCGTTCGCGACCAGGTGCTTGATAGTAGCCATGACTCCCTCGTCTTGGATCCCTTTGATCGACTGGGCTGCCGCGATACCCTGAAGATATGGATCCGCACCAAAGCCTTCCCAGTTACGTCCTCCGGCTGGCATGCGCCCCAGAGGACCAATGCAGGGTCCTAGAATTGCGTTGATCCCCTTCTTTCTAGCTTCTATCGCGTGAGCGTTACCCCATTGGTACATCAGTTCCTTATTCCAGGTGGCGCCGACGGTCACGCCGGCGGGAAAAGCGGTGGCGTTATCGGCAAAGCGGATACCTAGCGGGCCGTCCTGAAGTGCTAGGGAAGGAAATCCTACGTGAACTGCGGGACCCGTGTTTCCCACGGCTAGGCCCATCTTCCACCCTGTACCGGTCGTCACGTTTACTTTCTCGGGCAATGTCATGTTAGCCACCATCCCGCTAGCTTTGCGATAAGCTTCGGCCCAGCTTCTTGCCGTACCGCCCTTCGGGGTTGGGTACCATGGCGGCGAGAGGCCGTCCGGGGGTGATTGCCTATACTTTTTGAATGCGAAGAAACCTCCTGCGCTGAGGGCTAACCATATCAGAGCGAAAATCCCTAAGCAGCCGACGACGTATTTAGTCGAACGGCCGGTTAGGCAGCTCCATGATCTCCGTAGCCAGCGCTTACGAGGCTGGATAGAGAAAGTTCCCGTTGAGGGTTTTGATGATGTGAGAGGATCAGATTGAAGGAACTCTGTTGCATCGAGATCGGAGTCTAGTTCGAACGAAGACTGAGCATCGTATGAACGCCGGGACCGCTCCTGATTATAATGCAAAGAGGAACTCGGGTGTCCTTTTTTGCTTGAACCCATCCCGTTACGACGGGCCGGAGATTAGTCTCGCCCGGAGGATATCGTTCAGCGACCAAGTATCTCCTTCGCGCTGTTATGTTGACCCCCCGGAGGTATTTTGCTATTGCGCCCGGTACTTGGCTGCCTTTGCTATTTCAGAGGGCGAGGTAATATCCACAAACGCGCGGTAGCTTCAGAATGAATAATTGAACAAAAAATGAGAGGAAAAAAAAAGCAGCAATCAGGAATTTATTACTATTGTAGAGTAGAACATATAACTAAAAGATCCGACCGAGCCTTAAGCTATCTTAGGTATTGTAGCTTGTAGCATCAACTCCTAACGTCGGAGTCTTCGTTCGAAACTTGGACATCTCTTGGGCGAGCTTCTTGCGTTGGACTGATATTTAACGCCCGTGCCCCCTTGGCAGTGTACCGTGCAGATACCGTGATAGACGTTGCTAAACAGTTGGCTAAACAGTCGGAACACTGTACTTGCACGGCCATGTCACCATTCTGCCGGCGTATAATTCAAACCCTCCCCGTGTTTACAAGTACAAGTTTGCTTCATTTGCTACAAACCTGCGCTCGAGTTTCTATACTTGTAATGGAGCATCTTGTTCGAATCGGCAGCGCTTTGGTCTGCAAGCTTATGCGCGCTTTCGATCCCAGCAACTGGGAGCCGATACTCCAGGTTCGTCTTAGGAGCTCCCGGTTCCGACGCTATCGGATACGGAAATGGAAGATACTCCGGAAGCAAGCCCAGCTGCCTTAGAAGGGTCGCTTGATCCCAGCTGATATGCTCGTGGTAGAGACGATCGCCGCGAATGTTTACCACGCTCGTGAACGGAATGCTGATAAACCGGCCGGTTGCCGGTACGCCAGGGACGCTGTAGATAAGCACAGCCTACGGTTCAGCTTACATCGCGCGATCTGCGGACGGGGAAGCGCTATAGCACTTACAGCCAATTTATTACGCGATCGTGGGTAGCCTTAAAGACGAATTCGTCGACTACGCGGTCGATACCCACGGTCCGGCTTACGAGCTCTAGCTGCGTGTCAGGTGGGTTGCTGAAGATGAAATTTTCCCTGTAAAATTCCGTCAGGGCTTGTCTTCCAGTCCCTCCCGTGAGCGTTGGGACATGGTTCACGTAAGGCTCTTCGACCATGGTCGCCATCGTCTCCTCAACTGATCGCGCTTGGAATTCCCAATACGTATGTTCCTCCCATACTTTCTCTATGTCGAAATAGGGGCCCCCCACGAGCGGTTTCATAAATGCGAGCGACCGTGTGTGAGCCACCGAAGCTGAGGTAGTATGGTAATTCCGATGCGCGGGAATCGGGAAGAAAGATTTGGCGTTCTCGTAATAATATCTCTTCTCATTGCTACGGTCCTCTTGAGCTCCCGCGGGAAGTCCAGGTACGTGTGCTAGCAGCGGTAAGTTGCTAGAGACATCCGTTCCAAGCATCCCATAGCAGATGACGGCGCAGAGCTCCTCCTGGGCCTCGATCGTTTCTAGTACGAGAGATTCCAACAGCGGTATATAAGCTTTCCTCCGGTTGCTCGGTCAGCTGGACCGTTACTTATCTTGCTTGTGGATTTGTTTCTTCAGTTTGCTCACCAATAACTCCAATCTTCTTAGCCTGGTCGCAGGATGGCAGTTCAAGCAGCGCGGAAAGTGCAGAGCGTATGCCATCACGTATCGATATCGCATCGGATTTGGTGATTCTTAGCTGTGCAACCGCGAAGCCTTCCTCCGCCCACTTATGCAATGGCGGAGGGTCTAAAGTCCTTTCGTGTTTTCGAAGGTCAAGCTCTGCGTCGAGCAAGAGGAGTAACCCTGGGCCATGGCCTCTTCTTGACAGCGGTGGTTGGATTGTTAAATTCGGGCTTTGCTCAACCGACGAGCTTTTGGTATCAGCGATTGTGTTTGCCTTCAATGTCATTTTCGACAGGATCAATTCGCATCTCAACATGAAGCGATGGCCAATCTAGGTTTACCAACATGAACCCAGCAAAACGATGCACGTAATTTATTTAATCTTTTATAAAGCGGGGTCTACAAAGTCCTTATATTGATTTGCATCCCATCTTGCATTAGCCAACAACCCGTCCTTTCGGGATTTGGGGGACTTTTCGTTACGATGTGACGCTTATCGTCTAGAAACGATAGGTCAGATAGTCCAATTTCTTGAACGGTTACTTTGTGATACGATTTTGGATATTATCTCTTTCTTTTTATCTCTTTTTGTGATTTACACCCCCGCTCAACTTGGACGGATCTCACTCTCATAGGTCTTTGCAGTTGAAAATTTTCAACCACTTTACCTTTGCCAACAACAGTCCATCGACGAGATTAGCATACCAGAAGAATATCAAGAATTTAAGAAATAATCTTGGAACATCACACTAGGTACCTAGAACACCACGCATGGCTGAAAGCTGAGATGAATAAGTTGAATCGATGCTAACCGCGCGGCAAAAAGGCTACAAGGCTAATTTATAAATAGAGGTACCTTAGGTAGGTATCCAAGATAAGGTAAGGTAAGGTATAGTACGGTAGGTATTGTACAGGATATCACGGATCCGATCTCAGCTAACCCCGGTCTTACACACCTCATACCGTCTCGATATACCTTTTCAGTTCCCAGTCTGTTACGGCCTCGTCCCAAAGTCGTATCTCGTTTTCCCTGGTTCCGCCAAAATGATCTACAAAGTCGTCGCCGAAAACTTCGCGAGCGATGCTGTTTTTGCTCATGAATCTATCGGTGGCTTCCCTCAAGGTCCTCGCGAGACGAGTACCTTGATCGGCTACGCTCCCCACATCCTGGCCTTTACCGAGCGGAGGTATAGGAATCTCCAGTTTCTTCTCCACGCCGCGCCAGCCGAGAGCCAGGATAGCCGACATGACGAAATAAGGGTTGGCGTCGGCGCCTGGTACACGGACCTCGAACCGCGTTGCCCCGGGTTTGGAAGTAGGGGGTGCGATGAGCCGGACGGATGCGGCGCGGTGTTCTAAGCCCCACGAGACCGTCACCGGGGCCCAGAAGTTCTCTACCAACCGCTTATAGCTGTTTACGGTAGGCGCGAGCATCGGCATTACATCAGGTAAACCTTCTAGGATGCCCGCCAAAAAATGCCTTCCGAGATCGCTAAGGTGGGCGATGTCCGGATACTTCGCGTTCTCGTCTTTTTCCTCGCGGAAGAACAGGTTCTTTCCGTCCTTATCTACGACGGAGACGTGAGTATGCCCGCTGTTTCCTGGTAGCCCGTGTTGAGGTTTTGCCATGAAGCAGGGCGTGATTCCGTATGAGCTCGCGACCGATCGGACGACGTATTTGAAGAGAGACGCTCGGTCGGCCGTCTCGGATATTTGACCGAATTCCAATGCCGCCTCGTACACTCCGGGCCCGCTCTCGGTATGCCATCCCTCCAGATCGCACCGGAATTTGGCACACGAGTCGTAGACCTCGTGGTAATAAGACTTATTGAGAGTCGGTCGCGTGATGCTATATCCAAACATGCCCTCGGTTAGGGGCGGAAGCGCTTGCGGCGGGTTGCTGTTTAGGTATGAAGCAACGGACGGAGAAGGTGAGTCAGTGGTTGAAGAGGGCGAAGGAGGCACTTTGAATTGGAAAAACTCGATCTCGGCTATACAATGGGAACTGGTTGGTATCAAGGTATTTGGAAACATTGCGGAGACGAAAGGCAAAAACAGAAAAAAAAAAAAAAAAAAAAAGGCGCGCAACTAACCTCCGGCCATAGCATTGCAGCCCTTCTTTTTCAGCTTCTCTACGGTGGTTCTAAGCAGTCCTCGCGGATCGGCGCATACCGGGCTCGCATGGTCGTCGAAGAAGCTAACCAAGAAGAAAGGAACATTATCTTCCCAGGGGATTCGGCGGAAGCTATTCAGGTCAGGCACGGCGATCAAGTCGCGATAGCCGTTTTGCTTGTTGCTAATCTTGAGCTCTTTGTCGTAGGTCCTGTCGTGCATATCCCAGCCGAAGATGACGCTGCAAAAGCCGAAACCTTCCTTGGCTATGGATAGGAACTTGTTCTTGGACACGATCTTCCCTCGTAGCATGCCGTCGACATCCACTCCCGCTAGCTTCACCTTGGTATCATCCCTGAGGAGTTCTGGTAGGTCCTCAACTGCAATATGGATTGTCAGAGACATGACGAGGGTGGGGGAGAATTAGGGACGTAAGAAGAGCTAGGTTTGAAGTTCGTGTGGTCGCTCAGCTGGTAGGTGGTGGTTTCGGGTGTTATCGCCGCAATGCAAAAGATACAAGCAGGGAAGGATGAGTTGTTCTCGGCATACAACAGTGATCGATTCAAGATTGAGCAAGCCTGCGATGGGGAGAGATATAAATACGACTATAAATCAACCATATAGGGTTTATAAGCAGTGTGAACACCTGCCTTTAGGTTAGGTAATATGAAGTAGGTAACGCAACGTTCGAGGTAAGGAATGTTGGTGGAGTTCGACGCCGGCCAGAATCGAAAGCGTAAGCCTTTCGGAGTCGTGCTTAGGAGGTATGCAATGCAGAATAGGTACCTCAGGTAAGGTAATACGTCGTAATAAGTACCTAATCTAATGTATAAGAGGAGTAGAATGCGTCCTTACGGTAAGGCTGAGGGGAATATGTAAGGTAGGTAAATCGGAAGCGCATACATGTATCGATCGGCCACGCGCTCTCATCAAAAAAGTGTACCTAGCGAGGTATCTTGTCTCCAACTTCAATTCAACCCTAGACAAACTTACCGATACTAGAGTTATTGGACATCATGCGTGATTGGCAGAAGATAAGCCTTCTGCAATACCCACAAGGTGCCTATTCTTAGTGTATAAAACGTCGGATAACATCCTTGTTAACGGATACTCTGCTAGCCAGAACTACATTAGGTACGATACCTTAAGGCTTATAGTGCCTACCAGGTAGGTACCTAAGGTACAAAACTTACCTACCTCCCTAGTACCTGGTAGGAACCTATCACTTATCACCTACGCTATAATAATTATTTGATTGCAACTATCCCACGAGGCCAACCTGCACATCCCTCTGACATAATAAGATACTCCCGCTGTAGATTATAGCATGATGATGACGTTGCATTCAATGCCAAAGCACCCGCCTTAGGTGAGGCTCGCTCTCGCATACCAAGTATCTATCTCTATTTTCACACGGCTACTAACCGATGTAAGATACCCGTCTATAACCACCCGCTCATCCCCGTCCTACCTCTAATGCCTTCGCAACTTCAACCCAATGAGGACGGACCCAAGTTATAATCCTGTAAGTTGGACGAGAGAAATCTATCTGACAGCTGTCAGCGCGTGACCTCTTTCTGCATGCCCAAAGCTACATTCAGACTCCCGAGAGGAACCGCAAGTTTAGAAACGCCCAAGACGCCATCAGCGTACTGTGCACTTCCGCCGCTAGTCGAGCATATTGACGCATAGTGAGACTTGACATACTTGACATATTGACCGAAAGTTCTACAGGCAAGGGATATATAGCAACAGATAGATTATTCACTTTCAAAATTCCAAACTAACTCTCAACCAATGCTAAGCCGCGGTCGCGATGTACCTGACCCCTGAATTGTCCAACGTTTCTATCCTGCCACGCGGTTCGTTCTATTATAGGCACAATGACTAAATATCAACATCATCCCCGACCCGACGAACCGGACAGGTGTTACATAGTCATCGTCTCACCGCTTGGAAGCAGCAAGATTTGCCAATTGCGGGAGAGCCGCACGAATCACCAACCGAGAATTTGTTGACATCTTTCAAGAAAGCCGAGATGCGTCGGTGTGGAATACAAGTCAAAACAGGCCTTTTGGCCGGTTATCTCCTTTGATAACTCTGCGGTATATGGCGGAAAGAGATGCGATCTTCGATAGGCTTCCCGCCTTTCTTAGGATACAATGCAGGTCACATCTCCGGACATATACCAACAGGTTCCAGCGGACAGGCACTCAAGACGCACTGTATCGTATCACTAAGCTTTTGTACGTCGTTAGATGTGCTGCAGGGCGTGTTTTGAACTTGGGCTCATCGCCGCGTGTGGTAGGAAGATATCCGAGTTGGTGAGAATCATTAATAGGAAATAAGATTGAGGTGAAGAGGTCGAAGTTAGCAAACCATGTTACGACTCACGTGCAATATTGCTTTGGGATTTATTTTCATATCACCCAATCAGCCAAATCCACGTCGAACTTGATTAACCTAACCGATCTAATTTAGCTCTAGAGTATTCTCTATATCGAGGGATGATCAAGTGGGTAAAAAAGAAAAGAACGAAGTGGATCTGAATTAGGTACCATAAGTAGTTAGAGATTGTTTGGAGATTATACTGTGATGAATATCAATCAGGGCCCTCGAACCCGGGCTTGAACCTACCTAACCTAGTATTCCAAATAGAGGTTAGTTAGGCAAGTACATATTCATAGTTTCGGGAATGTGAATAGAACTATAGGTAGGTTGTTACAGCTAGTGCAGACTTAAACTCAGATACTAACACGTAACACGATAAATAGCAAAGGTTCGTGATAAGAGAATGCAGTCTTATCACTAATATACCGCCGTTGTCGGAAGAAGAGGGGTTACGAGCTATGTCACGAAAAGCCCCTCCAAAAGAAAAACTAGTCCGAATTGATAGGTTAGGTACGAAGCCGTCACGTACGGCGGGAGCGTCGAGGAGGTCCTAGGTAAGGTCCTATCCAAGATAACAGGTACCTAACTTGATAATCACTTTGCCTATTAAGCTATTTGTCTTCGATTTGATTCTCCTTTCAACCTCGCTTCGTCCTTCCGGATAATACAACCAACTAACCCCTCCGTGTTAATTACGTGCAATATCCAGCTCGGGAATTTCCTATCCCGGGTATAATTCACGACAGTCAGCCGGTAATTATCTAAAAATGGCTTCCGAAAATAGCGGACGTCTAGCTGGCAAGAATGCCATAATCACGGGAGGCGCAGGGTATGTCATTCTTGTATCTTACGGTGCATGACGCGGCAAGGTAGAGAAGAATTACAGCCTGGAGACTGACGTCGACCCCATCTACGCAGCGGAATTGGCCTCGAGACATCGATCCTCTTTGCTAAAGAAGGCGCAAACGTTCTAATCCTCGATATCTCCGCCCCGGCGTTGGAGAAGGCCAAAACAAAGGTGTTACAACTGGTACCGCAAGCTGGTCGGGTAGAAACGAGAGTATGTTATCACAATTGCTGCGTAACCCGCGTTGTAGCCATGGTTGTAGCCTCCCGGACTAACCAAGACATTCTTCCACGGCCCTGCAGGTTTGCGACGTATCCAAGGAAGACGATGTAAAGGCGGCGGTCGAATCTTTGGACTCATGGGGCGGCCTCGATGTCATCTTCAACAATGCGGGTATCATGCACGCCCGAGACGACGATGCTATTGGAACCCCCGAGGAGATATGGGATCTCACTATGTCAATTAATGTGAAGGGGGTATGGTACGGATGCAAGCACGCTGTCCTTTCGTTGAGGCGCAACAAGAAGACGAAGGGTAGCATTATCAACACCGCGTCCGTTGTGGCTCTCGTCGGGTCCGCAACCCCTCAGTTGGCTTATACCGCATCCAAGGGCGCCGTCCTGGCGCTGACGCGTGAACTCGCCATCGTTCACGCCCGCGAAGGATTTCGTTTCAACAGCTTATGCCCGGCACCCTTGAACACGCCGCTTCTGCAGGATTGGCTAGGGGACGACGTACCCAAGCGGATGCGTCGCGAGATTCATTTCCCGACCGGAAGGTTTGGTGAGGCCATAGAGCAAGCCCGAGCTGTGGTGTTTTTAGCCTCTGATGAATCTGGCTTTGTTAACGGCCACGAGATGGTAGTAGACGGCGGTATGTCCAAGGCGTACGTCACACCGGAGGGACCACCCTTGCCCGCCCCTACGAACAATGCTCTCAAGGATGAGCTATAGATTAAGAGCTCCACTGTAGCCACCATGGGAAATAAGGAGGACACGTGTTATGCATTCCCTGACGACGACGTTGTCTCTTTCATCGGATACCTAGGTTAGGTAGGTATCCTTCGTGAGCACATTATGTTTAGATACTAGCTGAGCAAGCTTTCAGCCGCTTGCTTAGCAGTTAATGGAACTAGCCCCTTTTGATTTCCTCTACAATTCAGGTCTCGTAATCAGGTCTCGTAACTGTACAGCCCTACGCGAACAGCAAAAGATACTCCAACATCCATAGTAACCCACTCCGCTCTATACGCACAGAAGTATCTAACCGTAAAGAATTGGTAAGAGATGCCGTTCCTAGACTCCGTCGCTACGACGAGAACGATCGGCGGATAAAACAGGCGAAGGAATTGTACATAGTAGACGAAACACCACACTCTAGTGGAATTGCCCTTCGGTATTTCCCTCTCCCATACTCCTACTCGAGCTACTTCCGCTTTGAATGGCACCTAGGATGCCGTCGATGTAACTAGCTCCGCTCCACTTCTGATGCGTCAAAACGTCGCAGCCAAGCTCTTTCTCGCGACGCTGTACGAGGTTAACGTACGCTAGCATACCGTCTTTCTTGTACTCTTTCGCAAGTTCGTTTGTGATAGTGGCGGTGCTGTGCAGACCAGCCAACGAGATCAATTGTAGCACAAACCCTTCCTTGGCGATGTCCCAGATGAAAGATTTCAGCTTGGCGTCGGTGAAACCATGGGCCATCCAGTTAAAAGAGGGCGACAGGTTGTATACGAGGCCCTTTCCGGGAAATGCCCGCCTGACCGTACGGCCGAGCTTGGTTGCCACCTCGACGTTCGGATCGCCGGTTTCAACCCATAAAAGGTCGGCGTAAGGTGCAAAAGCGATAGCTCGTTTCGTGGCGGCTTTCATGCCTGCGCGATAGTGATAAAATCCTTCTCGGGTGCGGGGGATGTCCCAATCAAAGACGATCGGCTTGCCGGCGTACCTGTTTGCGATCTCGCGGCGTTTCGTTATGCCCATGTCCGCATCCGCTTCGACAGCTCTCAAGTACGAGTCGATTTTGTCTTGCGACACTCCCTGAGATTTCAGCTGCTCGACGGCGGCCTCGTCAAAGGTTACCAGCCGCGTTTTCTTGACCCAATCGGCTTCGAATGCGTCTATTTCTGCTCCCGACGCGCCTGCGGCCTCCATCTCTTGCAAGGTCTCTGCGAGAGGTGCAATACCCTCTTCCGCAACGCCGAGAATTAATTCGTGGTCTCTGACGTCGATGGCGCTTGATATAAGTCTTCCGCTTTCCGAATCGGTACGTGCGATGACGAGGTTCTCCGAACCCATAACGTCCCACTGGAAGCGCGCAGCGTTGAGGCGGTTGATGTGCTCGCCTATAGGCACCAACACCTTACCCGCTAGGTGACCGCATTTCTTACCGCCGTGGAGCTGATCCTCGAAATGAACGGCGGCGGCACCGTTCTCAGCGAATAACTTGGCTAGCTTGAGCACCGCGCTCAATCCGCCGTGTCCCGTATCGCCATCTGCGATGATAGGGCGGAGATAGTCGATGTACGGCGTTTCCTTTCTAGCCTCTGGTGTCATCTTCCGTCGCAAGTCCCACTGCTTTCGATCGTGCATCGATTGCGCCTTCGCGAGTCGTTGGACCTGGTTTGGTACGGTATTATATGGATAGTCGCCAAAGTCCGGTGATACTTCGTTGGTGCTGGTGAGGACGGAGGAGCAGGCCCATCCGGATATGTAGAGCACTTCTTGATGCGGCGCTTGTTGCGTCATCTGTACGGGATCGATCGCTCCCACTATTCGTCGGGACGAGTTAACATTCGATATTTGGCACATGGATAAACCATCCTAAAGGGATAAACGTACTAGTATGTATCGGTTCTCCCTTTGCTTCCCTCTCCTTGATCAGATTGAAAAGCTTTCTTGCCATTAAAGAGCTAGGGTAGTTCTGAAGCTGCGATCCTCTCTTTGACACGACGTCGGCCGGAGTGTATGGTCTCTTGATGCCTTCGTATCTGGGCGATGCCCACCACGCTTCGACATCTTTAATCTGCTGCTCATAGAGGGCATCCTCTGCGGCGCCGGCCTTGCTAGCTTCGGGTAGAAGCTGGAACGAGTCGGACGGAAGTACAGTAGACACGGGCGGGTTGACGGTAGGTAATGTCATTCTAGCTGGTGTATGAGAGAGACACCTCGACAAATTAATACGGTACGAGGGGTGGACAGGGAGGGTAGCTCTTCGAGGAGCTCGAGTTACCACTCGACGAAACATGGCGCGCGGTGTTAGTCTATTCTTGTCGATCCTGATTCGAGGTGTCACTGAGTCACTAAGCAGCAGCAAGAAATATAATTCAAAAGCGAGGTAATTTAAAGCAGATCCTCATTTCTATATGTACCTACTAACTGAACATGTGTACTTTCGTAATTACATATGAGGTAGGTAGCGATTTGAACATGGAAGCTGTAGGGGGAAGATTTCGGTGTCCTTCGGAATTGTCCTTTGGAATAACCAAACCCCAGATTTGGCCGACGGCACCCGAACTTTTACTACGGGTACCCCGCGGTTGAACAAATGCCCGATACCCGAATAATCCATTAGGTACCTCCAGCTTTACCTAACCTTTCAAGGATCATATGAGAAAAACTAATCGGGTATCTCCATGGGGTAGGTATTTACCTAACCTAACCTAACATAACCTAATCTTTGGAGGTAGGGGGACTTAACCATATATGGAGGCCGCTAGCTCCGCTACCTTGGCCCCTGAAAGATGTTCCTAGCGGTAAGCCGCGGCTTCTGACTGTTCAAACAGTTAACTGTTTGCTTCAAATATACTGATCGTCAAGGTGTACCTTGGACCTACATAATAGGTAAATATAAGATAAGAGCTAACTTGACCATCAGGAGATTTTATTAGCCTTATAGATCCGAGGTCGGTTATCTGCATTCGGTCGGTTACATGCTCGTTGCTTATACATTAGGTACCTATACTTATACCCTATATGCATCCTACCCATATCCTATTCTGTTTGTCTGCCAATGCGACACCATCTCATCTCTGGAATGGGTGATTGTCAGCAGCGGGCAGCGGGCAGCGGGCAGCGGGAAAATGGGGTCGATGAACGGGTTTCCTCGGTTATGCGGGGGAGGGGTTATGGCCTACTGCAAGTCTGGAGAAGTACCTTACAATACAAGACAGTCCAAGGTATATGGACACCCAAATTGCCTTAGGTTATACCTATAGCAGGTACAAAACCTAATAGGCAGGTTGGAACCCGTGTGGGTTGATGGGTTGAAGTACCTTTTCCCCACATCAGATCATCTTATCTCAACGGTTGGAGTCGTGAGAGAAGGCCCGACATGATTTCTTGTCGCTATTCTTCCTGTCCTTTTGTTTTGTGTCTTTTTATTGCGTCGGCGTTCTATAGAATTGGCCTTGGAAACTCATCTCTTCTCATTCGAGAACAATTTCAACACTGATCCATCACACATTTATACCCCCATTCGCCTTTGTAAACTACCTAGGTACCTACCTCCTACCGGTATTCAACTTGTTTCTAGTAAATATGGCGATGAATATTAGAACGACGACAAGAGCGCTGGGGGTCTTGAGAGTAGGTTTTCATCGAGACCGACATATTCTTTTAACGATATACGAAGGAGAATAAAGGGGTGTATCCATTTCCTCCCGGGTCTTGCTAACGAACATTATAAACAGCCGCGTAATACCCAGGCGATAGTTCTTCCCTCGGTTAGGTCGTACTCTTCCTCGTCCGAGCCCGACTTGAAGGAAACGCTAAAAGAAGTCATTCCCGCGAAACGGGAACTTCTCAAGAAGGTCAAGGCCAATGCCGACAAGGTCATTGGTGAGGTCAAGGTTGAGAACACGATTGGCGGCATGAGGTATTCACAGTGCCATCACCCATACGCTCGTTCAGAAGTACTAACTTCGGCGCAGAGGGCTAAAGGCAATGGTATGGGAAGGCTCTGTGTTAGATGCGAATGAGGGAATTCGGTTTCACGGCCGCACCATAAAGGACTGCCAAAAGGAGCTACCCAAAGGTAGGACGGGTACTGAGATGCTCCCGGAAGCCATGTTCTGGCTCCTCTTGACCGGCAAAGTCCCCTCGGTCGGTCAGGTTCGCCAACTATCGCGTGAACTCGCCGAGCAGGCTCGGCTTCCCGACTTCGTAAACAAGCTGCTTGATAGCTTCCCTCGGGACTTACACCCCATGACCCAGTTCGCCATTGCTGTTAGCGCCCTAAACTACACGTCGAAATTTGCCAAGGCGTACGAGCAGGGCTTAAATAAGGCTGACTACTGGGAGCCTACGTTTGACGATGTAATTAGTCTGTTGGCCAAATTACCTACAATCGCGGCCAAGATATATCAGAATTCCTATCGAGATGGTGGCGCGTTGCCTGGCGACGTCGATCCCGAACAGGACTGGTCTTATAACTTCGCATCCATGCTGGGCAAGGGTGGGAAAGAGAATGAGGACTTCCAGGACCTGCTAAGACTGTACCTGGCTCTCCATGGAGACCACGAAGGCGGAAACGTCTCAGCTCACGCCACTCACCTCGTCGGAAGTGCTCTAAGCGATCCATTCCTGAGTTACAGCGCCGGTCTCCAAGGGTTAGCCGGACCTCTACACGGGTAAGTTTTCCCCCATTGTTATATGATTTTCTATGCGAGATCTAACAAGCTATGTTGTGCAGACTCGCGGCGCAGGAGGTTTTACGGTGGATTCTCCAGATGAAAGAAAACATCCCGACAAATTATTCCGAAAAAGATATCCACGACTATCTGTGGTCGACGCTTAACAGCGGGCGAGTTATTCCGGGCTATGGACATGCCGTCCTTCGCAAGCCCGACCCCCGCTTCGAAGCCCTCATGGATTACGCTGCCAGTCGCCCTGCGATCGCTAACGACCCTGTATTCCAGCTCGTGAAGGCCAATAGCGAAATCGCTCCCCAGGTTCTGACTAAACACGGAAAGACGAAGAACCCCTATCCCAACGTCGACTCGAGTAGTGGCGTTTTATTCCATCATTATGGCTTCCATGAGACCCTTTATTACACGGCAACCTTTGGTGTTAGTAGGGGTTTGGGACCATTGGCTCAGCTCATTTGGGACCGCGCTCTCGGCCTACCCATTGAGCGGCCTAAGAGCATAAATCTAGAAGGAATCCTAAAACTGGCGGAAGCTTAACTACCTGTAAATCAAGGTACCTATGGTATGTATGTATGTAAAGTCATGGCTTTTTTGAGGTACTTGTAAAGCATTTAAAGCATTAGATTTCTCGATGCATACCTAGGTAGTATTTAATTCGTTTGCAATAGTTCAAGGCAAGTCCTCAAAGTAGATAAACACGTTCTGCCTGCGCACTTGCAAACGAGGAAGGCTTTTGACGAAGAAGCTTCCCACGACACTTCCCACGATGTTCCCTCAATGACGCGATGGCTATTGTATGCTTAGCTACATCGCAGGACAACTTCTAGCCCCTCAGCGGGGTGCGGATGCAACGTCGAGAGCTCCAGCCATCGAAAGGAACTAGCGAAGAATCTTTCCGGTTTGCTTATGAGGGGAGCTTATTATATTAACCGCCAACCACATCTCGGTTACTGGATCTTCTAAATTTGCCCGCTGCTAAGTGATGAGTGCCACTAAGCGATACCACGTAAAGCGTTCCAACGTCGTCCTTAGCATCGTTACATCTATCGCGTCAGGTGGTCGAGACAACTTCAGCTGACAGCCCAGACCATGTAATAAACTCGCTCGTACTATAATATACGACCGTACGAGCCGCGATCCGCAAATTTGGACTTCAACGTGTTGTTGAGAGCCAAATCAGTGAGCAGAAGGTCTAGCCCGCGAGATGGCTTTCCCGTTCGGTTTACTGTCGGGGCGAGAAGTATTTCAGAATCGGCTGGAACTATGACAAGAAGGATACGAACCTGTTCCTCTCAATCCATCCTTGGGCAACACGTGTGAGCGATATGCGTCTTGGGCTTAGCGCGCATATTTCCCCTGGCGTTGCTCAACGCGGCTAAAGAGGTTAAAGAGGCTTGAAAGACCGAAAGGAGATATTTTCCAAATGCTTACGGTCGAAGCCCTGGGTGACTCGAGCGTTCTAGCCGATACCGTCTGACGGAATTGCCCGGGTTAGAGTAACCTGCTGCCGATGTGCCACTGGACTCACCAAGATATTGCCCTTCCCTTGCCCTTCTCGTTTTGGGTACATAGAATACTTGGTCCTCCCTATATATCCTTTCGGTTCGGATGTCCTAAGAAGAGTTAGGCCTGACGGTTGCCGGTCCGATGCTTTTAATACCATGTCGTCCGATATATGTTTCAGACGCTCTTGTACTCCGATTAGTAAGATGTGAGAGCATTGGGGTGGTTTACCCTCTTCACACGAAGATGCTATAATTTCTCCCGCTCTAACAGAGGTCCATGGTGAAGTACGCATTGCTTTTTCTTTTCGTCTGACGTAAATATGATTCCGTAATACATACGCTGATGATTTGTTCAAACTATAGGTGGTCGATAAATCTTAATATATCAATACCCTGTTCTGACCCAAAAAAGAAGTGGTTGCCATGACTTGTTCCGGATGTGCAGTGTCTCCTTAGGGACGCCTCGCCCGTTCGTCGGGACCTAGATTTCTCATGCTGTTTAAATTATGCATACCTATCCAGCATCTTGTTGCTGGAGCCTCCATCATCCTTACCTTACCCGCAGCGTTGAACCGGATCCTACAAAGCTGGCAGGTAAGTTGCTTCTGCCCCGTATCATGTGGTCTAGTTTCTAGTCTCTGTCGATGTTTGGATTTGCTGACGTTTCTATAAAAAGAATTACGTCCCGAACCAGCGGAGTAGCTATAATAGCTAGTCCTCCTAGCATTAATTTGATTTCATCTATTCTTCCATGACTATTAATTCAACCGTAAATTTTGGATGAGGCTGGAAGGTCCATGGCCGGGGGTCGAGCTCCTAGGTCGCGAGGTCTAGGTTCGCATTCTATTCCCGAAATTAATCAGCGCGTCTTCTTACGATCTTCCACGACTTCACGTCATGTTGTCTAGAGCGACTTGGATTCGCGGGGACTAGCTCTGTCCGACTCGGAAGACGAGTTCTGACTATCGATCCAGACCTATGAGCTGAAGTTCGAAGGTGTGTTGAATACGACGGCGAGGTATAAATATGACTTCATCCCGCGAGGAAGTAGATCTTTTCCGTATCAGCACACCCAAACAGATTGTTGTTTCTATAGAGCTCCAACCTCTTCGTCTATCAAATCCCCAATCCCAAGCCTCTTACTTACCTAGGTAACTTGCAACCATCATGCGTTCCTTCATTGCTCTACTTACCCCGGTCCTCGCCGCGGCCACTCCCATCGGTATCATCGGCGGTAGCGACACCCCTAAAACGGACGAAATCAGCATCATCAGCGCTTCCGCCAGTGGAAACGGATGCCCTCAGGGAACCGTGACTTCTGACCTTTCCCCTGACCGGAAGGTGAGGAGAGTCTCATTTCTCTTAATAAAAGCCGAGTTGGTACCTAGGTAGCTAACTGATCATTTAGGTCATCACCTTTGGTTTTGACGCTTTCCAGGTCTACACTGGACCCGGCACCAAGCAGTCGGATAAGTCCAAGAACTGCCAGCTTCACTTGAACCTCAAGTACCCTGGAGGGTTTCAATTCGCTGTTGTCGAGTCTACTTACCACGGATATGCTCAGCTCGAACCGGGCGTCACCGGAACCTTTTACTCGACCTACTACTTCTCGCAGGATGCTGCCGCTACCGTAAGTGATATACTTCCAAAACGACTTGACCACACCCTGTCTTAGGATTTAGCTGACACGTATTAGACCACCACGAGAACTTCGATTGACGGAGGCGGGATCTGGGTCGACGGCAACGTGTACACCAAGCAGGACCAAGTCCCGACGGCTTCCATCATCTGGTCTCCTTGTGGTGCCACCGGAATTCTCAACGTCAACAACCGCATTGCGTTGACGTCCAGCAACGCGAGTGCCTCGGGCCAGATCTCCGACGACGACGCCACCGTCGCCTTCACCCAGCAGGTTCACGTCAGCTGGCAAGCCTGTAAATAAAGGGAATAAGCAAGACCAAGTAACGCCTAAAGGAAGTTGTGCGGCACGGTGATATAAGGGGATTTTAAGAGCACGAGGTAAAGGGGATGGGGCTTGATTCCCTGCAGAGTAAAACCGCTCATGTGTATTAGATAGGAAAATTCAATGACCCCTTTCAAAACGTAGCAATCGTCGAGTTACCTTCATATCCATCTCTAGTAAACATTCTCGAGCTTGTTATCAAAATGTACCTAGGAGGTAGGCAATGTGGACTATAGTGCACATACTTAAGGTAAGTTTTTGGTATTCTCAAATAAATACTGGGATCATTATTTGATACTAGGGAATGCACGTTTTAATGAGACTTGTGTCAACGTAGGGAACCTTACCAACACATTGCTTACCTAAATCTGAATCACGGCAACTATATTTTTAAATCTTAATCTTTTGGGACTACAAAATTCTCTACCTCATGTCATAGGTTATGTACCTACCTAGGTAGAAAACAAATAAATAAAAGTCAGATATATCTTCAAATGTTCAACTATTGGGGTATTGAAAGATTATATAACGTTCATGATCCTATCGTAGCCAGCCGAAAACGGAACATCCCTTCTATCGTAGTATAGTCCCAACCTTTTTGTTAAAGCTCTCGGCGCAACCACCTCGGAATTATGTCGGCTAGATTCGTTTATCCAATTAGCTTCCCCGTATACGCTGAGCAATTGCAAATATAAAAGTCTACATCTTCAAGCCATCACTACTGAGCTACACCCCTTGACCCCCTTGGCTTTCTTTCTTTCAAGCACCATTCCCGCTTGGCTTGCGGTTTATATGAGATCCGATTTCTTTAGACGCATTTGGATGGAGGAAATGCGGTTAGGGCAGGTAGGAGGAGGGGCCGGAGGTTGAAGAGGTGACCCTGGCCTCTGCGAAAGGATCGGAAGCGGTAACTATCATTTCGCGTTGTTGTGAAGTAAAGGTACGGCAGCAGGGCCGTTTGAGCCCGTTGGGTCCCATGTTTTCTCCGGTGGGCCGGCAGAACTTCCGGGAGGCGAATCCGGTACAGCGTAGGACGCGGTAGACTGTCCACCCTTGTACTCAGATCCGTCGAAAGCGAGCGCGTCAGGATCTCTGCCTCCCCTTTTGAATCCTTCCAACTCCACACGATCCTGTTCCAGCCGTTGAGCTGCGAGAGCAGCCTCTTTCTGGCCGCGACGTCTCTGCTTGAAATAATAAAAGGCCAAGGCGCCAATAAGAAGGGCGCCGACTATACCTGCAGCGGCGTAAATTCCGGATTTGGTGCCAGAAGGAAGATCGTTCCATTTATCGGAAAGGGACTTTTCCGGTTCCTTGTTGAGATTTTCATACGCCGTGGAGTTGCCGCTAAGTTAGACAAGGTTAGCCCGAATCAACTGCAAAGGAAAAGTGCTGGTGCTCTGAGAGCAGACCTACCTCACAATCTTAATGCTCTTCCAAGAGCCGCTATGGTCGCTATAGGAATATTCCTTACCCGTAGAGTAGTCTTCGACAAGAGCACTCTTCACGTACATCGTGTGCGGTACGGAATAGTCTACAATTCCACCAGCCCAGTCGATAGTTCCCTGCGACGCGTCTGGGTCGCCGCCGGCCCAGATACCAATACTGAGCTTCATCGGTGTTTGGGGATAATTATCAGTGTTGTTGGCATCCTTGGCCAGAAGCGTACGGACGTGTTCGCCGTCTAGCCACCACTCCAATTGGTCCTTCGTCCACACGGAGGTGTAATTGTGATAGTCATTCAGCACTCCTCCCTTAACGGGGTGATCGCCTCCATTATGCCAATCTTGCCTTCCTTTTCCAAAGTAGTTGGAGAACGCGAAGCTTTCATTCCCCCCTTTGAATTCCCAGTCGACCTCGTCTAGAACATCGGAGGACCAGACAATGGAGCTGATTACACCGGTGCCGGATGCTGCTTTTAGAAGTACTTCCGTTCTGCCGAAGAAGAAATAGAAATTCGACATCAGGGTTACCGAATCACCCCTCTTTCGCATTGTGAAGGCAGCTCCTGTATCAGGGTTATATTCAACAGGTCCAGCAGTCAAATTGAACATATTTGCTGGCGGTGTAGCATTGAAGTTGAAGGTGTGCGTCGTGCCGAAAGCCGGGTCCGGCGGACAGTCCTTCACCAGAGGATCGCAATCGGTGTGTAACTGAGCAGCGACGGGAGACACGAACACAGAAGAAAATAGCGCGGCGGCTAGCACCAGATTTGATTTAGCTAGCATCGTGATTGACGATCGAGGGCTCGACCTCGGGATGTATTAATTGAGCAGTAAGTAAAGCAACGTTAGTCGACTAAGTCAGCCAGCTGCCTTTCTAGATGGCAGTATGGCGTGAAAGCGAATGTGGTAACCCCGTTATACCAGCCAAGGGGTTGTGGGATAGGGCTATCCAAAAATTGCCGCAATTTTCTAGAGGACTATCTCGTCGACCACATAGTCCGTCCTCCTTTGTTGAGTAGTTCGGTTTCCGGGGCCGAAGCGGCGACAATAGCTGTAAACAAGGACGTCTAAGCAGGAGACAACGTAGCTGAGATGTTGGGTTGTTCGAGCTCTATATTAGATAGCGAAAGGAATTGCGGGTTATTTGTTGGTTATATAATTCAGTTATATAGGTAGTTATATAGGTACCTAAGTTATATAGGTGCTAGTTATACAGTTATATACTGAATAGGTAGGTAAACAGCAGTAAGGATCGTGTGTGTCGTTTCAAGTGGTCGACCGCGGAGTGACGAAGGAGTTGTACGAGAAGCGCGTAGGAGGAGAAGCGATTTTAGACCATCGCGGTATCGACAAACCTTGGAATAAAAATTGATGATAAATCGATAAGCATTAATGAGCGACTGAAGTTCAATTGAATACTATGTGTGTAGGTAAATGAATGGATGGGCCGTAGAAATCATACGAAACCCCTTATTCAACCCGCCCTCCTTTATTTTTTCGCGAGGCCGAGGACGCCGGTGGTTAGCTATGAAAAGGCCAAGGAGAGAAGATGGGATAGGTTACCACCTAGGTAACCTTTAGGAGGTACCTAAGGTACTAGGTACCTAGGTAATTTGAATCGGAGAGGAAAAAGGGGTTTTGCTGGCCAGTCAAAATTAATTAAAGCCCGTCCGCACGTGTTACACAGTAACATTGTTCGACATCGGATAAGGCAACATAGGGGGGTGCCAGGGGGCCTTTAATGATCTGCAACAAGCGCCGTTAGGCACTATGCCTATTGAGCATTAGGTGATCGGCATTGATTAAGCTATCCCCTTGGCAGGCTCAAAAATTAATGGCCGGGTCTTGGCATACTGTAGGTACCAGGTTATATTTGTTAAATTCCAAAGAATTATTCAAACAGCAAATACTAATAAACCTATTTGAATAAGTTCTTATAAGATTCTAGAAGAGTTCCTTTATATTAGTTAATTAGGTAATTTTTCTTAGAATTTTCTTTCGTAGTTATTTTCAATATTGAATGCAAGCGATGCTGTTAAAGTAAATGCTAAGACCCGACCATTAATTTTCGAGGGTGCCAGTCCCCATCGAAATAGTAGTCGGCTCGTGACGCCGAGCCAGAAAAAAAAGGCAACACCCATCTCATATATTAGGCACAACTAAGTTAGAGGTATGTACCTTAGGTACTTAAAGTACTTGTTACCTAACATCCTTTGTTTTCGCAATAACTTTTACCACATGTATTATTACCAGTAGAAGTGATCTTATCACTAATACAGGATACGATAGAGACGTATGAACTTTGTAAGGTGTTTATAATATGTGACGTGATAGTATTACCTACCTCCTATACTTCTTCTAAGCAGCTACCTATGCCAGGTACAACATTATGTAGGTGGATAATTAGTGTGTGTGCCTAGGTGAGACAGGTTAGGTATTAGTGCTGTCTAGACTCTACACAAATTCGACAAGCACCTTTAAGGGGTGCTGCGCTTTAATTAGCACCAATTAGGGAGGGATCCGAAGTACATCCGAATAAGTGTATTATTCAATATCAAAGTATTTTTGAACATTGCTAAAAAATTTTTACTATTTTTCTTTCAGGGGTCGGAATAACTTTCTTTTGGCCCCTGTTTGGACCCTCAAGAGCCGAGACCTATACCTTGAAAGAGTCGGGAGGGTGCACCACTTTTCTTTTGACGTTCTTCTTGCTGGTTCCAGAATTTGGCCTGCGACACGTAATATATCGGGCCGGTGCTTGGTCCTACTGGTATCTTTTTATTCATCGCTCTGGGTATCTGCTAGTTATCAGGTAGGTTAGGTACTCAACTGTGTCAGAGCTCATCAGGAATATATATATATTAAGGAATAACCAGAATAGCAACGATGGGGATAAACGTACATATAAGGTAAGGAAACTCCGGTAATAAAATATACAATAAGTACCTAGACCTAAAGTATATCCTCAAGTACTAACTAGACACGGCGGAGTAGCTCATCGAGATCTATTCAAACATAATTCAAGTCTAATATAGTATGTAGATATATCCAATCAAATTCCTTCGTACTAAGATTTCACGTTTACTCCACCGTGTCTAGTTGGTACTTGTGGACATGACACCTCCGTCAGCTACCACGAAAAGGTCATTAGCGCGGGATTGAGCGCGAGAGGCAGGAGAAAGTGGCTAGTCGCTACTGTGGCCATGGGTAAAATGGCGACAAAATCGGTGATGCGCCATTCCTGCGGGATGAATGGTGCGACGGCGAGGATGATCATTCCTACGATGAAGAGCAGCGAGAAGATCATGGAATATTTAAACTTTTTTATGACCCTGGGGACTTCGATCCAGAAGTTGGAAAATTCGGCCTCTTTTGACGTTGCGCCCCAGCTCATGTCGACTTCAAACATGTGACAGAGTAAGGCCTGGCTGACATGGAGAGATAGCCCGCCCAAGAAGACAGCTAGGAGGAATGTCCACTTGAAGTTTTCGTACAGAGCATACGCAAACGACCTTTCTGCCATGCGATATCGCATCACGGCCAGGCCTATATTACCGAGACCGTTAAAGACGATAACAATAGAGAACCAGACCTTCCAGGAATCGATGTAATACTTGTCCAGGTATCCGTTAAACCAACCAATGATGAAATAGTTGGCCGAAGTCATGATCCACGCCGCACCGATAGCATAATACGTACCGATATAGGACACGACCGTGATCTTGGAGGTGAGGCACACGTTGGAAAGGAGGAATTGACGAAACAAAGGCGTGAAGGGGCCCTTCCAAAGCCATTTTCTGATGGGATGGAATAGTAGCTCGTTGCATCCGTACGCATACTTTTCCCATCGTGCCAGTTCGTCGTAAACAGTTAGAGAGACGCCCTCTTTGAAGTCCTCGTCGGCCCACGCGGCGAGGCGGACAATATACCCGCGGCATTGAAGGCGAAGCGACATGTCAAAGTCCTCCGAAACATGCGATTCGGACCAGACCTTGTCGTAGCCATCCTCGTCTCGGTACGAAATCTGCCGGACTGCTCCCCACCGTAGAATGGCGTTGTGGCCGACGAAGGGAGCAACGTCGCCGTTCGCGACCGTATACCTGATGGCGCTGTATATAAGCCTGGTAAAGAAGGTAATGCCGTTCTCAAAGTAAGTTTGGACCACCTGCATCACGCCGGAAGAGAATTGCATGATACCGATGTTGGGAGACTGCTCCATCTCCGAAACGGCATCTAAAAGACAATCGGCAGGAACACGCGTATCAGAGTCGACTGGAGTTCCAATTAGTATTTGCTCAAGCCAAGATGGCGTCCCAAGACATAGCATATTGCGCAGAAAACGTACTAAGGAGTATATAGTCGCCAACGCGAATGTTACCATCTGCCCAAGCCCTTTCGTCTTCTTCGAGAACCTGCTTCAATGCTTGCTCATAAGCCAACGTTTCGTCTACATGCGCCCATTCTCTCATGCGACTGTGTCGCAGTAGCTGATCCTCTACTTTGCAGGAGATCATAAGCGCGTAGTTCATGTTGGAAGCCTTCTTGAACTTGCCGCGACGCAAGAAGCCGTTCTCGCCATGTTTAGGACGAGCGACCCAGCCTATGCTATTACTGGAATAGAACGCGATGCGGGCCAACCGTTCCTCCTCGGCAATAAGCTGGAGGCCATCGTCGTTGATGAACATATTAGCAGTACCACCTTGCAACTCGTACGTGCTCATTGCGCGTTGAATGGAAAGAACAGTAGGTTGAATGACTGTTTCGAGGCCTTCCTTGTAAACTGGGCATTGTATAGTCTGTCGTACACGCCACGGCGTTAGCATTGACATATGTAAGTGGGTAGGTATCTTAGCTTTGTTGGGGACTTGGGAAAAGCCTAAAAAAATAAAAAATAAAAAAAGGAAAGGAAAGGAAAACACTAAATAGGCGTGAGCATATAAGAAGAAACTTACCACGTGCGGCAATGTCGTGGTCATCAGTCGAGGGGGTGGCAAGGCGGAATAGTATTTGGAGTTGACTGAGAGTTGAGTGACAGGACCAAACATCTGAGCCAAACATCCGACGAGAACCTGGGCGAAGAATAGAGAAAAGAATACTTGGACTGGAAATATAACCACCAGACCCAACCGTGAATAACTGCCGTCGACCGAGACTTCAATCGCAAGCTGTCTCCAAGCCGCACCTAAGGAGAGGGTTACGAGAAATACCACAAAAGAAATAAGACATGTGTTGGACAAATGTACCGGCCTGTTTTCGGGGTTGACTTGACCGCTTTCCACATCTAGCCCCAGATCTACTCCCAAGTCTATTCCGACTTCTGTGGGAGAATAGTCCGGTTCCTCCTCCTCCTCCCCTTCTTCTTTTTCTCTTTTTTCCTTGGCCTTGTCAGAGTCGCGGAATCGCCACACCAGTGCTAACAACTCCGCCTCGATAGCTTCTCCACGGTCAATGAGACATAATGGGTTATCATCCCAGACTACTAGCAAGCCTTCCAGTGCTAAAAAAGCGGCACCTTGGTGTTTTCTTGCTCTTGGTAGCTCTTTAATGGACGGTAAGACTTGGATTCGGAGGCCGGTGGACAAGGGAACGCTCATGGCGCCGGGAAGGGACGAAAGAAACGACCTTATCACCCTAGAGCTAACAGTAAGGATGCACTATAAATCGGTCAGCAGAAAGCGCCTTGATGAACTGTCGGTAGTGATGTTATTACCTCTACGTTGATAGCGGAGCAAGCCTTGGCCAATTTCGACCCTTTTAACGGAGATGGGCAACTGAGGTAAGATCCGAAGTTCCTGCGAAGGAGAACTCCTTCATAATCACCACTCCCCTCGCTCACCCATAGACGCGAACACTGTTGTTGGTACAGCCAATTTACCATCACCTCTTGCTTGACCTCCTCTGTGACACCCGCGCTGAAATAAGAATCTCGCCATTTCACTGAACTTGATTTTCCTAGAGGGGATTTCCATGGAAGCTTGAAATCGTTCAGATTTATTAACCCGTCAAAGGTCCCCTCTGGAAATATCCTCCTTTGCGGCTTGCGAGGTGTTTCTGTTTGCCTTGCCTGGGCAGGCCTCTTCGGCTTAAAGTAGCCATAGAAGCCCATGCTCTACTGTACTTTTTTTTCTTTTTCTTTCTTTTACCTTTTTCTTTCGAATAAGATCATAGTCAGTGTTGGACTAAACGACAAAAGCAAAATCAACGATCGTGGGCTCCCTTCATTAGGTTAAATTGGCTAACAACCCTGAGAATAAAATGACCGTCTATAATCCAAGATGCGAGTAAGACAGCATATCTGTAGTTAGCAAGGAAGCAGATACAAAGGCGCTTAGATATAATGCTTGAGGGTCTAATACGGGAGCGATGAGACGAGCAACCATGTATCAGGTAGATGCCAAATCTGAGTACAAGTACCGTCTAGTCTAGCCTTTCCGTATGTGCCCAAGAAGTAGGTACTAGGCGAATCACGAGAAATGTATTATATAAGACTCAAAAGCGCTGGATGCCTTAGGTACCTTAAGCGAGCCTGCATTAGGAGAATGGGGAAAATACGTTGCAAGCTGAACTAGTTGTTTTCGACAACCCAGAGAGATTTGTACGATGCAATATATTGATGCTGAGCTCGGTCCGGCATCTGGACCCTTGCGGATACCTTAGGTCTTACGCATGCTGTAGCTGATATCATTCTCGTAATTTCGGCGGAAACTGCATACTAACATCCAAACAGCAGTTCTGTTTATGCGAACCGTGCATCCCTCCTATCTGCGGATTACGTCGCAGCAGCAGGCTCCGGCCCGATATATGCCGTGTGGGTTGCATCGAGATACTTGGTAGACAGCCACGGCGTCTCGAACTACCTATTAGTTCGTGCTGAGAGCGCGGTGCATACCTGGGTAGGTAAGCGACGTATGCCAGAGGCTGGTGGAAGTTGGTTGATGTTGCATATATCTGGATGCATATACGAGAAAGCTACCGTATTGTGGGAGTAGGTGGTTAACCTGATAGATCATAAACCGTCTTAGCTATACCTAAAGCGTTATCGTAACCCATCCCTAACATTCGCTGTTACACCATTTCTCGCGGGTAAAACCTTGATCAGATAAGGCTATCACCAAGTATCTATTGGGGGGAATTTTCTGTGAGGGTCATTTCATAATGGTGTGTTGCAATGAACATTGAACATTCTCGTAGCAAGAAGAGTAGGTGTTCTTCCTGACACATGCTCCAATATTGCGGCTGAAATTTACATACTAATTGCCCCCGGCCAATTGGAACTTGAGAGGTACCTAACCTCTGATATAGCAGGTACCTAGATAAATTAGCGATGTTGTACCTAATTCAGCGATTTATGCTGGCCAATCGGGCACAGAATGCACCATGTGTACCTCGCCATTGACAACAGCCGCTATGTTAATCTACCATATCTACCTAAAATCAAAAGAAGAAGGAAAAAAAAGAAGAAGAAAAATAATAATAGCAATGCTGATAGCGCTGATGTAGAAGTCTAGACCACTACGGATATTTCCCAACCTATAATTCCTCATTTCCATCGCACTGTTGCCACATAGCAACTTTGCTCACTTCCATCGCCGGGCTAGTCCAAGTTGGTAACCACACATTCTGCGAATTCCAGAAATCCTGCTTCGCGTAGGGATTCTGGTCGATCCAAGGCTTCCCGCTTTGCGAATTTTCAAACCAACCGTTAGTCCCACCAACGGCAAGATTCAATATCAAGTAGAACCTTTGGTCAAAGGGGGTGTTTAAGCGTCCCGTAGGCGACCATGTATTCTTTAGGCGTGTACCGTTGGAGGTAGCTTCGGGGAAACCACCACGCTCCCAGAGCGGTTCTTTAAAGTCGGTGTAGAGAACCTGCAGGAGGCGCGAGTTTACGTAAGTGAAGAGGTAGTTCTGGGACCACTCGAGGCCGAAGGTGTTAAAGCCAGAAGAGTAGGTTGTATGCAAAGCCTGGCGTTTCACGTTGGTCTTCCACCACGCATCGTGGTCAGGATCTGGCCCCCAGTGCAAAGCCGACGATACTATATCGTTACCGCCTTGGGCATAATCCCGATTGTTTCCCCGGCTTTCCATGATATCAATCTCGCCGCCGGCCGGCCAGGGCCCATAGATATCGTGAGCGGGCATCATCCAGATTGCCGGCCAGAGCCAATCTCCCTGAGGGAGTTTAGCGGTGACTTCGACGCGGCCGTACTTGATAGTTGCTCCTTTTCTGGTATTGATGCGGCCAGATTTGACAGGGGGCACGAGGGACGAGTTGCCGGCTGTTGAGTTAGTCACGGCTATGCAATCGGATGGCTCTTTGGAAGTGCAGGTTCCGTCCTCTAAAAGGTTGATGATACTGAAGTTGTTGATGAGGTCGGCATCTTGAAGAGTCGGCTTGATGAAGAGGCGACCACCGTGTACGTAGACATTTTCATCTCCTCCGGTTGTCTGTTCAAATTCGCCGTTGCTGCACACAATCGTCAACTCAAGTTACGACTTCGTCGGCAAGGTGAGTCTCGGCTTACCCAAAGCCACCGACCTGGACTTCTTTTGTCCATACGGCATCGTTAAATGTAGTGAAGTTGTCTTCAAAGACTAAGCAGTAATTATGTTTGGCGACGGAGCGTATTCCGTCCCATACGAGAAGACCAGATATCCCCAAACCTACTACGAAACCGACGACAGGGAGAATATTGGTCATTCTCTCCTTCCAGTGTTGATTCTGAAGCCAAGGCTTCTCTATTTGTCCCCTAACCCTTCGCGAGTGGAAATACGGTATCTGGTTTTTTCGCCTACGACCTCCAGTTGAGGGGGGCTCGGCACCAGGTTCTGGTGACGGTGTTATAGATAAACCAAGGGAGGCTGCCGGGCCGAGGTTCGGGTTGGTTCCATCGTCGCTAGGTGTGTCGAATCGGCGAAGTGGTGTTGATACTGGGTATTTGAAAGAAGAACTACTCCCTCCCACTTGCTCCATTGCACCTCTAGCTGGATTGAACCACCAGCGGATATTGAATATGGGTTTCAGGGATAAGAATGTTGAAGCGGAATGAGAACGAACCAAGATGAATATAATGATAGTGAGAAGAGTTCAAGTATGATCAACAGAAAATATGCTGTTGTGGGCCAATTTATCTTGACATTGCTCTGATTATCGGCTCTACCTTAGGTGAACGGAGATTTGAAAGCTACCGAGGATAGGAGAGAGAGCAAAGTATAAATTTTACAACGCCTCATTATACCGGTTCTCTTACCTATCACAGGTTAAATACCTAAATTAGTAGGAACTACCTACAGGTAGATGGTAGTTACTCAGATATCAGATTAAAAAGCCTTACGAAAGGTACTTAGATATCTACCTAGGTAGGTTAGAAGTACCTTACCTAACTCTCGAGAAGTGGGATGTCAGGGATATGTAGCTTGATCAATCAACTTTATTGAGTGGGTGTTAGCGCTGCCTTGAAGTGGACAGAATTAAAAGTCGCGCGGCCGTAGAAGTTGATACATAATACCTAATGGGGGGAAACCTAATGGGAGGTATCGTGGAAGTTGAGAAAAATACCCAGCAACGGAATCGATATTCTGTACGGCGCGTCCCACGGCACAAGCGCCAGTTGAAAGCTCTACCTAGGTAGATAAGCCGAGGGTGGGCTGGACCCGATGTGTGGTTGCATTGATGTATCCATAGGTTGCAAAGTTGAAAGAATCGGGATGAATATTGACGCATGCATAGGGTGGTATCGTCCAGCTGATTGCATGTTATTGATGGCTAGACCGTCCAAGGCTCCCTTTGGAACCCTTAGAATACAATAGTACGACTCTTATAGTGGCACAAATACCCGATACTAGAAGCGATAAGTGTGAGTTCCTTACCAGTTGCCGTGTGTGTTGATGCTGATGGACAGGTCCTATTGATTAGGTTGATTTAGTACAAATTCAGAGCTCTAGAGGTTATGAGCTTAACGGACTTAGATAAGAATATCTATCGACCTTTTACAGCATTATCTCAAGTCATAAAGAGCTTCATAGTAAATGAGTCTTTTGATTTGACATGAAGCTTAAAACGTGCTCTACTCGCGCGTTGGGTATAAGAGGTACGAATTGAGGGAAAAAAAAAAAAAAAAAAAAAAAAAAAAAAAAAAAAAAAAAGAGGAGAGAGAGAGACTTGAGCTTGTGGCGATCGCAGAACCTGCTAAATTTAGGAAACGGGAACTTATCTAAAGTTATCGCGGTACAATTAAGGTTTAGTATAGCTCGAGATCGTCCACCAAGCGTGTAAGATAGGTAGGTTCCTAACTAAAACTAACACCACTAGACACATAGAGGCAAGTCTCATTTGCGCATTGCATTGTTTCAACCGGTTCGATGAGTTTAAGCCTCGACAAGCTTTTATCTCGAATTCCCTATAAAGCATTATTATGTGGATTGCCCTAGATTAAAAACCATTAATATCGTGGCGTGCCAGAACTTTGAACCTTGGGACGAAGTTTCAGCTGTAATATGCTCGCATCAACGCATATTCCCTATAAAATCATGCAGAGTGTCAACTTGGATGGGTCTTTTTGGCAAGTGAGTAAACCTATCTTGACGTAATAGCATAAGCCCTACCTTAGGTAGGTGCGTTTTCATGATGCCGCCACATTATGAGCGAGGTAGGTAATCATCATACACTATGATTCCGTTTTTGACGGATCGGGTCGGACATGAACCTCAGAGAAATGATATGATAATGGAGATCATGGTACGTAGAACTGACCTATATATATCGACGACTTATTATAGATTATGCACGATTATAAGAAAAAAGAGTGCGCTGGTTATTGTTTACTATGCTGTCGTTGAATTCTTTCGGGCTCAGAAATTTATACAATCATGATATCTGATACACCCTACCAGAGTTATCTGATCTCGTAGTGATACCGGCAAATAATAGTAATAATAGTAAAAAAAACGGGTTCGGATTCAAATTAAGGCCTATACATACCTAAGGTAATGCGTGTGATTTTGCTAACGCAACGCATGGTATCTTAAAAAGCAGTCAAGCAATAGCCGCGAGCCCTACCATGACGCATGTATCATTACGAATACCTGTCGTCGCAGATCATCTCCTCACTGACAGTGCTGAAGAAAGCCAAAAATAGAATGCCTCGAAGGTTGGCACCTGCTAAAAAGCCGCTTAAAAATAGCATGACATGCTAGTCGAGAGACTTCAAACGAGATGCTAAGCCGGAAAGGCTAGGAGATGGCGCCCGAACATTGACGTGGAGTCAAATTCAAGTTATTGATGACATCCCGGTCAGCTCTCATGAACGATGCCAAAACCATGAGACCTTCTAGTTTCCATACTTGTCTAGAAGCCCTGCCACAAGAAGTGTTTGAGGAACTGCTAGTTACCCGATCTGTAGTTGACAGCAAGCTAATTATGGTCAGGTGGATAACTACGAATTCGATAAGGGGGGCTGGCACATGCGGTTAAGATGCTTGGTTTAGATCTTAGCTGCAAGTAGCGAGGGCCTCGCCGTAGTCGCTCAGTATACGAAGACTCAGAGATGCTATCGATGGGTCCTGAAACAGCAGTTTTCTTTCTATTCAGAGAACATCTAATGAGGCGCAGATTTTGTCGGTAGCTTGGCATCATCCTCGATCGATAGATACACATGATCGGCTACCTGGTTGTCTTCATCGTGAGTACGGTTTACTCGGCAATTGAATACCTAGAAGTTCGTACGGAGAAACGTTATTGGTCGTATTGGGACTCGATATCGGAAAGCCGGGGGGATCCAGGTTATTAAGGGACGCTGACCTTATATTCATCGAGGCTTGGAGCTATTAATTTTGCGATATTTCATCCCTTGTGTAGAGATAGCCGGGGTTAATGCGTGATAATCGCGTATGATGACAGGTACGTAGTGATCGGCAAAGTCAAGCTTTAGAAAAGGCTGACACATGTAGTAGTATATGGGGGCAAGGTGTACGGGTCTGCCTAGGGTTAATTAGTTGGGATCTGGGGCCGGGGATTTATCGAGAGGGAATGTCGATATTATGTGGAGTTGATCCGATTGAATCAGGCGTGTAGGTAGAGGTATGCATGCAGGCATGGTAAGTCAAACGTCCCTCAAGACTGTAAATAGCAAATGGCAAATTAGTACGTCAGAGTTTCACATTAGCAATGACTTACAAAGGCCCATAGTGACAAGTGGCAGTGGAGGGGAGGCGGCGGGGAAGGGGGAATTAGGAAATTAGATGACTGCTCTCGGGGCTGAAGCGGGCTAAATGTGGTAGGTTAGGGTAGGTAGTGATGTAAATGTAGTTAAATGTAGAGTCGTCCACGTTTTCGGAGCGGGACCGAGCATCGAGGGCGTTGTCTGTGTACGTCTTTTAAACATGGCCCGCAGGCCGTTGCTACTTCTAGTAAAAGCTGTCGAACATGGTACGAGAAGGAATGCATTTTGACAAGTCAATGTGTAACCTATATAGATGCGGAAGTCTTATTCAGATCCAGCTGCTGCGTGTATAACATCTATGACGACCGATTGGTTGATTTTTCTTCATCATTGCTAAAAAGATCGACAGCCCCCACGGACCCATGAAGACGGATAAAGCAACCCGAAACTACCTAAATGCAAAGCGAGTGGTATTGCGCTTTCCCCGACCCGAATGTTACTTGTTCGGACGCTTCTGACCTTACAGCCCTAAACCCATACATAGCCCTTAACTATTAGGTATGATGAACCGTTGAGAAATCCAAACCCACGTTCCTGCTGCATGCGACCTGAATAGATGGGGCCAGAACGAGGTAAAGGGGGGGAAAGGGGAAGGGGGAAGGATGAAGAGGAAAAAAGAAATGAAAGCCAAAAAACAGTCTACATAATTTCTAAAAATCAAGAGGAATTCAATCCATGGTACACTACCCAAATAATAGCACTAACACCGTTTTCCTTCCGTTTTTGATCTTCCCCATGAAGAATAATGAGAGTTCTTCCGCGAGGAAGGATGTTGCTCCATCTAGTAAGTCTATTTCTATGATAGCCCACGACACTCGCCGTCTATCCGTCTATCCGGAACGAAATCTATTGGAATAGAAGAAAAAAGAAGATGCGCGTAAAGGAAAGAAAGGAAAGAAAGAGCGAAATTCCATGACAGTTGTATGACCCACTCCATGTGAATTAACGAAAGCGGACAGGTGAAACGAAACGAAATAACCATATAGAGTCTGATGAGCCGGATAGAAAAGTGAAATCGTCGAATCATGATTCTCAAGGTACCAGACCCGGCCTAGGAACACTGCCCTATGTCGTGGAACCTGCGCGTCAGCGTTGCACCAACTGCACGTTAATTGCATGTGCCTAAGGGCCCTGCCGGATTCGTGAGCCGCTTTTCCATCCCTATCCAGCGTATGTATAGGGACGCGAAGAGCCACGGTTCACTCGAGTTATAATCCAGAGAGTTAGACTTCGGGAGGGTAATCCCCTGCATAGCGTGTATATATGTTGACAATTGCGAAGAGTGCTTATATGACGGCTATTATTGATGATGTCGGCCACGAGCATATGCCCGAAACTGCAGGTGACTCGACCACCATCAGCGATGGGTTCTCGATGGCGGTGTCTAACTTGTCGAATGTCCTTCCACGTGATCCTGTGGCTAACGTTCTGGAGCGGTTTAGGCTGTGTCTAATAGTTCTGTTGCTAGCAGCCGAGTGCTTGACCTAAACGGCCTGTCTTGTCTGCTCCGTAGGAATTGAGGTGAGACATGTGGAGACTGGATACGCTTTTTGGGACATATATGAGATTTTGCAGTCTTGTTTCATATCGACTTAGATCATCGGTAAGCTTATTTTTGCGTTTTCCCTCCTGTACGTCCAAGTTTTCACCTTCACAGGGGTCGTATGAGGTGGATTTCGGTGTGTATAAGATATTGAGTTTCTGGTCTGGACATTCATAGAATAGTTGTCCCAACCAAGTCATACTAGGGCCACAAGTTTCAGTATTGTTACCGTCCTGGCTCGCATCACAGCCTGCGCTCTCTGCGGATCTGCGAGGGCTAGGCGGCGGCGTGGGCACGTCAGGACGGGGGCCGATTGGTCCTGGCCTGATGTAGTATACGTAGTTAGTCACCATTCAATAATATTCGGTGAAAGAGCGAGCATTCGAGAGAAATTTATACCTCCACAGCCACGTTTCAAAGTGACCGTACTTGAAAGAGGGGTGAAGAGGGTTTAGTAACGGATCATTGAGACTTACCTGGGGCCTGGAGTAGGTGGACGAGGAGGGTGGGGAAATGAGACCGGCCCGTATAAGGCGAACCAGGTATTCATAACCCGAATGGCAAGAGCAGAGATATTCTCTATGAGAATTTTCTGGAGCCACTCCATCTCTGCTGAAGAGTTTGGACTGGGTGGTGGCGTGGGTACCGGCGGACGGGGAGGGATTGGGGGTGGCCGAGGTGGCCCTGGAGTTGGGGGACGTGGCGGATTAGGGAAGGATATCTTCTTGGGCACTTCCACGGAAAATGCTCCCGGGTAGAGGTTGAAGTGGTAGAATATCTCCTTATCATCGTTCTTTGACGATAGAGTCGACACTGGCCCTGGGCCAGGCTGGCTCGATATGGTAAGCTGTGTCATTTTTGGCAATCTCCCTATGAGCTTTGCAAGATCGGATGCCTTTTGGTGCCTTTAGCCTAGAGAGTTGAATGTGCGTGATGGTGACGACAAGAAATCTGCTCGGACGTGCTTCCAGGTGGCCAATTTATAGTTTTCTCCTGACTTACAGCAAGCGTCTTTCTTGGTAGAGGAGGAATAGGGGCACGGCGAAAGGAAGCAAAGGATGTAGGCTAGATGACGGGCCGGGACGCACCGCAACAGATTTCTCATGATCCTACCATTCAGTATCCGTGCCGGAAGAAGCTCTCGTGAACAGTCCTGTGAGAATAAAATAGCCTACCCCGTTTGCCATACTGATGAGCAAGGCACCCATGTTGTCATGTGTGGTGATCTCTGCCATAAGCTCTATATATCTAACGGCTAAATTTGCGACGTAGAGTGAGCCCTGCGCCTTCATGTTTTTTTGCGGCTCGTAACTAAAGGTCTCTTGTACGATATCCAAGAGGCAAGAAGAACCAAGTTATCACGGCGTGCTTGTTCTGGCGTAGGTACTTCATTTTCTGTAGCCTGCGGGATGATATAACATGGAACGCGCCGCGAGCTTTGCCATGTTCACTCGAGCTATACTTCCGGAGAGGTTAGGCATACTAGTTGGCGTAGATCCGATTAGGTTCGAAAGTTGTACACGGATTAGGCGTCTCGTAGTCAGGTCAGCTCAAAGCCGCAATCGCAAGATGGGTAATAGACATAGTGTCACTTAATTTTGAGCATGTAGGTAGCACGAATCGACTTGGTAGTCTCCTTCACTATACGTATCGAACGCTGTGTTAGGCGGAAAATGGGAATGCCGAGCTCTACGGCGGAGATTTCAGCTACAAACACTTCCCATAAGGCTATTATTCTAACTTCTATGTAACCGCTTAGGCGAAAAGATGGGAAAAAGAAGCGTCTTGTGAGGATCGTTGAGGATCGTCTATGGTAACACCGGCAGTCAACGATGAGGCTCATGGTAGCCCAGGGAGAGTCTCCTTCGGTGATTGGCCGCCCTACACGCCTCGAGCCTCATGTAACCGAACAAGGCACGCGAGTTGGTTTTTTTTCTGATTACACCATCACCCGAGATGACCGAGATGAGTGAGAAATAGAATGACCACCGCAACCGCGCCGTCCACCTACCGGCCGATTAGACCCCGATTGGTCTACTGAAGCCATTCGTCATTCAAAACTATAGTATTTGCCTGGTCCCCGTGACCCGATCCCACGGTTGGCACACGGTTGGTTTCCGAAGCTACAACCATGGCGATGACACGGACCCATTCATTGGTACGATTCGATAGGCTATGTACCGTTTGTTAGAACCCGTCTCGTTATTTGTGTACACGTCGAAGCTCGCAAAAAGGACAGAGGGGGCCGGAAGGCTTGCCCTCTGGTATAACTTACGCATGCATTATTCCGCGCTGAAGTACGACGTCACCTGGTTTGCATAGCGTTTCGACAAGCTCGCCGTACGTACCACGCCCGTCGACGATGTCAAATGAGTCAGGAGGCGTTATCAGGCTTAAAGTCCCGCTCAGCACCACAAGATAGTCAGTAGACGTAGTACGGTGAACTGCGCCCTCTGTGTTGGGGGCAATGTCTAGGTAGTACATGTTAAGACCACCAGGAACTAAAAAGAAACGCGTCAGATCAGCAATTGCTATTTGCAGGAAACGTCAGAAGCGGAGGTCGACTCCTGAAAGCTATCACAGGTTATGACAACTTCCAGACAAGTCAGAATCGGCAGCTTCAGGTTCGAACAGGAATAATAAAAGGGGATAGGGTTAGTACATACGCACGATTCCGAGTCCCGGCACAGGGTCTAATTGTAGATTGCCGCTTGGTTGTCCGTCAGCACCCTTCTGTCACTCGCAACATAATGGACCTTTGTGGAAATGAACTAACACAATTGCACCGTTATAAAGGGGAACATGGAGCGACACTTACTGTCCATCGTTGTTAGTTGGCAATTTCTTGCTGGATGCTATTCTAGCCCTTTTCAGAGCGCCTCCCAGAATAGGCTCCAGCTCAAGTTTATCGACGAGCACTTCTACACCGGGTTCTGGGTGCGGTTTCGAGGAATCCTCTTTTAAAAGAGGGAGATTAGAAGCCGTAATCCGGCTAGGGATAGATAGTTGAAGGGGTGATGACATTTTTATAGTTATAAATAGGCGAGTTGTGTAAATGGATTGGACCGTGTACTCGGGTTGAAGACAGTTTTAATATATACCTCCCAAGGCACCTATACAGTTTCGTAGAGCTGCTTAATTTAACTTGCCTTTTCAACTGAATAAAATAGGCACGAGGCCTTATATATAATTGCCAAGATATGAAACGAATGGCTAGCTGAAGCGACCAGCGCGAGCTTGAGGCATAACAAGTATGACAAATATAGTAGATTAATCAGCCATGAATAGTTCTAAATGGAGGTAGCTAAGCTTACCGATCAAGCGAATTCGAGGATCCGCAACAAAATGAACCAGGTTTGAAATAAGAATGGAGCCAAACGCCGAGACTATCTATAATGGAAGGTGAAAATTGATGATAAATCACTACGAATTGATACTAGCATTGGTCATTGGGGAAAGCGTCTGTTTGCTAAGGCAACAAGGTATCGGGGAAACTTCTTGACGATCTAGTTAAGGAGTCCGGAATCTTGTCGGAACAATCTCATTATCATCGGAATGTGCTACTTGACGAGCTACATAACTACCTATACCTGATATACAAAACCCTAGGTTAGGTTAGGTTTGGTTAGGTATGTAGGTTCATATTAGGCAACGTGTCGTAGCCACGGAAATTAGAGGGGAAAAAAAAACAAGACATCGTAACCTAGAAAAACCATAAGCAGCCGACTAAAGGTAGATCAATAAAGAATGAATAAACGTACTGCTTCCAAGTTCGTAGCTAATTGCTAGACAGTCAATATCCTCACTCGTATAGGAAGATCTCTTGTCATGGTGTGGTATTCCCTACTTCCTTCCAAACGCCCACTAGCACGCAATGCGGAAAAAAAAAAAAGATGAGTTACCAAGTTTAACGATATCCTCTTCCGCGGCTACGTGAACGACTACGACCTCGAAAGCTGTCATAGCTGGGGCTACGTCGTCTGTCATTATCGTGATCGTTGTAGCTATCTCTCTTTCCGCCTCGCCTTCTTGGGGGAGATCGAGACCTAGATCCATAAGAAGCCGAGGGGCTGCGGTTACGACGGGTAGGCGGGGTTCTAGATCGAGAGTAAGATCGTGGTCGATAGGTGTCGAAGTTATCACGACCGGAACGACCGAAACGGGGCGGTGAGCGTGGCGGTCTTCCTCCGCCGAATCCAGCCCCTCTTCCACCTCCAGTTCTGGCAGGGACTCTAGGACCGGGTGCGGGGAGTCGAGGGTCGATATTCGCGCCGCGGCTCGCAGTCGGGGGAGAAGGAGAGAATTTTCGTCGGGGTAAAACGATGGAAACATTGATTACAGCCCCGTCGAGGACAGCCTCGTGCATATGGGCAATAGCAGCCTCGGCATCAGCTTCATTAACGTAGAGGATGTAAGCTGTACTGCGATTGGTGTTGTCTAGAGAAAGGTTAGCCATATAGAACTCGCTATAATAAATGTTGGTGCGAAGGAATCTGCTCACGTTTTCGGTTCATAGGCATGTCTAGGTCCTTGATAGGACCATACTGGCCAAAGATCTCGCGCAGGTGATCCTCGTTGATCGTTTTCGTGAGTTTCTCCACGACTATCTAGACGCAGGAACTATATTAGCATGGCCACTTATAGTAAGGATTGTATGATGATGCGATGAGGGCGACGTGTCGAGATATATAGGTATACACAGAGCGAATTGACTGACCTTAGTACTGCCTCGAAGTGGACTCTCACTCCTGCCCCGGTCGTCACGATCGCGACTTAAGCTTCTACTATCGCTGCGAAGTCTACCATTGCGACGGGAGGCGGGGGATGGCGATCTCGTAGGAGATCGACGTCGTCGAACTGGCGAAGGCGATCGTGTATAACGCGACTTCGGGGTAGGAGAACGCGACTCGTTACGGCCTCGCGAGGGCGATCGATAATCCATATCGAAAGATAGGACTTGATACGAGTGATGGAGGCTGCTCGTCACCTGGGGTAGTTGAGTGTTTCGAAAGGAGCGAAAAAATCGTTCAATTAGTAAAATAAAATATTAGAAGGCTGCGACCGGTAGGAGCTATTGAATTGAAAACCGAAGCTTTTGACGAAGTTGCTAAGGCTGGAAAATCCCAGCACCTACCTCCTAAAGTAAAGGTGGGTTGGGTTGCATTAGCGTGTACACACGTGTTGTACTTTCAAGAAGTCAGGAAGTGCAGATAGGAGGTACCTAAGGTAACATGAGATATCTGCACCTTCCACCTAGGTACCTCTAGCATTTCGTATGTGACACATGTACCTAGAGGTATCATAAAAATGGAAGGAATATTAGGTACCTGTCTCAATGGGTCTAGGTACTTGTACCCATTGGAAGCTTTACATCTAAAACAAAGACCAAATATCTCCTATAAAAAACCAAACAAAGCCAACATAAGAGGTAGTTGGGAGGTACCTAACTCTACCTATTATGCGGACCGCGGATCATACGTCATTATTATTTATACACCGAAAAGACTACACTACCTACACCCTAAGTGTTCAATAAATGCTGGTATATAAGAGGTACCTAAGGTACCTAGGTCTGTTTATATATCAGGTAAGTAGGTAGCTACGGTAGATGCTACGAAGCAAACAGGTGATAGATGCTCTAATATTCGTATCTAAAATTAGGATTCTCCCTGTCTGTCAAGTCTTCAAAAGCGTGGGCTAATCTCTCGTCCCGAGCCTCGCTCATACCAGCCGCAGCCAATTGATCACGCTTCTTATTCTGCCTTGAGAGATAAAAGCGGAAAAACAAGAGGATGATGACGAGAAGAGCATAGCAGCCAAGATGAGTCGCAAATGCTGTGTGGTATTTCGGTGCCTCGCGTGATAGGAATACCTGGGGACCGATAGCATTGCCTGCAGACCAGAAGACGAAATTCGTAGCGACCACCACACTCTTCTTCGTCTGGCCTCCAACGTTGCGAGACATCAGAGAGAGGCCCAATGTTTGCGCAGCCCAGAAAGACAGCGTGATGTAGTAGCAGATGAGCAGTCCCACGTGTTGCGAGAAGGTCTCGTTGGGTACGGTCATAAGTAAAATGGTACCCACGAACGATCTAGACGAATCAAGTCAGTCGTGGCCCGCTCACAACTCGTTAAAATGAGGGTAGGTTCAAGCTACTTACGGAATAATGAAGCCTAACATAGTCAAAATGTTTTGATTAAACTTCTTCACCAACCAAACTGAGCCTAAAAGTACCATAATGATGTAGAAACCGAGGACCATGGCCAGGAGTTGCGTCTGAAGGTTACTAAACCCAAGGCTTCCAGAAATAATCAAGTTCGCAAAGGCGCCGAGGCCGCTAGTCGGCAGAGTCGTGGTAAACTGAATCCCGGCATAGCACCACGTCTGCGGGTCTGTCAATGCATCCCATACCTGTTCCTTTTTGAAGACTCGATTTTGCAGCCCGGTCTGGTTGTCTCGAACTCGCTCAACCATCAGACGCTTATCTTCTTCGGTAAAGCACTTGGCACGCATGGGAGAATCGGGCATCCACCAGAGGACGAAAAGGCCGAATATGACGGAAATGATGCCATAGGCCATGAAAAGCCACTGCCACGATTTGAGGGGCCCGTCCGTTATAAGCGTAAAGCAATAGGCAAGAAGGCCGCCTACGATCTGCTGCGCGCCGTTCATCATGTACCAGTACGTAACCCTCGAGGCTTGCTCTTCGCGTCTATACCACATAGCTGAGAGGATCACAAAGGCAGGCTGGCAAGCCGATTCGAAAAGTCCCAAGAGCGTACGGACGACGACCAGCCCGACCAAGTTCTTGCATGCTGCATGGCAGGCCAAAACGGCGCCCCATGCGATTATGGAAAAGCTGAGATACTTGGCAACGGGAACTCGAGCGATAATATAATTCTGGAACAGTTTCATGGTCAGCATAGTTCATGCCAACTTCTACAACTAACTTAGAGAGAGGTCTAGGGTTACACAGTAGATCTCACCTGCGGGTATTCGACAACAAGAATGGTTATATAGATACACGTAGTCAGCCAAGAAAAGTCCTGGCTGACTTTTCCATCTGGAGTAACGAGGCCAGTGTCTTTCGGTAAGCCCATGATCGAAGAGAACGAGAGTGTGCCTTTGTCGATAGCTTGGAGGAAGTACGTCGTAATCATGACAACGAGGATCCTCTTGTCGATTAACTTCCGTAGTCTAATGTTCTCTTCGGGTGATATTTTGATCCGAACGGCTGACGAATATTTGGCAACTTCTTTGTCGACTTTGCTATAGTCTGCGTGATCTCCCTTGCCCTCGATATCTTCAGGGACTGACTGTGCCCGCTCGATCTCTGCCATCGAATACCTTTTTGAGGCATCGTCTTGGTGAGATGTCTTGGATTGGACCATATCTGGGTCGGGAACCTCCATGGAGGACATGTTTATTCCGTGCGTTTGGGGTGCTCTTCTCCGTAGGTATGCTGTTGGGGGAAATCTCAAGCAGCTGCAGAGATGTACAGAGCGGAAATGACCACCGAGGAGGATAGAGGAAGAGAGATAAAGCAAAATATGAGTTGGGAAGATGATATCATCTTTTTATTCACATCTCGCTCCATTAACATCCCGACAATATCGAGTACATAATGCATAAGCTTTTCCTGTATTGTCACCGTGACATCGCACGCGAGCTATCCAACACGGGGCCGATGACCGATCATTCTGTGAACTCTCATTTGCCTGCACAGATTTAACCTGGACTGGGAGCCACCTCGTCGAATTAGTACCAATGACGGGGGGGTTAATGCAGGAATACCATTCGGCAAATCATATCTGAATATACGAGTCGCCTATATTCAGAGAGGTGATAGTGCCCCCATTTAATGCTAGGCTCAGGAATGAAATCTGGACAAGACCAGGATGAGTCTGGGGCTCCTTGGGGGCTACCTGGGGCTACCTGGGGATCAGCTGGGGTTGGTTCTCCAAAATCCGGGGGATGGGGATAAAACCCCAGAGACAATAAATCCAGAGTCCTTCCAAACTCCAGACTAGCTCATAAGCAGATGACCCTGCCGCTGAGGATGGAGCTCCAACTTTTTCCGGAGAGAATGAGGCCACGACCGTCGGGGATATTCCCCCTCAGCGAGTTAGCTTCGGTGCTAGCTGAGCCGAAACAAATTGCCGCGTTCGAAAGGATCGGAGTCAGATTTTCCCCCACTGAAGATGAGCTGCGTAGCTGAGTACTCCAAGAAGCATGCCCTCTCGGGTTAGAATGTCACCCGTGTTATTCTTCGTATGTTGTCCTAAGAGCGATGCCGTAGCAGCGGTATGGTTCGTTTCCTATTAGGACCTTAGCTTATTTTAGAAATTGGCACGGAATGATGTAGTGGATATCACGACGAGGTGATTGCCCCGACGACTGGAGACACACTTGAAGCACTACAATACGGTGTGGAGCAAACCGAGATATGCACCACTCTTGACTCCTCACGCAGAGGCTACTTGAATGTCATATATAACCTCATCCTCAAAGAGACGTTAGTCGCTGCCCAGTATTAATTAGAACGAAATTATTTGTTACTTACCTGAGGTACTTACTGCGCGATACTAAACAAAGAACCGAGGAGAAAAGTTAGGTGTGTCCTTGTCTAGGTACTAATTCGAATACGTCCATTAACGTAGCTTGAAACTCCCTGTCCAAATACAAGCTCGAGTTTCGCACGTCTTGAGAGGTACAAAGTTTACCTTGCCCGAGATGCCGGCAGAAATTCACGGGATCAAATCCAGCAACATCCACGCCAAGATTCGTCTTCTCATCGATGGGCTAGTGAACATCAAAGATCAGACAGGAGAATTCTTGCTGACGCTGGAAGACGGTCGCGTAATCGACACGAAAGGATGGAACGACTGGGAATGGACGCACGGTATCGGTCTCAACGGAATCTGGGCCTATTACTCTCTTACAGGGGATGAGAAATATCTCAAGATTATCGAAGACTGGTTTGCCAACAGATTTGCGGCAGGTGGCACTACTAAAAACATCAACACGATGGCCGTGTTTTTGACGCTAGCCTACGTGTATGAAAAGACGGGAAACCAGACCTATCTTCCATGGCTAGATAGTTGGGGAGAATGGGCGTATCATGACCTAGAGAGGACCAAGTATGGAGGCATGCAGCATATCACGTACTTGGAGGTGAACGATCAGCAGCTATGGGATGATACGCTTATGATGACCGTCATGCCCCTGGCCAAGATTGGAAAACTACTTAACAGGCCCCATTATGTCGAGGAAGCGAAACGCCAATTCCTCATTCACATCAAATACTTATTCGACACGAAGTCCGGGCTATTCTTCCACGGCTGGACATTCCACGACGGCGGCCACAATTTCGCGAATGCCCTGTGGGCCAGGGGAAACGCATGGCTCACAATTGTTATCCCGGAATTCTTAGAGTTGCTAGACCTACCTCCCAACGATCCGATTCGAAATCACCTTCTGGATACGCTAAACGCGCAGTGCGAAGCCCTCAAGCCCCTGCAGACGTCGTCGGGTCTGTGGCGCACGCTTCTCGACCAGCCGGAGGAGGAAGGCTCGTACGTAGAATCGAGCGCGACGGCTGGATTTGCCTTTGGAATTCTCAAAGCGCAGAGGAAGAAGTACATAGGGAAGGAATATGAAGCCGTAGCTCTTAAAGCCATACGAGCGGTGCTGGAAAACATTGACGCTGATGGGGAGCTCCTAAACACGTCTTTCGGCACCGGCATGGGTCACACGCTACAGCATTACAAGGACATCCCGATTACGAGCATGCCGTACGGACAAGCGATGGCTATCATGGCCCTAGTTGAGTTTCTAAGAGTATTTATCTAAATGATGGATTCTGTAAGGTTTACCAAATGCGTAATAAGTGGCCGACCACCCTCGTTTGCTTTTCTCGATCCTTCAGCGGTGATTTAACTGCTCTGGTTAAAGAGGACCTTTTTCACAAATTCGACCTCTTTGGTTGTTCCGCAGATAAGACCCGCAGTGTCATTCAAGTCCTCCAGGGGCCTTTCTAATATATTTGTTCCATCCGCTGGGTCGATTGCAGTCCCGCCGGCACACTCGACTACTAGTGCGAGAGGGAATAATTCGTATAGACGCCGCAATTTGGCCTTGCTAGAGGAAGTTACGGGTGATATATATATCCCATGACCCTTGACTAATGCGTGAAAGATGTCCGGGACGAGCCCGCCGCTATATCGTAGGGTATATTTACTCTGGACATAGTGTGTAATTATACTCATGTACTTCTCGTCATCCGCCGCCGCGCGGAGATTTGCGGGGGCGAAGTAACGGGCTTTAGACGACGACTCTGATAATCGCACGGCGGACTGAATGATCTCAGCGTCGCGAAACCCGTCTTCGCCAATTCCAAGTTCGAGACATACTGGCTCAGAGCCCGGAACGCGTAGCGCAACAATGGCTGCGGTACGCGGTCCGTAGACACCAAGCACGGCGGCTACCAGTTTGCTTGCTGGTAACTGACCTAGTGCCGTCTTCCCTTGCCAAACACCAATAATCGTGCCGACGGTCCAATTTGGTGCTATTATAGAACTCCCGTCTAAAGGATCGAATCCTACTGTATATTGCTCCTCGGGAATATTACCGGCAGAAGATTCCTGGGTTTGGACATTTCGTTCAACCGGGTCCTCCTCACTGCTAGCAACCGCGATAAAAGGACAGCGAGAAATGGCGCTCCGGATGCTGTTCTCAGCCAATACGTCCACATTCAGTTGATCGTCCCCAAAGGCGTTTGCACTGCCCGCCCGCGAGACATGGTGCGACGCCCTGAGCGATTTAGCAATGTCCGAAACACAGTTGATTAAAGTCGGCAGTACGGAGTCGATTAATCCATTGTACGCCTGAGAGGAGACAGCAGAACGTAGCTGGTGCGTTAAGTCGGAGCCCGTCATATCTTTTCACCTCTCGATCTGGAGAGCAATTGTTGAAATCTCTCTCTAAAAGGCGACATCCTGGGGACATTTTAAGGCCTCGACGTAAAGGTTACCTAAGGTAATATGTAATTAACGGGTCCCTAGCTTTAAACCAGGTGATTCCTGAATGTGTTATCTTGAGTTCAGACGCCATTGTAAGCTGATGTGGGGTTAAACTGGAGTTGAAGCTGACGTTGGACAAGTTGAACAAGTTGAACAAGTAGATAGATCGTGTTTACCTACCTTACCTAAGGTAAAGTTTAGTACTTCGTATTCCTTTACATACTGACATATCACAGGCCAATTCGGGCGAAGTATTAGCTCTGCCTTTGCTACTCCAGTCGTCTCGCACGCGCCAATAATTAGTGTGTCGAGCGACGAGAGAACATACAGATAATGGTCATCTTCGATGGAAGTCTATGCTAATAGCCTAGCTCCGATCAAAAAGGGACCTAATTATGTACCCTAGGTAGATATCAACCCATGATATTCATAATGCGGAGGATTGAAACTATTCACGATACCAAGAAGTTGGTTCCGTGATCCGATATCCGAATTCCGACGCAACGAATACATCCGAGCCCCTTTCTCTAGCTTGCCTTTTAAATACGTGATTACTTCGTAGGCAATTCCTGCTAGAGTATGTTGCACGTAAAATTCTCTATAAGCTCGTCCCTTTGCCTCTGTTTAAACTTATTCAAGTCCAAACCTCAACTGTGCTTCATAATGCCGGGTCGTACTCAACCTCTGCCAGATTGCGGCGGCATGACTCCACGTCATCATGAACTGCTTCGTAACTATTCGATCTCAAGAAATGGCTTCCTTCCGGAGAAAGAACCCTTGAACCGTCTACCAGAACCTTACTATACCCCCTGGGAATCTATATTGGATAATCTTCCGTCAATGCTAAGAGACAAGTCGATCCGGAAATCTGTAGATTCCATAGGGGTTCTTTCGACGGGTAGACTCGCCAAAGAGGAAGAATGGCGGCGGGCTTACGTAGTGCTATCATTCTTAGCTCATGCGTACATCTGGGGTGGTGAAAAGGCATCAGAGGTGTGACAGATCTTGGTATATCTATTGCATATATGGCTAACAAGCGTTTAGGTGCTCCCCCCAGCGATATCTGTACCGTTTCTTCAAGTTTCGGAGCATCTCCATCTTCCACCGGTTGCGACGTACGCGGCTCTTAATTTATGGAACTTTACCTGCGATGGACCCGACTTTCGAGATCTCGACAAACTGGGGGCGATGCACACATTTAGTGGCACGGAAGACGAGGCATGGTTCTATTCGGTATCGGTAGCGATGGAAGCGGAAGGCGCCTACATAATTCCGGTTATGCTCCAAGCACTCGAAGCGACTCAAATCCGGGATTATTCGGCGATAACCAGAGCGCTAGATCAACTAATAATCTGCATCGGGAATCTCGGCAGACTTCTCGATCGAATGGATGAGAGATGCGACCCGATGGTTTTTTACCACCAGATTCGTCCGTATCTAGCGGGAAGTAAGAATATGGCGGCTTCGGGACTTCCCAATGGCGTCTTATACGAAAACGAACAGGGATTACTCTGTTGGAAACAGCTGAGAGGTGGGAGCAACGGGCAAAGCTCGCTTATTCAATTTCTTGACATTGTCCTCGGAGTGGAACACACGTCGCCTGGGGGTAGCACGGGTGAAGCCGTAACAAGTTTCCACGAAGAGGTCCGCTCCTATATGCCGGCGCCGCACAGAGCATTTTTAGAGCACGTCTCACGAATGGGTAGTATAAAAGAGCTCGCTCGCGAGCAGTGTGATTCGGAGAAACAAAGACAGATGCAGCGATCATTTCGAGCTGCCACCAAAGCGCTCGGTGACTTTCGCAATAGGCATATGCAAATCGTAACACGATATATCATCGTACCGTCGAGGAAACAGTTCCAAGGTTCGGTGGTGAATCTAGCCACCGCATCATCAAGGTCTAAAGAGGGCACAAAAGCGCAGTTGACTGGGACTGGGGGAACAGCGTTGATACCATTTTTAAAACAGACGCGTGATGAGACATACCTAGCGGGGGATACGATAGGAAGGCCATAGATGCCTAACCTATAGATAGAATTAGATATATAGATGTGTACCGTAAGTAAGGCGTTGTTTGTGTTTACATGCAATTGTCAAATGTTAGATTACCTAGGTTGGTCAATTATGTGGTCCTGTTGAGGAGTACTTACCTTAGGTTAGGAGGCTGGGAGGTACCTAACTCTTCCAGCTTCCGAAGTTCCGGCATCCGCGTTCCGGTACCTCCTATTTCCAAAGCTGGAAAGTTCAAGTTCTTAGGTACATCTTTAGGTACTACGGATCCGTAATGTTATGTAATTGGCATAAGGAAGTACCCAACCTTTAGCATTACCTGCCCAAGGTGTAATAAACTTTATGAGGGCCAAATATTATCGTGATCGTCAATTATTGTAAATACCTCATCTCGTGGTCAATGTCTTCTCCAATGGTTCGTACGCGGATTGCTAACGCTTGCGATACGTGTAAACAACGCAAAGGTAAAGCCGGTATTCGCCTGTCGCCTATTCAATTAAAGGGATGGGATGCTATGTTTCCCGTAAAATGCAACTCTGATTAACTTTTTTGAGCAGTCAAATGCGACGGAAACTTACCATGTAGTTATTGTAAGCGTCGGCGAGGGGATTTGACTTGTCGGTTTTCTCCCCCGACTCGTCGCCAATCTAGAAATCCCAGGACACGGGATTTGCCTTCTCCGGCGTCTCCTGCGGTAGTCCAATCACCCGTTCCGTCCGTGAGGCCGGATGCATCTACCGATATTCCCGTTTCTTCAACCGAGCCCTCTTGCGGTTACACGCACGCTCAAGGCCGCACCTCGGATGACGTCGCCCTCCGTAGCGATGCCTCCGCCGAAGAAGAAGCAGACGTACCCCGCGAAGCCCGATTATTGTGTGATGCTCACGGAAAGCTAAGTACGTGCATAAGCTTTTCCGAATAACCCCTTAGAGGGAGACTCGCAAATGATTCAAATAGCTAATCAAGGGCAGCCTTCGTCGGGGATTGCGCTCCGCTCTCTCTTTTCCAGACTGTACGCCAGATAGTGACATCTCGAGTCGATCCGAACGCCTTTACTGCGCAGACAGGACAAGCAGATCGGGTTTCTATGCTGGAAAACTCTTCCTCTCATCCGCCACTCTCGGCTATCGGCAAGGAACCCCGTGTCGACTCTAATAGAGTACCACGGCTAGTTCACTTATTTACATCAGCGGTATGTAACCTCCTTGGTCATGTACCCTACCTACATATTAAATACCTGGTACGTGTGCGATGCATATCACTGTCTAACCTCTGTCGCAGACCTCGGGACTAGTTAGTCTCTTTGAGAATGAGCATCTGACGAACAATATATCGGCATGGATTAACGACATAGGAGGATCCGCCAATGCCATATCCGCAGTCAATTACTTAGTCCTGGCTATCGGTTCGCAGTCCGTCGACGAAGAATCCGCCGCCGAGCTTTTTCAACATGCGAAGACCTTGGCCCTATCATCCCTCGGTGGCGATTTGGGGATTGAGACGGTCCAGGCTTTCGCCCTCATCACCATATATATGCTTCGAGCATGCCAGATTAACGGAGCTTATCTTTTCTTTGGTGCGTTGAATATGGAAAGGGTTAATTCTAGTCGCTCATGTTTAAAGGCATCGCCGCCCGGGCGGCCTACTCGATTGGCCTTCATAGAACGGAAGTGAATACTCGGTTCGGATCTAATATGCATTCTCAGAGGTATGAACCCCTGCAACAATTCATTGCTACCGTTTTTCTAACGACAGTAGGGATCGCCTTTGGAAGAGCTTGAGAGTTCTAGACTTATTTCTCAGCATATCTATGGGTAGACCACCATCTATGTCGGATATAGACTGCACCGTACCGTGTCGTACATTTAATGTTAACGGTCAAGAGCAGTACGAACTTTTGGATGCTTCGGTTCAGATTCTCTCCATCACCGAAGAAATCGTTCTCCGAGTATACTCTAGAAGAAAGATTTCTTTACAGCTCACGGAGGGAATATCCCGCCAACTTCGAGATTGGTCAGGTAGATGGCTTTCTCGCTTAAAACAAACCGTTGCCGAACCGTCGCGGGAGGATGGAGCAGAGACCATCGGTGCGTGTCAAGTCATGTCTTCTTATTATTATGCCGTTATGCTAGTGACCAGACCCTTCCTGATGTACGAGTTGTATAAGCGTCTACCAGATCCAGATATTCCCACTGCGGCCAATGGCGGTGGTGACAGCTCGGGGAGGGTAAAGCTAGCAAATGCATGCATTGATGCTGCAAGTTTGATGGCCGAATCAGTAGCGGGTTTGGTAAATAAGCAGATCCTAGACGAGCGCATGCCGTTGATAGTGTAAGATAACCAATTTCCGAATTCTCTTGCGTGTGCTAATCTGCTGGAAGGTCGTGGCTATTCGCCTCGTCTTTAGTGCTTGGTGTTGGTCTCCTCGGGGGCTTTGGGCGAATACTCGAAAAATACGCTTGGATGTCTATCACCGGACTGGAATACTTTGCGAGGGGCGACGCGCATGCTTTGCAATACTCGCTTATTGCCAAGTCCTTATTGTCTAGCGCTCTAAAACACCTTCAAAAGCAGGACGTCGACGAACGTCTTCGAATCACGGAGAGCTCGTCCAAGCTATTCGGACTAGTGCCAAAAGAACGGCAACCCCATGAGGCCCCTCCACCCACCCATGATACCCAGCCAAGGATGCTCCCATCGGACCCGGGGACGACCGATATGCCTCAGAGTCTACCAACGCACGATCTATTCCCTTCGCCATTTCACGACATAGATCCGGCCCTTCTATCGTTAGGTTATTCGTTTGATTCCACAGCAGGTGCCTTTCTAGGTAGAGACCAGCAGGATCGTATTGATCATGTTTTTGGTGCCCTAAACCTATTCCCCTTATTGGACGGCAATGGTCATATAGATCTCGTCCATAATTTTTAAACAAACGTTAGGTAAGCAACCTGGTAGATATATCACTTATGGTGTTATTTTGAAGTCTCTATTGCTTTGTCCAAGATAAAAAAAGTGAGGTCGGTGATATTTACATACAGGCTACGTAGGTCTTATGTGGGAGTGATTGCTCTGCGTTCGTTGACGTCATCGGATCCGAGATCCAATAACAAGATATAACTACAACAAATCTACCTAACGGTATAAGTTTACTACCATTTCTTTTCTGGTTACCTCTCTTCACCTTTTAGCAAGTCACCTTGGGACGAAATACCTAAACGTAAATTTGTTGCCGCCCGAAACTAATTTTCTCGCAAGATGCCAATAGACTACCAGGGCTCGAAAATCCCAACATGTTATGCTACCTGCAGCATCGGACATAAGGAGTCTCATACGCTTCCCTTGAAGCTTAAGGCCATAGCAGACGCTGGTTTTGACGCCATCGAACTATCTATGCCAGATATTTTGGCATATGGTAAGATGCTCCATAGTCGAGAACCAGACCCCAAAGACTATGACGCACTTGTGGAGGTTGGAAAGGCGATCAAAACACAAGCGGAAGAGCACAGGCTGAAGGTTTTGATGCTGCAACCTTTTGCCAACTTCGAAGGGTGGCCGAAAGGCAGCAGCGAGAGGAAGGACGCGTTTGAGCGTGCCGAAGGGTGGATACGTATCATGGAAGCTGTTGGCACGGACATGTTGCAAGTAGGGTCATCTGACGCAACCGGGATATCATCCTCGATCGACGACTTAGCTGGCGACTTGGCCGAACTAGCAGATATGTGCGCCGCCAAAGGGTTCCGCATCGCGTATGAAAACTGGTGTTGGGCTACGCACGCTCCGAATTGGAAAGACGTGTGGCGCATCGTTGAGAAGGCCGATCGGTCAAATCTCGGTCTCTGTCTGGATACCTTCCAAAGCGGCGGCGGCGAGTGGGCGGATCCGACCACGAAGTCTGGATTAATCGAGGGTATCTCGCGGGAGGATCTCGAAGCGAGGTGGAAGCAGAGCCTGGCCGAACTCAGCAAAACAATCCCGCCTGGGAAAATCTACCTCCTACAGATCTCGGATGCGTATAAGATGGACCCCCCTATTGAAGCCGAGCAAAACAAAGAAGGGTTACGACCAAGGGGTCAGTGGAGTCATGATTACCGGCCTCTCCCTTACGACGGGGGCTATCTTCCCGTTGAAGACTTTCTAGGGGCTGTGCTTCAGACTGGGTTCAGAGGCTGGTTGTCGATTGAAGTATTTGACGGGAAAGGACCTAACAAGTACTCCGACATGCTCGAATGCAGCCAAAAGGCTATGTCTTCACTTTCCAAGATGCTGGGTCAATAAGGTTTGATGTCGAAGGAGTAAGACTGCTATGAATAAACACGATCAAACAAGCTGTTAGATTGGAACTGTTAGCTTTGCATACCTGTTACCTCCATTGTTTGGGGAGGTAGATAAGTACCTTGCGCAGACCAGTGATGCCTAACCGGAACTCACCTAATAAACAACGATTTACCTAGGAGATGCCTTTCCTAATTCCAAGCACATATAATACAATTGCAATCAAATATTTCACAGTTGAAGGATTTCTTATCTTATTTGATGACTGTTAAAGGGAACCTTTTCAAATATCACCGCGCCGCGCCGCCCTTCACCCTTTCGCCTAAGTCGGTAGTTGAGATATATGCTTCTTGGGCCTTGGGTGGTCAAATTGCCGAGGCTTTTTTTTTTTTTTTTTTTTTTTTTCAGAATTCGGACGACGGCGACAGGGAGCTTGTCCTCCTAGCTAAGACTATCTCATATCAGACGGCGGGGAATATCAACAAAGAGCGAACCGCCGGGACATGGAAGTCCATCGGGGTTAGCGCAGCTGAAGCTCTGCTCTCAGATGGTATTTTTTCACCCATCATTAACACCAACAGGACAAGCAGAACTGAATTGAATAAGTGGTTGGGGCCGCAATATTATCTTTACTAGTTGCCTACAACGGACTAGGTACATATTTTTGAAAAAAAAAATAAAAAATTGTATGAAGCATCCATCAGCTTTGTGCGATCGACTTTGGCTTGAGGCAATTACGTGTTGAACCCCAAGACATATCAGCGAGCAGGTAACTGTCAAAAATACGAAGTCGATCTCGTCGGCGTGGTACAGCCGTACCAATTTTGCGGCTGTTTGTTGCGTTTGAGGTGTTTGCCGGGGTTCACAGGGGTCGTAAATTGAGCCATGTAAGGTACACCAGGTACATCACATCCGTCTGAGTGATCGACGCCAGGAATTCTCACCGCCAAAGAATCTAACAAAAGGTAACTAACTACCTGGTAGGTACTTCTACTTTGTATGGTATGCACTTGATTTAGTTATATGTGTACCTAAGGTAAAAAGCTAGCCTCTGTTGCCGTGTTTACATGCTGGCATATCATCCAAATTTCGTCTCCGACGTTTATATTTTCACCTGCTTGTTTACATCTAGAGAAGTCATCTAGCGTCGGTGTGGTTGTTCCACAGCTTATCGTAAAAAAGGTATTAGGCTTGGGCTATTGAGCTGTTCAACGATGACGCTAGGGAATTCCTAAAAGGCGTGCTAGCTAGGATTCGCACAGCGGTAAGATCGTAACATGCCTTCCATGATAGCCGTGCTTCATAGCAATACCTCGTCCGTTTATGTCGCCGATAGCTCTAATAAGTCAGGAATGGCATGTTATTATTCAGAGGAAAAGTCAGCTTTATATAAGCTTGGTATGAGGTTATCACTACGATGTGGTATTTACTTGCGGCAAATAGATTGCAACTCTTATATTAGGTACTCAGGTACGAGGTAGTAATAGTAAACAATGCGGCCTAAGTTACGGATCGCTTCATGCCGTGCCACCATCCCCCCCGGCCTCGATCTTGCCCCATTGGCCAGAGTGAGAGGCGCGTCACCTACCTAAAACGGAAATCCATAAGTGAATGGAGACTCATGCGCGGCGCGGGGGAAATTACGTATAAGTTGGTACCTGTCTGCGCGTCCGAGTCTTTGTTACGTTTGTTTACTGTCTTATCTTCGTACGCCTCTCAAGCGGATGAGATAGTAGGCAGTAGAGAATCATCAGTTCGTAATCGACAGCCATGAAGTCCTCCGCTGTCTGCGCCTTGGCCTCTGCTTCTCTGGCAAGCTGTTCTAGGATAGGTTACAGAGACACGAACACAACCACTTCGGCAGCGCCAACGGCCACGGCGAGTCCTACCGAACCGTGCGCCATTGTAAGCGCCTCATGGGCCGCACAGATTAGCGCCACTCCGACACCCACCGTGGAGGCGTCAATCGCGTACGAATGTCTCAATTCCGTCCCAATTAACAAGGAGGCCGCTCTCAAGTTCATCAACGAGCTAGAGCCGTATGTCGAGTGGCAGTCTGACACCGCCTTCAAGAAAAATCCGCCAGCCGATTATTCTTATCCTCCCACAGATCTTTGGGCGACGATAGCCGACGTCAAGGCTGGTATAGCCGCGGACAAGTACCCCAATGAATATTCGTGGCAGTCAGACTTGTACAATAGGCTTTTCGGATCCGCGCACGACGGCCACTTTGTTGTTTACCCGGATGCCCTATCTAGCGCCGTCGAGTGGCAGCGGCCATTCGCTCTGGTGTCGATCAGCGAAGAGGGCCCAGATGGTTCTGCACCGGTAATCAAGGTGTACGACGATGTCGTGTCCGGCGTAAAGCCGGCGTCGGCAGTGAAGCTCATCAACGGAGTTGACGCCGCCACCTACGTCGAGGATTGGATCAATCTGGCTTCTGGTAACCAGGATGCCGACGCCGCATACAATTCTATGTTCTTCGAGAAAGCCTTCGTCGCCGAGAATAAGAACCGAGGCTATTTCCAGACGGGCGGTCGCGTAAGGTATGATTTTGAGAAAATGACTCGGCTGTACTTTCGAAATCGAGCTGACAACTGTCTAGATACATCTATCCCGGCAACATTACCTCGTTCACCTTCGAAAATGGAACGGTACTCGACCTACCAAACGTAGCCAGGCTGAAGAATACCTGGGCAGGTGTTGTTGACGGTCCATCCTTCTTCAAGACTTTCTGTTCAGGTGCAGATATTCAAGCCCTGGCCACTTCGACGACATCTGCCACTGCTTCATCTACGACGGCGACACCCGCGGCTACGAGCGCAGTCCCCATCGTAGGATACCCCGACCCTGTCATCATTTCCGGTGATTCTTCTATCTCCGGTTACTTCATTGACCAGCCCGGCTTTGAAGATGTGGCGGTTCTAGTCATGCTCTCTTTTGCGCCCGAAGACGCGGTTGAGTTTCAGCGCGTCGCTCAGGATTTCTATGCGGCTGCTGTGAAAGCCGGTAAGAAGAAGCTTGTCGTTGACGTACAGGCAAACGGCGGTGGATACATTTTCCTCGGCTACGATGGTTTCCGTCAACTATTCCCGGATATCGTCCAGGAAGGCCTAGGACGTTGGCGGCAGCACCCTGGGTTTGAGGCTCTGGCTAAGGTGTTTTCTGACATCTCTGCCGGCTTCGACCCTAATACTGCCCCTTCCGACATCATCAACGCATATGAGTCCGTCTTTAATTGGCGATATGACCTCAACATCACCGACGGAAACTTTACGTCTTACGAAGACAAGTTTGCACTACAGGAATTTGGCGGTGACACTTACACGAACCTGATGCAGTGGAACTTCAATGACCCCCTAAGCACGGTGAACGATACCTACGGATTCGGTACCGATATCACAGGCTATGGTAGCCGGCGGAACTTTACGCGCCCCTTCGGTGGACCCGAGAATGTTGTACTTCTTCTCGATGGGTATTGCGCATCAACATGCACCTTATTCGCCGAGTTTCTCAAGGCCAATGCGGGCGTGAAGAGCATAGCCATGGGCGGACGGCCGACCAAGACAGGCCTGATTCAGGGCGTTGGTGGAGTAAAGGGATCGCAGAGCTACGGCTTCGCAGACGTTTATTCGCAGGCTGTAACGGCCCGAAGATACACGAATGATTCCGCTATTCTCGAGACGCTAGACAAGTATACGACGTACGTCAGCGAACGCAGCACGGCGGCTAGTCTGAACGTGAAAGACCAGATCCTCCGTGGTAATGTCGAGGACGGCATACCCGCACAATTCGTCGTCGAGGAATCAGACTGCCGGCTCTGGTGGACAGCCCCCATGGTCACCGACATTACTGAGCAATGGAAAGCGGCCGCGACGGCGGCTTTCAAGGGTGGAAAGTGTGCGTACGGCGCTATCAACCCGTCGACAAACGGCACGACAACTAAGAGAGCAACAACATCTATTCAAGCTCTTCCGTCCTTTGGCAAGCCGAGATTCACCGTCCCGACCAAGGTAGGGACCAAGGTCCCGCCTAAGAAGCGGGACGTTGGGCAGAAGAGCTCCGTCTTCATGGCCAATCAATTCATGAAAGTTGTGGACTAGAGAAGAAAATTCTATCCCGGCTATTACGATGTAATATCACACCCGTCATTATTACTGCTTGACCCCACACCACGTCGAGGCGATGTAGACTAGTGAACGCTGACTAGGGTCGATAACGGCTTAGGGTATATAGGTACCTTTGGTAGAATGCTTTACTTACCATTACCTTGCACATAATATAACTTACCTTGATGTAGTAAAATACGAAAGCGTCCTTAGGCGGGTATGAAATGGTGTGACATATCTACTAGTGCCCGATCTCAGGTTGGCATTGGAACTTAGATACCTACCTAACCCTAGGTGGACCAGGGGAGAGTGCCTATTTAAAGATAGACGGATTTGCGGTATGTTGTGCTTATTAGATGTCACCTTAGTCTCTTTGCACCGCAACTTGTCGGCTCTATGGAAGTCTATAGACACAGTTTCCATGGCGTGATTCGATTTTCTCGTGCTGCAGGAGGAAAGACTTGTTCGTTAAAGCCAACCAATAACTTGGCGTCACTCGCGCCGCTGTGACAGAAGGAGGACGATACAGACATGGGGAAGTGATGAATATTGCTCACCACCACCAACACCTTTTGCTCTGATGACCCCAACATCATGCCAGGATCTGCTGGCATCCTAATATTCCAAGGAAATACTTGCGTCTCAACGCAAGAAAGTGGGGGTTATTCGAGTATACTCACGGATCTAATTACGATTTATGGCTGACGGTGCCGGCGCTCTTTTTAGCCCATCCTCTTAGCTCGAGCCGTCGTTGATCCTTCTTCCCCGATGTCCAGTCGCGAGTCTCGAAAGTAAGATATCTATTTCTCTTTTCGGTCTTGCCTGCATCGATGTGCCGCATCAAGGCCACGATCTTGACGTGCTAGGGTCGCGGACATGATGCTTACGGGTGCGCGTTACGGTTACACAGCTCTTCCCTTCCCGCAGCTAGTCGTAGATCCTTAGGGCTTTCAAGGGTGAAGAGCGAGAGTCTACGTAAAGGTTGGCTGCATGCCTAACCTAATAACACCATTACATGCAGGAAAGTATGTTAGACAGACTAACAGGTGGCTGCTTAACGGCCGCTTGTGAACCAGACCTCGTCTAGTAAAGCGAATGCCCTTCAAAACCGCACACATATATTCGCACTAGATAAATCCGCTTTGTTGTACATTACCTTAGGAGGTAGGTAGCTACCTAACCTACATCTCATCAGTTCAGCATCCCACCCTCCATTACGGCTAAAATCAGCCCTACATCTACAAGCGTCAACATTCACACTCGGCAATATACAGAAACGCTCAGACGTCAGTATCATCCACGTGGCCATGTGGTCACCTGGAGCACATGGGCGTTCTATACAACAATATCATGGTTTATACGTACTGCCTCATAACACGAATTCTTATTTCAAGGTCTAATAAGACTTCATTGGGGTTTAAAGACGACCCTAGATATGGTATCCAAATGGGTTTATCTTGAACTAACCTAAATATGTAAATATGGAATCATTACCATTTCCTTCTGGAACAAAACCCTATCAGGGGTCATCTACGTACAGCGACTTACGTATCTACCTAACTAAACTAAGCTACGTGCTTTAAAAGATTAGGCCATTTTTAATGCTAGGGCTAGTACATACATTAGGCCAGTCCATATCAAAAGAAATGCTAGTCACCGTTATCCACCGATGGACATCATAACGTCGTATTAGGGGGTAGTTTGGCCATGGTAAGCCACCAAGCCTACAACGCTTACTGGTGGACGTCCCTGCAGGGACAAGGGCACAGAACCACTGCATGCGCGCTTCGAGAAAAAAAAAAAGTAGTCTAGAAGACAACAAGTCACACTGTCGTTACAATGCAGTTACAATCCTCCCCTACGATCACGTCTAACTAGACGGGTTATTAGACGTCCGACGCCATATAATTCCTCGTGCCACCTAGTAGTTAGTAGTAGCGTAAGGAAATAATCTTCCCAACGACATCATAGTCCACGCGGGCACCTAGGGGGCCGAACTGTCAGTATCGCAGGATGCGCTTCGACCCGGCATGGCCCGCTCTTGAGCCAGTAGGAATCGGACCGTTCTAGCCTATCCACATACCGTTCTTCCCCAGAGTGGGCTCTTTCTGCAAAGCACGCACTGCAAATGCAACTTGGACTGCAGCATTCGTTGCACCTCTCAAGATTATCCTGTCACAGGTAGGATCCATCAGCTGCCTTCATGTACGTTCCGGGATTCCCCCTTGGTAGGAAAAAAAGCCTGTTCAGGTTCAGGCTCAGGTTCTATTTACGTTGTCTCCGTTACCCGGTGCAACGACTTGCGGCTTTTGATATAACCCTAATCGAATGAGATGCGGGTTACAGAGATCTGACCACCTGAGTTTTAAGCCTTAACCGACGTGGATCGGCTCGCAAGACACATTCGGGGTGCAAAGGCAGGACTAGCCGAGGACCGGCGACGGATGTGTTGGCTCGACGTGCCGATAGATGTAATTATGCCGCCGCTCACTGGACGTTCATTTTAACGTATAATTCAATACAGATGCTGACGAGCAGTGCCTCTAAACGGTAGACCAGCTGTGCTGGAACCCCAACGCAGAACTGTGGTAGAAGCGGTGGATCCTCCGGCATTTGTACCGCCTAAGACGATATCCCGAGGAAAAGAAGGCGACGCGCGTGATGAGATATCAAGGCGGTATGGTCGCTTTCGAAAATCATAGAAGGTAGGTACAATTCAACCGCGACAAGTGAGGAAACGAGTGTTAGCCGAGAATTAAGTTGATACAAGTCCTGAATATGAGTCGCTCGTCGAGAAAGGAGGAGGCGGCGGAGACCAGCCAACACGAAGTAAGCCTTTTGAGAGAAGTTCCAAAAGTTTTCAAGCCAATTTTAGTAACCTCAAAAACAACCTTCAGGGCGGACGCTCTGCAGAGGACAACAGCGACTCTAGCTCAGATGCGGATTCTATAGATCCCAGGCTGAAAGACATGCCATATATCGAAGCTTTTGGTCGTCGCTACCATATCTCAGGCAAGATATTTCTACCTTTCGACAAGAACGAGCGCGAGAGGATGGAAATCCAACACAAGCTATACAGACATTGCTTAGACGGTGCCTTGACTTCCACTCGGTTACCTCTGCAAACAAGCCAAATACTAGATCTAGGTACCGGTACCGGCGTATGGGCCATAGAAATGGCAGCCCGTTACCCCCAAGCCCAAATCACGGGAGTAGACGTATACCCGATACAGAGAAGGGCAAGGATACCGCCGAATGTCAAGTTCGAGATCGACGACGTAGAAAATACGTGGAAATACCCGGACAACACGTTCGACTTCATCCATGCGCGTAGCCTGGCCGGCGGTGTGCGAGACTGGCCAGCGCTATTTCGCCAGGTATACAATAAGCTCAAGCCAGGCGGGCTCTTCGAGATGACGGAGATTGCCCTTAATATCTTCGATTTTGACGGCAAGTTCGCAGAGGCGGAAATGTGCCCGGAGTTTCTACAGATATGTCGGGACCTGTATAAAAAGGTCGACATGGATTTTAACCCGTCACCACACGTTCCCGACTGGCTGGTCGAGATCGATTTTGAGAAGGTAGTCCAGAGGAGTGAGATACTTCCACTCGGTAACTGGGCCCAAGACGAGAAAATGAAGCTACGCCAGAGATTGGTGAACAGCATAACGAATGAAGACTATTGTACGTTTTCTTTACTCCTTTTATTTTTTAATTTTCTTATTATTACTACTAACATCCTTACCTATAGGCACATTGGACAATCACTGTGGCCTGCTATTTGAGAAGGGAGGTTGGACAAAAGCTCAATATGATGCTCTAATGCCAGCGTTTTGGAAAGAAATATTCTCTGAAAATATTCGACCCTACATAAGAGCGTAAGTCATTCCTACCGTAATTTTTTGACCAACTAGCACTGACCATATGCTAGTGTATTTACTACTGCGAGGAAGCCTCGTGAAGAGCGTGTATCTTGATACTGTTTTACGAGAAGTCATAGCTACTTCTCACGCTACGGCTTACGATGACAATCATAATTAGAAGTATTCTTCAAAATGCAAAGGAAGTAACGCAATAGAAGGGGCATTTATTTTCTTGCTTTTATTCCCCTTAACTCTCAAGTCACTCTGTAATTATTCTTACTTGCTACTACTAGAAAGGCTAGGCTTATTATCTTAGGAGTTTGGTAACTAGAACACCGTTGCTCCATGTCAGTAATCGAGCAGGAAACTATCGTATTTCACCTGTCATATTTGTCGTCCCCGCTTAGTAAGTTTGTCACCAGACGAAAGATGTGCAAAAAGTGCTAGATCAGAATAAGCCGGGACATATCAAGGTCACAGCGGAGCAAGGACGGCTCAAGCCACCTCGATACTATCCACGTTTAGGGGGAGGGGGGGTGTATTAGCCACGCTGTATACGCAATAAGAACACCTGCCTATTCAATACTCGGCTCACATCTCACCGTAGGATTCGCATCATGTACATACATACTACACATACATATGTACCTCACACATAAATGCCTACCTGGGTAGCATACATACATACCTGCGCAGATCTGCACACAATAGTCAACAGCATTGTGGATTCAAGGGATTTCAAACCCCGACTCGTTCGTACGAGCAAATAAAAAAGAAACGAACCCGCATGCCAGCCCACCGATTAGCCTGGTTTGTCCTGCATCTCGCCAGTTCCCCGTGAATTATCCGGTGACAACCTACCAGTTTCGTTTATCATACACGCCACGATGCCTTGCTTCGTATATAGAGAAGGTACAGGCGACCAACAAGCAAACCCAGCAGTTCTCCTTTGCCATTTATTTCCACAGCTTTCGGTCGCTCTCCCTACCTAGGTAGGTATACGTAGTGTGTCAGACTGGTCCGTATCGGCGACTAGTGATCACGGGGAGGGTTCGCACAAAGGCACGTGGCAAGATGTGTGCACATCTAGAAGAATGTTAGAAACTTACCAAGACGTGCTACGGCATTGCAGCGCGGCAATTGTCGAATAGATAGACGACCTTCTGAAGTGTTTGAATGTTCTTCGGGCTTCTCGGCCATGGCATCAGAGGTGTGTACCGTGTCCACTCAGCGGACGAATGAATGGGCGACACAACGTGGGAGACAAGCAGACGCCCTATTACTCCTTAGAGAACCCGGCTTGCGAGAGGCTGGATGCACCGCCAATCGGCTTACTTGGCTAATACTTCATAATATTTACTAGATCATCAACGCACGTCATACAAATTCCCGTAAGTTTCGCAATGAACATCTCATATGCCTATAACGGACAAGGAGAAACGCCTTGTAGTTAACACCACAGCTGAGGGTTTCTCTTCAGGAAGTGAAGAATGTGAAAGCACCTAAGCTAGCATGCAGCCACGTCATATGCGTACCATAGTTGGTGAAAGGTTGGAAGCCTCTTTCGGTACATACGAGTCGCTAAAGGTGGCGGATATCGATCTTTTCTTCCCGTGAAAGCCGCCTATGTGTGTTATTTGGCTTGGGTACCTCCTATTACAATCTTTGACATAATAACTCGAGGTCTTTTCGGAGGATAAAACTAGAAAATATGGATCTCTTAGGGCATGTGTATCCAACGTTACTATCGCCATCAAGGAAAATTCTAGATGTAGGTTAGGTATGTACCTAAGGTTAGGTCGGCAGTAAAAGGTTGACTGCAAGGGGTGCAGAAAAGCCTTATCAATGCGCCGCGTTACTTAACCTCTCTAAATAAGCGCATAAGAACCAACATATTTACACGGAGCTAGTTCCGCCGGATATGTTGAGGGAGTGTTGCTTAACGCCAGTCTGGGGTATTATTCATCTTTCGGGTGTATCTCTAATTTTGACCCCTTTTCTAATGGTAACACGATGGGAAACATAGCCGAAACTAGAGGGGAGCGAAACAACAAACTAACATAAACCAAAGGTAAAAAAAAAAAACATACAACACCAGGGATTCGCTGGTCGTCACCGACCCAACTACTAGTCCGGCAATATCCAGTTTGTCTAGGGGAGAGCGGACGGGATCCCGAATTTTCTAGATTTTATGGTCGTATGTGAGGGTCGAACGTCTTATCACACTTCATATGCAAAGGTCAGCGGTCCATGCTTGCCCATATCCAACGGAAGAAAGGATGGTCATTTTCGTTGAAACGCAAGCTTTACTTACCTACCTACCTAGGTACCTAATTTATAATAGGTATTTTTATGACAGAAAGCAAATAACTGTTGCCTATCAGAGTCTTGGAGTAAAAGGCGTATTGCAAACGATAAGCACGCCGGGAAGGTGAAGTGCGAAAAGTTTTCAGATGTACGATGCTTGCTTCATTGGATACGTGGCCGAGGTTTTAACCATATACAACTACGTGCATAAATTCCCGGCTTCCAACACCGACTCTCCGTGTAACAATCTCGAGCTCGTGCGCTGGTGATCATAGCCCTATATCCGCGGCGATTAATGCCTGCCCTCTGCACCTGAGGTAAATGTGGGAGTCTCCAACTAAGACTATGAGCTGGGGGTAATTTCATCCTGGTTAATCTTTAGCGAAAAATCCACGTGTGGCGTGCCTTGGTGGATGGCGCTCGTGGAAATGATATCGACACCTAATATACCGTTGTCAGCAATAAGGGAGAGAGGGAGGGGGAGGTGAACGAGAGAGCTAACCTTGATGAGCATAGTTAAACACGTTGTCCTCCCGCAAGCCTCCAGAAACCTCTATTAGGAACTCACGCTCTCCCTTCCATTTCTCCCTCAGGTTCCTAGCTGCGGCTTTGACACCATCGCCTGTGAAGTTATCCAACATGATGACATCGGCGCCAGCGGCGATAGCCTCATTGGCCTCTTCCTCGTTCTGAACTTCGACTTCCACCTTGAGGGAGAATCCGCCGACCATCTTGGCAGCCTGGACGGCATCAGTGATACTGCCACGGCTCCAGACGTGGTTGTCCTTTAACATAATCATAGAGCTCAAGTCCATTCGGTGCGTATCCGCCCCGCCGACCAACATGCCGTACTTCTCGACAAGCCGGAATCCCGGCGTCGTCTTGCGCGTACCGGCCAGAATACCTTCATACCCAGCGCTGCGTAAGCTAAGCAACATATCGCGGCTGACGGTAGCGATTCCCGAACAGCGCGCTAGAAGGTTGAGCCCAACTCGTTCGCCCAGTAGCAGGCCACGCGCAGGGCCGGTGACGGTGGCGACTTTGGTTTTACCTGAGCCGTCCTTGGGACGGTCAATGTAGCCTCCTTCCTTGGCATGCCATTCGACCTCGCAGCCGCACTGCTTGAAGATCTCGGTGAAGAAGGGGATGCCAGCAACAATACCGGGACTTTTAGCCCAGAGAGTAGCGGTTCGGGGATGCTCGCCAACGACGAAACCGGCGTAGTCATAAGATGGCGTGTCTTCGGCCAACCATGCGGCAATTTGAGACTTCCAGCTTGGGGGCAAGAGATGCTCCAGAGAGCCGTGATGGATTGGTTGATCAAGATGCATTGGAAGAGGTTAGATGACGATGATAATATGGCGGGATGTATGATGATAAGAGGTAGGTTGGAATTCTGGGTTTGTATTGGTCAGGATGAAGTCGACTCAGGGTTTCGGATCTGAATCTGCATTAAAAGGTAGTACTTAACCTACCTGTAAATTAGAGGTACACGCAGCGTATGCACTACCTAATATACAGTATATGCCGTCGCAGTTTAGGTACCTAGGTACCTATAAGGTACTTTGATTAAGAGATAGTTTGAGCCGGTTCAACCCGTGAATCAGATAGGTACCTCCTAACCTAAGGTACCTAATTGCTATGGTGGGGGCGGGGGAGGGGCACTGCCGATACATTCCGTAGCTTTAAACGCTTCGACCACTGTGTCATGTGCCACGTCATACACGCACGCGACAAGTCGCGTCTTAATCAACCTTGAATGAATGTAATAAATCTGATTAACCCCACTTCCTAAACCTTCTCATACAACCTGATGAACTACCTAGTGTACAGTCCATACCTGAAGCTGGTATGATTTATGAAGTACCTACCTAAGGTACCCTTTTCCAATCCCCCTCGGCTCAGTACTTAGAGTCATCCAACCCTCTCTCTTCCGTTGTTGCGTAATAAGTCCATTTTCGTCGTCTCACCAACCTCAACAATCTTGCAGGGCTTTCCCGTTTCTGATGAATTCGATAGTCTTGGGTTCACCGACTTTTACAACGGCCTCTGCTGCCTCGGAATTCATAGTAGCTCGTCCAACTTTGAAGAGTCGTGGTATGGCAAAGGAACTCGAGAGTTCTGCTCTTCAGGGTAACTTTGATAGGCGGTAAAGCCACCCGGTAGAGATATAAGGTAGGCTCTAGGGCCCGAATAATCCCTCGCAGCTATTCGGTAAGCTTCGGGGAATCTTTCCTTATGTCGTGCGAACTGGTCCTTCAATTCACTCATGTAGTCGAAATCAGCCATCGGATGGGCATTCGGCGAAGATGATCCCTGGTCTTCAGATATCGGATTGAGTGGTCCTGCTCTTTGGGGGGTTGGGTTCGCCGATGAGTTGATCGAGTTCGAAAACGCTGTCGATTGCGCTTGTGCCTCTTCTTGCAGTTGTGATTGTCGTTCTGGGTTTGTGCCGTGGCTCGTTTCTGATTCTTCCCGCTCAAACGTCACCTCAACGTTTTGATATCGGATCAATGGGCCGAAGCGCATGATGCATCGAGCCCCCAATTCTAGGTATTCGTTTACCCACGCGTGTCTAAGGACAGGCAGCAGCAGTTCGGGGTTTCGGTGATTGATCACAATTACCAGCTTCCTGGAGCTCTTATGAAAGATAGTGCCATAATCGGAAAGACTGCGGAATTGAAACCCGAAGTGGCGTAAGGGGAAAGCCTGAAAGGTGCAACTCACCACGCCAAGATTGTTTTGAGGAGGGCGTGAGATGAGGCTTCTAGTCATGCTGATATCGTCTAAATTGTATAGGTGTGGTCTTATTCCAAGTTGCTCCACGCTAGGAGGAGTCGAATCAGCCATGTTGTATGAGAGTTTGGCTTCCACGGGATTAGTGTTGGTAGAGGGTCGATAGACGATAGTTGATAGATGATAGACGATAGGCGATAGACGATAGACGATAGACGAGGTCAGGCAGCTAAATATCAAGTAACCAGGTAAGCAACAAGAGACTTCGACGAGGTGCAGAAAAAAAAAACATTTCAAAAGAAAAGGATCCGCACTTCTTAAATACCAGGCCAGGGAGTCACCCTCGACGCTACAGCAACCGTGAGTGCGACAACAATGTGCAAAGTCGAAACAAACTAATATAACACACACGAAAAATACCTTGGATGTTACTGTGGAAGCTGCGTCAAGATTTACACCCGCTCGGCGTATGGTCAAACTCTGCTTTAGGTAACTTTTGGGCATTGAATATTGCAAGGCTTACATTGGCAAGTCACCTAGAACTCTAGACTGGTCGCCAAAATAATCACAGCTTTACTCTCAAGGGATATTTCATGGTCGAAATACACAGGGTCTATGCGAATTTTTCAATTTCGTAAACATATAGGTCCAACAAAACAATAAACACCATCCTATGTAAGCACCACACTCCGCCCTCCATCCTTTCTTCTAAAGCTGATCGGTAACAGGTGGTAATGCACTTTCCGGTCTGCCATGATTGTTAGCTGCAAGGAAGTTCTGCTTTTGAGACAACCGAACAAATTTAAAGAGACAATGAGGCAAAATATCTTCTAAATGGAAAATAGGAATGAATATTCATAGAAGAAAAACGAGAGGAACAAATCTAACTATGACCATAAAATAAAAGGGCGAACGAGTAAAAAAAACGACCACTTTTCCAGGCAAAAGAGAATCATCAAGCGCCACCGATGCAAGGCCCCAAACCAAAGTACCTCGCCATGCAGAAAGAAATATAGAAAAATGCAGAAAAATACCGAAAGAAAACCCCGAGTCTAAATAAAATACATTTCCCCAGGAAAAGAAAGAAAGGCAAAAAAAAGGAAAGAAAAAAGCAGCTTTCGCAGCATATGATGATCTAAACCCCCAAGAAAGACAGGAAAACCCGTGCGATGATATCTAAAAAAGAAGAAACGGAGAAAAAGGAAGTCGGTTCAACTTAGTACCATGTCGGCGCGGCAGACCAGTGCCGCAGCATATTCTCAACTGCCTGCGTCCATTCGTACTCGAAGCACTGCGCGAGCTGGTCGGCTTCTTCTTGCGTGGGATCGCGGCCTCCCCACATCTCTCTACGCCAAGATTCCGCTTGCGCATACGCCGGGATGAGGCCCCTATTATCAGACAAGATGAGAAAACGGCGGCAACTTGGAAAATTGGATGGGGGGATGCTTATGCTTATGGTGAAAGGAGGGAGGGTTTCCCAGGCGTGCGCGCGTGCGGTTCATGTGGTTCAGGAGATGGACTTACTCGTCACGAATCTTCACCAGGCATAGCCATGCCAGGTTCCAGCTTCGGTTCGAATTCGGGTCGTTTCGAACGAGGTGATGCGCCTGGTCAACTAGATCTCCCGATATGGGATAGTTGCGCGTCAAGCCTCTGAGTTCCGTCAGGAACTGGTTGCTGTTCACATAGTAATCCCACGCGGACGTCATCGGGGCCTGGAACGCCTGTGCGTCTTCCTCGTTTTCGCAACTAGCGGCAACTCGTTCAATTCGGCATAATTCCGTAAGTGTGTTAACTCGGTGAGTGCGGAGCGACTCGATGAGCTGCTGGTGGGATGACTGTCTTCCCTTGCTACTGCGGGAACTTTTCTGGCCATGTCCACCTGATCGCGATGAAGACATTGAGAATGTTCTTGCTGTAGAGCTTAAGGGCTGCCGGAAATATTGTTGGTGACGGAATTGATCTTTGTCTTTGGTAGAATATCTCGGGATAATTTATTCGTCCTGTTAAAGGTTCTCAAAGTCGGTTGCTTCCGGAGCTAGATTTTTCTACTCTTTGGTGGGTGTTCTTCTTGGGGGACGAGTTTGACTTGAATGTCTTACAGTTGAGGGGAGGTAGTCTATGTTTATATCTTCAAGTCGAATAGCTCGAGAACCGCCGTTGATAGCATGAATGTTACTAAGAATTTGACAGCCAGATAACCAACTAACTCAAGCCTTTAAAGTCACCCTCTCGGGTGCTTCCATATAAGGAAGCAATGCCAAGCTCAGAATGGAATTTGGAATCATCTAATCATAGCCACATGTCTTCTTCACAGTATGATATGAGGCAGCTATATCGAGAAAACGTCTGAACAGTATAACAACGATGTCGCGAGAATGCGCCGGCATTCACAATTAGTGAGAAAAAACCATGGCAAGTCCTAGAGAAACACCCCGCTCATGACTACATACGGTCTAGCCATGAAGCTATCCACGTATAAAGATTCTCGTCGAAAGCTATGGCCGCGTCATGAGGCTCACCAATGGTGGCACTCCGGACCAAACGTAAGTGATAAGTGAGACTTGACTTGGGACACTTGCGGGCTGACGCTGACGACGGACGATACCCATCATGCTGGTGAGTTTGCATTGCTGCTATTCTATTATTGAACTACCTACCTAGGTTAGGTAGTTATTACTTAGTCCGGTATAGAAATAGAGGGTAGATACTAGGATGCCAAAGCTTCTTATCAGTAAGGATAGTAAGAATCGCATTGTGATTAGACCCGTAGAAAAACCGAGGCGTTTCCTTAAGAAAGGCTTAAACAGAAAGCGGACAAGACTAGAAAGGAAGCTATCATGCGATTTAAGAAATTGTTTATTTTTATTTTTTCTTAATTTTTTTTTTTAAAAAAAAAGAAAAGAAAAGAAAAAGAACGCATCTCCTGTCCACTTCCAATGGGATTTGAGGGTGTATTCCGTCGTCGACTTACCCTTGACAAGGTTAGATCGGTCGTCCCGTGGTAGCGAACAGCTATTCCTTGTCTGTAAGAATTTAGCGCTCTAAAGCTGTGAATCTGGGCTGAATCGGGAATTATTGTAACTCCATTCGTAATTAAGAGGCTGATTTACTCCAAGGACACCCTTGGTAGATGACAATTTTCGATTGAGGCTATCTTGCGATAGGGGGTATCCTAAAGAGTTCAAGCAGCTAAGGGTAGTAATAAGGTTGAAATAGCTTATGAAGTCTAGCTGGGCCATTGGCAAGATTCCATCTCTGTAGTGAATAGGATACCTGTATCTTCTACCATCAGGACATCTTGCTTAATCGCATCTAAGTTAATGCGATAGGCGGGTAGGGTGCTGCCAGAAGGAATAACCCTAGGTAGGTACCTTTTACATACCTATCTAGACATCTTACTCCTTTCCCATGGGAAGTCAATGCGTTATGGACTTGCATACTCTGAACAGCACCGGTGAGAGGAGAGGCTGAAATAAGCTCGACCAGTAGCGTTGTTAAGTTGCGAGTTCCAAGATATAATTGGAAAGATTTGTCATGTGGAACAAGAGTAGAACGATTTTGGAATGTTGGTCTATGTCCGTGCGCCCTATGGTGATGATGATCTTCACCCCCTAGTCACCTGAGAGATTGGAAACTTCAAGAGAGCGGACTGCAGTATTTGGCAAAGGTGAATCTACCTGAGGAAGGTCACCATCGGTGGCCTCACAAGCGGCGCATACCGCACTCACAGTTGCGCCTTGTTCTATTATACTGTTTGTCCGTGAGCCGCGAGGCTGCTGACGTAGGATTTGATAAGTTCGTCAACGCCCCAGAAAGGGTAATCCGGCACAGACTGATGACGGCGAGTTGGTTGGAATTTGAAAAGGATAGCTGATTTCGGCGGGGATTAGGAAATATGCTAATGAGAACTCGGAGTTTAGTCGAGCTGAACTGCTGAACTGGCCACTTTATGTAACGGGTAGGGCTGGTAGGGCTGGGTAAGGCTGGCAGGGCTAGTGTAGGGCATGTTTACTATTCTCGGACGAGGATACCCTTGCATCACTGAAAGTGGGGGACAGGGGGTGTGGTCTTCTAGAAGCCAATGGTACGTACTATGTATCTACTTTCTAAATAGGTACCTACCTACCTAGGTAGGAGGTATAATTATATTGGAAGCGCGGGAGAAACAGATTCCGGGGTTAGGGTCTTCTCGTCATCACGGCGTCGCGTCGTCACATGCACGCAATGCTTAAAGCCTTTGGGATTACAATCATAGGAATGGATGAAGCCATCTTGGAAGCCATTTTCTTAGAGTCGGCCCGTAGAAAGGTTAAGATCAGACTTCTGAATACGACCGAATCGCACGACCCAGAATGCAAGTACGACTATATCCTCGGATTTAGTGTATCGTGCTAGAGCCGAGTACCGTATGCATTGCTGAAGCCCTTGAGCCAGTGGGTAAAATGGCGAGAGAGGAGCCGCTGCTTTTGCGTACTAGGTTAGGTTAAGTAAGGTGATTATCCCCGTTGCGAAAGAGCCTCTTGCATATATAACTCAGCACAATATTAACTGTCTCTCCCGGCGGACTTCCGCTGACAAATTGACAGACAGCCTTTCATGACCTTGACATCTAGTCATGCTGTGTCGTCATCCGCTTTATAACCCTTGCTGATATATCATGATCAAGAGTTCATCAGATTGACTTGATCTTAGTGACGATATGTTAATTCGATATTATATTAATAACTTAGATCTACCCCCATTTACCTCTCTTAAAATTCATGGCACGTTGATCTAACATCCCCGATAAGATTCCCATACCCTTGAGATATCCTGAGAGAAAAGAAACACCCGATCTCAAGATATAGAAGGAGGAGAGGGGGGGTAAGTATACTAATCGATTAATATGCATAAGACAAGTTCTAAATTTGAACCCGTTAGAGCCCGGTTTCGTCTCGTTCCATACCTGCTCTATCTAGCTTGCACATCTATCCATAGGTACCTAAGGTATCACTATCATTAGACCTCTTGGTCGTTATTAACTAGGTTTGGTACGGTGGCCTGAAATTGAGGCGTGAAATATGACCTTCTAGTTCTTTTGCTACGCGGGTGGCGGAAAGCGACCCGAACGCTAATGAAAAATTGCTGCTGAACAGCATATTCCTCCTCATGTCATATAGAACTTTACTCGGTGAGCATCCATGTAAACCTGAGAACTCTCGGCCCGCGAATTAATTGTATCGGTATTTAAGATTAATCAAATCTGCCGCTGTCATTGATACTGCTGTGTAGCGGTGTAGCTTCCTTTCATCTTTACGGAGACTGAGCAAGAAAAGTGTGAGGATAGGATGGATGCTGTCAAAATAGCTCTTACGCATTGACAGCAGCTTCCCAAGTTCGAAGGCTCTAGAAAAAACTGAATAAGCAGACACCATCGGTCGCCGAAACTCATATCCGCGAAAGCAGCATAGCATCATACATTGTTGCTATCTTCGTCTTCGTGCTCCTCAGTCTCGGTCTCTTCTTCGTAACCATCATCTGTACTTTCGAGACCTTCGCCGTGGATGGCAAAACTCCCCAACCACCCAGCAAGAGCTATTCCCGCGAATACGCCCCAGGCGAGAGCCTCACCCTTTGGCTGAACATGAGTCGACAAGGTGAAGAGCCCGCCAGAAAGGAAGGGGCCTACACTCCTGCCGGCGGCCGAGAGAGTCTGCGCAATGCCGTTGAGCCTACCCAAGCTCGCGTGAGTTGGCGCCGAATTAGTTATCTAAATACGCATTAGCTATGCCGTATGACGGGGGGTTATCCTTGCTGGAGAGTTACGTACTAGTAACATAACGCTTGATAGGCCACCGACGGCGCAGATATTCTTAATAATTAGCACCACGCCAATTTCTAGGTATAGCCATATCTTGCTATCGCCTATTCCAAAAGGCGGGCTTGAATCCACATAACCGACGAATGGCATCAACGCCATGGTGATTGCAAAGCCGAGTAGAGAGCCTCGATAAGACCTAACATTTCCTAGGCGCGACTTTAATGGCCTAAAAAGGAATAGTTGGAACAGGATTGTGAATATTCCAGCGACGGAGAGAGACACGCCGATGACATCCGCGTGTAAGTCTCTGCCAGTGGGTTCCTTTCCGGAAGCGAATATTGGATATAAACTATTAAAAGAGCTATTCGATAATTGAAAGACTAAGTGCGTAGCGAGAAGAACGATAGTTGTTCGATTTAAGAGCTGGCGCCAAGTTGTTGTATCGTGCGATGATTTCGAATCGTCGTTGCTATCCTCATCCCCATGCGCTTCCAGCAGATTAGTCTCTTCGCCCGCATTCTCCTCGGCGTCCTCTCTCTGCTCGGCGTCGGAAACTCTGTCTTCGGAAGAGGTCCACGGCCGCTTGGACGCATTATGCGTCTGTTTGGCAGAACTAGACAGCCACGGGAGTCGTTCTACCCAATTTGGAATATCCCCCTGCTCTTCCAGAGTTTCGTCAAACCAGATACCCAGGACAACTACGCTAAGCGCGAGAAGCGAAGCTCCGAGTATATTGGGGGCTAAGAATGGGTAACTGTCTCTTGCAATCTTGCCCACAAGCAATCCACCCAGCGCCGGTCCAGTAATACTCCCCAGGCTGTAAACAACAGGCAGCCAAGTGAACGCCTTGCTCTGGTTGCTCCGGTCTGTCAACTCTCCCAAGCAGGTGGGCACAACTGCTGCGTTGCCATTGAACAGCCCCATAGCTATATGTACGAGAAGAATATGGAGATATCTGGTACAGAATCCAAAAGCCGCAAAACAGAAGCATAAGAGCAAAGTACCGAGAAGCATAACGGGTTTTCGACCAATGATGTCCGATAGGTATCCCCACAAGAGATTGGTTGCTAACTGAGCCAGCGCAAATGAAGAGGCTAGCAAACCGACGTATAAGCCAACCTGGTCATGACGGATTCCAGGAAAAGACTCGATCATCTCAGGCAGATAAGGTGATATGGAGTTAAGTGCTGTCTGCTCGGATAATGATAAGAGAGCTAAAAGAGCCAATTGCTTGACGGGTAAGGGTGTCTTGACGCCATGGTGATCATGAGCCTGGGAACCGGATGAGCTTGAGCCAGTGTCTCGTCTCCGGCCGGCAGTCCTCGGTGGCGGCGTTGGAAAGGTTTGGTAATGATGCTGAGAAGACAGACGGCGGAACGTGGATGACAACGCCCTATTGGCTGGAATGGAGGGAAGAGGTGAACCGGCACGAAAACTTCCCATGGAACCTGATCTAACTTGGGACCTGCCTGGACGGGGGGCATGCGACGTAGCCGCAATAGTTGCGGCGCGTACCATCTTATTTCCTCCCTTCTTTCCTTCTTTCTTTTTTTTCTTTTTTGTTCGGTGGTATATCCGAGCTCGCAACTTCAACTCAAATAATTCAAACGTTTGATCATGATATAGATTTACAAAGTACTCGGCCGTTCACTAAGACAATGGTGTGGGTTTATAAAGGAATTTATTCAATACGCTTTGAGCAGCCGAGCGTTAAATAAGACGCTCCCGTGCCCTGTTGCTGAGAAGAGGTGGAAGAAGAATCGCTGATATAGGTGGAAAGCGCCGAGGAGTGAGGCGATTGGGGATTGGGGGGAATTCGGAGATACGATCCAATGATGTAAAAGTTCCATTCATCCCCCTTTGGTTTTTCTAATCTAGGTAAATGCTATCGATAACATCAGGCACGCTCCGCTCCAATGCTCCAATGGCAATGGCTTTAATGCGTATTGGTACATTACATTAGAGGTGGTTGGTAGCTGGCCGTGCGCTAGGTATCGCTGCCAGCACCGAAAGCTACCCCACGTAGCTCTGGACCAGGGTGTAAGGTCCTACCAAGCATTTGTAGTGCATCATCCGCTGGAATACAGCGCAAAACCTTTGTTAGCTGCGCGACGCCAAGTAGAATTTACCATCCAGTTCGTTTTTACAGAAATATGCTTTTAGCAATGCACAACTCTTACTAGGATTCATTTATGACGTAGACGTCATATATCAGAGTTTAGGTACCTCTTATTCTTCCTTTATTCTGGTTTGCTTATGAGAAAACGTATGACAGATGCCGCAATACAACACACCCCATAAAAACACGCAGTTCCAGCTCGGATTTCGCTTCGGAAGCATGAGCATTTTATTTTAATCATTTTACGAATTTATTAAATTCAATGTAGCTGTGTAACGTGTCTTATCATTTTTCGCATAACGAAATAATAATAATAAAAGGGGGGGATAGGTAATCTCCATGTTACCTCTCAGGACCCGCACTGGAAAGATACATGAAATTTCTCATCTGTACCTAACCTACCTAGAAGCCGAAAAATCATTTAATAAACTCTGTTGTGGAACATCCAAAGACCTGCAATGCCCATCAATCCACCGAGTGTGAAACTTCGACTTGAGAACGAGGGGGGTGAGGGACTGAGAGAGACTGAGAGAGAGAGAGAGAGAGAGAGAGAGAGAGAGAGAGAGAGAGAGAGAGAGAGAGCATCATTCAATCCTTCTTCCAATTAAGCAGATTCGATAGTGTGGCAGATAGTCGCTTCTTGTCCTTAGGGGTCCCAACCGCAATCTCCTTAGGATCGACATCCGGCCCGGTACCTTGGAGATGCGATACAGGGTCCTGCTGCGATTTCCCGTCGGTCTGTGGACTGCAGCAAGTACTTGACTGTCGAGTCCCATCTTGTGCCGCATCGTCAACTTTGTCGCAGCAAGGCACTAACACGCTGCTCTCGTTCCTGGTGCTCGGAATATCCAGCGCCGGGTTTCTCGTGAAGAAGTCGGCAGGACGAAGATGGAATTGGTGTATCTCGACAGGCCTGTGCCGGATCAAATATGTTAGTCGAGTTGCCTTTAAACCTATGAAAAATAGCAGGGAAATAATGAAAGGCGTGCGTGCTTACATCACGGGCCAATCTTCGACTCGTGGGTTGTGAGTGAGGCCGAAGACGCTCCAAACTACAGGGCTGCTCTTCTTTCCATCCGCTGTCCCGTTCGTACCATCAACCTCGCCATCGTCTACAAACCAATCTCCCCTCTCCACCATCGTTTTCACTCCACCCTCTTCTCGCGGCGCCTGGTTCGTGAACTCTCCCGCAGCCCACAATTCGCCGTCTCTATATCCGGTAAACCAGAGGTGGTGTTTCGCGAAAGGTGCCCTTGCAGCTTGGACGCTCTTATCGTCTGCAAGCATGAGCTGCGTAGCGCTGGGAACCAGCTTATACCCAACGTTTTTGCCACTGATGCTGTTTTTCTTGGTTGCATGCTCTAGACGAACGACCCGGTTCAGCCGGGGCTCGGCATCTGCGAACCCGGCCCGCTTGATGCGATTCCGTCGAATCTCGTAAGCGTTCCCGTGGGGATTTGTCTCTGGGTTCATCGGCACGGGATGGCTTTCTTCTATGACTACAGCCGTGTTGTCGGCGTACGAGTCGATAGCTGGATCTATACGTACTGCGAAGATGTGCTGGTGGTTTTGTGCTAATACGCCTGGGTGTACAACATTGCCGTATCCAGATACCTTGCCCTCGTCGATGGGCACGACGCTGACGATACCTGTTGCCCGCGTTTCGATCGAGATGCCACCTGCTGTGTCTAACTTGTACGCAAACACGTATTCGTAATTTGCCAGCGTAGCGACGAACTGCACGACTAACTCGCGCAGGCGTGTTACCACGGCACGGTTTGTGCGGAAGTTGGTATGTTTCCAGCCAATTCCGTTGTCTTGCTCATGTAGACAGATCACATTCTTAGCTAAGTCAGGTTTGCCGTCTGTGCCAGGCATAACACAGTCGAAGTAGTGTATTGCGCCCAGACAATCGCACCCTAGTTTTAGATTGTTGGCTGCACGTCCGACTCCACCGTCGCCAAAGTCAAAAGCCTGCTTGCGCTGGAAAGGCGGGCGCGGATCGCCGTACGGGACAGTCATCTCGGAGAAAGATAACCGGTATACTATAGGTCGGTTTTCGTAGCATACATCGTGGAGCACAGCGCCCTCGCGAGCCGTAAATCCAACGCGGAAACGCCACTTTTGCCACTCGACAAGATTATCGGCATGCACTTTGAAAGATGCACCTTCGGGCTGAATAACGTTGATGGGTTTCATATCGGTGCGAAGCGGCTGGTCCAGAAGCTCTGGGATATATTCCGCGGGCCCGCAGTTCTCGAACAGCTTCTTCGGCTCGCCTCCCGGAGGGGCAGAATGGAGGCCATCGCCGACACCCCCTGTGGCGAGGCGATCCACTCTTAATATTTTTTTGGTAGCCACATCCATGATCGGTATTATAGGTAAAGGGTAGGAGTAATGGTTGGAATCAATATTGTCCTTTGAAGTATCCCGGGCGTATACAAGGCCTTGCATGTAGCGAGGGATCTCCTCATCCGGATCTGGGCCACCGTACGGCCACGGATCTATCGTAATCACGAAGTGTTCTGGTAGGATGAATTCTTCTATGGCCGACTTGAACATCTCTGAGGATACGCAGGCATCTTGAAATATGCCAAATTCATGGGCCGTGTAACTGGTCTGGTATCGCGATTCAAATGCTTTGGTGTTTTTGATGGCTCCGTCGTCCACATCGACGACCGTCTCCGTGAGCTGAGCTTTTCCATCTTTGATGACATCGTAAAGCAGTTTGACCTGTCTCGGCGGGATAGTCTCGGGAACTCGACCCTCATGTTCCGCGATGAGAAACTCAGTCAGATCTGTCCTCTTGGGCTCATCGACTATGGCAGAGCGGAAAAACAAGGCAGTCCCATCTCCCCCGTGTGCCTTGACCGCAATATCTCGAGCTTTCGAGAGCTCGTCAGATGAGAGAGGCCGTAAGGGATGAGGAATCTTTGATTCTCTATCGGCAGCCATGTTGCTAATAATCAATTTGCCTCCTGTTAATTTTCTCAAATCTGAGGAGGTACCTAATCAGTCGTGAATTAAATCAGAGTTGTGTAAAAAAGCAAAGACTCGGTACGACAAGCAAGTTGCAGCAAACAGCTATCTTATAGATAAGATACCCGGTAAAGTATATCGTATTATTAGGTCAACTAGACGATCAACTAGATATACCTAGGTAAACTTAATGGACCTTTAGCTCGACCCTCGGTTCAATTTATATACCTAACCTTACTTTGCGTAGATACCTACACGAAACATCTGGGAGGCCTCGGACAAGGACAGAATATAGAAAGCGATTGGGTAATGCGAAATAACCTGGATATAGATAGTCGGTACAAGGGTTGTATACATTAGGGTAGTATGCACATACGTGTGATCTTCGTTGGTCCGAGGTCTCGATACACGGCGAGCATTTGTCTTGGGTAGATCAGAAGACAGTTACCCGGACCAGTTCGGTGCGGTAACGGTGCAGCGGTGCGGGCACATGTGGGGTATCCCAGGGATTCTGTTAGGCTCTCTTAGGTTGTCTTAGGGGATTTTAGGGGGTTTAGGGGTCTTCATTCGGCCTCTTACACGCATCACCCCATGTCGTAGCCTACTCATACCAAGCCCATATTCACAGGTGATTACTTCGTACAGGTCTGTTTACAGGCGGCTACAGGTTCAAAGTGGGGTCGAAAGCCCTCCTCCTCGTCCAAGTCTCGCCCTGTTTTTTTCAGGATAGACACTCCTACTGTCCGGTAGCTTATCATTGTGGCATCTATAAGCGTCAGAGGGAAGCTTGATCAGGCAAGTCCTTGCGAGCCCTTTATTTCTTTTATTTTTTTTATCCTACCTTCTTCCACTGCCGGTATCCGCCTGGATCGGTTGGCGGCGTTGTCTGCGTGAAGCGTCCAATATTCTCCAAGCCCCTAGACCAGTACGATTTCCTAATATTGTGTACCAAGGGTACCAACCTAGTTACTATACCTACCTGGTATATATAAGCTCCTCCAAGAGAACCTGCAGAGCGCGTTTTGCGCACATGGCGAGATAATATCTGCACCGGAGATCCTACGCGGAACGTAACCTGCCCCCCTGGTAAGTTTGAGGACGAAGACTGCTTCATTAGGAATTCATACGCTACGAGTACCGTCTACGGTCTGCTCTCTGGTTCATATCGCCAGGGCCGTAGTGGAGGGGAGGTATCGCAGATTTGACAGCCGACTCTGCCCGATTAAGGCTTGTTATTTGGGAAATCCCGGGTAGAATTACCGATGATCGACCCCTAATGCATTCAAACCCCGGCCTATCACAAAACCCTTCAGCCGCATACGTGTATGAGTACCATGAGTACCTGAGGTATGTGTGTACGCGTGCGCGCGTGTCCATCCTATCGTCCAGGAACACAAGAGCAGCCCGAGGGATAGGCCCATGCATGCACGTCTGTATTACAGGCCATCCATATAGGTTGTATGATATATCACTTAATGCCGCGTCCAGGCAACCAAGGTCCCTTACCAGCTCTTTGGCGCCAGTCAATTCTCTCATAAGATATCTCACACCCAGTTCATGTTAGGATGAGGACATATGCCTCATGTTGTTCGATATGTATCTCCAAACCCTCAAATCATGGCAAGTGAAAACTAAAATCTGCCCGGCCCTTCTCTTGTTTTATAAGAATAAACCGTTAAAGAAATGCTTTAAGATTCTAGGTAATACGACAGATTATTGTGATAACTTGAGTTACTAGGAGACTGTGGCATGGTCATTTACATAAGTACCTAACCTATCTAGCCGGTGTGTAAGGTGATCTTGACGCCGGGTACACTCGAGATGTATGTGAAGCGCATATGCCTTATCATTGGCAGTGCTAGGTCAAGGATTCACCGGAGAAGCAATATTCAAAGCTGCGGGTAGCGCGCGGTGTCACTTGCATGTTTGGTCAGCTGTTCTCGGCAGTTGGTAAATTAAATATCTTACTGAGGTCTTAATCGCCTCCTTATACCTACCTAGGTCCCTAACGTAAGGAACCAAAATAAAGGCTTTGGTGGCACTCACTCAATTAGATGTCGTGAACGCATGATACCGAGTGATACAGATGTACAAGGACTAAGCAACTTACAGAGATAGCTTTATGACGGGATGTATTGCCGCGGAGCTCATTCACGCATAGCGTACCTAGGTGCCTACCTACCTACCTGTTTCACTCGCCCCATACCTTTTTCAGGATGTCCAACGAAAAGCTCTCTTGAACCTATACTACCTACTTCCTAAGAGGCGGTTCGAATACTTATCTAGGTAGCTTATCTAGAACGGGGTGGATTATAGATCAGGTAATGGTAAAAATGAATAGATTTCGATGGAAACTAGGTATCCCCTAGTCCCACTCGACGCAAGTATATAAACGGGTATCTTCTCACACAATCATAAAATCCTAGAATAACGAAACTCCCTCCCCTCAATCCGACCCTACTCAGCCTTCTCACCCGTCTCCGTCTCCGTCTTAACGGTTTGTTTCATGTTCGGCGGTGTCGCGGTCCCTGATGCCGTCTCCCCGTCAATTGCCGTGGCTTCATTCTCTGCGCGAATCGCTTTGATATTCTTTCTGCCTGATAGGTCGAACAGGATCGCTTTGAAGGTTCTCGCCAGTGTCTGTCGGCCTTCAAAAACGGGAAATAGTCCCACGGCGCCAAGCGAGCAGAAAATCCATATGATGCCCACTGTGATCCAGCCTGTGAAAAAGGGCTTCGAGAACACGTAGCTGCTGCCGTACATCGGGAACGGCCACAAAACCAGGAATGATATTGTAAGTCCAACCGTCGTCCACTTGGAAATCTTGCTGGCCCGCGCCAGTTGAACTTGCTCCTCGGCTAATTCGGTTGCCGTCTCCTCGTGCCCGGCTGTTGTCTGCTCAAGGTCTACGCCCGCTGTGGCAGCAAGCTCATGGTCATCTCCTCGACGGATGGCCATCATCGACTTCCAATCGTAGTTGTCCATTCCAAACATAAGAGTGAAAATTGGAATCAGCACCAGTGGCGAAAGAAGCGCAACAACATTGCCGGCAAGCATAGGGTTATTCGATCCCGTACATTCGACATCCAAAGCACCACACTCCTTTCGAGCGGTGACCAGCCATGCGATCAGAGCAAACGCAAGACCAAAGATAGGCGATAGTGCCGCGGCCCATTTATTCTGCCCTTTCCATATAAGGGTTAAAGTCGCGGGGATCACCGCGGAGGAAATGATACAGCCCATCATGAGATAAAGGTAACCCATAGAGATCCCAGCATAGTAAAGTCCAACGGAGAATGTGGAGATAAAAAGTGCATATACCACGACGATAACATGGGACATGTAGATGAGTCGTCTCCCGCTTGCATCAGGTTTGAAATAGGTGCGGTAGAGATCGTATGTGAAAATAGAAGAAACGGCGATTAGTTCGGACGAAGTAGCTGATGTAACAGCCATAAATATAATAAGGAGCGTACCGACCGCGCCGCCTCTCCCTAGCAAGGCAACGGAGGCATATGGCAGCACAAGACCGGCTAAGACGTCGGCTTCGGACATCCGGTTAGGATATGTCGGGAATGCCGGGGTATTCTCTAAAGCTAGAGCAGAAAGACCCATAGTTGTGGCGGTCAGCCATGGGATTGCGAACCAGCTAAGACCTCCAAGGATATACCCGGGAAGGGCGTGAACAGGTGAAGCCGCGATGGCTTTATTGTAATATCCGTTATCCAGAAATACGGTACCGAAATTTCCCACGATGTTGATAACGAAGAAGATGGCACCTTCTCTTGAACGCATAGTCAAATAGCTTCCTTGGGCATTGCCCTCAACCGGATGGTTAAAAGCAGCTTCGACTAGAAGATCGTAAACAGCCGATGGAGATCCAAGTTTATCGGAGGAGGCGAAGGCTGTTAATGAAAATATAATAATAAGAATCAGTAGGATGAAGGTATGGATCCAATCCGTAAGAATTGTCGCCTTAAGCCCACCGACAAGCGTATATGCTATGACACCGACAGGAAGAAGATATATAGCGGCAATAGTATGCATTCCGGTAAGAGCGTTTACTGTAGCTGAGCCGCCGACGACCAGCATGAGACTGACGAGAATGTTGGTCACGAGGCCGAAGACCATGAAGACTATATGAGGGATAGTTCCATAACGAGCTTTGATTCTTTATTGGTCGTAAGCCTTCATGTGTATTAAAAACCAGCGTTAGTAATGAGGACTTACACTTCGAGGAATGTGTGCGCATTGGGTGCGCGTCTCTTTAACTCAATAGCCAGCGTCGCGAAGAGTAGAATTTGAACGGTAGCTCCCGACGCGTACCAGAACGGACCAGAAACACCGTATCTATAGCAGACACCTGAGCTTTGTAGGAGTGTAGCCGCCCAGGTCCAAGAAGACACGACGGCAGATCCGACCAATCCACTCTTTACCGTGCGGCCGGCTGTGGTGAACATTTCAGACGTTTGAAGTTCTGAATTGTACCGCTTGAGGATGAACGTGACTAGGATCTACATACGACGGCCAGTAAGTATATCGTTGCTAGAGCCTAAGACGAGATCCTCGTAAGGGATCAAGTCTATGAATATTCGATAGGTAAATGTCGGTTGCAACTTACCATTCCCAGGGCAAACCCAAAGCCTAGACCCAAGACGATGCCATATCCAACGCCCTGCTCTAAAGGCGCGCCCACCGTTTCGGCCGCCATATTTCCTTCTGTTAGAGTGAAAGACCGCGACGTATAATTGAGTTGAATAGTTTAACGAAGGGATCAATGTGTAGGTAAAATCACTTTTTAACCAGAGCGCGCCGCAGAGATCGGCATAGTATCATATACGGTTGCATTGATAAGGCCGAGTTTGCAGAACTCTATCCAATGTGTAATACGCATTTTTCCTTATCAGTGAAGTATCTCCGGGCTCGAGGCTCTCTCCCATGTAGCCCCCAGATTGGCGTCCCGTACGTAACGGGCATACAGGGTCTCGCCTAGAACGCCCGATATAAAGGAGGGATGCTAGCTGACTTAGGTACCTAGGTAGCTAATGTCTCACCGGAATGTGTCGTTAACGTAGGTAGGTAGGAATTGATAAACGAACCTATCACATTCCGGGCCAGATGGCTGGTAAGGACCATATTTACCGAAGTGGGATGCATTGCAGCTCTTGCAACTATAGCTTCTCATCTCATGAAAGTTCAAGGTTCAGAGCTTGCATATATTTTCCGACACCAGAAACAGATACTCCTGTGACTTACACGGTAATAACATCTGGTATTGTCTTGGGTTTTGCTCGGGAATAAAGGTACCTTAGGTTAGGTATCTATATTATACATTTTCAGACGCCGTAAGCAGTACTGATCATTAACAACATATGCCCTATTCGAGAAGCCAAGATCCGGATAGGTATAATTTGATAAGAACAGCAAATAGAATTATACAATGTCAGAGTCAGGACAAAGCAAAACCAGGGTGTTGGTCAAAGAGGTTCAAGGTTGTAAATTGGTGACCCCCATGAAAGTGTAAGCGGAAACTTATCAGCAGCCATTGACCAATTGCAGAAAGTCCAACACGGCTGCAGGGTTAAACAAACTGATAAGACAGGTGGGGAACCTTTAAGCATACAAGCATTAGGTACCTAGGTACTGGCACAGATATGAATTAAAATCGTCCGATTGGTCTATTTTAAAATCTACCTGCTAAACTGCTGAAAAGCTGGGGAGAGGGGAACTTATCGTGAGCTTATCGATGAAGTTTACGTCACCAATCCAAATTGATTGAATATCAATTTAATGTTTTAGAACGGCATTTTGTGAAGATAATACCTATGTCGGAGGCTGGAGCTGTGCAATGTAAGATGCGATAGAAGACGAGATAGGTTTGGCATACGTTAGCATAATAAGAAGTTATTTACGTGGTGTAAAAACCTTGAGGTCCAGAATTTAATATTGAGCTTGAACTGGTCGTGTGTTAGAGCGGAGATCCAAAAGTGGTGGTCCGTGTTGCAGTAAAGAATATAGACCCTAATTTGCCTCAATTTCTCATCGGTCGCGTGGTGTAGTTGGTTATCACGTCAGTCTAACACACTGAAGGTCCCCAGTTCGAGCCTGGGCGCGATCATTACCTTTTCTTTTTGCTCTTTTTTCTCCTGAACATATTATAAATTTTTTTTACCTATTGTTATCTATCATAGTGACTCTTTTCAAGAGTTGCTCGTGAGCTCAGAGTCGAGAGCCATGTCTCGGGATTGAATTAAGACTACCCAGCCAGAGCTACCTTATATTACCTACGAGAGTACTGTCATTTACCTGTTAGCCGCCTTAATGAAGAGCACCGCAGGTCACCAGATAGAACCGAACAGCATAGAAATAGGTTCGTTGTTCTGCCGGGAACTCTATCCTAGTTAAGGGAGCCTACAGCTAGACATACTGAAAGTGTCCTCTGTTCTAGATAGAAGTCTTATCTGAAACTTTACACTACGATGCTCATACAGGTACACAAAGAAACATTGAATTTGAAAGCGTTGTCTGATGCTAAGCATTCCTATGATTTACTGAAGCGCCTAGGTACATTGCAGCAAAATAGACCCCAACGCTATCTCATGAATGGTTGGTGATTCTTCCACCTATAGGTACTCAGATCAACAAACCCTTCTACCCAGCACCGTAGTGTAGCATCACCCCTTAGAATACCGCAGCTGCATAGACATTTTAATGTGGAATTTTAGCTACATCGTCCCAACTAAATGTACGGTATTTCTGTTCACCTGGCAAGCGGACTTTCCAATAGAAGGCTTCATCTTTAGGATTGAATGCCATTATAGCTTTAACGCGAAGGAAGACTTCTCCTTCATGCTTGGATATTTTTAGATCCTATGATATTATAGGTCAATTTTAGGCTCGTTATCTCAGCACTAGACACTCACCTTATCTTCCGTAGGTAGTAGTAGCTTCAATGCAGGAGATCCAGGCTCGGAATCAGTACTGGCAGGGTATTGCTCGGGATCTGGAATCACTATCTTTGTAGTTGACAGACTTCGTTCTTCTTGTTTCGAATTTGTTCGCTGTGGTCTACTCATATTTCTGAGGACGAAAAGAAGGTATGTTCAAAGTGTTAGAAGACAGCTTCAGAGTTGAGTGCCTTGTTGTCTAACTGTCTAAGTTATGGTAGAGTGCTGGCGATTTCGAATGAGAATGTGGATGTCGATAACTCCCCAAGGTCAGATAGGTATCTGACTTAATGGACATGGAAGTATGGCGTGGGGTATGGTTCTTATACAAATCCAAGAGTTCATGTTAGCATAAATTATTAGATGTTAGGTATGGTCTCGTCCTCAATCATTTGCTATCTCTTCAATCCAAATAGTTTGAGTTTGTTTAATATAACTGCTAACTACTAGGAAACTACAAGTGGCATGGCTACAAAAAAACCGCAATGGAAACCTTCCATTATGAGTGGTGGTAAATTAACTGCCTACCTTAAGCTGTTCTCAATCAGGTAGGTGCCTACCTAGGTATGTAAGGTAATTAACACAGTTCATGGATGGCTTTATTGATGTTGTTTCCTTTGGTAGACCTGTATGGCATTGAAACAATTTAGCTGTTTTGCAATGACAAACCCAAGTATTCATACGGATACACTTTGCGTGCTGTCTCAGTATCATATTGTAGTGGCGCGTACGCTTTTTTCGTTGTTGTCTTTCTTACAAGCTCAACATCTACCTTAACTAGGATTCTTGTATTGTCAAATACTAGATACCTACCTGTTGGCAAGTTGTTTATAGACCATTTACAGACAGTTGGCCAACAAACATGGGTAAGCTATTAGTTGTCAATGGCAAATATATTCCGCGCTGAACATTAATCAAAGAACTCAAAATCTCGACTGTTGTTGAATCTCAATCTAGGTAGACAATAATAGTTTGATACGCATTGTTATAATTGTCCATACACCATGTTTATCTAGCAATACCTAAAGCACGGTTGTGTTTTGCTGGTGTATAACCCCATGAATAACGCAGGTACGTACTTGTACTATGTAGTATAACAAACCAGACAGGTGTACCTAAAGTAGCCCTTCCAATATACCGAACGATTCAGACTACATATGCTTCTCATGACTTCTTGTTCTGGAGAGTTTGGCTGATGAACGCTGCGAGTATTGCCACATAACTGCATTTTCATTAGTTATACCCAAAGGAATCACTATCGCCCACCAAAATTGTCAAATAAATCTATTACTGACCCTGTAGAATATGCAAATAACTCCTGTCGTTTTAGTCGAGTGATATATTTGAGAGAATAAATGAAGGCGCCCGTAGAGCCGAACAGGATGAGCATGAGCGATGATAGCGTAAGAGTAGTTATGTCTCTCTGGCATAAAAGATACAAAGGCCAAATAGGTAACATATAAATCAAGATGATCACTAAGACCAGGATAGCTTCTCCGGTGGCCCCTATTTTCTCTGGGCTGAGAACTGTAACACCTCCATTTTGGCGGGTTCTCTCCTGGAAAGATTATTTTTAAAATTTTCATAAAATTTAATTTATAACAGGGTCGCAGCACTTACTTCGTCCCCAAAAGCTTTCTACTCCGGAAATGTGTTAGATTCGAATACACGCGGTCATCTGTCGTTGCTTCATTTCTATACCCTAAGATGGAGTGGTACTTACCTTAATCAGTTTATGAGGGTTATTGTATAGAAGTGCCGTGAGGAAATTATCAACGCGTGCTGTTTCTCCATGTGGTTTCAACGATACCAGGTCCCCCTGATACAAGTAATACTCATCTTCCTCCTTGGTAACTGGACCGTGCTTCCTGAAAAATTTGATTAAGGCCTCGATGGTCGTCTCGGGAGGTTGTCTCTGTGGAGAAGAAACACAATCCATCATTGCCCCTGGTTTCATTTTAGCTATGTTGAAGCTGGTATATATAGTATGTCTTAGTAAAACGTACGATATCTTTTTATTGTCTCTTCGATGTTCGTTAGCAATTCCGTCTGCTGTATAGGTCGCGGATTGTGGCGGTTGATTCTGTCATATTCCTTAAGATCCTTTTCGTATGCTTGTAGCCTGGCTTGGAGGTCCAATAGAACCCTCACACGCAGGTACCTAAATTGACGGAAGATCAAGTATTCGTCATCTACAGTAGCTAGTGCAGCAAGTCGTGGGTAGCCTCGCGAATGCGCGGTAACTATAAGGAAATTATTAAATGTCCTAATACGTAACAGTCTCGATGATTAGGTAGTTTGCTACCTACCTTTGGTAATATATCGTGGTATATTATGCTGAGGATCTTCGGAGGTGTTGTCAGATAAAGCCCCGAGGCTTTTCTTCAGCGCAGTATAAAGTCTATCTATGAAGCTAGGAACTGTCGTAACAATAGTGCCTGCACCTTTACTTCGACGTTAGATCTTTCTGATATACAGTTTGAAGCAATTCGTGATTTGGGGAAGTGGCTTTGGGGGCTTTGGAGAGGCCAAAGATGAGTAAATAAATTGACACAGATCAAAGCAGAAAAACTATCAATAACTCTGCGGTATGTGGCTGCCATTATTGAACGGCTTTTTATTGGACGTACCCTGATTTGGATTCGCAGCATCATGAGGGCCAGACTGGCTTTCAAGGTGGGAAGGATTATCCATAATACCCCAAAGAACAGTTATGAGGCGACCAGCGGGGATATCACGAGTTCCACGTTTGTCTGAACATTCTTACTTTACATTGAAGTTGGGATTAGAGGCAATTTATATTCAGCTCAGGTCTTGTAATTTGTTCGATGCGTAAAGTTCTGGCTATATTAATCGGGCGAGCTCTCGAGAATTTCTCGGCACACGAAGGATGCAACTGCCCTGCATGTAGCAAATTTCCCGTCACTTATGTCGGATACCGATCATCTGTCATACAGAACTTTTGTTGTATGACAAGAAACTAGCATCATATGTAAAGTACCAATCTAGACATGGTTCATAATCCGACCTGCGAAGTATGTGGCCGTGGGAGTGTAGATATGAAGTACTTATTTGCTTCCTTCTATAAACCACCGCCCCTTCATAGGACCTAGGCCTTCATAGGACCTGGGAACATCTTAACTGAGGTAGTATGCCAGATTTCGTAGTCTATAAATTGCTACTTTCAGGACGTAGGGACTTTTCCGAACCTGTACTGGGCCCACGCCATACTACCTTCATGCAAGGTCCACGTCCTCTTGCCCTCATCATCGCCAGCCGCACCGGCTGCTACGTAGACTGGCATCAAATGATCGAAGCGCTGAGAGTAATTAGCTGCGTTCACTCATTAATTTTTTTTAAAAAAAAACAGAAACTCACCGGGTGTGCTTGTCTGGCGTCAGGCCGTTTAACAACTTCTCGCATACGAGCTTGTCGTTCGCTGGGTGAAGACTCGACAGCGTCCTTCAAGGCCTCGTCAAACGATACTGTGTACGGTAACGGTCTCGGGTCGCCCCAAGTGGAAGATAAATCTCTTAGGTTATGCACAGACATCCCCGCACCGATGATGAGAATGTTCTCATCGCGTAGAGGGGCAACGGCTTGTCCTAGCTGATAATGCATGTCCGCGTCTTGGTTGTTATACAAGCTCACTTGTACCAAGGGGACATTGAGAGGGTTCTCTTCGGGGTGGAAAGCTTTACCAAGCGTGGGTGTTAGTGGCGACAGGAGTCATATATTGTATGAAATAGGTGCTTAAGGTAAGCATAGCTAAGAAATAGAATTACATACCAACGTGGAATCCCGACCACACTCCGTGGTCAAGACCTCTAGTTACTCCTTTTGCCTTGATACCAGCATTTGTTAGGAGGTCGATGATCTTGGAGGCCAGTTCAGGGCTTCCCCTATTAGGATACTTCGCCTTGTAGTATTCAGGGGGGAAACCGTAGAAGCTACCACCCAGACTTGTTAGCGTTGGTTCCAAGAAAAAAAGAAAAAAAAAAGGATTCCATTAGATACAAACGCACTCGTAGATCAAGTCCGTGTGCTCAGCGGTATTGACCTCGATGACATTTGGTCCAGCTTCCCAATGACCGGAAAAGACGACGACAGCTTTAGGCTTCACTTTCTTAGTGATTTCTCTTCCAATGTTCTGGAGGACAGGATAGGCGGGATGATCCGTCTCGTATTGTACATTCGGCTATAACTCTAGGTTAGGGTAACGAGTCGAACGACCTAGGTAAGTCAAACTACACCAGAACTTACCCCGCCATGACTGAAGAAATAAACCGGGGCCCTGGTAGTAGACATTGTCGATGATTGTGAGTTTGCTGATGTTTGATACTGAGCGATGATGGAGGAAACCGGGTTTAATATGGAAAGGGGTAACACGGCGCGAGATAGCGACGACGAGAATAAGAAAGCCACGATTACGACAAGAAGGGATACGATTAGAAATGTCTTAGTAATTAACGTTGGATAATTCATGTTATTCTAGGAACGAAGAACTTGTAACGATTCTATGGAAACGGGAGATGGGAGGTATGTAAGTGAAGCCATTTGTAATTTCCAGTCCCCTGTCCTCCCCTTCCCCGGCTGCTGGAGGTGCACCGAGATTCCAGGTGTAAGTCAACTAACCAGGCCGCTAAAAGGAGGCTATATTATTCGATTCTTCAGCAATTACCAACGATCTGTCAGCATAAAGCCTAGCGTTAAGTTTGATCCGCTAGGAGATAGCTAACCTAACTGGTACAATACGTAGTGTGATAGAGTGGGCTGTTGCATTAATTTTTAGGCGTTGCTAAAGTAGCCGTCCGTACGCTTAGTTGCTTCATGTAGGAATGCAGCCAATCAAAAACTCAACGTTACCAAGGTTGCGGGTACGGTACCTAATGTGCATTGAACGACCCCGCGAAGTTAATGGAAACTAAAAAAAGGAAAAAAAAAAAGAATCAACCATCACTTATTACCTAGATCAATCGATCCTTACCTATTATTCCCATCTACCTGCCCATCTAGCTGCTTACCTCATATTCCCAACCTAACCTGGTGGTGGATGCTCTCCTTGTCTATCGCAATTATTAATATTCCCATCTTTTCGTTTATAGTGTTGTCTTCGTTGTCGTCTCTTTTATTAAACGACCGCATTCGCCACATCGAATTCCGATCCCGCCATGGCGATGCGAGCTCCACCGCTGCTGTTCCCGGCTGCCGCCAAGCACACAGCTACCGTCATCTTCCTCCACGGATTGGGCGACACCGGGTACGGATGGGCGTCGGCTGTAGAGAACTGGAGACGGCGTCAGAGATTGGATGAGGTCAAATTCATCCTGCCCCATGCCCCGCGTATCTCGGTTACGGCTGTAAGTTAATCTTCCACTACGGGTTGAGATGATGACCTCGGTCGGTGGGACTCACCATAACTGGACAGGCGGGCGGAATGCCTATGCCTGGGTGGTACGATATCGTAAGTGGACTTTCCCTTTCGCCTTGCCTGGTTATCCCTCGTCCGTTTCTAATGATTTACCCATATTTAAGTTTGCTCTGAGCGGCAAAATAGAGGATATCAGAAGAAATCAAGATGAGCGGGGTATCCTACAGAGTAGAGAGTACTTGAACGGGTTGATCCAAGAAGAAATCGACTCTGGGATACCCTCGAACCGCATCGTACTTGGCGGCTTCTCGCAAGGTGCGGCCATGTCTCTCTTTACCGGCTTGACGGCCAAGGTCAAGTTCGCCGGCATTGTCGCCCTTTCGGGCTACTTACCCTTGGATACAAAGCTTGAGGAGCTTCTCCAGGAGAATGATCACAACCGCGAGACGCCAATTTTAATGTGTCACGGCGACGAGGATGAGGTCGTACCGACGCAGTTAGGCAAAATGTCTTACGAGTTGTTGAAGAACCATGGTTTCGACGCTACGATGAAGATATATCCGTAAGTGATAGCTTGTTTTTTTTTTTCCTACGGATATATCATCTCTGGTTACGATAACTAATAAAAAATAGGGGTCTACCTCATTCGGCCTGTATAGAGGAACTTGATGAGGTTGAATCATTCTTGAGAGCTCGTCTTCCACCTCAGGACGGCAAGAAGACTGAGCTACAAAATTAACGAACAGTATGGAGTGGATATTTAATGAAAAAAAGAAAAGAAAAATAGAGTGCGTATAGGAATAAGAGAGACTGCCCCTCTAATATAGCGCTAATCCTGCGAGGTGCTTCGTATGGCATTAAGATGTACATGGGTGTTCGTTGCGGATTGGGCGACAAAGACGTCTTGCAGTATAAATCGGAATATTTCGAGGCTGATCGTCCGATAGCAGATATGATTGGATGTCGAACCTTTACTACTCGTGAGCCAGTCTATACACGTAGAGATGTGCGTGAAATATATGAAGTAGTCTGCAGATTTACAGAGGGATGTCTCGAAAATCATGTGACACGCTGGATCCCATTAGAGTAGGTATTTTATTTGATTTTGTTAACTTCATAGGTTAGGTACCTAATCACTTCGAGATACACGTTCTTTTGATTAGACATTGGAAGTATTGTTATATTAGGTACCTACGCAGAGGTGTTAGGAAGTTTATTAGAAGGGGGGGTTGTGTTATCTTATCATATAAGTACCTCCTATCTGCTACCTAAGTTGGAGGGTGGAGTCGCAAGATAGTGGCATAACGGCGTAAGCTTTAACTGGGCTTACGTACATGTACTATGAGGTAGGTAGTGTAATGCTTTGAAGCAAAGATACCTTACCTTACCTTACCTAACCCAAGCCCTTTTTTATTTAACAAGATCCCAAAAACAAGATTCATTCTCCCATCGGGATATTTTAACTTTTTTGTCTCTAGATTATTCTATGTGTCTCGTTAGCATCCCCGTCCTTGAAAATCAGCCTACTTTTTTATTCCTAAATTCCTTTCAGGGTCTATAGGTAAATTACATATGTACTTGTTACTCGCCTTCTCATGTAGCTGCATAGCTGTTGAATGAACCTATGTGATGTCGTCTCTTCCGCTATTAGCCCGATAAATTAATTATTAGGTATTATCAACTTATCAACTATTGCTACTACCACCTCTAGTCCCGAGAATCCACATCAGCCGTTGCTACGCTATCGGATCGTCTAGTTCTCTCCCTCCGGGATTGAGATCCTATCTATTCTTACACGGGCAAAAGTAAACAAGCCCCGCCAACCAAAACCCATCGTACCGATATTAAAAAGAGATAGAGAGAGAGAGAAAGGGGGAAACTTCATTAGCCGAAGATAATAATGCCGTCAACTGCACGGACATCAGCATCTGGTAGGCCACCGTCGCCATCTCCTTCTCAAGTTCCTCTTCCCGCGTCGCCAACATACTCGTATGCCTCCACAGCCAATCCGCTATCTCAATATAATTTACCACTCCCGCCTCCTCCCCGCCCAGCTCACGCCGTACTCTCCAAAGCCGACCTCGATCAGTCCCAGCTAGCGTACTCGGATTTGATAGCTACTGCGAAATCCTACCGAATCGCCCTCGCGTCTCTCTCCACCGCCGCCTCCGCATTCGGCTCCGCCCTCGAGGCCTGCGCGAGGCTGAAAGAAGCACGAGCCGAAACCCTCGGCCCGCCTACCGGCACCAGCCTAACAAACAGCTTCACTACAAAGGGGTCATGCACCGCGGAGCTGCTCTTAAGCGCCAGTGGCGTGCATCACCTAATCGCAAACCATCAGCAGATCCTAAGCGAGACCGTGTATAAGTCGTTCGAGGTACCCCTGCTGCACGAGCTGGACCAGTGGCGGCGTAATATCGACGAGGAGGACGAGACGTACAAGCGCGAAGTGGCGGCGCGCAGCCGCGAAATCCGCCGCCTCGAGAAGGAAGGGCTCAAGCTACATCGCCAGAGCCGCCGACGGGATGTGGCCAAGTTCCGCGAACACCTGGTTACCCTGACTGGCAAACTCGACGGCCTGACGGGATTGCACGCCGACCACGCCCGCACCCTGCTGCGCGACTCGCAGGAGGCTTCGGCGAAGATTCTCGAGGCGAGCTGTTCGCTCGTGCGCGCCGAGGTCGACATTTTCGAAGGCTTGGCGCGGAAAGGGTGGACAGGCGGGGGACTCGACGATTTGCTAGAGAAGGGCCAGGACTTGTTCGCGAGCGACGAGGATGGGCTACAGGGGGCCGCGACGGTGGCCGGGGTCACGCTGGTCGCAGCCAACAGTGCGGTCGGAGAAGGAGGGGCGAAGCTGTTTAGTATACTTCCGCCCAAGAGCATCCTAGCCAACGACGCGGCCTCGGCTTCGGTCTCGGATTCCGTACTGACCTCACGCGCAGGTGGCGGGCGTGCCGACAGCTTAGTAGTTGATCCGGAGGAAGACCAGTTTCAAAGCTTGACGGGAGCGGTGGAGCAACCGCAAGACCGTGAGAGAAACGGAGAGGATAGCGAGAGCATATTTTCCGAGTCCAATATGAGCCGAGGTTTGAGGCCGTTCAGTCCGCAGCCTATCCGCCGACGAACTACAGATGTGGTTATGGATCCGGAGGAGCTGTTATTCGGCGGCGGTGGTGGCGTCGAGGAAGAGTTTAACAACGATATCGTATCGGATTTGGGTGTGGATGCAGATGCAGATGCAGATGACGATGACGGGTATGACGCTGTAACAGTTAGGGGCGCTAGTAATTCACCAGGTCGGACGTTAGAGATGGAACTGGAAGAAGCAGAGTCAAGTCTACGTCTACTACAAGAGGACGACGACGACGAGCTAAACGGAGACCCCGAGTTCCAGGAGAGGCATGAGGGAACACCACAGAGACAACCCAGCAGTAGTAGTGAGCCGGTTTCACTACCACCCCCACTGTCAACGGGGAAGGACGAAGTGCTAGGTGATAGAGAGTTTGCTTAATTATGGTTGCATAGCACATAGCACATGTGCGTACACACACTTTTATTCCTCCTCCTCCTCCTCCTCCTCCTCCTCCTCCTCCTCCTACCGGCATAGAGAGGATGCTACACAATGATGAGAAGGCGGGAAGGGTTACCTATAGGATAGGATGGTTCTAACGGCGGTTACGGCGGCGTAATATTCATTTATTAGTAGTGTATTAAATTTTTCATGGCAGACGAATAGATGAAACGAGGCATATATATCTTCCACATTAGGACGCTATCCCTCGCTCAGTATTTTCTCACTTCCTAGCTCTTGTATGACTTGTATTACCTTAGTTAGTGATACATGCTGTCTTACCGTTGCTGGCAGCACGCATATGTATAATAACATTACACCCAGACACTACAGTACCTATTACTCATACAAAAGGGAACACGCACATTGTCACGACTTGGAGGTCCATTATCTTCCCATTGGTCTCGAGTAACCTAACTCATCGTACAAACAGCAAAGCAAACTCCTCTTGGTAACAGCTATGCGCAATATGCCGCTAACCCAGCTCCCATGTCCTCCTTTTCCGCGTGCAGCTCGTCTGTAGTAATGATGACGAGATCAAAGCGCGTAGCAAATCTCCTATACTTTACTATCTGTTTGTAGGACATCTTATACTTGAGGTATGTATGTATGCGTGTATTCCTGAACTCCGGTGAAGGGGGTTGCATTACCAAAACCAGCTCGTCCCCCAGCGTCCCTACTTTTTATTCATAACGTTACGAAGTGCGAATTCGAATCGATCCCCTGAGTTGATGCGCGTATGAGGCGCCTCTTAGTCTTCCTTGTCGCCACTAACGAGCTCGCGACCAAAGAGCCCAAACCAGAGATCCAGGTAGTACATTAGCTGCCAGTACAAACTAGCCTTGTTGAAGTCAAATTCTCCGAGTTCGTTACGGGGCACTTCGTTTCCGATCATCGAGCCGCCGAACCATCCTATCAGGGGGATGTAAATTAGCAGCTTCTGCTGCCAGGTCAGTTGGGGGGCCAAAGCTTGATCGGCCGGCAGGATTCTAGCCCGCTTGGCCTCTGGAATGCGCCGGCAGTACGTGTTGTCCACCGGCTCTACATTCTGCGATACATCTTGGGCCACGCCCGTCACCGTTGCTGTTGACGCCGTAGCGGTATCCATGGTCTGGGTTGAGCTTTGCGATCCCGGTGGGGAGTCGTGGACGCCGGTAACTCGCTCGATCGTCTGTGCTGAAAGAGTCCTGGGGAATGTTGGGCCTTTATCCAAACGGGGCTGTGATAATCTTTTCGGCGCGCTTCGGAAGGTGTTGGACCTGAATGGATCGATCATACCAGCATCGCCCACCACATCCAGCACCGCAGCGTCTTCCTTAGGAGGTAGGCCACGATATAGTTCGGCGTAGACAAGATGACCTAATATATGCTGTGGAGAAGCGTACGTGGCGGCGTCTGCTGCTTCTGATGATTCAAACGTGATCTTCACCCAGTGTTCGCCGTTGGCCACTCTGCTGACCTTAGCCCTCTCGGCAGCGGTTAAGGGTTGTCGCCTTGTGAGCGCAGGATCTCGTAGGTCCGATTTGTAGCGTCGCGCTTCGACGGGGGGTTCTCTAGGGTAATCTTCACATATCCTCCCTGCCAGTTGCTCGTAATGGTTGATAGCCGCATACTGCTGCGATGGCGATGAGTAACCTCTCAGGATGACCTCGACAGGCTCTTTGCGATACGTCGAAGTCTGGGTGGTAGAAGCGGGATCTTCTTGTGACTGCGAGGTGGTTTGTCCCAAATAACTAGGCTTTCGTTGTGTGGCTACGGTAGCTGTTGAAGTCGTCGTTGTCGCCGTCGTCGCGTTGGAGGCTTGCTGTCGGCTTGCTATATAATTCGAAAAGATTTTATCGGCACTATGCATAGTAGCATCTTCACGTTTCGGCGGAGCGCTCCCTGTTCTTGATCGGGATCTCCTTGTTGATTTACCGAAGGAGCCTGATTCTGTTATCTCTCGCGCACGCGTCCGCGGGAGAGGTCGTTGTCTTTCGCCTCTGTTATCAGACATGGTGGTAAGCAGGTTTTGATTTCAAGGTAACACTTTTCTTTGAGGAAAAAGGAAAAAAACAGAAACGGGCATGTTACGTACTCGGGGAAATACATAGCGTATGGGCGCTGAATTCCATCGTCTCCGGTGTAAAGTTCCTCGTCCGGGACGTTATGCAGGATCAATGGTCTCATTGTCTCTAGCCCGTTATTCGATGAGTGGAAATTCGGGGAATGAGATACAATGTTTAGGACCCCCAAAGCGGATAGGCAAACACAAATGAATACCTAATTAGGGATGGATGAGTTTTAGATGCCAGAGGCGCAAACTGGCAAACTGGCGAGTGATTGAGAGAAACGGGTTGAAATGATTGGAAGGGGGGATTTAATTAAATTTGGATGGTACTGGCAACAATGAGAATGTTGCTCGGTAGGTACTGAGATGTAACCAAAGAGCAAAAAGAAAATAAAAAATATTGTAGCTGCAACGCGCTTCTAGTGTGGTGTATTATGGAAACTGCCATACCCACCTAGCAATGGTGTGGTACAGGTACAATACCAGGTACCTACCTTCTTTATTACCTGACAGGTACCTAAAAGTTGCTTCTATTACTTTAGGTGGTTAGTTCAAATGCTGAACCTTTACCTAAGCACGCTAAATCCCCCTATAGGGCGTAGTGCAAATCAATAATTCCGCTTTTCGAGTTGCATGTGGCTGACAAGCAGAGACGGGTCCATTTGATAGGTCGACGTCACCGAATTCTCTCGGAAGCTATTGCAGCTTCCAAAGTCAACTTCCAAAGTCAACTTCCCAACTCAAGTCAAAGCCCCGAACCGGTAAATTTAGCTACAAGACCAGTTTCAGACTTCGCTTTCCTCTACTTCAATCTTACATTTATTAGTAAAGTCACACATCACACCCGAGCCCGTACTCACAATGTTCCGCTTTGTATGTTTAAAGTTCTTAACTACCTAAACTACCTAACTAACAAATACTACACTACATAAACAACGGATGCTAATGCGTGAAATAGCACAAACCCCTTGACATTATTACCCTCTTCCACAAGGCAAGCTCACCAGCTTCCGTGAGGGCAGCAACTTTCCTAAAGCAGATTTCAGCCACCATCAGTGAAACAGCAACCGAAGATCAAGCTAGTGATCATTCTCACCAGACGCATCCCAAGCTCTCGCGTGACGAGTTCGAATTGAACATAACTGAGGACCCTCCCACTACCGACCAACTTAAGACTATTCTAGAGTATGTCGGTAAGAACAGGATCAGCTGTATCGTGCAAGGCGCATCGACCGAGAATGAAGCTCTGAAGAAGTTCAAGGAGAATCAGGAAAACTTCAAACGGCCTGTGGTACGTCTCGTTTTCTTTAATCACAATTACCCCTTTTTCTCTCCCCCTTTTTTTTTGTCTCCACCGTTCACTAACTTTGGGGACAGATTGTCGACTGGAACAATGGCAAGGCAGTTGCTAGTGACCAAGAGTCTGAGATACTCAAGCTATTAGAGCAAAAGAACGGCAACTAGTCATCCCCGGGGGCATCATACCCAAAATATGTGCCTTTATTCAACTCCTACTAGTTAGGGTTAGCCTTGGCTAAGCTCTATGGACCATTTGCTAGCTTGATTAATATCCGGACCTGTTTCTAATCCATTCTAGTGTTTTTATTAGCTAGTTAGTAAAGGGACACCTGATTCAGATTGTCATGGACAAACTCTACTCCTATGATTCATATCTCTACCTTCTTCCATTGTGGCATATGTCTGGATCTGTAGGTTAGAATCTTATGACTTAAACAATCATTTATACACCCACATGTCCCTTGTTCAGTTCTCATGTTTTAGGGGGAAAATTAAATAGGGGAAGGGCTACATCCTACGACTACCCCTACTTGTCAAACCACTTGCTTCGTAATGAGAACTATAAGTAATGCATGCTTGATTCCAATACAAACGAAAGAGGGCATAACATATCACACTAATGTTTGCTCTTTATGCTTTCTAAGAAATATTAGAAAAGGACAACTCTGTTACGTTCTTTATATAGGTACCTTAGGTACTTGCCTAAAGTTAGAAAGGGGATCACCCCTAATCGTAGAGGTACGCTGGTTATGGGATGAATTAAAGCTGTAGCTACAATACAGAAACTAGGCTTTACGACTTGCCTACCTAAGGTACCTAGGGACTTACTTAACGACCAGGTAAGCAATAGGTAGGGCGTTACGGTCTTGCCAAATTTCGAAAATAAAAATTTTCTTGTGCGTTGCTGCACGCACGGCGGCGTTGCTATGGTTGTGTTTGGAAGTTGCTAGGTAAATTAGCAAGCACCTGCCCCGCTGTTGTCGCCGTTACGGCCAGGCCGTACTTTCTGCTTGTAGGCATCATCGTTAGGTACGTTGCCGGGCACGTTGCCAGGTATGTTGCTAAGACTCCAGGCCTACCTAAGTAACGCAACTGCCTTACGACGCGTCTGCCTACCTTTTAGCGTGGAAAATTCTTTTCCAAAAAAGTATTTAAGCCCAGCCGTACGTCGTTCTTCCTCCGTTTGCCTTCCGCCTCTTCTATTTCTTCTTCTTCACATCCACCACTCTATATAAACCCTACCCTTTCCCACAAACAATAAGACTTAATATCTTTCTTCACACCTCTTCACACCTCTTCAAATTTATCCACAACCCTACTTCAACCCCAACTCATTTCAATACAAAGTGGGATTTGATTTATTCTATTTTATCAACCCTCCCCAACCAAACACGTGGTCAGAAATCATCAAGAACACCCCCAATACTCTCTTCTACATACCTATTATTGACTATTGTCATTCTTTAAACTGCATATGATACTTAGAAAATATGATTCCTGGGACTTGCACTTATTCATGTCTACTTTCATCATGACCAGCCCAAAGTACAGCTGTTGGCTGTAATCTTATGACTGAAGCCGAGTTCTTGGAAACTTGAAGAATTTGGGTTGATATTCTCAAAACAACTTTCTACCTATCCATGATTGGATTCACCAATCCTGACTAGTAAGTAATCATTTTCTTCTATACTCCCTACCACACCCGCTCTATGGGTGGCTACAGCACCTCTACCCATAGTCTTCGCGATAGTCTTCACGATAGACTATCAATACTAGCCTTGCCTTATACACTATTTTACCCTCCTAATACATAGGAAGATGTGTCCCCTCAACCCTAATATTGTTATATTTGACTTCCTGGTTTTATTACGCGGTCTCGCTAACATGGACTTAAAGTGACAGCTTCAAATACGCCACCTCATAACACAGATCAACGTCATACCGGGCTGGAGAAACAAGCCCGACCAGAACGCTGGAGCTTTCCAAGCCCTCAAGTAATGGTTTGCCCTACATCCAATTGGCTTCCGGTTAATCTAAGTTGAAATCCGTCTGAGCACATTGCATTACGATAACAGGCTCTAAACCCACAGACATCGGTTCAGGGCCTCATCCAATTCGCAGAAAGGAGCTGTCTGCTGCAGCCAAAGAAGAGGCAAGCAGTAGCACTCTTATTCATACTTATTATCCGAGAGGCTCAGAGCACGAATACATATGAGGACATTCTATTAGTATTGCTCAAGGAGAAGCTATTTTATGGATGAACAATTTTCACCCTTCGACTACACCTACACCTCATCACATATTATTATGTCGTTAAAATGGGACTTTGGTAAAGCAGTACAAGTTCCCTTCTATTACGGCCTGGATAGCGCTTCCAATCAGAAGAGGATGGACAACCTATTAAGCTCAAACATGTGGCCAACATTTCTCTTCCGGTGAATTGCCAGTATCGATTTGGAGTCAACATCGCCACTGCTGGGTGACACTTAGTCTTTCAACCCTCCGCGAACCAGGATTATGGGTTCATGAGGGACAAAGATTTTGAATTCAAATTGTGATTGTCTTTTGATGTTGGCACAACAATGAGACCTGGGCATATAGAACTGGGGGATGTCCACCATCTACATCGGTGATGGGGAAGAGGTGGACGTTGACGTTATGGGAGGGAGAATTGTAGCCCAGACGATTCGACAAAGAAACGTATTTGCTGGTCACATTAAATGGATCACTTCCGGTACGAGACATTGATGCCGCGGTCTTCGATCCAACCCGATAGTCGCCCCATAACAGCCTGGCCATGATGCAGACCATGGATAGGGACTTTCGTACAGACACATCTATCCTCGGAACTACTTACCTATTATAACTCTCAAGGTCGATACCTATTTTATATGACCAAGTCCTACAACTTCAAAGTATCTCCACGATTCACCGGGGGTTCCCTGGCTGTGCAAACACAACCATATTTCAACACTCAGACGACTCCAGGATGCATTTTGCAGGAAGTCAAACAGCAACAACTTATTTACTCCGCAATTCCCCGGTTTCCATAGATGGGGCCGTGGGGGCTGTCCTGATTTCCGACCTTTCGATTGGGGGTACGGTCGGTAATAATACCGACGATTCCGAAATGTATCTCCCGATACATTAGACATTATCAATCATCGCATCAAGAGATTCTGCGAATACCAGTCCACTCTTTCCCTCCTTTCCGTTCTTCTCGCCATTTCTCACTTATTCCTACTTGGACTACCTACCTCCTACTTACACCAACTGCAACCTCATGTGAAGAGCAAAATAGTTTAATGTCTATGATATTCTGTTCTGGCACCGGGGTGGGAGTGTCGACGAGGACGACCAGGACCATAATCAGTTTGATCCCTGACAAGACAATAGCCTTGTTGAAGAAACTACGATATTTATCACAAAACCGGGATTGGTTGTGAAACTACGATGGATTCCCCGGTTGGGCTGGGCGTGACTAAATCGTCTCTACCCGTACCGTGTTGCATGCTTACCTATACCTAATATCATATATACTTCATGACAATAATGGCAAGTTAGATAAAACAAGGGAGCACGTTTATTAATATTCCTATTTCGAACCAAACCGGGTATTGTTCTCATTATTGTAACATAGCAGCATGATTAACTTAGGTTAGGTTAGGTAGGTAGTTTGTTTGTTTTTATTCTGCAACACCAGCTCTGGAAATTTATCTATGGAGTCTCGCTCTTGACTAATTGTGTGACGGTCTCTTCGATCTGCTTGTCTGTAAGTCCTGTAGTATCATCGTTAGCATATGGCTGCCCCATGTGTAGGTGAATACCTGATGTGTGTGTATTACCTTCTAATGACTGGCTCTTCTCCTTTCCAAATTCTGTTCATCACAATGCGTTAGTAATTCCCTTGTTGTAGAATAGTATGCATAGTATGGGTTTCTGAACGGACCGTATCTCGCGTAGACCTTGGGCAGAGTACCAGAGGCTTCTCGTATGAGGATAGGTGTGAATGGGTTATTCTTCTTCATCGTGGGGTACGCTCTTGTCAGGAATGTCCTATAGAGTGGTAGTAGTGGTAGGACTGTTGTTAGCTAGCTGTGTCATTTTTGAATGGTATTATGGAGGTTGAATTCGCGCGCTCACCTCGTCGCAGCACTACCCTCCCCGGTGTGGCAGAATAGGAAGCGAATTTCCTTTAGGGCCTTCGTGAAAGCATATTTTCCCGACATCTTTTGCGATTGGCTTCAAGGCGATCGGGAATGACGGGGTCGGATGGGGAGGGGGGATATGTGGAAGTTGGGCCTCGAAGAATGTTTGGATGGATGCAACGACGCTTGAAGCTTTAGTTCCAAGGGTCAACCGAATTGACGTCGGCAAATGCATAAAGATTACATACGACGTTGTAAGCCCGTTTATGCAAGTTTATGCACCTAGACAGGTTTTACCATGCTAAATCAGAATGGGAGCCGCACCTAAGCGATGCCACTTTTATCCGCTCAAGCTTGGAGCAAGCCAGGCGGCCCACCAGCAGGGCTGGATGTCCAGCCACAGCTACATGGCTACGTCACGTGGCTATGCAGAATCGATATACCCATTGATCAATGTACATAGTCCTCTTACATATCGGGCTAGGAGAGCACGCAACTTGCTACCACTTGACGGCCGTAGGCTTCGGGGCCGAGGGAAAGAATTAGTAAGAATGTTTTGCATTTATTATGAAAATTAAATAGAAGAGAAACCTGATATGGGCTGTGTCTGGTTTTGTGGCGGAGCGACAATGAAAGGAAAATCATATCGAGATTTCAATAATAAATCTTTAAGTCCATCTTTATGGTTTATATGTAGACTACCTAGGTACACCGGGACTACATTGAGAGCTATAATAAAGGGAAAAACTTCAAATTGGAACCTTAAAGTTAGCTCGAAACGTAGATCGCTGTGTCCAAGGGAAATGTTTACAGGTAGGCGTATACTGAGTCATATAGGCTTTCTGGTTTGTTATAGGGAGTACCTCAGAGGTACGACTGAAGAACCTCTTAGACCACCGCTTATCGGGAGACTTATAGGTAATAGTACCTAGGTATTTTTACCTCCTTACCCTTCATATCATAGTATATACTCCTACAATCACTGCGGTGACCGCACAAGGTTAGGTAGGTATGTTGACTAACCTACATTTTCGTCAGTTAGAAATCAGCACTTCCCCCACAGCTCCGCGCGTCTACTACAATGCTACATTACGGTTGCCACTTGGCCTTTATAAATTCCAGGGCTCTTCTTTAGAGAAGGAAACAGAAACCAGAAAACATATTAGTGGACAGTATTGGTAGTCTCGGAGAAACAACAAGAACAACGAGCAAGCTAGGCTTCCCATACAGCGAAAATGACTTCCCTCGTTAGAAGTTCACTGCGAGAAGAAAACTTGGTGATTCGACAGCTTTTTGGCTATTCCTATTCCGACACGGGCCAGGACACGGGCCAAATATCCTCGCTATCCTCGGCACACGGAGCCCGCGACCTCGGAGCCACATTACCGAATTCTTCGATGAAAGATGTGCTTTTGGTAGGAATCGACGTCGACACATATCAAGGATACGAGCATCTTCCTATTGATCCACAGCTCCACATCGGTGTTTGTATACTGGACACCCGAGTTCTGCATCACTTGATACGCGAGGGCCTGGAGCCGATGCGTGAAGCCGATGCTTCCGATGCTTTGGAGTCACATCAGCTCGTCGTAGGTGACTCCAGGTACTGCAAGGCGGCATCTCGAAGGTTCATATTCGGAAGTTCGCAATCAGTACCGCTACGTGAAGTGAAGGCGCTGGTTGAGTCGCTGGTTTGCCGTGAAGGCAGGGATAAGATCCTGGTTTTTCACGGTTATGACAGTGATCGAAAGGCTCTATCGAACCTCAACATCCAACTGCGACCTCTATACGTCATTGACAACGTCAAAGCAGCCCAATATCCGCTAGGCCTAGCATATCGGTTAGGACTCGAGGCGATGCTCGACACTTTCGGTATCCCATATGCCAACTTGCACGCTGCCGGAAATGATGCTCACTACGCTCTGCGCTCTCTGTTAATGATTGCAGTTACTGACGGACAGAAAGTGGAATTAGAGCCTATCAGTAAGGATCTATTTCCGATTTTGTCTGCCGTTGCTCTCAGTCCGAGGCCAAGTACGGCTGGAGAAAGAGAGGCAGCTTTGAGTGAATATCGTCGTCAAATCAAGGCGGAGAAAAAGGCACGCGACAAGGCTCGACGGGCTGCAGAAGCAGAAAGGAGAAGATAAGAACGTGAAGCTCGAATCGAGACATAGCCAATAGGCCTACACAGGCTATAGACAACGGCACTATACCTGAGGTCAAGATTCACATCGGAGTTGAATCTCTTAGGAGATCCTAATACTTCGAATCGGAATACGACATCTCTAATAATTAATGACAAATTGCTTGAAGGCAATGTATGTGGTGGCGATGGGTTCGGTAATCATGGTTAGGAGAAAATACCATAGGGGGATTTGCAAGGTCTGATAAACCATCAACCAACGGTCATTTGACTATTAGCCATTCCCAACGTTGAAAAAGGAACGAATACTTGAGCGAGAGCTGGTAAATATAAATATCAAAAGCGGTTTATGCGTTGAAAAAGATATAAACGTTGATGCGCGCAAGCGTTGAAATGTGTAAGCGTTTAAAATACTTTAGGCGTTTAAAATGTCAAGCGTTAAAATATATAGTTAAGCGTTTAAAAAATTCTAAACGTCTAACTTATATAAATGACTAAACCTAATTAAGTACATGGATGCTTTAACGTACGTTACTATAAACATTTATATGTATATAACGGTTAAATGATCATTGATTATCGATAAATTATTTAGCTATGGTAGATAAGGCAAGACAAGATGAGACATTGTCGCGTAACTTGACGGGTTGTACGACTTATGAAAGTTTATGCACGTTTGTGCAACTGAGCAAGGGGTACTTATACAGGTACGTAGTATTATCAAACCCCCTGGCTTCCCAACGGTTTAGGTATTTAGGTAGGTACGTAGTACCTTATTGATCTAAGTTGCTAAGTTTAGATACCTCGCACTCCGCTATCTAATCACCGGAACCCCAACTAAATTTACCTAGGTACCACCTATCCTAATATCGGAACCTGCGATTTCACAAACTTCTTTATTCTGACAACACCTCATCACACAAACAAACTCCACTCCCCAAGGTCGAATCCCAAGAACCTTACTTATAACCAAAAAAAAAAAAAAAAAAAAAATGCCTGCCACTACGATTCTCTTCCGCGCCGCCCGGCCCGCCTTCCAGCAGTCTGCCTTCCGCGCGGCTTTCCGCGCCAACGTGGCTCCCCAGACCGGTCGCCGCTTCGCGAGCACCGCGGCCACCGGGGAGGCGGCGTCGCAGAGCTGGATTCAGCGCATGTGGAACAGCCCCGTTGGTTTGAAGACGGTACACTTCTGGTAAGACACTCCTTTTTTTTTTTCCTTTTTTTCCTTTCCTTTCTTCCCTAGCGCATCCGTAATTAACCACGAGGTCTCTTCGTTCGCAATGACGCAGGGCGCCGGTGATGAAGTGGGCGATCGTCATCGCGGGTGTCTCCGACTTCGCGCGGCCGGCGGAAAAGCTCTCGTTAACGCAGAACGGCGCGCTGACCGCCACGGGCCTCATCTGGACGCGCTGGTGCTTCGTCATCCACCCCCGGAACGTCCTCCTCGCCACCGTCAACTTCTTCCTCGGCTGCGTCGGCATCATCCAGCTCGGCCGCATCGCCATGTACCGCAGGTCGCAGAAGGAGGGGGAGTCTGGCGCCGGCGAGGCCAAGGAGGGTGTTGGCGCTTAAAGGGAATAAATAGATCAGTAGTAGGCGCATAGGCAGCAAAAGCAGGCATGGGTTACGGGGTGATATGATCATTTATATCAAAGTATGGGGGGGAGGGAGGGGGCATTGTGCATATCGTGGAGAGCGGATGGCGGACGGCGGACGGTTGCATGTCGAAATGCTGACCGGCAGACTCGAATGGGCCCGGACTCGAAATATTTCGCAAAAAAAACTATAGACTACGGGGTTATTGGTGCTTTATGGGTTGTCTTGTCTCGAAGGTAGAGGCGCTTAGACGATGACGGATTAGATACGTAGGGCTATTCTCTCGTTGATTCTCCTAGTATGGTAAAGTCGGGACTTAGAAGAGGGGGGCTTCTTTTGTACAGTACCACCACTTTACTACCTGGTGCATGACATCAACTTTTAACATTGAACTTTTCTATTTACGGTCTTGGCGTATAAGTGTTTTGACTGATGAGTGAATAATCATTTAAAATCATAACTAACTGGTATAAAATGGAATGTTTGGAATATTGGGAACAAGATACACTCTGCAGTCTACCTGATGTTAATGCTAAAATACCCCTGGGTATAAACTGCTTGAGGATCAAACACCAAGGTATCTCTATAATTTACACTAAACCCATCAATATCTGCTCACGAAACGTAACCTCTTTTGTAGCTTAAGGTATAGTAACACTACCAAGCCAATTCCTTTCCCAGAACCGATTCCTTAATGCAAATCCTCGTGAATCACGTCGACATTGATCATGGCCAAAAGCTGACTATGAAACTAAAACCAGAAAGCTCCAAAACCAACCCCCTAATACAAGATAGCGTAGATAGCGTAGGATGCGGTATGAACTTACTTGCTATAAGAAGCAAGCTAAATATCGCAATAGTGGCAGCAGTAAAGGGCTCAAGGCTTCGCTTCCACATCCATGATGACGTATTTGCCGCCGTAATCGGGGCAAGCCCTGTAGAACTCCTTCACTTGCGCATAGTCCATGTCGTGAATACACATCTCGTCCAGTTCCAAGTCGTCATTCATGATGGAAGAGAGATTCTTGTCTCCCCATTGAACAGACGGGTCGGCTGCCTCCTTTACTTGAGCATGCTCGTGTCGCAATCCTAAGATGTGTCCCAGCTCGTGGCAGAACAGATTGGTCATCAAATCATGCTGGCCATTTACCTCTATGAAAGCCTGTTCGTATACTACCAACAGTCGCTTAATTGGCGGTGTATTGGGAAAGAACGCAGTTGCTAGAAAATCGCCGCCGCCTGGTGAGTAAATGAGTTGGAAGACAGCTTCTTCGTGATCCTCGACCCTCTTGAACCGCACGCCAATCTGTCCCTGATTCCACATGTGGACTGCAGCGTCTAGCGCTTCATTAGTCATTGTTAAATACTCAGGACATGACCCAAAACTGGTGTGATTCGTATTGAACGTAATCTCGGATCTTTGCTTCCATCGGTAAATGATATCGCGACATCTCATGCGATGGAGACGTATACTGGTGATTGACGTGTCGTCAGTTACGCAAGGGTATCCAAACGAACCCGCCTCTCTGGTCAGGCATGGGGTATCCTTTAGAAATGCGTCGAATTGCCTCAACGAGAAATCAAGTTGTAGACTGGGTTCGGGCTTAATATCGTCGAGGTCAATCGCGCTGCTTTCACTCTCAACGGCATCGCCATTTTCAACATCCCGACTGGGCAAACTTTGACCGTGTATACTAAGATCAAACAACAAGTCATCCCAGGTTTGGTTGATGCCGATGACACTACTCTCTCGATCAAAATCCTCGTCACTAGGTTGATCGAGAACCTCACTGATCGGGGTCTGCGTAGTTGACTTGCAATCATCCTTACGGATATAAGAGGATTCACAGCTGTGACTGAGGGCGGATGATCCAGTAGTTTCGGTAAGTTCCCGAAAAAGGGCTGCATCTATGACTAACCCTGCTGGCGCAAGCTGTCGAGCGAAAGCAATGGTTAGTTATATATAGGTACATCTTGGGAGAAAGGTTCAACTTACTGCGCTAAAACCTCTTTCGTTTATCTTGCCGTGCTCTTGAATATTGCTAGAAAATTCGACATCATTTGAACAATCCGGGTATTCATTCGGGGTTGCTATGATATGGTCAATGGATAGGTAGTTCCGTGCACGCCAAAGAAGACGTACCTTTTGTATGGCAAGAAGGACAATGGCCGGGGCGGAAATTGCTGGCCATGGCGTGAGAGGTATCCAACTAATAATAACTATGTGAATTGGTTCGAGACTTACCGATCACTTGAAATATTCAATATAACTAAACGGACAAGCAATTCACTATTAAAAGGTAGGAGGCGTGGAATTTATACACAGTTTTCTATCAAAGCTACAGGTACAGTACCTATGAATTGATGTTATTCCTGAACCAAGCACCCAAGCAGTTCGCGACGCTGTCCAAGTTTATGCCACCCGGGTAGCCAATAACCTTTTCTACAGTTACATTACTTATTACCTACCTAGGTAATAATTACCTACCTAGGTGATAAGTAATGAACCGTAGTTATAGGCTAACTTCCCTATAAGTTGATTCAACAAATAGATGGTCACATCCGTCAATACAACTCTGACATGCATTATTTGACCGCCAGTGGAATTGTGTTGTGTAACAAGTTGGAGAGTTCAAACTTGACACTAAGGCTTAATTTGATTTAGGCTGACATGAGGTCCGAGGACTTCTATGTGCGAGGCTCGCAAATGACACGACCAGCTACCTAAATCACACAGCAGTAGGCATCAATCGGTAGAACTTTCGAATAAAATTAGGTATCTTGGAAAAATTCTGAATCATCCCTCCCGCCTGGAAAAGGTAACCTGATACCTAATCAATAGCCAAATGCTGCAAATGCATGCGTCAATGGTATATAGTACAACGTTGTATCGAATTATTCCGAACCGATGGCCTCCTATTCTGCACATCCTTTAAAGGGGAAAATATGCCCGTTGCTCTGAATATCACGCCCTGGTCCATAGAAATTATCTCCTTGATTCCGAGTCGGTAACCTGCGGGAAACCCTCTGAATGCCAAGCTACCAACATGTAATACAGTTTATTCTTCGGAGCGTTGCTGATCGCTATTCCCCGCAGGCTTGCCCTCTCTATTGATAAAGGGGTCTTCAAGAGATGACCTATTAACCACTCTCAAGGTTCGTTGAGTTTGCCTTAAGCAAGGGAGAGATGAAGTTCTAGGCGGGAACTGTTGTACATCACCACTTCCATCAGTTCGGGGTGGTGTAGTAGTGATCCGGGTGTTCTACATCACGGAACACTCGCCCTCTTGTTGTTTGCCGATCTTACTTCGGGAGATGCGTTCACGCTGACGAGGTCCACTTCTGCCAGATCTCTTGAGATCTTCCAGGCGTTCACGCGCCTTAGGGAAATCCTGGCCTATATGATCGTTAGCATACTAGTTTAACCAGGCATAGAGTGTAAACAACTAGAAGGGAACTCACTTGCTGCTCTCCAGTACCATCGTTTGGCATCCTCGAGATTTGCAGTCACGCCGATACCAACCTCGGTAAAATAGCCCATCGCGTACTCCGCCTTTGCTAGCCCAGCCTGGGCTGCTTTTCTGGCCCATAGGTAGGCCTCCGTATCGCTCTGCTGCAATACACCGTCGCTCCCTGTCAGATACCATCCGCTGAGAGCTAGCTCGGATTGATGCTCCTCCTGCGTTGCAGCTCGGCTATACCACATGATAGACAGGCGCGGGTCGACAGGACACCCCATCAGGCCGTATTCGTACGCACATCCCATCCTAAATTGACTGAACTTATATCCGAGGTTGGCAGCTTGCTCGAACAGTTGTAGAGCGTATGCCTCGTCACGGATAATGGCGTCATTTGGTTGCGCCGACTCATACAACAATCCCAGCTCGTGGAGCGCGTGGGGATTCTCGGGGTCTGCGCGCTCTGCTGCTCGTTTCAACCATCCGACAGCCTCCCTCGGGTTCTTAGGCTGACCAAGCAGTCCCTTCAGCATGATCATTCCAACCTTATACATCGCGGGAGTGTCCCCAAGCGTCGCAGCACGCTTATACCACTGGATTGCTTTCAACGGGTCCTTTCGTGTGCCACCTCCTTCGTCGTTGCCGAGCTCGCAGCAGACGGCTGTCCGATAAGCTGCTGCAGCATGTCCTAGTTTCGCTGCTGATTGATATAGTGTGAACGCTTCCTTAGTGTCCGAATCGCCGAAGACGCCACGGCCCGTGCAATCCGCGAAAAAGAACATAGCATCCGGATTTTGAGCACTGGCAAGCTTTTTCAGTATCTTATGCGCGTCCATCACATAACGTTCGCGGGATCTAGCCCTAGCTTTCGGATCGGCAAGCTTAGGGACAAGGACATCCGCAGCTTCGACAAGCTTCTTCGCCAATGTGAGAGCCGACTGCTGGTCGTTCGGATTACTCTTAATAATAGTTCGTAGACGCTCTAGCTCATCGAGTGTGACGGGGGTCTTTTCGGTAACGGAAGCGGGCCGTCCGTTCTGCAAGGGTGGAGGAAGTCTACCTTGCGCTCCGGCAGCAGCAGGTGGCGTATCTCCACTATAGTTGCGAACCGGGGCAGGCTTATCGTTGAGGTTGACCACAGAATTCGGCATCAACCCAGGCCTAATGGGTGCTGGATGCCCAGAGCCTGGCCCGTTCTGTGGGGTTCCTTGAGAACTACGCCTCTGGCCGTTAGGAGTGCCGGGCAGACCTGGTCCAGCACCAGGGGGCCTATATGGCTGGAATCCACCTGGCGGTACCGGTGGCATCTCATTCGCCATCTCGAAAACAGCTGCTTGGGGTTCGCGCAAGTTTGGCTGTGATTTGGCCCTGGACATCTCCGGCTGGCGTGCGGGTCCGGGCTGGTGCATTCCAGGTTGACTAGGGCGCACATGTTGTTCGAAAGGTTCTTGCGGATTTTGGGGAGGAACCGCATCAAAATGTGGTATTTGTTCAGGGTATTGATCTCCGTGCGGACCATAAGAATCAGGAGGACCAGGAGGACCAGGAGGATATTGTTCTCCGCTTGCCCTCTGGTCGTAATACGTATCATAAAATTCGCCGAATGAACCTCGATCTGGTTGGTCATTCCATCCCGGGGGTTGGAGTGAACCGTTCTCGTGAGGTCCTGATGGCACCGGAGGTATCGGAGGCACCGGAGGACCTTGGTCAGGATACATCCTTTGGGGTGGCGGTCTATTACCTGAAGCGGTCGAAGGACGAGGGGGTGGGTAATTGCGTCCGGGAGGGCCATTATAAGGCATGCCGTCTGCACGCGGAAGCGGCGGTGGCATGGCATTTCTCATATAATCGTTATTCGCCGGCATTGTCATACTCCTTCCAGGGGGCCCAAATCCTCCATCTCTTGAAGGCGACATAGGGGCACCATAGCCGTCGCTCGGGTAGCCATAGCCTTGTTCACCTGGAGGACCTCGTCTCGGGTCTGGATATCCCTGTGGAGGCGGCCCTCTTCCACCTCTTTGACTATCCATTGATGGACGTCCGTAATCATCCATTGTTGGCGCTCGCCTAGGTCCCGGCATAGGTCCAGGTCCTCTGGCTGGTCCTGAATTGCTTTTGGGGGGCATACCTGGCCTTCCCCCATTTAAATCCATTCCGCCCATTCGGTTTAAGATGTCGTTCTCTTCCTCAAGATCAGTTCTTCTGTTATGCCCCGGAAATACTGGGAATGGGCTGCCGAAATCTTGCTCATTCGGACCGGCAACGTTGGGGCCATAACGATCTATGATTTGAATTAGTTGTCAACATGTCAATTCCGAAGGTTTCAACTTCTTACCATTCTGATCTGAAGGACCTGGTCCGCCACCTCGACCGGGAGGCGGGTAACCTCTACCGCGAGGACCTCCAGGACCTCCAGGACCTCCACCGCGAGGAAATGGAGGCCCGCGCATCGGGCCTCCTCTTCCACCAGCGCCGGGCGGGGGAGCGCGACCGCCTCTACCAGGAGGACCATACATGTCTTGCGGAGGATAACCTTGATTTGGCGGTGGTGGCCGTCTACCATAATTCATATCTTGAGGCGGGGGGCCATAATCCTGCTGATAACCATTGTCATATCCGTCGTACCCGTAATCATACTCTTCTTGATATTGGTTGTATTGCTGCTGCTGAGGTGGTGGGTAAGCATCCCTAGGAGGGCCTCGAGGTGCTCGTGCTGCTGGTCCTGCGTAAGGACGCTGCTGATCTTGATATCCACCATTGTATGCCATGTTTGCGACTCGAGGCTCAAGGTTTTCCCACCTGATAAAGTCTGAATGCTACGAATTTCCCAGAAGCTAGCGCTCAGCACACACTAGCTAACAAGCAGTCTTCAGCGCAGCCTTATTATTCTTTCTCGTCAATAGTAGGGGGCAATGAAGTTCGAATACTCGAGAAGAGGTGGTGTGTAGCAAAAAGCTATAATGGGTAGCGTGGAAGTTGAGTATACTTCAAGGCTCTGGGCCTGAATGTTATGTTTCGGCTCAGTAATGATCGTCGGGTTTTGTTTGGCAAACTCGGTCCGAGACGCGCTGCAGGCTGGAACTTTGATGCTGCGACGCACTTCTTACAATTTTCGGAGTGAATTACCCGGATTGTTAATATAGACAAGCAAGTACTATCCGCGGATAAAAAAGTTGTTTTCGTTTCGAAGAAATCGTAAGAAGCCGTGTAGTGGTCAAGAAAGTCGACAGCTAAGGCATTATATCAAGTGAATGCGACGTCTGAATCGATTGTTTACCCAGTAATCCGTAGTTATTTACTATTTGCGATGGACAAAACCTTATGCCCTTCGCATCTCAGTTGGGCGGACGAAGCGTCGCTAGCTCGGTAATAGAGTTTGATCGAGAGGTCAGAGGTCCAGAGGTCCAGAGGTCAGTTGGTCGAAAGGAAAAAAAAAAGGGACAGGTCAGTCAACAATGATTCAAATAAAAAATGGATGAAAATACGCCGAGGTGAAAGGAATGTACCAGGTCAGCGCCAACGAAAAAGTCGTAGAACCATAAGCGAGAAAAAAGAGAGAAAAGATAGATTGAAGAGACCAGTTCCTTATTCCTTATTATTAATTTATTTTATTTTCTGCTCTGCAGATGGTGGAAGAAGGAATACATCTATGTAATGGTAGTGTTGAGAGATGTGGAAATGCAAAATCGAGAACGATTCGGCAAGTCGGGGGTACAAAGGAGAACTTCTGAGGATCCTAATAATATAACGAAAGTAGCACTGCAACTTTAGCGTCGCAAGATGCCCCTCTACGCCGAATAGCAGGTGCACGGCTAACGTATCCGAGTCCAAGTGGGATGTCTAGGATTGTGCACGCGCTAAAAAGGCTACATTACCTGTACCTACCTATACCTAGGAGGTAAGTTCCTATTGTACATCTTCCATTCAAGTACCTACCTAAACACGATCATAATATGGAATATATTGAAATGCGTACTAGGTACCTAGGTTAGGTATGTATGCGCCTAGGCCTTCAAGCGACTACGGCTTGTTTTAACTTCGACCGGCTTCAAGAATGTTAGCCATCTCGCTCTTTTCTTCCCGCGGTTTGTCTATAATTAAAACAAGGACGGTACACGACAGCATACGGCGCTTGTACTGCATCAGGTGTACATAGGTATCTAATATCTACCTGATCTGATGCCTTATGTAGGGTAGGTATGCAATTAGGTAACAAACGTTCATAACCTACTACATCATCTGCATCATTGAGATTCAGCTAAGCTTGAGGCAAAACGTTAAAGTGTGGATGAAAACTTGAGAAACATTAGAAACTCTAGAGGTACATACCCTAGTGTTCATCAAACTCAATAACGTCTATGCCCGACCTACATCACTCAGCTAGGTACTGTATGGTATATCTATTTAGAGTTGCCGTACGCCAAGCAAAATTGTAGTATCAAAATTAACTAGGGCTGAACGGATTTTAGCATATGATTGGCGTGTTGATCCCATAGGATACCTCACAGAGGCAAAAGCCAGCCTCATCCGTTCCCTTGTTAGCATTAGCAATTGGACTTAGTCGTCTTATAGAATATCAAGCCGGCAGGAGGGACCGACCCGGTGGACACACTGGAATGGAAAGGCAACGTACTTGAGCCATGTACCTCTTACAGCCCGTGGATAACAAGACTGCCAGGCAGATGGAGGAGGTACAAGATTCCCAGTGTAAGATTGAAAATTGGTAGTAGGTAGTACCTAAGGTAAGTTGAGGTAGGTTAAAAGATTCGCGACCCAATAAAAAGCAGAGGATTTTTGATAGTCAGGCCCCACTCGCCACATCAAATTATGTAAGAGAGGACCCTGGGCAATGAATCTTTCGTCATCGACCATTAAATCACAATTACACACAACTACATAGTCCTCAATCATATCGCATCCAAGCAAAGCGCATTTCCACATTGCGGTAAAATTTACCTTAGGTACCTAACCTGAAGCAGTAGCGGAATTGTCAACATGGCGGCTAGGTCATCAAGGCTCAGAACATGGGTTAAGATGTTTGTAGTGTCAGTAACCACGTTCTCACTTCTTTACCCACCTGATCTATTTGATCTATCTGATCTACCTACTTGATCTACATCAAGTAAATATATACTCACCCCCATATCGAAGAAGAAAAAAAAATGTACGCGACGCATGACTAACATTATACAAACCCACAGCGGTGGCGCAGTTTGCATAGGAGGACCCGCGCTCGTCAGATGGGTGCAACCTACTGACGAGGAACTCTTCCAGAAATACAACCCGGAACTTCAAAAGAAGAGCTTGGAGAGGCGGTACGAAAAACAGAAGGAGTTCGATGACTTCGTAACCAAGCTCAAGGAATATTCCAAATCAGACAAACCGAGTAAGTACTTAACTTAGCTGTCCGGACGGGATTACGCATACTAACGTGACAACAGTATGGTTCGTCCAAAAAGAAGTCGAAGAAAAGCAGAAACAGGAAGCGCTGCGAAGGGAATCTCTCGCCGCCGAAGAGGCGAAGGCGAGAAAAGAAGCCCTGAGGAACGAGTCTGGTCTACCGTCTAGTTCCAGTAGTTAAATGATATCGTATGCACGTTGTCGTGAACTACTGCTGTATTATAAGATACCGGGGAGGAATCTTGAAAAGGAAAACCTGCGGTTGGTAGGTAGCATAACAAGGCGTCTGGACCAGAAAAGTTGGGTACAAGTCATATTTGTGGCTTGCGATGTATTTCTACCTTAGGTATATACGATCATGAACACTTATAAAAGCTTATTTGCCTTCCAGCTTTGAGTATTAACGCTGGCATTACATTCTACCTAAGCTAAAAGTCGATTAGGTATCCATAAACCTGGATATCTGGACGCACTCTTAGTCTTCAAGGCGCGCAATATTCACGTCGACCAGGTCCTGAATCTGTTTCCACCTCTTGGCTAGGACCTCCTTGTGCTGCGGCACACCAACATCCAGTGAATGTACCTCGGAGATCCTCTTCTCAGCAATTTGTTTCTGTTCCCTCAGCAGCGTCAACACCAGTTGATCTACGTTATTCTGACTGCGCTCTCCGTCGTCGATCCCATCGACGAACCGCCTCCACTCCCTTACTCCGCAGCATAGCAACCTTGCCGCAACCTGCGTCCTGTGGCAGACGGTCTCCCGATCCAAAGTATACTTCCCTAGGAATCCGACCTCCTCTAACCTCTCCTTCTGTCGGTCGCTTAGCTTCGGGAGCAACACGTCGTCTAGCAAGACCTCATCCCAACGGTTCCCATCCATGACGAATCCGTATTCGACGAGTAAGAAATCCCCACTATGTCTACCGTAGCAGATCTTGACTTCTTCTCCCAGAGAATATTCGCGTGTAGCCTTGATGGAGAATCCTTCGTGATCAAAAGCCACATTACAACCCCCTTCGTCGGTATGATTGAACAAGTCCGCGACAGGCTGTAGACACATATGGTCATCTTTGGATCTCTTTTTCAATTTGGGATTAACGTAGTAAAAGGTACGCGTGTTAACGAGCATCCATGCGTATTTATACCGTTCCTCGTTGAGTTGCTCCGGAAATGCTGCTAAGACCGTTGCCCAGTCGCGTTTGAACTTGACCTCTTGTTTCTGCAGCAATTCCCGCGCTGTCGGAGGTAGCAGAGCACGTAGTTCCTGTGGCCAGACCAATGGCATACCGGCGAAGTCCTCGGGAGTTGGGCACACGGCGTTCCAAACTGCATACTTGGAAGATCTATCCAAAGCTAGATCGGCAGCAAGAAGGCCATGTATAGAGATGGTCTTTGGAAGATGGCGGATGATAGGCTTGTGGACCGTGTCTATGCTACGGATGCAAGATGTAGGGACATCAACTATGATCTCGTCGGGCTGTAGACTGTGTTAGTTGATATTTATGATAGGGGTAAGAGAGTAAACTGGAAAAGAACAGTACAACAAACCTTGATCGCCCGAGTTGCAACAAGGCCGATACCCCTGCCAGGGATACGCTTTGGTTCGATAGCATTAAGCTTAACGCCGCGTTCTATAGCCCAAGAGAGCAGTTCCTCGTAGGACTCCATGGTGATAAATTACGATAATGATTTTGGGCGGACGGGTACGTGATGAAGGTAGGGAAGAAAACTATAACCGGGCCTGTCTGCCATTACTATATATCGAAAGCATTGTTGTTATATGTAGGTAGTAACTGCTCGGGCAAACATTGAGTTGGCGATGGTGCAAGCGTGTCTACCTAAGGTAGGTACCTAAACTAACAGCGAAAAAGAAAAAAAGGATGAAAGAATTTGGTGTTCCCCAAATCTGCGAAACCAATAGATAAAAAAACTGAAGAGAGGTTACATGATTATAATATCCCGAGACACCGCACGAAATAAGAATAAACAATATACAATTTATCATAAGGAGCATGCATTTTAGTCTTATTGTTAATGAATAGATATAGGCAGATATATTTCTCTGCAGTTCTATCACGACTGCTACTAACTTTGGTATCGATTTTTTCTAATTAACTCTATTGTCGGGTTTTCATCCGGTACGTTAGGCTAGATACCTATATTTCGGCTGCTGGCGGAAATGTGTAGTTTTACAATTTATAAGCGTTAACGCGCATCTCGCAATCTTAGATATATCACATATAATATTTACAAGTTTATCATGTTGAAGTGAAGATGATGAAGATGAGAACCGGCCGTAATTGTTCTTAAGTCCGTGCGTAAAAGCCGTTGACATTTCGGGTATTACAAAGTCAATGATAAGGAACACCCCGCCATACCAGGTACCTAAGCTTACGGAGCAGGTACTGTGCCGTCTGTCGTCATATCAGACTGCATTCTGGCAGGACCAACCTATCAATTTCGTAATTATAATTTCTTTCTCTCTACCTTAGGTACATAGTAAGATCCTCACTTCAACTACCCTACCTCCCTATCTACCTTCAGGCTTCAACTAACTATCCTAGCCCACAAGCAACTAACAAGCAATCGAAGACATTCCGGAGTGAGAATCACCCTAACACAATCTCCCGGCGCACCTCGGATCTAGCATTATCTAACACCCAACTGGAGTAATACTTCTTTACCTACCTACCTAAGGTACTTTCGACACAATGAGTAGCTCAAGGTCGACGTCGGAAGATCTGGAAGGGCATTATCCAGAGTATTTCGTCGATGCTGAGGATGAGGACGACGAAGAGCATGATCCCGAATACGAAGAAGACGAGGATGACGAGATAGACGAAGATGATATGGCGCACGACTTGTTTGAGGAAGAAGATGAGTTTCATGGTATGCGAAATTATTATTAACCAAGATGGAAGCTCGACAGGTGCACTAACAAAACAAACTAACACGCGAATAGATGCCGAAGAAGGCAATATCCAATTCATAGTGCAAATAGAGGATGACGACGAAGATGATGGCCACGAAGATGGTTCACCATTGCCCGAAGCTGAAAGGGTAGCTGTGCAGCAGCGTTTGATTAACTTAATAAGTAGTGCATCCCGATCCAAAGGGAATCGAGCATTTATGAGCTGACGACGATTATGGTTTTAGGCCGCCGTACCGGCTTGTTATCGCAACGCCAAGTTCTGGATTTCCTCCGAAGATCAAACCTTGGCCACCTGGTATTCGGCGAAGATGATGACGATGAGTTCGTTCCATACAGGAGGCGGCGGCGACAACTGGACCCGAATAGATTCCCTAAAGTTCCAAGCGAAGAGGGAAGAAAGCTGGTGGACTCGGGTATGTTCGGGGTGAAGGAGATCCAACCCTCCATTGCCTCAAAGAAGCAGATAGCTCGCCGAATATTAGATCGCGAGTTGGGTATAGGAACAAGGCGTACCCGCAAGATTAACCAAGGCATGATGGCGCAATCTATGATTCCTACCTCGGATGCCGAAATGATTATCAACTACGACGATAATGTTTATTCGGGCCAATTCTCAGATGACGGCAACTTCTATTTTGCTTGCGTTAAGGATATGAAGGTTCGGATGTATGACACTTCCAACCCGTATAACTGGAGACATTACAAGACTGTACCGTTTACGTTCGGTGCGTGGACCTTGACAGATGCGTCGCTGAGCCCAGACAACAAGTGGCTAGCGTACACTTCCATCCAGAGTAACGTCTGCTTGGCTCCGACTGACCCAAATGACACTGGCGATCCATATGTATTGAACTTATCAGAAAATGGGAGGAGTGGTTGGCGTGGCGGGTTTGGTATCTTTTCTATCCGGTTTTCTGGCGACGGACGAGAGCTGGTGGCCGGAACAAACGCAAGCTCTATCGTTGTATACGATATCGAATCGCGTCAGGTGTTACATACGATTGACGGCCATGATGATGACGTTAACGCAGTATGCTTTGCTGACAAGTCGTCGCCGCACATCTTGTATTCGGGCAGTGACGATGCGACGATCAAAGTCTGGGACCGACGGAGCATGGGAGATGGGCGAGAAGCTGGTGCCTTTGTAGGCCACATCCAAGGGTTAACGTACTTGGATAGTAAAAACGACGGCAGGTATCTACTGAGTAATGGCAAGGACCAGAGTATGAAGCTTTGGGATCTAAAAATGATGTACACGACGACGCAGTTTGTGGAAATGAATCCGCGGCAGCATACGCGATACACAGAATTCGACTACCGCTGGGGCAGGTTCGACGAAGATGACTGGTTTCCACATCCCAATGACAACTCCCTGGTAACATTCCGCGGACACGAAGTATTGCGCACCTTGATCCGCTGTCACTTCTCGCCCCCCGGCAGCACCGACTCGCGGTATGTGTACACAGGCAGCCACGATGGCAAGGTCTACGTTTACAATATGGATGCTACCATTGCCGCTATTATTGATGTTCAGAAATCTACACAAGCACTGCCTGAACGGTCCACGGCGCAACGCAGGATTTACGGCGGATACAGATCACAAGGTTGGTCAACAGTTGTTAGGGATGCGAGCTGGCATCCTACTGCTCCTTTTATTGCTGGTAAGTTGAGGTCTATATATTCCCCTTTCTCCTTTTCAGGATAGGGGTCACTGCATTGTCAGTTAAGCGAGAGGCTAACTTGAAGAAATAGCATCATCACTGAACGGTTGGGATAACGCCCTGGGCACCGTTACGTTACACTCATTCAATGAATCCTCGACGGACGAGGGGGAGCCCCGGATGGGTACACGATACGACGAGAAACTGAAGCCGGTGGGTCGTCGCCGGTCTTCTGACGAAGAGGATGACGAAGAGGAAGAGGATGATATTTTTAACTAAAGAATGCGATATGAATAGCACGCTTTAGGAATGGTGTTTAGGAGCGACGTGTACTCTTTGCTCTTTACGCGTTGATGATTCAACTATCTCCTTTATGTCGTACCGGACACTAACTTACGATTTGATGGACTCTTCGGACGAGGCGTTTGAGTTTCAAAGGCATATGAAAGGAGTTAGAGGGGTCTAATAGGAGGAACATTGGAAGGCGCAACGGCTTATATACTTCTGCACAAGTTCGCTCATTTGTATGAAGCACCGAAAATCGATATTTATACAATGGCTTAGAGATACCAACGCCAGCAGAGAAAATACAGGAGCGCTTAGACGGCCTTATGCTTGCGTCCTCCTTCATGATTAATCGAGAAAAGCCTATATCTCTTTCCCGACCTCGACCGTAGTAATCGATCGTATGTAGTGTAGTACCATATCATTACAGACGTCTCGCAGTATATAGTAATGTGAATGTCTTCCGTCTCTCGGGGGTCTTCACTATGCATAATTTTTCCCCATGGTCGTGCACCGTAGCCAACCAAACTCCGTGCCTCTCTTCTCATGACAACCTATTTTCCATGTCTCTTATGCGGCTCCCACTAGGATGTTGTTGACGGGGATGTGGACTGGAGGCAGAATATTAGTAAAAAACGACTCTTCCTTCGCACACTGGAGTCAGGCCATACTCAGTTTTATCAAGTAGCCAATGGCGCCCATGACCAAGAAACCGACACCGACGGCCTTGCTGATTTGGATGAATTCGCGCTTGTCAGCTATAAGAAAAACAAACTTGTCAGCATATCCGTCCTTAATCCACGTCCTTGCAATGTATTCATTCATCTTCCTCTTGCTTCGCTTAGTTCTCTTTTTTTTTTTTTTTTTTTTTGCCTTGCATGCTTGGATGCTTTCTACTGGGCTCGCGATGATCGAGCTCCACAGGACATTGGTGATATGGGGTATACGGAATATGGAGACATGGAGCGGAAAGGTGGACATACGCTTGGTGCATCGCGTCATGAATTGCATGCCGTCCTTGACGAAGTCCTTGGGGATTTCGAGGATATCTTGAACGTCCGACATTGTGGATAAAGTTGAGTTGAGTTGAGCTGAGCTGAGCTGAGTTGAGTTGGGTTAAGTTGGGTTGTGGATGAATGCGTAGAACGGAAAGCAAGAGATATCTTGTTCGTAATAGCTTATGGGAGGACTTTAAGTTTAAATTGTTGGCTTGCTATACAAAGGAGTGAGAAGTGAGAAGTGAGAAAAGGAATTGAAGGTTTGTAAAGTGGTTGACGATGGGATGGATACGGCCAGATTTCCCAGTAAATGTTCAGGTACGTTTAATCTTCAAATGCGCTAAAGTGGAACCTCGCCGCAGTTGCAATCTGGCCTGGCTGCCCGGCCAGCAAAATCATACCTTTGAAAAAAACGGCCAGGTCCAAGTTAGCTACAGGTGCACGTGAGTTACGGGGTTACGGGGTTACCTAATGGATGTGCATGCCCATGCATCCACTCCTACCTTATATTTAGGTAAGCTAAGGAGGGCAGACCGACCAATATCGGCGCCTGCCGCAGCCTACCCGCAGCCTCATTTAAGCATCTGAATAGTGGGCCTCTAACCCCCCCAAAAGCTCAGCCCGTTTTTACCGTTCTAGCATTTTAGCGCTAGACCTTCGGGCTTGAACCTCCCCTGTCTGCCTGTTGTCGGTAATTTTTAGCTGTCGAGTCCAGTTCCATCTAAAACCATTTCCTCACCCAGAACGAAGGTCAAAAGGTCAAACTTTCAAGTTCAACAACGGCAAAACACAACACACGAATTTGATTCCCAACCTTTCATCTCATCAGCCACATTACCGTCAGCATTGTCAGGTGTAGCTTCAGGACTGACTCATTCCCTCTATTGCCCGACTATGTGTATCTCTAAGTAGTACCTTATCCAAGCCGCTTACGACGCGTTGCCAACTCCTTTCCTCTCTCCCTCTTGTCACTCTTGTTTTTTTCTTGTCCTTTTTTACATTGCCTAAGTTTTTGAGGTCTTGTTTTATTTTATTTTTCCCCTCTCTTTTTTATTTATTCTTCTTCATCTTCATCTTCTTTCTTAAACCACGTTTGGTCTAGGTACCTTACCTATCAGGTTCGAGAAGGACATTAATTATTCCCGAACCGTGAACTTTCCCAAGTGACAGGACACTTTGGGGGAGATACAATACAATACGTTTCTACTAATACTTCCATAATATCGAACAATTCTTAGGGAAAAAAAGACTTGGGGAACCATTCTACGTCTTTTCTACTTCCAAAAGAATATCGCGCTGCTTGTACTTTAAACCAACCATCATTTTTGCAGTCACTCAACACTTTCAAGCATTTGAGGAAAAAGAAGAAGAAAAAAGGGACCTGCGCACGCGCTTAATTCGAGGAAGACTACCCAAAGGCTGCAAGCACAGAGCTTCGCCTTTGATATTTCCATTTATCCTGGACCCTCATCATCATCGTGCAAAGGGGGATTATCCTACTTAAAGGGCTCAGCTCATTGGGAATATCTATCTTCAAAGGCTACTAAGTGTACGTATTCGATATCGTGAAAAAAAATCTCTTCCTCTTATTTTGTTTCTTTTTTTTTCTTCTCTTATCCGGCTGAGGATGCCCAACATGTATTTCTTGTTGACTGATGATATGGAGTGGAAGATAACAGGCACTTGTATCTACTCTGAATACATCATCACTTGACAGACATCAGACTTCAGAGCTTCAGAGCTACCCTTTCTTCTTAGTCTCTCATTGATATTGCAGCATCATTCCCCAGTCACGCTTTTCCGATATGGCGGACGAGGACTTCGAGATTGATGTCTATGGTGACGCGAACGACGCGAATGACAACAACACCAATGTGGATGCCGATGACTCTAGACTCGATGATCCCAATAATCATGCTTATGAAAACAACTCTTCTATAACCATTGCCAACGGTTCTAATCCCGAATCTACCGCACACACCCACAACGACGATTACGACAACGATCAGCAGAATATGGATACCCAAAGTAACGGCGCGACAGCCACCCAGTCATACCAGCAAGGTGTGAAGCGTAAGGAGACGTCAGACAATAGACCTATCGATCCAGGTGCTACCAGCGCCTTACTGCTCTCAGAACTTCAATGGTGGACTACAGATGACGAGATCCGCGGTTGGATTCGACAGGCTTCCTGCGAGGACGAACTGAAGGACATCACATTCAGCGAACACAAAGTCAATGGCAAGAGCAAAGGGTACGCAATAACGTATGCGGTAGAGTTGGTGACATTTGACTAACATGCTCATTACAGCCAAGCATATATCGAATTTGCCTCCCAACAAGCTGCCACTGCTGCCAAGCGCCAGATAGAGAATGCCGCTGCCACGTCCACTCAACCTGGGGGCAAGAAGGTCACAGTCATATACACATCGCATACGAACAATCCGTTCAAGACTTTACCGAAGGATGCGCCTGCTAGAGCTAACAAGGACGGACAAACTCGAGGAGGCTCGAACGTAGGAGGATACAACGACCGTGGCAACTTCAGAGGACGTGGTAACTTTGGGGGTCCCCGTGGAGGATTCAACCGCAACTTCAACGGCAATATGGGAGGTGGCTTCCACAACAACAATGTCCCTAGCGGCTTCAATAACAATATGGGCGGAGGAAACTTTGGTTTCAACAATATGGGTGGCGGTGGTGGCGGCGGCGGCGGTAACTTTGGTTTCCGTGGTGGCATGATGCCCGGAGGAGGTATGGGCGGAGGAATGCGTGGTGGAGGCATGCGCGGTGGACGTGGTGGAATGAACCCTGGTATGAACGCCGGTATGAATAACGGTATGATGGGTGGAATGGGCGGAATGGGTATGCCCATGATGGGTTTCCAGCAACCGGCACATTTCAACCCGGCCTTCTTCAGCGGCAACCAGCAGCAGTCCGACTGGCAGAACCCCCACGGAGCCAAACGGCCGCGCGAAAACTAAAGACAGTCACATCTGTGTTCACTCTTAACAGCCCCCTCTCAACGCAATTCGGGACAAGTATTGCCTATTAAGGTCGAGCATTTAATTTTCGCACGGGGTGGTTATTATGGCTTTTACAATTTCGAAAATAAAAAAGAAAAAAAGTTTTCAGGCATTGTAAACGGAAAGGGAACACGGACAGACGAGCAATTATGTTGCAGGTAGGCAGGCAGGGGAGGCAGGCAGAAGGGCCGCCTCAAGGGGGGATATGGTAAAATTCTCCGGTCAATTGAAAACTTGTTTTTGAAGTTACTTGGGGGACTGTTCGTCTTTCATAGGTTAGGTATGAATCGAGCAAAGCTAAGCCTATAGTATTATTTTGTTTTATTTGTGTTCCTTAAGGGTGGTTTAATTACTCAAGTAACAGGTACCTAACCTAGGTAGGTACCTACTGAACCTATTTTAAGCTATCTTTTTGGATCTGGTGATAGCTTGACGGTCTGGGCCAAAGAGGCCAAGAAGGTAAGCTGTACGGGTTAGGCATAGAAAGGTCTTTTTGTTTTATCGAGTCCGTGTCAGTGGTTGGAAATATGAAAAAAAATGAGGATGGATGGATGGACGGAAAATGGAAGTGGGACTTACGGTAAAACCAACGTTACCCCAGGTCACGGCATTCCACGAACCAACGTCCAACGTTCTATCATACCCAAGCAGCCAGCACGTAACGCCGACGTGGCTTATGTCCGCGATCCTATCATTTCAGAGAAATTAGTATGAGGGAGACGTATGGGTACGAAGTATATGAAGATGGATATACCTAGGTAGGTAGGTATATATAAACGGATTATTATGGAATGCAATGCCACCCTTGCCGCATGGGTCTGGAAGGCGCGCGGGGGCAGTTATATAAAGTTATTTGGGGAAGGGGGACACAATGACATAGTTATGAGAAGAGGAAGAGGTGTTAGAAACTACCTCCTAAAGTGAACGAACCATAGAGCTATGAGATAGTTACGGACGACCTTGAGCTCGGTGGTAGTATATAGCACAGCAACACCGAGGAGAAACAGGAGTCCGTATGTGTTGCCTAGCTGGAGGGCAATCAAGCGCGCATTGTCATCTCGAGGAGCGAAGCTATCATCACTGCCAGGAGGGGCGTCGATCTGAGAGTTTATGAACCATTCAGGGTCCAGGAAGGGGCCGAGGAAACCCCCAATACTGAATTGATGGGCGAACACGGTGTTAGTAGTAGTAGTAATAATAATAAAAGATAGGTTATGTAGGTCGATATCAGGTACCTTAGGTAGGTAATGTATTAATCCAAAAAGATTATCGTAACTTTTACTTACAGAGAGATAGGCTCTACGATAGTGAAGATGGTGCGGGGGAACGCCGGTAGTTGCGAGGCCATGACTTTTCAAGATGTCTTAGACTCAGTACCTAACCTTGATGAACTCGTAATAAATAGCTGATATTAAACATCTAACTCGGTGTCCAACCAGATTAATTATGGCAGGTAACGGATAGAGTGTTACCAGATAGAAGTGTTGGGTGTAAGTGGTATGTAGATATTCTGCTTGTCCAATATCAGGTCACAGAGGCAGACCACGTGTAGTAATTCGGTCTGATGAAAGATCTTGAATCGGACTAAAGGTAGTTAGATCAAGTGTAGATCGTCGTAAGATTTAGTAAAAATGGGTCTAACGCCTCGAGAAGGAAAGAAGAAAGACGATGAAGAAGTTGAAACAATGAGGATACGGGTTGGGTATGATGAGTAAGTCGAACGATCGTGGGCTTCCAGTGGTGTTTGTTTTCGAGGTACCCAAAGTGCCGAACCCGAACCGAACCCGGCGTGGAGTGCGGGTTGTCAGAATAGGGGAAAGAAAGGGAGCTGCTAGGGAGGATAGCGGCGGGATAGGTACATAGCAGGGCGGGATTGTCCCGATTGGGCAATGCTACAGGCGCTACAGGTACGGAAACTTCAAAGGATCAAACGGGAGTAAGAGAAAGGTCCGCCCAGGAAAAGAAAAGAAACACATCAGATTGTTCCATCGCAGTTGCAGATTTGATGAATTCTTGGCATTTTACCCAGCCGAGAGGAGGAGGATGATTAATTTGATTGATATTCGCTACTTGTTATCTCTAGTGTAACCAGAAAAACATCCCTCCTCAATTTTTCTTTTTTTTTTCTTCCACTCTTTTTTTTTAAAACATACCTAGAAAGGCTCTCTCTTGAGGTTTTTTTTCTCTTGCAGGGCCATTGACCCCCAAAAGGTTCCGGCACCCCCGAAGGCAACTATCATCACCTATAACCTAATCGGTTTAATAAAATTGCTGCATTGGTTTTAGTACATTAGCTCTAGGTAAGGTACCTACACCGAAGGTATAGGTTAGGTAGGTAAAAGGTTGGTGTTCACTTTGCCGGTCACTGATCATTGATCGCTCTTCTGTCTCTCTCTGTCTCTCTCTACATTTAAAGGGAGGGATTAACGGGATAGGGATTAATTGTTTTCCTATGGTTTCCTATGGTCTCTACGGTCTCCAATGGCGTCTTCACATTGAAGCAGCACTGAGAAAGAAAAATACTGAGCAGAAAACGCAAACGCGGCCAATCCGCACTAATACCCTTTTCCATTTTCTAGCACCTGCAGCCATATTTTGGTCCTATCAATGATAGGAGAAAGTGGTTTTCCTTTTTATTTTTCTTTTTATGTTATCTTTCCTATTATATTCTATTACTATTCTTATTATTTCATTCCCCCCTCAAAAGTAAGAATCAAAAAGCGGGTTAACGAGGATGTAATGATCCTAGGATCTATTTGATGGTTTTATTAGTGATTCATCCCGTCTACACGCCGTTTTTAATCATTCTTCGCTCTTTCTCTCCTTCTGTCTCTTTCCGTTGTTAACCATAGTCCCTAAAGCCTTATTACTTTTTTTCTCTTTTTCTTTTTTTTTCTTCGCATCTGTCTACCAGAAATAGACATAGCTAGTCAGAAGCAGACAGAAAAAAAAATAGAGAACACGCAGACAGAGTCGGACAGTTATCATACTGTGTTGAGCTCTCGTGGTTATTGGTATTTCTCACTCATCAGACAGATCAAACAGTAGTGTCCTCGCTATTTTCCCTGGTCTCTTACGAGTCTCGACTGTTCGTCTCCCTTATCGCCTATCCCACTTCTACTTTTACTTCCACTTCCACTTTCACTTCCAGTTCTCGCCATTCTTTCGCCTCTCGCCCCTCCGTGCAAACAAAGAGTCCGTTCGTGACCCTTTTTTTTTCTTCTTCTCTCCCAATGCCCTTCTCTTGTCAATTACCATCGACCCACGATGGCTACTATCGAGCCGCGACTCATTCATCTGCTGAACGAATCAACTGCTACACCACGGCCTCACCATGCTGAGCTTCCGCCCATCAAAGCTCTTCCCTTACCTAAGCCTCCCGGCCGTTTCCATCCCATCGAACCCGATGCTGGCCAAAGATCCGAAGTGCCGGAAACGAACCTGGGTCAATTAGCCTCGCAGTCTATGCCGTCCCTGCATTCGGTCGTAGAGGAGGTTCCCGCCATGAACATGACTTCGAGAACAGATGTTAGTCAACCATCGGAGCGAGCTTTACTAAGCCACATATCGTCCCAGGATCTGCGCATGATACTAGATGACACACCAGATAATACCGAAGATCTTGGAAAGAAAAGGCGGCCTTTGAAAGAGGACTTCGTGCAGCTACCGCAGCCGCTCAAGAAACAGAAAGCGGCTACCCAACAGCATATGTTTCCCCCAATCATTGTAGGGTTACTCGAACCGCCATCCGACGCCTCTCTTTTCCCGCCAATATCTTCTGGTTCTTTCGATAACCGCCCGCATTCCGAACCTCCGCAGGCTCTCAGCATTACAATGCCCCCCGAAACATCGGAACCTGTTGAAGAGAAAGGAAACCCGAGTCCTCCACCCGAACCCGAGCGAACACCAACGGGGAAAGTTAAGCGGCGGGCAGCCAAGCCGCGACGAAAATGGTCAGAAGAAGAGACGAATCATTTATTACTCGGTGTGAGCAAGCATGGTGTTGGAAGATGGACAGATATCTTGGAAGATCCCGAGTACAGATTCAACGATCGGACTGCGGGCGATCTAAAAGATAGGTTTCGGACTTGCTGCCCCGAAGAGCTCCGAGCAAGCCCGTCAGTTGGGGGCGACATATCTCGAGAAAAACGGCCTAGCCTAAAGGGCAAGGGGAAGCCGACGAAGGGTCTTATGTCCGAAAATATACTGAACGAAACGGAAGAAGAGGTTGAAGCTGAGCAGACCCAATCGGCCCAGAATGATTCTGACCCCACGCCCGCGAGGCAACGTAAAAGTAGGGCTCATCGCAAGAAAATGGAAGATCTGGTGGAGTTGGGCATCAAAGGACCGTTCAAAAAGTCACATCGAAGAGAGCGACGTCCGTTTTCCGAGCAGGATGATAGAGAGATATTGGAAGGCTTTGAATTATACGGACCGCAGTGGACTAAGATCCAAAGAGATCCCAGATTCAACCTGTCCAGTAGACAACCGACTGACTTACGAGATCGGCTACGAAATAAATATCCCGAGAAATTTGCAGGTACGGAAAAGACGGCCATGCAAGTTAGGGAACCTGGGCAGCCAGGACGAGGCAACAATTTGTTGGAGCCTTCTGTTAATATGGCAATCGAAAATTCACTACATGTTTCTAAGTCGGCTCTGCTTGAGCCCCAACTCAATCGGAGCAACTCGAAAGAAGACATGCCAAAGTGGCCACTCCCTTCTAGCCTTATGGAAACTGGGGAATCGTCCCAACAGCTACATCCGAACCTTTACTGGAACGAGGGCCCTGGACCGGGCTTTGGGACCGGTAGCATAGGAGAAATGGACATATCACGGCTTCTCCTCGACGATACGCAGGTTGCAAGCGAGCCGCCTTCGGAAAGACGTGGCCCAGGATGAAATCTGCGGGTCAGGTCAAATGGGTCGTGAGAAGACAAACTAGTAAAACTCCTTTAAGAGGGGGTAATCAAGATATTCTAATGGCAATAGGCTTATACGGCTGAGGCTCAGAATCTACCTTAGAGGCGGAGAGAGATAGACTATACTACAAGGTGGTAGGCCAAGGTGTGTAAGATGGTGTTTTTTTTTCAAGTCGACAGTTGCCAGAGATTTGCCAGAAAGCTCCAAGCTCCATCCGGACCGGCGTCGGAATCGCGCGAGAGGAGATGTACCTGATTTTTATGCCGTACGGAGCATGAAAGGTCCTGTCGTTACAGAGCATTACATAGGTATAATATGTGTACGGATTGTAGTACTGACCGAGGTGTGCGAATCATACGAAAATGGCATATACTAAGGGCATGAAGGGTAGGAAGGGCGTGGGTTTTAGGACAAACGGCTGGAAGTCGTATTAGCCGTAGCAAGCAAGCAAAGTGACTTTTAAATTTATTAACAAATTTGAGACGATGCATTTTACTACGTAGGGATTATGCATATCCCAACGAGACAAGTTGAAGCCGTTGGATGTGAGTAATTTACGTGGACTCAGATATGTATTTCCTTTAAAGGTGAGAGCAAACCTATGCTAGCAATCCATTACTTTGTAGTAAATAAAGTAAAATAATAGCAAATACCTGTATATCCTAGGTACCTTGTAATCTCAACCTCGGCTTCGTTATAATACTGGGAATGCACTCAGGTACATCATGTACGTAATAGCCCTGGAGCTCTCTGGGTTAGGTACGGGCCTAGAATCAATGATCGTGGTACGTACCTAACCAAGTGGACTCAACAATTCCATTTGTGGGACAAATGCCAAGAGGTTTTTTTTTTTTTTTTTTTTTTTTTTCGCAGCTGGCAGTCTGGCAGCTGCTCTGGCACTGATCACCTAAAATTCAAGCCCCACCCACGCACTAGGGCACAAACCTGCCTTTTTCTCGCTTCCCGCAAAATTTGGAACTAGGCACATTCCAATTCAACTTTTCTCAAGTCGCAATTTGACATCCATCCACACGAATCTGCCACTTCACGATAACTCCAATACCCCATCGTTGAACAGTCAAAATGGCTCGTGGACCGTAAGTACCATACACACATCTCTATCTATCCTTCTTTATAGGTTCAATGCTCTTTTTTCCGATTGCATTCGGAGAAACGACGCTTGTCTTTGCTTGAGAATTCATCGCGATACTCGAAGACGAGAAAACAAAAAAACGAACGCGAACTTTGAATATGAAACTTCTTACAGCTGAAATTTTACGCAACACGTAACTAATCATGTTCCAATCTACAGCAAGAAGCACCAGAAGCGCCTGAGCGCCCCCTCCCACTGGCTTCTCGACAAGCTATCGGGTGTCTACGCCCCCAAGCCCTCGGCCGGTCCTCACAAGCAGCGCGACTGCATGCCCCTCATCATCTTCATCCGCAACCGCCTCAAGTATGCCTTGAACTACCGCGAGACCAGGGCCATCCTCATGCAGCGCCTGGTCAAGGTTGACGGCAAGATCCGCACCGACAGCACCTACCCCGCCGGCTTCATGGACGTCATCACCCTCGAGAAGACTGGCGAGAACTTCCGACTCATCTACGACACCAAGGGCCGATACACCATCCACCGAATCCAGGCTGAGGAGGCCGAGTACAAGCTCGGCAAGGTCAAGCGAGTGCAACTTGGCAAGGGCGGAATCCCATTCTTGGTCACGCACGATGCGAGAACGTGAGTTCTGTCAGACATCATTCAGCCGTTGGATCAAGCTTTGGTTGAACCACCTTTTCCATCTTGTGATAAGATCGAGCTTCGAACTGATGGCTGGTATGTCCCCCCTTTCCTCCGCGCATGCTAACGTGATCTCTTTCTTTTTCTTACAGCATCCGCTACCCTGACCCTCTGATCAAGGTCAACGACACAGTCAAGATCAACCTTGAGAATGGCCGTATTGAAGACTTCATCAAGTTCGACACTGGTGCCATCGCCATGGTCACTGGTGGTCGCAACATGGGTCGTGTCGGTGTCATCACCCACCGTGAGCGCCACGATGGAGGTTTCAACATCGTCCACATCAAGGACGCCATTGAGAACACCTTTGCCACCCGTGAGAGCAACGTCTTCGTCATCGGCTCTGAGAAGCCCTGGATCTCTCTGCCTAAGGGTAAGGGTGTCAAGCTCACCATCGCAGAGGAGCGTGACCGCCGCCGAGCCCACGCTCTGGCCGGCCACTAAGGTCTTTATTTTTCGGTAAAACAACAAAAACGGGATCTGGCAGAGGGTTGACTTTTTCGCAACAACGCATGGGAACTGGAGTCTGTGGCATATCCGATTCAAATCTTACCAAAAGGAGTAAGATTCGTGGTTTACCTAGGTCAATGATAAATGAGAATTAATTGACCTCCTGATCCCGCCTCTACGTTAGGCAGTTACACGCTTGGTTCTGTAAATCGTGTATTATCATATCCTAATTCGTGGCTTTCTGTCGATACGTCGTGTTCTCAACGTACCTAATGTACTGTACCTCTCGCCTATAGTTTTTCCTGATACTGACTGTCCCTATTGAGAGATAGCCCCTATTGAGCAATCCCCGACGAAGAGGGCTTGGGAAGGCTTAGATACGCATATTTGCCACTTCAAAATAGTATCATAAGCCCATCCTGTTCGTAATAGCTTGCATGTGTAAATTCTCTCCCCATGCCTCATTGCTTGATGCACGATATCCTGCACGGGATCTCACACGCCTATCAATCAGTCTAACTCCATCTTATCCTTTCCCGAAGCCATCGTCCCTTCACCGCTTATTTTCTTTTTTTGTGCGTATTCTCCGTTCTGCGGAATGCATACCTACCTACCTAAGTTAGGTAGTACAGTATGTCCGAGACTTGGAGCTACACCTACCTGTTCCTTGTTGGGTTTGCCTTGGTGAGGGAGTAGGTAGGTAGAACCGTCCCCCTCCCCCCTTCCAGAGTAATTCTCTTTGCTTGCCAGGGAATTTATACGCACATTAATAGAGGCATGTCGTTAGACTCTTCGAATTTCAAGGCTGGATAGATCCTAAACTTGAAGAAGTAGGAGGAAGTGCTGTCTGGGGCCCTGAAGAAAGCCCGAAAGCTAGAGCCGCAATGATGAAATGCTAGGGCCGACTAAAGGGGTTCTCCCCCTATGTTAGGTTAGGTAGTTTTGGTAAGTCTACCTAAGGTATACTACATTACCTACCTAACCTATGCTTTACTGTATTTCACATCCGATTCTTTTCATTCATCTTCCCTGTTTCAAGAGGCAAGGGCTGTCTGCCATAAGCCACGGCAGACCGGGTAGGCTATGCTAGGTAGGTAGGTAGGTATGTTGGACTCATTGGCTATAGCTAGCTACCTAACATATATCCGTATGTCAAAGTGGCGAGTAAGCGCGGGCGGGTAATTCGGGCTTCTTGCTCGAGGCTTCTTCTACGGCAAGTGGATTTTGGCCTTGTGGTGGGCGTTCATGATGGCTATGGCTATGGAGTTGGTATTGCAAGCATATTGAGCGTTCCACGACAGGATGGAACTATCTACACGAGTCATGCCGCTTTTCGTTTTGATGATCTATCCTTCCTCGTCGTTTAAAGGTGAAATAGGTATTCAGCAGGGAATTCGAGATGTGTTGATAATCTTTTGGCCTCTACCTATAATCCATCCGTAGCTTAAATGCCCATCTCGTTATGACTGAAGTTCTCTATTGTTCTCCTGACATAGAAAACTCTAAGATACGAGAGGTACCTAACTCTTCTTTTTAATTTAAGGTGTGTTATTCGACTGAAGATCCAAACCATATTTTCAACATAAATTTTTCTATTTGCATTTCCATATCCAAACTCCTCTAATGCTACCTGCGGGACAAGCTAGAAATTTACTAGATATACACCTATCGTGACTGGTCATTCTTCGAAAGCCGATCTGGCTGCCTAAGTAAAGGCTAGAAGATCTGAAGAAGTGAATGTTTGCTTGAGGGACTTGGCTACTGCGTAGATATAGGCAAGCTTCGGCCAGTAAAATGGGGCTCTGGGACGATGTAGACGCAGATGTATAAGCCCCATCAAGGATTAATCTAGAAGAGTATACGAATGCATGGTTACTGTATAACTGCCAACTATAAGATCTGCATCATCTGATATTTAGTAAAATCTGATTAGACGACTCCCCAAGCCACGAAGACACGAGATCGGTATTGTAGAACCTTTCACGGCGTATCTAGCGTCTCATCGTATTGGTCGAGAGCGGGACAAGATACGGGCCGGTTATCACGTTCGCTACTGGGGTAAAAAGGCAACGACAAAGTGATGGATCTTTTCTCGGGTCATTTTTAGCTAAAGACTGCAAGCTCTCCGACTTATCACTTTCTTATGCAGAGATCTGTGCGTATTATCCACTTTTCTCCAGCTGTTACCTGTCGGCCTTCGTGCTGAGAACACAGTTAGTATTATTAGATAAAAGAAAAATCACTGGTTGACGTGCTAGCAAACAATCTTCCCCATGCTTATGAAGTAGTAGTAGCCCTGTTTCGGGGGCAATGGCGATTTCTTCCTTTGGCGATTTGCGATCTAGAGGGTAGAAAACAGTTTCTCCGCCAACACATCCTTCGGCCGCCGAAGTTAGATATAGCAATAGCGTCCAAGTTGTTTTGGTATTGATGGTACCGGATGGTTCATTACGACTCTGTAGGGTTACTAGATTTGAGTCGTCATCTGAAGCTGTAGATTAGTGAACAAGTCTCTCGACGTAAAACTTCTCTTGAAGATGATGTAAGGGGGTTCTTTTCGGCTAGGGTCCTGATGCTATTACTGGTTCCTATTACAGAACCTAGAGGGACGCATCCGAACAGCGAGAATGAGGCTGACAAGGTGTTTAATATTTCATCCAGGCAACTCTGGAGAAGGAAATGCGGAGAATTGTTATAGAAAGAACGCTACCCTTCGTATCATATGGTTCTACTCATAATCTGTTGTCGCTTGCAGATGGCTATGTAGCCAAAGTCTGAGACAGAATAATAGAATACTTACAGTGGCAATCAAAGTATTGACCTCTGGAATAACGATAGACTCGGATGTTAGGATTCAAGCCTACCGCGTCACCACCCCTGTGAATTCGTCATTAGTTTTCTTCCCTCGCCGGGGAGTTGACGAGGGCTTTTGGGGCTATCGTAGCAGCCACGACACAAGGTTACAAAACATTACTGACCATAGATGTCTGGAGGATTCATCTAGCAGAGCATCTTTGAGCCCTGTTTCAAGCCATAGTTTCTCTGCGAAGCGGGCGTCATCTATTTGGAACCTATCGTTAACCCTTAGCGCTTCGCCACGCTTTGGACGACCAGGTGTAGTTGCTAAGGGCAATGTTTTGAGGAAGTTGACGTAGTCACGGCAGAGGGTTTTCGGCCAGAAATTTCGTAGTAAGATTATTTTATCCCCCAATCCGGGAACAGGAGCTTCTGGGTTGAGTTGCACAATAGGTAGAGGAGGCTTAAACGGTGGCCAACTCGGTGATCGGCCCGCAGCTGGCACGGGAGGATTTGAAGATTGATTCTTCTTGGACGTCTTATCCTTGCCCATAGCAATATTTTTGGGCTCGTACGGCTTAGTAGTTAGTAGAATGCCACGAGGATTAAATCGTAGCGGGGTTATCTCGATATTGGCGTTTAGTAAAAAGGTAGACTGATAAAAGATGATGGCAGTGAGAAAGGTGAAAAAGATACCTAAATGTTTGTACCAGACGGATATGAAATAAGGTTGGAAGTGGAGGTCAATTGAAATCCAACAAGCTGGGACCTAAGGTCCATTAATCCCATTAATTGCATATATGTCGCAACTAAAAACACATCCCTCCCCCTGCTCCCGTGTCTCAACTAGATCAAGAGTACCTAATCTACAGTTAATCTAATAGATCTCATCGAAAAAGCCAAGACAGATCCACTTTATAAATACATCCATAACTTAGGTACTAGGTAATACCTCTACCTAGGTAAGAGGTAGGTAGCTGTCGGAGGTACATGTACGACGGGAGCTCACATGCTTTCAACTTCATGCGGGCTGGACGGGTACCCGATCCTCCCGTCGGACACTTTATCTACCTTAGATAACTATTAGACATACATAAGATTTATATTATAACTTTCCTAATTTGTTGCCAGAAAGGCATCGTCCAATAGTCAGGTATACCATACTGTCTCACCGCTTCGCTGCTTGTCGTTCTCTTCCGGAGGCCCAGGTAGTCAAAAGACAAATCTGTCTAGCTGCAGAAAACTAGTGACGATAATATCAATCCGGAGGCTTGCTTACACGAGGCCTACAGATGCTAACCTTAGCAACCCTAGCATTCACCTAGCATTTGAGGGTTAATCGATACGCCACAATGTTATTTTCATCTGATTGTTGCGTTAGCTGTCTTGCATTTTGCTTTCTTTTCCCCACGAGCTGAAAGTCAGGCCATCATGGCAAACACCTAGCATGGTAAATAGACTGACTACCTACCTCCTATGCAGCCGCCCACTGACGATTTTTCGGTTTGCCAACCAACCGGTAATGTCTCCACACCAACAGAATCCACCTTGCTGCTGTTATGACATTGCGCTTAAGAACATCATAAATCCTCTACTACAGCAAGATGTGTTGTTCCTGGGAAGCGGCCGTCTTATATGCGAATCGCTTTCAGACTTTATAAATATATCATTAGTTACCTACTCAGGCTAAACGATGAGTAGATTCGCAGTATACTGTGACTGGATAGCTACCGCTCGGAAATGTTTGGAGGGCGAGCCACCCCCAAGCCACATAGCAACATTCTATGTTCAAGAAGAAACTATTAAATTCCCCCTTGCCGGAATAGAGCCTTCCAGCCGTGTCGCTGAATTCTATGGAGAACAACTCGCCGAGGTCAAGAGATCTAGGCTGAGAGAGAAACGAAAGGAGCTCTACAGAAGATTCAGAGCTAGAGTCGTTGCTGCTCATGTTGCTGTGGAGAATGTAGGAGTACCGGCTGGGACGGTTTCGACACTTAAAACAAGCTTGGCTCACTTGGATGTAGCGCTGGGCTGCATGACGGATTTGATAGAGTACGACATGGAGCATCCAATCCATTGGTCAGAGGTATTCCCGGCGGAGGATACCCAAAGCCAATTATCGTCAAGTGAGCTCTGGCTTCATTTCAAGCTGGAAAGTATTAGGCCATGTCTTGTTTTCCTAGTGCGGCTCTTATGGCGAATACTTCCAAAACATGCGGATACGTGGCGTGAATGCGAAGAAAGCCTAACAAACAAACACTGGATAGTTCAGTTTATTCTGGATTCACCGAGGCTTCCGAGCAAATCCACATCGACATCACCGGCGCGTTCCCCAGGAATTGCCCTGTCACCTTAGCAGGGTAGCTGGCTAGTACCTACCAGCTTCCACAGTAATAAAAACAATCATGGGGCTCGGCTCTGGTGGCTTTGGTGAAGAGATCAAGAATCCTATGTGGCTACCTAAGTTAAATACGGTTAGTTCTCTGCATACCTCATATAACCTAGACGGAGGTTGGTACTAATAAGCGTTGTAAAAAGGAAGATAGGAGGTCTGATTGCAAGTTACGGTTGAAAAGGTGAATACACATTGATTTATGTGGGGGTATTCATTCATTGGGCTGTTACTGGATTTAAAAACGAACCAGCAACCTTGAAGTTTATGAAGTTTATAAATCACAAGGATTATCTCCTAGCTACATGCCTCTATGTACCTCCTAGGGTATGTCTAGGTTAGGTAGGTAGTGTTAGGTACAATACTTACCTACCTGACCTTACCTACCTAGTATTTTACTAATAAGGTTATTCTTTTATCGCGTATAGTCTCCACTTACCCCAGATTCTACTGGGAGAATTCAACTTCTGAATTCACGCGACATCAAAAATCCCTCCTTCTTTTTACAAGTTCGTTTTACAAGGCCTATTTAGATCTTCGGTGAAGAGTCGAACTGCCATTCTTTAACGTAGTTGGGTTGTTGATTTGATTTTGCATCTTTCTCTTGCGTCTAGTTCGAGCATTCATTCTTTCTACCGCATAGGTGTATACGTACAACTCGATATAAGATAAAAGAACATCAACGCCAATGTGGTCCTTCGGAACTACGATGACAATGGCCAAAGACAACGATCCTTCGCTAGCCTCTACCAGCAAAGCTCAACAGTCTCAACAGTCTCAACAATCTCAGCTCCCTCAGCCTCCTCAGACTTCACCACAACTTCCCGAAGCTCTCCAGTCAACGACAGCCTCACCCCGACCTCGACCGCCAATACTATCACAACGCTCTTTGAAGCAATTAGGTCTATTCTTCGCCGGCGCTGGCTTTCTCGCTCTCTCCACTGCAATTACGCGACGAGCGGTCGTAAGAAAGCGCTTGGCGACTATCCCTAAATTTTATTATCCAAGCAACCAACAAGTTAATAAGATGGATTCCGATAGCTCGTTGATCGCCCTGGAGGCTCTGAATCTTGCGACGCTCAATGTCATGGGGTTCGGTATTATGATGACAGGTGGTCTATCGTGGGCTTTTGACATCTCGAGCGTCGATGATTTGAGGGCGAAGTCAAGGGCGCATCTTGGTCCCTCGGGTGGTCAAACAGACGAGGAGGCTGAACGGGAAATTGAAGAGTGGGCAGCAAAGGTATTAGGGTGGAAAGAATCAAAAGGAAAAGATAACAAATCGCCACCCGAGAAGGCCGACTAAATCCCTGCTAAGTAATTCAAGACTTGCAGAGGAAGGACCTGGCACTTAACCCGTACTCGGTGCTATACATCCTATACATCAAAGAGTTACGTGCCGACCGAGATCTTAATTCGGGCACGCCACATATACTAGCTTATCCGTATCCGCGATACCAACAACTGCGCTCAGCGGAGCGCACTGTGCCTAGAGTCGGATGTTTCTTCAGCTATAGGTGGCGCTGATGAGCCTAGTGCTATGTGCGATCTCCAGGCGAAAACATCGATCGATGAATCTGTTCTTTCCGATAATTGGCTTCCGATCATGTCCTATTGTATCTGGCAACGTCCTGCGCGACCTTGCACTAAGATTTTCTTGACTTATATTGCCCTACCTTCGGCTTAAGCACAATTTCCATTAAGCAATCAATTTCAGGTTTAGGTAGTTTCCGCTCACCGTTTCTTCCTGGGCTACCTGTTTTGTGGAACGATTATTACGCCTTGGTTTAGACTGTACAGCACAAGTTTGTCCACCTTTGAAGTCATGAGGAACGTAAAAGTATTCGTCGCACGTCTGAATGCCACCCATTTTGAATATTTGCTTCTTATGTCTTACTACTCGTGCCGCTATGTCTCGTCTGAGGAGGTGATAAAGAAGTAACAAGTACGAAGGATAGACCAGGTGCTCGGCCTACTCGAATTATGGCACCGACTACGTTCTAAATACGCTCTACGTTCCAAGTATCCTATATTAGGCGGCTAAGCACATCGTTCGTGTTAAAAATATCTTAACAAGCACCACCTTAACAACTATGTCCATCTATCATATAACAGTTCGAAACTATCACTGGGCCCATCAAAACACTGTTGTTCAGTGCCCTGTTCCTAATCTCGACTCGCCTGTAGAAGACTTAATTGTTCGACCTCTAGAAGGTGTTAATCGGAATGAACCTCGGATAATAAGCAGCGTTTCTGCCTTGAACGATGACATATTTGAAGGCGAATATCAGGCCGAGGCACACGGTGCATTCATCTCAACAGATCCGGAGAATATTGATCACTATCCTGTTTGGGCAACCGTCCACGGTCACGAATGCGGGAAGGACGAGATTTACGTGGCAAACTTAACAGCATTCAAGGCCTCTAGCATTCCTATAGCGCATATTTGCTGGGTTCCCTGCCTAGAAGCACCAGATGGTAACCTGTATACAATCATCGGTGCCCCACGGCAGACGTTCGGAACCACACGGGTTCCGACCATTATCCAGCCCTTAGGATTTCCAAAGGAGTCCAGGTTGGCTCTTCGCGACCCAGTCGAACTTGATAGCTACAAGCAGATCGGGGATGATCGAAAGAGGAATCTATTCGAGGTGCAACGTACGGCGATGCGAAGGAATCGTAGGCCTTCGCCGCTCTTGCTAAACGCCTTTCGCGTATTTTCTTCGCCTTATAGACTTGATCATGGCCGACTCACCTTGCGGGACATCATCGAAAGGGATCACGGGTCTCCACGATCGTATGGCTCCGACAGCAGTTCTCAAACTCTTTCTGATAGCTCGGACGATGATGATTTTATCTATACAAGACCTGCTTATGCCTCAATAGTAGACGCTCGGAGTGTAGGTAACCCCCCCGCCTTAGCTACCAGCTATCGTCTCACAGCGCAAGCATGTACCGAAGTGTTGACAGAATCGGCAGCGCCCGTATAAATGCGATTGCAGATATGCTGCTCTTCGTCCTACGTGTTTCAACCCACGCCCAAGCCACCGACATGTTACGGACAATGAGTGTTGTCTAGGCTCAAGCCATATAAAGCACTGCATATATGCGGACCACGCGCCAACCCAGTGCCTCGTTTCCAGTTCGAAGGAGCAGCACAGACATTGCATCCCCATCCCCTTGTGGCAGAAATTGCAGTCTCAATTCGATGTGTCTTGCGGAGAATCTACCTGTCTCGAAGATGACGTCGTGTTTAGAGAGCCAGACGTGGCCACAAATGATGCCTTGAGTCCTATGGAATTCGAACCAACGATCGCCGACGTTTCTTTCGTGGATGCTCAGGTTTAAGTTTTACTTCCAGTTGTACTTTGATGTAAGATTTGCATTCACCTGCCACCATAATCTGAGCGCTACGAATGGGACCAAGCGGCGGACTGAAGCATCACAAGAGAGACGGCCGAAGACCATTAAGAGTTGCTGGGCACGGTCCTTTACTAGCATTTTACGTTCATGTATCCCCACAGATACTACAGACGACATGCAATTAAATAAATACATAGGTGGCGAAGTCATTATACCCTGATATCCATCTACGAGGAGGTTAGCACTGTTCTTCTCTATTGAACCACCGCATAAGCAACCAAGATACCCGCATTGCAGCATGAATGTAAGATAGTTAGCGTTAGCTAAACCGTGGATTCTCTATTTTGAAAGCCTACCTAACCTAGGTACCTAAGGTACACGGTCACACTTGGTGATGTTATGCTTTCTGTCACTTACACCTGCAGAGTAGTGACAATCGGTATATATATATGTACCTCCTCTGAGGGATTTTTCTCTCTATGCCCCTGGGAGGTACCTAACAATAACTGTAGTTTTACATGGCGCATCATACACAGCGCCTAATCTTAGCTTTTCAAGCCGTTTCAGAAAAAAATATTCCAGAAAGGGGGATGTTACATATATAGTATATAGTCGTAGCTTGACAACCAACCTCTACCTACTATTCCGCCTAGTTTCTCGGTTCGGTTTATCAACTTAACGTTACCCTGCATGAAAAGCCTACCACCACCATCTTTCTCATCCATCTCCACTTAGCATGCCCTAACCTTAGCCCGGCCCCGGTTTGTAGACTACCTATACCTTAGACTACCTAGCCTCCTCTTCTCTTCGTCCATCCCCACCACACCAGGTAGCAAAAACCCGAAACCCGACAATATATGCAAAATTTTCACAGCAGAATCTCCATCAAGTGAAAGGCAACATCCGTTTCCTCTTCACATTCATCACGGTCGGATGGTGTAGTTGGTTATCACGTCAGTCTAACACACTGAAGGTCCCCAGTTCGAGCCTGGGTTCGATCATTTCTTTTGCCCATTTCTCAGTTTGAGTAAATTTTTTTTTTCTTATTTCCCCTCTCATTTTTATTCGTCTCCTCCATTACTCCGTCATCGGATAGGTACGAGTTTCCACATGGAATGCTTCGCCTATTTTGGAAAACTGTACAATAGCCGATGTCATGCCGAAAGTCTTATATGGTTTGCTGAGTATCAAGTTTCAACTGTGTACTAAAGAGTTTTGACTTACAAGGCCGGCTATCTATTTGGGTAGGGCTGTCCAAAACCAATCTACTGATATAACAATAATGCGGCTAGGCTGGTTCTCTCTACCTAAGGCAAGGAAGGATTATTCAGTAGTCTAATTGATTTCAACATCGTCGGTTTTTATATCTGCAGTATGCCCTAAGTTAATCCCAGGTAGCAAGTTGTTACATGACTAGAATATAAAATATAAAAGTATGCCCCCATTTTATAACTATAACATGTTGCCCCAACATGGCTAAAGAATACAAAGTGTACCTAATATGATGGGTTGATAACTCGCGGCGAGGCCAATATCGTCCTCTCGGTGTCGCTTATGCCCCAATTCGAGTGTCTCCCCAGTTCGCTCGACTCCTGCTCTGCTCTGCCCTATCACTGTCTATGATTAAAATTATCATCGCGAGCAATCCATACAAACGTGCAGTGTTCCGTTATATGGCATTCTCTTCCGCATGTCCGCTTATACGTGCTTCTAATCCTTCACCTTTCTCGAAGCTTCCTCTTCGGCCCCAGTTTCGGGGTTGGTGTTTAAGAAATGCGCCTACAGCACCTAAATACCCCTCGTGTCGTAGGAAATAAGCTTGCTTTTGGCCTTTACTCCAGAACTTGATAGCGTAGCTCAGCGTGTTCATAGTTTGGGGATGGCCGCGGATGAAAGATCCGCCAAAGTAGATGCGCGACAGGCCGTGTACTTGCGACTGCAGGTATGCGATCTGGCCGATGTTATTACTGATAGCGTATAATAAGGAACGTGAAATATCAGCGCTGGAAAATCGTGACGTCGCTAATTCGCTTGCTCTCGAGGATGTGGGACGGTGTTGTGGTTGTGGTTGTTGTGCTTGGGGTCCGCTCGTCGTCGAAGACTTCTGTTGCGAATTCTTCTTCTGCTGCTGTTGCTGGTTTTGGTCATCGCCGTTTGCAAGTCCGCCCATATCCTCAGCCTCATGTTCTGCTTCCTGCTTCATACGGAAAACTTTACCAAACGAACTAGCAATCGTGGTGCTCTTCAACCCAATTTTCCCGTAATCGGTACCGTAGATATCACCAACCAGCATATCTACTTTGGCGTTGTCTCCGTGCGCGGCCATATCTAGCATCTCATCAAAAGTTTCGGCGGGCGTAAGTAGAGATAGAATACCCCAAAGGGTACCTCCACCGAGAGATGTACCACCTACTCTCTCGAAGGTCCGGGGGCCGGATACCTTAAGTATACTGACACCGGATCCTATATTTACGAGCATATACGGGTAAATATTAGCGCTAGGCGTCGCGAAGTGCATGGGATCTGTCTCGGAATATGTGAAGACCTCGCGGGGTATTTCGGTAATAAAGAAATCGAGACCTGTCGCAGACAATGCGCATACCTATCATCAGTCTCCGTCACTTGTAATATTGGGGAATATCGGCGCATTCAGGACTAACCAATAATTAAACATTCCATTTCGTCTTCTCGTAGAACGTCTACCCCGAGTCGTTGTCGGATTCTGTCGTAGTACTTGTAAGCACCGCCTCCTGTCGCCATTACGCATAGTTCGCTAGGTTCGGAGCCATTGAGAGCGAGCTGCTTGTCTCGCAGATGTCGCATAAGCTCGATACAATCGTCTATACGATCGGTTTCGAAGGATTGGAAATTAAGTCGACCGCCGGGATCAGTTGAATGCGCCTCGCGGGAGAAATAGACCAGCTTAGCTAGCGAGCCACCGATCTAGAATATAGGAATTGCGCAATTTAGCTCCGAGAACACAGTCGCGAATCTTACGTCGCATTGGAACATTGGAGATTGCCTACATCAACAGCGATATGGCTGACAACAGCCGTATGATTAGGAAGACGAATGTCTTTTGTTTCGTGGTAACTATTCCCGCCGGATGCAGACACATTCGCGGGAGTACCGGGTTGTTGTTCGGTCGTATCAACAATGAATGCGCCCTTCACGTTGATGCGGACAGAGCCGGGATGTATAATGGTACTATCGATCTCGGCCGTGCTCGTCATAGTGCGCGGTCTTCCGGGCGACTGCTGCGCCGCATCGGCCTTTCCGTTGCCGTTGCCGTTGCCGTCGCCATCTATAATAGCGGCATCGGCTTGGTAGGTATCTCCGGACATCGTATCTCGCATGTATCGCATGTATCGGGGGGGCTGGTGGTGGAGCTAGGTCGGTGCGGTGAGGCGGGGGAGGGGCAATAAAAGAGCTGAGATAAAAGAAGGTGATCAAAGCTTCTGGTGGCTCAGAAGCCTATGTGTAGCAGCAGATCAAGGAGGCATGAATTTAGGAAGGAATTCAGAAATAAACTTGGGAGATGGTTTCGGTGAGATGTTGATAAAGGTACCTATGCAAGGTATGCGAATGCGACAACAGCATTTGGTGTTCGGATTTGCGCTCAACGGGTAGGATTATTTAGAATGAGGTACGGTTTACCGCGGAACGGAGAAAGGAGTCAGAGCCAAGGCAAAGCCTCAAAGAAAAAGCGCGAATTGGATTTTTGGTGGGACAGAATTCGCATGGATTAAGGTACCTGCTGATGGATGCGCCATGGGTCAAACAGAAAGGGGAAAAGACTAGTGTTAACTTTTTAAGAGGAGACTATGTTCAACAAATATGATTGACCAGTTTGACCATTTATTACCCCACATTATCACAGTACATACTATGGTATCAGGCTTAAATAAAACTACCCTGTCAGGTATCCTGCAAGAAGGCCGAATAGCTACCATACTGGATTAGGACTAGTATAACCAGGGTCTTAAAAAGATACATTTAACACTTTAAAAAGAATGAAAATTCTTACCTGCACTTTTTACATACCTATCATAAATAAAATATATATCAAAATGATCCTTAAATAAGCAGGAATCTAATGGTTTAATCAGATTCTTTGTAATGTACTTAGATATTAAAATATCTTATATATTAATAGTGATATGTTTAAAACTATCGCATAGGCCACATTATAGCGTGTTACCTTTGACAGGGGTTTTACTTACCCATAACACCATAGTACGCACTATGTCATTGTTATTTCTTGTTATTTCTTATCGATAATGCTTATGGACCCTCCCGGCCCCAGCCCCTCCCCCAACAAGCCCCTCCAAAAGCTACATGTATTATGTACCTAGGTACGCTAACCTGCCAGCCCTGCTCGGCCTGCGTCTACCCGAGGTACAACAAAGTTGACTTGCTCGCTTAGCTACAGGCACCTGAAACCATAGCACGCAGAATGATCACACCCTTAGCAAGACACTTACATAACCTGTAGAATCATACGTCCTGCCAAAGAAGTACAATCCATTTTATTATCACCCGGCTCTTAGAAGAATCCTCCAACAGGTACCGCTACAAAAACAGCCGTCAACACGCCACCACCCAACAGCCCAGCCAGCACCGACTGCACAAAAATGACATCTTGTATCTGCCTGAGCGCCGGCTCTTGGATCCAGACCTCCCGGTCAAACACCTTGCGCACCAGCCCGCGGCGTTCGTACTTCACCACCCACGGCTCGTCCTCGTAGCTATTATTACTCGACCCGAACGATTCGAAGCTATTGTTGTTACCCTCCTTAGATCCCCTACCTCTTTGATGGTTGCCTCTTTCTTCCAGTTCCGATCCGGAGGAGGAGGAGGAAGAAGGGGATACCACCCCCTCCTCCGCGGAATAATCGAATAGCTCCCACGGCCGCACGTGTCGGTGGTGCAGCCCGTGCAGCACCACGCACATCCCCTTGTACGCCGAAACCAGCGTCGCGATGCCGAGCGTCCACGGGATCGCAAGCAGCGCGCGCCAGCCCCGGCCCGCGGAGCTCAGCGTCAGGAGTATCGCGCCTATCGTGGCGCAGAGGATCGTGCCGGCGCCTAGGCTTCGGGCGAAGGTCACGCGTGCTGGGTTGCCGTTGCAGATGGTCCAGCGGATGAAGTTTGGGTGCGCTTGTCTCCGGAGCGTGTCCTCTACGCTTCCCATGATGGTCCGGAACGCTGATGGGTGTGTCGTGTATGCCAGTGCTTGTACTACGCACTTCTGCTCCTTGCTTGAAAGGTTGAGTTGTCGTGGAGCGTCGTCTGTGATATATGTCGCAATTACGCGGTTGACCTCAGCTCTGAAGGGCTGGATGGTAACTAGACAGGTAGGTAGGTAGGTGTTAGTAGTGACACGTTTGTTAAGACCGGATATTCTAGATATAACATACATGGCTGTGAAGCACCGGCGGCTCTAAAAGCGTCTTGACACTGCGAGCGATAGCTTGTAGCTCGGGACCTCGACCAAAGAGACGGGGTATCTTTAACGCTAGGCGTCGAAGGAGGCGTCGAAAAGGGGTCTCTGCTTTCTAGAACGATGTCTGCTTCTCCTTTCTCAAAATCGGTACCTCTGAAGATAGCAACGGCTTCCGGTTCTTTTCTTATCCTTTCAACGGCATCCTTTTGGATCTTTGCAGCCGTTTCATCCTCCATTGCTTGCGTCCACTCCGGGGAGAGATTCGTGTCTGAAGTACTGGCTTCGTTGAACCGCTTCACGTAGTCGCGATACCAGAGGAAGAACTGCAAGTTCTCTGCAGAGTGCTCGATATACATGAGGTAGTTTATAAAATCACGTATGGTGCACGGCTGTAAGATGCAACTTTGTGTTAACACACGGAATCGGAAAGCTTCAAGTTGGAGGTACTCACGGGACAAGTTCCTCCGTCCATGATTTTGTCAAAAGCGAGGACGTCAGGTATCCCAGATGAAGAGCCTGTTTGACCTGATTCCAGCGAAACATCACTGCTCGCGTCTCCTCTCCTGCTTGATAAGAATTTCCCCTTATCTACATGCCCTGGCCGTCGATACTTGAGTGAGAGAAGACCCATGATAAAACAAGTGATCGACAACAGCTATAAAGCTTGATTCTCTTTAACAGGTAAGAAACAGATGTCTATCAAGAGAAATCTCCAGACACGATCAACAGCTACCCAAGACAAGCCAGATCTACGAGAGTTTAAGTACCAAAAGCTTTCAGGAACGGAAGGCTTTGAACAGTTAAATCCGGGGGCTTATTTCCTACCCGGACGTTAGATGGAAAAGACTAGGTTAGCTTGGAAGCCAGGAACTGTCTTACATTCAGAGCTGCTTGGCCGAAGCCATACGATAGCCTCTAGCTTAGGTTGGAGAAGCTTAGCCAGAGTACCTTGATACATATTCTCCGGGTCATGGCTAATCCCAAGCCATTGCCCATATTCCCCTTAAGCGTGAGAATCCACTAGTAGGACTCCTGTCACCAACCTAGAATTATACTTAAATATAGAGCTTCAAGTCAGCCTACTGTGTATCATGTAGAATATTTACATATTGTAGGTAGTAAAGTCTAAAGGTAGATGTCTACTTTCCCTATAAAAATTCGCAAGCTAGGCCCCAGTATGGAGGTTAGCTTTCATAAGACAACAGTTCCTGTTTACTATACGGCTGAAGAGCCTTCGGAGACGGACTAGTCATAACTCCTCAGGTGCGGCTAGATATTTAGGCTTTGGTAGGCTGAAGGTGAATATCAACGGCTCGCCCATTGATTGGACAATTGGTACTGGCAATGACTCAGGTTAGCTTCAGGCCTCCGAGGCTAGTGTCTGTTAAGAAGCAAGGCGGAATTTGGTTAACTAGCCCAGCCAGCCCATCAGTTGCAGGATGAGAAACTATCTCTCAAGAGGCCCCTGCGAGACAAACAGCCCTCACAACGGCTTCCCACGTTGGCGGAGTAGGCGAAGGGCTGGAAGCGGGTAAGGAAGATCAAAACTAGGGCGCATAAGACTTTGACTGTGGCGGCCCAAGTCTACTAGGTACGAGGGAACAGAGCAATTAGAGAAGCAAATATGTGCCTTGTTCCGTTTTTCGTCGTACGATGAGTGCATACGCCACTCAGCCCTGAGAACTATTGTGTATGAGACATGCATATCGTTCCTGGATCAATCATGATTCGCAGAGGCTGATTTAGAGCTTCGCCAACGTTTGAAGCCATGTAGTTGGGGCGGCTAGGTCGCTTGCGCTTGCGATGTTGACCTGGTCTTGAAGTCTAACAAAACGTCTTAGGCCATATTTCTACCCCTTAATTTGGGTGGCTTAAACTTAGATGATCACCTACCTTCCTTATTAGTGTCTCCAATAATTCATGCTTGAGTAGACATATCGGCTATGATTAGGTTCTTATACCTAGGTAATAAATTTCCTATACTGAAATCCCTAGGCTATTCATCGACCAAAATGAAAAAATGAATTTATCAAATTAGCTTTTCTGATCCATTTGCGCGCGGACAAGAGGTAATCCTTCGTTACCAATCCCTCTCGGAGATAGAAACCGTGTTGATATCTACGCCATCCTTATACCATCTCTCCTCGTGGGTGATCTTCACATCATTTCCACTCACTGGCAAGTAGTTAGTTAATAAACGTCTACATTTAAAAGCATATAAGGGTGAATGCTCTTAAGTTCGTCAGGGGGAACAAGTTAGAAAATAAGTAATAGAAGCAACTTACTCTGGCGCTTCCTCATCAACCCGTCATCCGCGAAAGTCCAGTCTTCGAGCCCGTACGTCCGCCACCACTGGCCCTCGGCATCGTACCACTCGTACCAAAACTGGACGGCGATCTTGTTATCCGTGAAAGCGAAGAGCTCCTTGCGTAGTCGGTATCCCTGCTCGCGCTCCCATTTCTTGGTTAGGAAGGCCTCGATCTCGTCTCGGCCCTGGAGGAAGGTGTCCCGGTTTCGCCAGATCGAGTCTGGCGTATATGCCAACTTCACCTTCGATGGATCCCTTTTGACGTTGTACGGTTAGTTTTACGATACTCCTTTTGCCACATCTATTTAGATTCTAATCTAGAGCTGATGAAGTACGAAAAAAAAGGGGGGAGGGGGTAATGCGCACTTAGTATTCCAAGCATCTTGAGCCGCCTTCACTTTGATGTGAGCGGTCTCCGCCGTGAACGGAGGATACGGAGGCTTCCCTTTGTTGTCGGTCGCCATAGCGTCAAGATTCAATTTAGAATCTCTCCTGAGTGGTACTGTTTCACGTAGAATTAATCCACGAATGTACTACAACTACAACTTCTTTTAATTTTCAATTCTATCACTTTATATCTGTAGACACTGGGCTATGAGTAAGCGCCACAAAATTAAGCTCCGTGAAATGAAGCGAAGAGTTACAATTTCAACACCGGGAATGACCATGTGCCGGTGGCTAGGACGCCGGACCCCGCTCGGCCGCTCTCGGGATTCGAGAACGTCAAGATTATGTATGATGTCTCGCCACATCTAACCTAGGTGACTTATTTCCGGAGTTTATTTCACTCTTGGTAGAGAAAGTCCGGCATGAAAAGGTGCGCAGTTAGATAATTTAAGAATCATAGCGTTTTATTTCTCCTCGGGCTTCAAAGGTAGAGAGAGTATTGCAGTATGTTGCAGTGATTAATCGAGGAAACGACCGGTCAAATTGACTTATTATTACTTTTCAATTCCCGAGTCGGTGTTAAACCATACATTCTACTCTGTATGTACGAAGGCCCGGGCCAAAAGTCTTGCACATGCCAAGCTTTTAGCCCAGGTACTCAACGTGCGCAACTGTAATAACACTGTATTTGTTTAATACTAATTTTAGGGGCGGATAGTGGTCTTTACACTAAATTCTAGGTGGTTTACCACTATACTTACAAGGGCGTTAGTTGCTATTGGTAGATCTGACACCGTATAGCTTTTTTTATTGACACATAGCTTACCTAAGCTTAGACTTTTGGCCCGGACCTTCGTAGTTGCTGTTTATATCCGTACATGTTTTACTTTACACAGGGTTTAACCCCGATAGGAGTTGTTCTCGTTCATACGCCATCTGCAGAATTCAACAGGTCACCAACAACTCAAATATTGACACCTTGACTCACAAAATCTCGGGCCGTTTGAGATGTGCGTGTAGGCATTACATGTAGGTACCTAGGTAGGTGTTGGCCATAATTTGGAATTCAGGGGTAGTGTATACCTACTGGTCACATTGCTGGCGACTGACATAGGTTATTTGAAATACTGTTACTGTGTTAGCTAACGTTACCTCTCTTTTCTCGAACACTAATTTATACGTACGTAACAAATTCCAAATCTAGGTAACTACCAAATTCTTCTTCTTGCACATGCCCTGTTTTAAGCTTAGCAATCAACAGGACTACGCAATGTAAACCCGTTTGCTAATTATCCCCCACTCGGTTTAATAACGCTTCGGTGGGCTGTTGGCATATCTATCCTGAGATTCCGAAATCCGTGGTTTTTCGAACGGCCCTTTTTTCCCAAATGTTGAATAAAGACTAGAGCCTCGCACGTAAGTATTTACTATGTAGGAGGTACGTAGGCAAGTCATCCTGTAGGTTGTTAATTTTGTGCCGAAGATGACTTACTGAAGAAGATAGGGAATTACTAAGGCGTAACGAGAAAAGGGCGTAGTTACCTACCTGGTACTTCAGCTAGTAGCTAATCCAGTACCTAAGATAGAAATAAATGGCCCTGTATGGAACATGACGAAATATTCGTGCCCACCACAGCTTCACAATCGGTGCGGCCGCACGTCCGCACCTGCGTTAAGGCAACAAACAATAGCAAGTCACACAGGCTTTACTATGTAGATATATGCAAGGACTAGGTAACCCCTCTAACCGTCAAGGTTCCCTTTGACCCCACCGCGTAGGTATTTTGACCCCACCATCAATCGTATTGGCAATGGCGGCAACGGGATGATGCCAGCGCGCTTATTATATTAATGCGCCTGCAATGTTATGTTGTGACCGCGCGGTAACTGCAGTGCGAGTGCTCGAGTACTCTCTTACTCACATGTACATATTTTATGCAGCCTGCATGGAACATAATGTACCGTACATCTAGGTCAGGTAGGAAGGTACAATATACTAGTGCATATAGGTAATGTAGACTTTGGACAAAAGGTACCTGAGGTAGTCACGGAGTAGTAAAACTGCAGGTTCGAAGGTTGCTAACTATCCGAATTCGCAACGCCAAGTATCGTACCTGTAGATTCGGGACGACCACCTGATCTTACCCATCTTCTTATCCATCTTACTGTAACGATAAATCGTCTTGTCCCAATCCTTACCTCCACAACTAGTACCTAACCTACCTTAAAGCTATTAAAGAGCTAATTAGAGCTATATAGCTCACAACTTCCCTACATACTTTTTTCGAGTCTTTTGTCCATTCCTTGTTCTTTATTCTTCATCTACATCTGCAACAACTATTTAACATCCCACGAACAACTCCTACCCCATCTTATACCAGACCCAATACTAAACACCAACCCTCCATCCGCAACCATGTCTGCCCTCAACGTCGGTGACAGCTTCCCCGAAGGTGTATCTTTCACCTACGTCCCTTATACTCCCGAGCTCGCCGGTGTAACTGCCTGCGGTGTTCCCGTCAAGTACGACGCCAGCAAAGGTACCGTCATCTCTTTTCCTATCTTTTCTTCTCTGTATAACATTACCGACCTTTCCCTCTGTAATTGTCAACTCGCATAATCTAACCTTAAAACTCACCCCCTCTCGCAGAAGTCAAAGACAAGAAGGTCGTTATCGTCTCCGTCCCCGGCGCCTTCACGCCCACCTGCCAAAACACCCACATCCAAGGTTACATCGAGAAGCTACCTCAGCTCAAGGCCGCCGGTGTCGACCAGGTCATTGTCATCGCCTACAACGACGCTTGGGTCCAGGCTGCCTGGGCTAAGGCCAACGGTATCAAGGATGAGATTGTAAGTTCCTTATTTTTTATTTTTTATTTATTTAGTCATTGGTTCAGCCCGTCTCTTTCTCTTCCCCCAATTCGCCGTGCGTTGCGTCTTTTTCCAAAACAGGAATATACCCTGGAAAAGCGACAAATTAATTGGACGCCACATGCCTAACATGTCACGACATCCTCTGCTACAACCTGCATTCTTCCGAATTTAATTAAGTAAATTGGAAACACAACTAATATAAGGATGAAACAACAGATCTTCGCTTCCGACGACGAAGCTGCCTTCAGCCGCAGCATCGGCTGGACCCTCGGTGCCCGCACCGCCCGCTACGCCGTCGTAGTCGACCACGGCAAGGTCATCTACGCCGACAAGGAGCCCGAAAAGGGCGTCACCGTCTCGGGCGTCGACGCTGTCCTCGCCAAGCTGTAAATAAAAATAAACCTACCTACCTCACTGAATTTACTTCCTCTATAAACAAACAAACCCCCATGATACCAACTAACGTCGAAATCGGATTTCGAACCATGAATAGAAGAGTAGGAGGATATGGATGGAATTATATAGAAAAGAAGACGAAAGGTCGAGTTTTTCTTTCTTTCGAAATAAATAAACGAATCCACTGGGCGGTTGCAGTTTTGATGGCTTTCTTATATATAGACGTTGCACTTTGTAAAGCAAACTTAACTAGGGGTTTTATAAGTAAATAGATAAAGCACCTACCTCATAAACAATCGCAAAGCTAATTCGACATGTGAGAATAAAGCCTCCCTCTGCGTGTGCGATATCTCAGTGTGTTACTATGTAGTCATACATCAGGTAGGTAGTAATTGACCATGGGAACCAAGCTCGTGGTAGCTATTAGGTGGAACGAAGTAAGGAAATCCAAGGACCCAACAATTTCACTTGCACGATATGGGAGAAAGCACGAGCCGTATGGAGTATCTAAGGTTAGGTGCCTAGGTAGGTATGTACGAATTCAGACCGTAGAACGAGCTGGCATTAAGTTTGAAGCTACCAGGTTGTTGTTTTTTTTTGTTTTAAGAATTCCCATGACCATATATTAGGAAGGTTAACCATGAGAGAGATTCCAATGCATTTCATGTCGTTTCCCTCCCTTTAACCGAATAGATGATGATGATCATGATGGCGCCATCATGAGTGTGCGCGCGCATGTGTTTGTGTATGCGTGTAGGGTATGCTTGCTACGTTTGAAGGTTTCTCTTTTTTTTATATTCGCAATCGAGGAAGAAAAACTGGTTCCCACCGAAGACGCCGCCGGACGTGAGAGTGGCTACAACAACAACACTTTGAGAGAATGCCATGCCATGCTATGATATGTATGATCATGACTGATCCCTTTTCTCTTCATCTTTTCCCTTTCTGTCTTCTGTCCTCATCACTTCTTAAAAAAAGACCACCTCCCCTTTCACACCCTGGGAACCCTTGACCTAGCGTAGCAGCAAAAAAAAACCCGAACCGATAATAAAAAAACCATAAGAACCCTTAAACCCTACAGATGAGGTGGAGGAGGAGGAAGGGAGCAAAGTGGCTCTTTTAACGGGTGGTGGCCTGGACCTTGGGCTGGGCACCTCGGGCGCCCTGCTTGCCGACGATGCGCTGGGTCTGGCCCTTGGCGGCGGTGGTAGCCTTCTTGGCCTTCTCGGACTTCTTGGCGGCGGCGGCGGCGGCCTTCTTCTCCTTGGACTCCTTGATGGCCTGGGCGCGGGCGGCGGAGCGGGCCTCGGGGCGCATCGATCGCTTCTCCTTGATCACATCGAGGGAGGCGCCGACGATGGCTCGCTGGGACTTGACGGTGCGGCGCGTGCGCTTCTTGGCGACTTCCTGCAAGGGGGTGTCAGCATTTCTATCTTTCCTCGTCTCATCTCATCTCGACCTCGTGTTATTATTATTAATTCGCCTTCGCCTTTCCTTCCCTTTCCCGACGGTGCGAGTAATAATAATATTATCATTTTATTTTATTTCGTCATCGCTTGAGGAGTAGACGTCACGTCACGTCACGTCACGGGTTGTTGGAAAGGGAGGAAAAGAAAAAAAAAGAAATCGTACCTCAGAGATACCCTTGCGGTGTTGTCGTCGGTAGAGGACGGTCCATGCGAGTCGGCGGGGGTTCTTTCGCTGTAGGAAGAGCGACTCGGACTTGCCGTTCTGGAATCGGAAGATCTTGCTGTCGCCTCGGACGTAGAGCTTACCCTATTTTGTGACGAGTCGGGTTAGTTATCTTTCTTTGGTACGCACACACATACGGGGGGTATCGAATTGGATCGAAGCTGTTTTGTGGATAGTGAAGAATAATAAAGAAAAGAATATATATTATTTTTGCGTACCTTGCCAGGGTAGATCCTCTGACCGGAGAAGCTGTCGTCGTAAGTTCTCATGGTGGCGGTTGTTTGTCGCTTTCTTGAGAACTCTCGGTTGACTTGTGCTGTGAGGGTTAGTAGTTTTTCGAGGTTGGATGTTGGGGATTGTTGTTAAGAGGGACGGAATTTCGTAAATCTCAAAGTTGCGCGCACTTGTGTGGGCTGCATGACTAAGCCCCATTCATTTTCCTCTTTTTTTTCTGGCCCTTTTAGGGTCTCGCTTGATGTGGCTTGGGGGAAGGTGTGGGACGTGGCTATGCAAGCATTCAATTGAATGTTTGAAATTACGTCAATTAAAGTACGGGTTATTCAACTGTGACACTCTATCGTAATACCCCCGTTGTTGCATATTCTCACGATTTCTATCCCAGTCCCTTCCATACATACAATACATTTCACTACCTAAAGTTCCATTCACCATATCTACCTTAGGTACTTATTTCATCATGATATAATGAATACGATTGAAGATGATCTGGATATCTATTGAGTGGCCTTTACTCGAATATTGCCTAGTTAACTTAAGGTTGTTGTTTTGGCAGATTTGTCATACAAGGTTCCCTTCCCATGACCACAGCAGACGACATCGCTGCCCTGGTGCAGAACCATTACAATGCACTCCCAGCGAAGAGGAAACCTCTAGTCAGAGGTAATGGCCTGCGGGAGTGGGTGCCGCTAGCTGGAATAGTGGCTCAAGGTATATACCCAACCTATATGTCATGGCAGCATGTACATAGAGATATTATATATCCATAGACTAATACCTAATAATAGGCAAAGACGGCGAGCTCAAGTGTCTGGCCCTTGCGTAGGTTAGCTTCTTGATTATTTTTTTCTCACCCCTATGTCTTATGAAGTCTGTCTAGTCGTAAACCATGATCCCAAGATCTGACATGGCGCTGGTTTAGAACAGGTATGAAGTGCCTACCCGCCGCCAAGATACCGCAGGCGCAAGGGAACGTGCTGCATGACTGGCACGCCGAGGTCCTAGCCATCAGAGCCTTCAATCGCTTCGTACTCGACGAGTGTAAAGCTATGGCTCAGGGGCGCCCATCCGAGTTTTTACGGTGGCGGACTACGGATGAGATGGACTCGGGCTGCTACGGCAATAGCAAATCAGAAGAGCTAGAAGGGCAAACGAGTGAATGGTGCGGACAGCCTTTCTCCTGGAGAGAAGACGTTTTCATACACATGTACTGCTCCGAAGCCCCTTGCGGCGACGCGAGCATGGAGTTAATAATGGACGCTCAAGAGGACGCTACGCCATGGGAACTCCCCCCAACGGCCCTCTCCACCCCGCTCTCCACCTCCACCGCCGAGCCCTCTCCCTCTCCATCCCTACCAGGCCGTGCCTATTTCTCCCACCTAGGCGTCGTCCGCCGCAAACCCGCACGGTCAGACGCGCCGCCCACGCTCTCCAAGTCGTGCTCGGACAAGCTGGCCCTGCGGCAATGCACCTCGCTCCTCGCATCCGCCACCGCGCTCCTCGTCGACCCGCACCACGCCTACATACGCACCCTAGTCTTACCGGCGTCCCGGTACTCCGAGCCCGCGTGTCGCCGCTCGTTCTCGGCGTCCCCTACGCGCGGGCGGATGAGAAGCCTGGCATCTTCGACCATAGCAGCAGAGCAAGGCCGAGACCCGGGACAAAATCAGATCCAAGCAGAAAAGGCAGCCGAATCACCTTACCGTTTCCGCCCCTTCGCCGTCGAAACGACGACGTCCGAATTCGCGTACTCCCAGCGAACCGTGACCAACGCCAACGCCAACGCCAACGCCAGCGTCAGTGGAGGTAACGAGCACGGTAGCAGCAGTAACAGTAGCAGTAGCAGTAGTAGTAAACCGGGCGCGCAGAAAGCAGCTGCAGCTAGTAACGTCTCCGCGGCGTGGACGCGCTCGGGCCTCGAAGAGACGACGCTGGGGGGTATCTTGCAGGGGCGGAAGCAGTCTGGGGCGGACGCGCGCGGGGCCAGTTTTGCGTCGAGGCGGAGGATGTGGGGTCTTGCTGTGGAGGTGGCTGATATACTTTTGTCGTCTAGACAGGGGGAAGATGGTGAGGAAAGGGAAAGGAAACGGGAACGGGAGGGGGGAGAGGAGAGACATGACGATAGTTCTGGCAGGATTGCTGAGATCAAGAGAGCTCTAGAGGCAGAGACGTACGGCGGGATGAAGGGTTGCGAATTACTAGAGCCCCGGAGGAGAGCCAAGGACAAGGCGAGAGCAGAAGCACTGAAAGGATGGGTGAGAAATCTAGGCGATGAGTCGTTTACCCTGTAAAGTGAAGCAAAGCAAAGCAAAGTAATTTAAGGGGTCAGTTCACTTGTGGATGCGACATCATCGAACAAGACCAATTTACAACATATTTCTTCTTATTTGGAACAAGCAGTAGCATAAGATTTTCCTCGCTGCGCACGCCTGCGGGATTTCAAAGGTAAAAAACCTGATAGCAGGAACTTGACGGAGGGAAAAACGTATGACAACGCAAGCGGCTACTTGTAATAGGAATGCATTGGGATGGAAGGGGGGAAAGGGGTTTCGTTTTCGTGTCCGCACGCATCTAGCAGAGACAGAAAAGAAGTCTTCCCCCTTTTCCAATCCCAAAACTACCTAAAAAAAATTGGATGACGATGGTGGTTGAGGTAGCTAGAAGGAGGAAAAAAGATAAAACCCACCACCAGGTTTAATTTGCAAAAGGACAGCTACCGAGGAACTCCCTTTCCGACCTTTCCATCCTTAGGCGAGAGAGAGAGAGAACATTTGAGAGATGGAGAAAAAAAGAGACCACCATCAAAACCGGATTGACCAAATTCCATAATCATTCCCATTGTGCTGTTTGAGTTTCCATTATCTTTACCATGTGCTTCATTTCGTTTCGTAAAAATGAGACCTTTTTCTTTTTTCAAAGGGGGTTTTGTTTGGAGAGGGATTTGGGAGTAAAGTCTGGTATTTTTGGTCCGCTTGTTATTAATGGGTGTGCCAATTAACAAAAGGTCGTCTATTCGACCTTGCTCTCGAAGTTCTCGCCGGCGACTAAGTCAGGGATATCGTCATCATCGGCCTCGGCTTCCTTAGATTCCTTGGACATGCTCTGATAGCTCTCGGCTAGTTTCCGCAGAGAGGCAAGAGAGTCAGGTCCGAGCTGGTTTAGGATACCAGGGACAAGCTCGGTAAGCTCCTTGTCCTCGCCAGCACCGTAGATGGCGAATGTGTTGGAGGGTACAGCGGCGTGGACTATATTAGGTAGTTACCTAGATGTTAGCGACGGGATGGTTCTTTTAGGTAAGAGTTATCGGTATATATAAGAAAACTTACCCTTGGGAGCCGAGAAGTGGATGACGTTTCCGTCGCTCTTGAACATGTTGACCTCCTCGATAGCCTGAATGGGCTGAGTGTTAAGCTTCTTCAGCGTAGCTTGTAGCTTCTTGTCGTCGTTGGCGCTTCGGGCGACATTTCGCTTTTGCTTGTGTCGCGGAGTTCCCTTTCCACCTGCGCACCAAAAAAATAAAAAAAGATTAATCAGTTGCCCTCTTTATTTTTTTCAAACCTCCTCTCCCCACCCCCAATCATATAAAATCGACAACGACAATCTAGTAAATAAATATATTCAATATGACATACCGGTACGCGAAGGCGCGGCGCCACCGAACTTCTTCTTAAGGATCTCTTGTACGTCGGCCATGATTGTGTATAGAGGTCTCTTCTAACTCTCTTCTTTTCGATAGTTCGGGGTGGATGGATGGTGGGCTGAAGAGCGTAGCTGTGGAAATCGTTAGTAGGGATTGATTTCTTTTCCCATCAGTCAAATTTTTGGTGCGGGACGACTTGATTAAAGGTGTTTATGATGATTGGAAAAAATAAAAAAAAAAAAACATTAGAAAAAATGAAGATAACTTTACCTCGAGAGGAATTGCGAGTTTTTCTTTTTTCGTCGTCGTCGTCAAAATATCTCAGCTCTATCAATCGATTAATGGAGGGGCGATGCGATGAGGCCTGAAAGTTGGGGCTTCGTCGGCATTGGGAAATTGTGCGTTGCCAAGAGTTTTTCCTTTTTTCGCTTGAGGATCAACCCTCTTCCGCCCGCACCTAGGTACTTATATTACCTAGTTGTCGCATAATACACTTCTTACCTTAGGTATGCATTTAACCGTCTCCCCTCCTCACTCAGGAGGTAGAGAGACCCTTACGACGCAACTCATGTAAAATCGCCAATTCAATGCTATATTAAGTCAAGAGCCAGCCAAATATGGTGCTCAGTTGCTTTAGCTCCCTTAGGCATTAATTATCTCGAAAAGCCATCATCATTTTTTTTTTTGCACTCCTGATCGTGAACACATCGCACCCTTCCAACCTCTTACACTTCAACAACATTATGTCACTTTTTCTCTCCTTATTTTCTAGCCGTCCTAACACTCCTCACTCCTCACTCCTCACTCTTCCATTTCATAGAAATTATGTGCCTAATCTAGCTAGAGCGTCCATACCGGTATCTTCGTCCTCCTCCAGCTCAATAAGCTCCTCGCATGTCTCTTCGCATGTATCTGATTGCTTCTCGACCACTTCCGTAGTTTGCTTCACCTGTAGGCCTTCGCCAATTTGTAGGTTGTCAATATCGCCATATTCGTCCGAGACCTCAATATTTCTGCTCACGAGACGCTGGAAACCTTCGTCATCGTATGCGTAGTCATCATCTAATACTGCCGTTGTTGCTTTGGGCAGCTCCTCCAATTCGAAGTCGTCCTTAGCCGTGGCAATTCGACCCAGCTCGTACTCAAAAATCCACGGGAAACTGATCAACGGCATCTTGTCAATAGATCGTTTCCCTTCTTCTACTGCTACCAGCACTGGCCCTTGGGCCTTCTGCACCTCTTCCCAGGTGACTCGATAGGTAGCTGCTACTACAGGATATAATACCTTGGTATCCCTGGAGCCGGCTAGTTTTATGCAGGCGTCCCTAAAACGTTCCCTATGGTTCGTCATCACCGGCTCCATATTCTCTTGTCGTTTATATTCGCCACCGAGCCGGGGTTTCGACATCATAAAAGTTGACCAGGCTTCGAATTCGGTTTCAATATCATGCTGGTTCATGATCTGTCGCATGGCCTTATCGTGTTGTCTCTTTATCATTCCGACTTCTTTCAATAGTTCGTCTTTTAGTGAATATCTGCGAAGAATTCTCTCGTCAAACGTGCCGTCCAACTCCGGTTTGAATTCGACCTGTGCTACTTGGTCATAGAGCCGACCGAGAATCCTTATCGAGCGATAGCTTTTATTTGGTGCCTTCTCCATAAAGTGCGGGTATTTCTTTGGTCGCAATGACGGCCTCAAATAAGCCGCTTGTCCAGTCTTCGGGTAGTCAACGGCATTGGAATGAAGACGCGCCAGCTCGGTGCACTGCGGATCCTTGGGACCATCCATCAATTCGTCGCACTTGGCCATATGAGCATGGGCGATGGTGCTGAGCGAGTCATTCTTCATGTAGCTCACGAAGAACGAAATAAGATCTGTGACTCTTACGTCGCGATCGAGCTCTCTTGGCTTGAGGCTATCCTGCTCCATGGGGGGATGATTCCACTCCGTAGGAATGAGCCGAGGATCCCAAATGACAAAAAAGTCATCACCGTCGAGGTCTCCTCCTGAGCACATCGAGGGGATATCGCGGTCACCAACTGTAGGGAACACAACAACGTCGCGAAGGTGCCTTAGTGCTGGAACGTCTACGGCCTCTACTACTCGAATATCGCCAGGATGTAAAGATGGGTTTCGTCCAAGCACGCATATTCCGGTTATTACGGTGTATTCACCTTGGTCTCCTGGTCTGATATCCGCCTTCGGTACTTGTAGGAAGATCTGTGGTAACGATTTGGTGTCCTTGCTTTGACTACTGTCAACCCAATCTGAATGCCCCCGCAATGTGCGAGTCTCGTCTGCGCAGCCGAAGACGAATGCTCCCTGATCAACCATAATACGAGCTTTTTCGCGAAGCAGTCTCATTGACCAAGCACGCCAAATATGTAGTAGGATCATGAAAAAAGGCTCTTTCGTTTCCATGAACCCGTCTGCAATCATCTGTGCCATTATTGTAGTGATGCCGTTTTGGTCAACATATTTGCTAAGTAGTTGCATAGCAAATTCAGCATCAGTCATAGCTCGCTCGTAGTCAGCAATCTGCTTCTTCATCATCTCCTCAAATGCCTCATCCGGTACGCCAAGGCAACTTAGAATACTAATTGTCTGTCGGTTTAAAGTTGCGACAGAATATCTCGATGTCTTGATAATTTCGAGACCCTTCGAAATTGCGGTGAACTTGTTTTGGGACGGTCGTAGATGAACCTCGTTAAAAGGCACATCGGACCACTGCACTAGGATCCCCTTGCTACCCCCAAGTCTAAACTGGAAAACAGACGGGAGAGTCTTTGCGGTCCTGTTCATGTCAAGGTTCTGCATGAGGAACTTCGCACGGCTGAAAGCTATCTTTCCAACTCCATCTGTGAAGCACCAGCCGTCATGCTCGATGTCATTAATATGTACAATTGCTTGCCCGATTGGCGATGCTTTGGGAATCCGTGTTGTTGAGAAGCACTGTCCAAGTCGAGAGGCATACTTGGCCACAACACGGATGTGGTTAACGTTGCCCATCCAGTTCCGGATATTATCGCAAGTGAGGAAATCTGTCGGACAGAAAAAGTAGGCGCCATGTTCTCGAAACTGGGAGTTCCCAGTGGCAAGGTATTGAAAATGCCGGCCACCAATCCGTATACCATTCTGCAATGTTCGGTGTACTCGATTGAATAGAGCATTGTCCCGCGTAGTGTCAGGATCTGGGTATATCCGGCCCTTAGTGACCTCGTCTGTAAACTGAACGCGTATGAACCTGTCTTCGTGGTTGATGTACTGGCGCAGAACGCGATTTGATGCTTCTGGCACAGGACTGCTGAGATACATCGTCGTGGGTGTAACCACTACTTTTCTAACCCACACGCAGTGGCCCGGGAGCGAAATCTCCGGATAGTGGCTCATCGCCTTTTTGTCTTCAAAGAGCGATATCGGATCATATATTCTTCTTTTATCAATCTTCTCCGTGTCCTCGATTCGACTTCCAATACGAGATTGCAGCACATACGTCAGGAGGTCTCTCGCCCTATCGCGGCGTCGAGTACGACCTCTTGAGAGGTCTGCTAACTTCCGTAGAAACTCGGTAGAAATATTAACCTCGTTGAAAATACCCTGGGATATACATGCTTCCAGCTGGTATCGGACGTCATAGGGCAGATAGACATCTTCGGTGTCGGTGAGAAGAGCAAGATTGGCTTTGGATATGTCCAAGCTTGGCTGTTGAGGTTCAAGTATATCCCAGATTCTTGATACCTGGGGCGGGACTAATTTTATATCGTCCGATGCTTTGCGTTCTACGATAATATTGAATTCCTGCAGAGCTGCCTCCATCTCCTTCCAGCTGGCAAGAGTAGACTTTGAGAATACGAGCCGGTACGTAGTCCATCTGCCTATATCAATGAACCGATTGGCTTTGGGTAATAATACGGGATCATCTTTGAACCACGAGGCATCATACGTGATGTCGACAATTCGACTCCAGGTATCTCGCTCTCTCCACGCATTCTTGGCGCTTGTGTGAGAGTTGGCGTGTTCGGATTTTATATAGAAAAGGGGTGGAGATGGTAGGTGAATAAATAGCGCCCATGTATTTTCGTCGGTATCGATATAGACGACCTTCTTGAGATGGATAAATGGAATATGCGCTTTGTATTGCAGAGTGTGCTCCATTTTCCCAATAGGTGAAGGGTGTTTCATGGTAGGGTCTTCGCGACGTGGATCTACGATGTTGCATGTAAATGCAATTTCCAGTTTTTTCTGGTTTAGATTAGAAGCCAGAGAAAATTGGCCTCTCGTGCTGTTTTGTATTGTCCGCAACGGCATCATCTCGTCCTCGCGCACAAGCACCCCGAATTGTAGCGTATCCATTGCAATACTCAATGCTGGTGGATAGCTACGATTATAAGAGCCAGGTATTCGGCGTTCCTGTCTTTCTTTCTGTAGTTCAATACTAACTTTGGCTGGCCTGCCTTGAATTCGAAGGACCATGACGTTGTCCCAAAATTGTTTAATAGGAGGTGGCGAGAAGCAGACTCGGGCATTTCCATCCCGACTTCCATCATTCTTCTCGAAGAGCTCAATGAAGACAATATTCCCCTCACTCTTGAAGTGAGACCACAAATCAAAGGTGGTGGTAGTTAGTGGAAGACCACGTATTCGCAGACTGATTTCGGTCCACGATGACCACTGTGGCTTAAAACCGCTATCGTTTAATGAGCGGCGAGTCTTGGAACCATACTTTGAGTTCGAATCTCGGTGAATATTTGAAGGTGATATAGAATGAATTCCTTCATTAGTATTGCGAAATGGCTGTTGAACTCGGTGCAACTCGTAAGCTGAGAGACTTCTTCGATCCTGGTTAGGAACTCCTCTGCGTATACTATTTGAGGTGTCCCGATTCTTAGTCGGGGACCTGTTGGCTCCTGAGTCTATTGAAGTAGACGGCAAAGTACTGTTGGACGATTGATCGAGACCGTTTTCGGGAGACATGTTGCCTCCCTCCCCCGGGATCTGAATACTGCTATTAAGGAACGAAAAAGCCGGTGGCCGACCCTGGCCTCGACCTCTCTGGAACCGACGAGTATCACGAGCCATTATATTAGGAGGCTTATGGTAAGACTTGAGCTGAATTTGAGAAGAAAACTACATATGCAGTTTCTTATTAGCGCAAGTAACTTGTAAGACCGAGTCCTAACCATAGGAAATGATGGTATTGCGCAAGTGAATGCTGAAATGGGAAGTAGTAAGGCCAGGAATTCAGAACTCTGGAAAAGAAAAAAAGGGAAAGAAAGAAGGAAAGAAAGAAAGGTGGTAAGGTGGCAAGGTTAGGTAGGTATGTTTGAGGAAGTAAAAATGGTTTGCTAGGAAATAAGGAATAAGGAACTAGTATGAGGAACACTCGAGTCGCGAAAGCCATATGCGATACTGACACCAGAGAGAGAGCAAGAGAGAGAGAGACGCGACGATGGTGTAGTAGAAAGTACACTGACCTGGCACGGGTTGTGAATTTGTATGAGGAAGACATCAAATATAGATGTCTGTACAGAAAAGAAAGCCGAAAACAGTGAATATAGACAGTCTTTTAATATGTCTAGGCAGGTAGATATTACATGATAGTAAACATTATGGTGTTGATAATGTTTGAGGTGAGTTGCAAATCGGCGATGTGAAGGAACTTGTCGTTTAAATTATTAGACGACGTACGCCAGATACTTTAGGCAGGTACAGGGAGGTACCTATGGGTTATACTTGGGACGACTGCGCTTTCCTTGATTTCAATTCAAGTCACCCCAGTAATGGGATGGCGAGTCCAGCACTCTTTGAAAACATACCTAGGTACCTAAAGCTTCTTTATTTTGGAGTTAGATGGGTTCTATGTACTTCGTGGGTTGGCGTTTGCAAATCACACGAACCACCTTTGGCCACCATTGCTTCGACATGATTAATGCTAAAGACATATTATGACGACGATAATTAATCCTCGTCTGGTGTCCAAGTGCAGTTTTACATTGTTATTGAAGCAAATAATCTTTAGCATGTTCCCATTGGTGATGCAAAGCACCCTGCACCCAGCCGAAACATTGCAGACCGCTTGCTTGTTTTTTTATATTCACCTCCCTGAGGTAATCATACATTCAACTAGATACTAGTATATATTAGAACGACCTTACGTGTCAGGTTCCTAGGGTTTGCTGTGTTCAGACGATAGTGCTACTGCTTGTATTAACTTACAAGCAAGGTAATTGAAGGGACACAAATGATCATACACAGGATTCAACTTTACAGCTTAGTGAAATAATTCGACAAGACGAAATCGGAATCAGTAATAGCTCATCAAGATGGAATCCACGTATTCCATTTTGTTCAAGTAGATATGTATGTCCATTGTTGATTTGCACAGGTTTCACGCCTGCCCTTGTAAAACTTGTCCAAGTGAGTACCTAAGTGTTGGAGAATAACACAAAGTGATGAATAATAAGATACAGACGTGGTCAAGTATTGAAGGTATGGCTATGGCAATGGCTATTACAAGACTGATGTTAATTAAAGTGAACAACACAAGTGATGATAGCAAAATGTGTATTTTATCTAGTGCGAGTTTTCAAGGGTTTAGCACATGTACCTAGTGTGAAGAACAGCCCTAATAACCTAGGTAGATGTAATCGTAAAGAAGATATATAGTAATAATTTTGCTATTAATATCTTCATATATTTCTAGAAAGTCAAAAGGTATCATACGACGTAATACTATTACTCACAGTAGAATATCCTTCTACGAATCCACCGGCGTATTTAAGACGAGATCTAAACTTAGACAGTGCATAACTCAGTATAATGAAGAACTTAATAAGGCCTTCCTCACAAAGGTATGGGCTTCGTACCCAGTTGTTCAACAAGAGTTGGCTGTACATTCGATCACAACGATGCGTGTGTCCAAGTCTATTGCTACTCTGCCATTACGAGGTATACAAGATTCTGCTTATCTGCTCACTATCTACCCAACTCACTAAAAAAAGGGGGAAGAAACTTTTCATGACCCATATGCAAAAATTATGCTAACAAACTCCTCCTATATCTTGTTCTTTTCATGCGCCTTATATGCGAGAATTCCTCGCGTCTTATATCTGCTTGCTCTATACTCGATGCTGATAAGTGCGGGTGTTTTTCTTTTCCCTTGTAAAACGCCAAGTCGATTCTAGGTCTTCGTTGTCTTGAGCTTACGGACCAAATACCGAGTTAACCCAAAGCTAAGAGAAAAGTGCAAGTACCTGGGCTCTTCCAAGTAGAAAGTATGGTATAATGACGAGAATATTAAGGAAGATCCATAATCTTCCCTGGATTCATAATCCAAAGGGGATCGAGGGCGGCCTTGATTTGCTTCATGACGCCCAGGGTATCTGGGCCAACCTCCAGTAGGAGCGAGTCCTTTTTGCCCCAGCCGACCGAATGCTCGCCCGTGCATGTCCCCTCCATGTCCAGGGCTCGCTTTACCATATTCTTCACGCACTTCTCTACTTTATCAAGCTCTTCCTTTTTCGTCCTGTTGTAGATGATGCTCTCGTGAAAGTTGCCGTCCCCGATATGGCCTAGAATACTGGCAAATAGGCCTAATTCGTCCATCTCCTTCTTACTGACTTCTATGATGTCCGCTAACCTGCTGAATGGGACAGCGACGTCGGTGGACCCTATGATAATCATTTAGCTAAGCTTCAGAATCTTTATCTCCGACATTGAATAATTCGAAGGTAGCAAAGAAACTATTTAAGAAGCTTGCTGTGCTGTGAAAGTAGACATGTTCAAATGGCAAGAGCATAGGAGGGAAACAACTTACAAACTTCCTCGCCCTCCTTTCTCAGGGCCAGCATCGACCACAGCGACTCTTTCCTAGCTGACCACAGAAGCTTTTGCTCACGAAGATCCTTGGCGAATTCGAAGTTGCTACCTTTATTGTTCTTCGTGATGGCTTGAACGCGGGCGATGTTCTCCTGTACGCTGGCCTTCGTCCCCGCGAATTTGAAGAACAGTGTTGGCATTTCCTTCCATAGCCGCGGCGCAGTCGCCCCACCCAAGTTGACAACCTTCATCTGGACCTCGTCCATAATTTCCATCGCCGCGATGGGGATGCCAGTCTGCATGACCCCCGCGGCTGCGGAGGCAGCATCGCGGATTGTGGGGAAAGTCACCACAGCGACGGAAAACTCCTCGGGAACGACGGCAAGCTTTAGGGTTGCTTATTACCTGTTAGGATGTATATCATAACGGACTTGCGAGGGTCTAAGCTTACCTTCCGTAACAAGGCCCAAAGTCCCCTCGGAGCCAACAAATAAGCTATTGAGGTTGTAGCCTGCCGAACTCTTCCTTGGACGTCTTCGCGTCTTGATCACAGTTCCATCTGCCAGGACCACAGTCAAGTTGATGACCCAATCTTTCATCGTACCGTATTTAACTGCATTTGTGCCGGAACAATTGGTACCAATCATGCCGCCAATCTTGGCGCTCGGGCCTAAAACTCAGCTTAGCCAGTCTTCATTACTGTGAGTATTCATTTGGAGAACGAAGGTAAATCGCCAAACAAGACGTGCGCTCTTTCGAAGATTGCAAGACCGCTTTGAACGGTGTAGGGGTAAGGGATAAGTTATCAATTCACTTCAGAGGCAGGGCTTACTCACCAGGATCAATAGGGAAGAAAAGACCACTGCCCATTCTGCCCAGCTGATCGTTCAGATCCTGCCACCCGATGCTTGGTTGGACTACAATGTCCATGTCATCTTTGTTAAACTTGATAATTTGGTCCATATAAGCGAAGTCCACGCTGATGCCGCCGTAAGGGGCCGAAAAGTTCCCTTCCAAACTCGAACCGCCTGAATAGGGTATGATAGGTACACGGTACTTATAGCAGACGCGCGCGATAGTCGATACCTGTTCTGTTGAGCGTGGGTACACGACAGCCACTGGCAAACCATCTGGATTTGTCGTCGACCATTCGGAATACCCGTGGGCGAGAAGATCATCCGGATCTGTGCTAATGATATCTTCTCTTTCGCCACTCTTAATCAGCTCACGACGAATTTCTGCTAAAGCCTAGAGAAGACTTAGTAAGGGAACCGACAAGTTTTCCGTCCAAGTGTATATCTCCTTTCAAGCTTGGGATAGGTAATGGATCAACTTACGTCTTCCATCTCCTCCACTGATGCGTACTGAGGAGTTGGTGTCTTGCTATCCAAAAGGGTGACCGCACGCTTGGGAGGTCCTTGGAGTGTGGCGGCAGCCAGGCCGAAACTTAATAGGCTAGCAGTGGCTGTCAAGGCGAACACGGAGCGCCCGGTCCAACTCGGGTGTTGATGTGCCGGTTTAGACCACGCTCGTTCGGCACCGGGCCCATTTTTACTTATGGGTTTCTCCAACGGGCGAAGAGTGTGAAGTGCTCGTTTCCAAGAAGACGGGAGACGCCCCGCGAAATGTTTGGCTGACATGAATTCTGGGCGATTTATAGATGTGAGATTCAGGTCTAAGTCAGGATGCACACTTCAGAGATAATGAAACTGAAAATTAATGAGGATCCAGACGCTTAGACCAGTATATGGATTCCAGAAACGCAGGTATAGGTCTTAATGTGTCCAGGCTAGATTCCAGACACGGCTCCTCCCTCGGGTCGAGAGGTCTGGAAGTCAGTTTCCGCTCGGGCTCGGAGAAATCTCCCGTCCAAATCCTCGATTGGTTTTTCAGGCCGTTGAAATGAAAATCGCGGCTGCCCACAGCAATGTCAACCTATGAGAGACCCGAAGTAAACTCAAAGAGGAAAGCCGAGATTGAGTTTAGTGCGCGGGGGTTAGTTGTGTGGATACAGATTCGGGAAGACTGGGCCTCTTCGTAATGTCGTCCAGATCTAGGGGAAGCACGGCAGATAAGGTGAGAGAAGCGGTGGGAACCTCTGAGAAAGACTGGATCGAATAATAAGCTGTAGCATTCGATTTAAGTGAACCCCGAGAGCAGCTACAGTGATGTGAACTAGCCGTGATAGGCCTTGCGAACGGAAGTGGCCAATTCCGACTACTAATACAAGAGTCGCCTGAGTCCTTTTCTAGACTCGCTGATCCTGCTTGGAGGTTTCAAGTTGGGAGCATAGGAATTTTCTATACACGCTGGGAATAGCAAAAGAGATTGGAAACCCAATCACCAAAGAAGATAGTTGCCTACCTGTTACCAGTGCTTTTTGGGACAACGGATGGAGATAGCGAAAGATGCGAATAATGGAAAGAAGTGGCTATTGCTCGTGACAACTAGTCGAAACAACTCGGGAGAGGAAGATATCCAACTTGGCAAGATATACAGCTTGTAATATCTAGTACAGCTTTAATAATGAGACACAAAGAACCTACGTAACTGCAATACAGGGGCACCTAACCATACGGGAAACTGGTCCCATGATTGGAAGCTGCTAAGTAGTACGTCCATGCCACGCCATGTCATGGTATCCCTGATGCTGGAATAGTTGTCAATTGCACATGGGCGTGGGTAAGAGAAGGCCCACAAGTATGTCGCCGTTGAATCCCAATCGTCGTCTGCGCTACTAGACAGCAACGAATGAGGATCGAAGCTAGGGTAGACAGGGGGGCAAGGGGTGTGGGAGTGAGAAAAGTGTATTAACGTTACTAATATAAAAAAAATATGAGGGGAGGAGTTGAGTGGTCATATGGTTCCCAACTAGACGGGAAGCTGATGGCAGTCGAAGAGACGTTGGGACTTGTTTTGAGGAGATGAAGCAGAAAGAAAGAAATAATACCTCTAACAGTAAAAGAAAATGAGGAACAATAGCTTGTTGATCCTTGTTATACAGGGCACACGCCACTCCCGTAGGGTTCGTCCCGCTAATGCAGGATATTACATGTAGGTACAACCAGCTGCATCTATACCTGATGTATTGTAACGTATTATAGTCGTATATTATTCGTTGCCCGTTTTCTGGCGAAGAAAGGATTTTTCTTACCACGTTCAGCCCAGTATTCAAATTAGGTTCGTGGGAGACGGTGCGAGCATCTATGCCAAGACGGCTTTCTTCGTCTCATGGTCTAAGTTAGACTTCCAACCAACCGCATATATGAGGGGTTATGTAGAAGCTAAATCGAGACCGCCATTTTATTTCCCAGTGCTGCTGGTGAGGGGTTGGAGGGTAAATACCCTTTATTCACGACATTCAGAACGCATTTCTCAATCAATTAAATTCTTGGCTGCAGTGAATGCACCTACATTCATATTCCGCATCCCATGCCTTATACACTTGGGCGTATTCCTGTGTAAATCTGAAACTCGCAGTCGGTCCAATAGAGTTCTAATGAGCTTCATAGCCTTACATAATAATTATATACAATACCAACTGAGTACACCGTACCTCTTTACGATCGTATGCTCCTCTATTTCTATCCAATGGCCAGTTTCCAAAGCCGACTCTGTGTTCTAGGTTGAGGACGTCGGCCCAAAGAATAAGATCCTTCGTGATCTGCATCTTCCCGGCTTACTAAGTACGTCTGAAGTCGCCGTATATTGGCCGGTGTATGCTTTCTTACCGATGCATCCTTTGCTCCAGACTTCGACATTCAATATATGCTTGGCAAGAAAAGATGTATGAGCCATTTCAACGTCTTATGTGTATACACCGCCTAGTTGAAATATGGCCCGAAAGCCACAGAGGTAAAAACCGTCTCAGATATGATAGACTACGTTAGGTACTCAGGCACATAGTATGTATGAGCAATCCTGCTTCATTACTTCTCAATATATTCGTTTATTATGGTCGCAGCCCCATCGCTGTGTAATGACAGTGTTGAAACACAATAGGCGGTCCAAGAGGCACCAAAGGCACCCAAGGTCGTTATCCCGAACCATTCTGATTCAGGCTAATCATAACCGCCCTGATGTCCACGAGTGAAGTATCCCGGAACTGGGGAGCCTACCCCAGACTTTTCATTCGGGTAGCCACATGATAACATGGAAGGGTTGCGGTTAGTCTTAGGGACTTCCTAAAATAAGAGTATTCGGATCCACTACCTTCCATTGCGGTAGCTGTTACATAGTAATAATTTAATAGCCGAATTTTCGAACCCCCCTGGAGCCTGGAGGTGATTCTGAACAATCTAGAATGCTTCCATGAAGATCCCCCCCCATCCAAGTTTAGTGGCAATAAGAGTTACGTTACCTCAATCACCTGCTATATTCAACGACGGTATTCGCATGTGTGCCTAGCTGTATGCGCTTAGCTGGTTCAATTCGCCAACTACAGATCATACCACTGCTAAGTTGTATGAAATAAACCAAGAAAGGAGAAGCCTCAACGAAGTAGGTAAACTAGTAAGACGATATGCGTTTGGAGTACTTTTGCCCCCGGCGTTTAAATGGACATTGACCAGTTGCAACCCATACATATACCCTAACGGTGCGCTTATCGTCGGCTGAGACTTCAAAAGGCGACATTACTGTTGATAGACTTAAAATGGCCAATGCGTAGAATTTAAGGTATTGCCTCCGAGACGGGGTCATTGAAGCCGGTCGAAGTTACCTGGTAACAATCGGGCCGCGGGCTCAGCAAAATGACAGAAGGGAAATATCCCACCTTCATGCAACTTCTTCTGGACTTGACTCTAAGGTAGAAAGGGGGGGAGCTGCGACTCCGGAGGAGACCAAAGACGTAGGCCGTTTCTTACTATGATCTGTTGAGGAGGATTACGCATGCAGCATTAGATAGATGCCTACCTTGTATAGGTACCCAGCGCGCACAAGTTACCATGGCTACAGATACGTCGGGAGGGAACGTAGAACGGGCAGATATTTAGGTACTTGATTCGATACCGTTATGCGAGGTAGCTTACAATGCTCGAACTGGAAGTGCTAGGTGATACTTCACAGGTCATTACAACTTACACTACAGGTAGGTACCTAAAGTACCGCAATGCTACTCTGAGTTCCGAGATCTCGGTTCCTCCTAAGAAATAATTGGACGAGAATACCAATTAAGCGGATCAAAGCTACCATGAGAAACTCGGTTTATAATTGCATACTATGTAGCATGAAAAGTCGGGCGACCCATTGACCAGGTATTAGAGCGTGAATAAGTTGACGTAGGCTTAGCCTAGAAGCTGATGCCATTCCTCAGAGGACATTATAATAGTTACGTGATGTAATGCGGGCTTTGATGTGCGTGGTAGAGAACCCCGCGGACTTCTGATGCCTCGGGTATTCTGGTGACTGTCGTGATTGGTTTATTGGTGCTCCCGGTCAACACTTTTGATTAAACCGTTCCTCCCGCCGAGGAATATTTCAGTGCCCTCTGGCACTTCTCTTGTCCATTGCACATCCCGTAGGATGTCGCTGCCACTTTCCTGTTACTGCTAGTATAAACTCGCACGAAACAAGAGTGCCAGTAAACCTTCTGGCCAGTCCCAATAATCCACTTCGGTGCCGGTTCAGAATCATTAAATGATACATTGGCTTCGAGAGCCTCTATCGTAAAAGACTAGAAAGGTCAGTTTCTCCATTTCCTCAACCCGGAGGAACACGAACCATCTTATCAAGGGTGGTTGTCAGGTTATGTCCGGTGATGCATGTCCTATACAGAGTGAGCGTCAGGAGCATTCTAACCTCCCTCAAGGGAGCTGGCTACCATTTATATAGACAATAGACCCCTGTAGCATCCACACATCCTCATATCCCTGACAGTGGCGTAGGGGACGGGAGGCAGGAAATGGTTTTCCCACGGAGTGTCTAAGTGGCCGTTATGTGACTGTGACCGGATACATCGACGGTATATGAGGCTGACTTAGATCTTCGGTTGCTCAAGATTAACCCAGGTTAGGTGGGAGATCAATGTTTGAATATGCATCTATCCAATCTGTCAGATGCCCCCCTTGAGGTCATCGTCAACGTTGTTACTCATGCTAAAATTCATATCAATATCTGCTTCACGGGTTAGGTATCTTGTAATGCTTAGGTACCTCTCAACTGAATCCCATCTGCATTAATATCATATTGTGCCTCATTTCCCGCACTTGATATCAATATTGATTAATACATACAGACCGCCTTTTGATGTCCTTATGCATGCATACTACATCTATACAGTACCACACCCATTTACCTGCCTCCATACCCAATCTCATCTAACTACCAAGATTCTCCATGTCGCACAACACGTTCAGCTCGCACGACGCGGCTAAGCAGACTTCTTTTTGTCAGTTACCCAATATATAACCCCGCCGGAAGTCAGGTATCAGTGAAGGGCAGGCCAATGTCCGCCCGTTCCCAGATTTGACATGCATGCTGCCCTAAAAAGAACGGACAGCGTCATTATTCGCACATTACAGTAACATCATGTTCCAGAAATTCCAGGCTCTCTCGTCGGGACCTAATTCATCTGGTAACACTATGCGTGGCATTACAATTCCCATTCTGTATAGACCTCCTACTTCGGTAGAGTTTCATATCTTATACCCTACCCGAGGTTCATTCGAAGACTCTAACTCATAATGGTTTATATCACCAGGTAGCTCACCCGCTATCGGCCAGGCCCTTTCAATCGACGTATTATTCATCGAACTTATACCGGACTGACCATTAAATGGTACTTGCGGCTGCCCTTGCGTTGTAGATGATGCAACGAAGGTTGATTGCATCTGAGGACTTTCTGCAAAGCCTTGCTTGTCTCGTTTAGACCTCCTTAGATATATGAATATAAGCGCCGTTATGCTAATGACTAGGAGCGCCCCTAGACTTGCAGTGGCCCCTATTGCCGCCGTAGAAAAGCTCGGGCTCGGTGATGGGTCGCTTGATTGATTCGCCGCGATTGATGGACTTATAACACTATTCGTTTTCTCGGTAGATATAGCAGAGGTCTGAGATGTTGATGTAGTGACTGATGTCAGTGAGTGACTTTCTCCAGCGCTTATATAAGGACCTAGACGATTCGATCCGTCACCATTCAAGACTGCCTTTATATATCCTGGTTTCTACAAGAAATTTCAAATCAGCACATTTTCTCTCTGCAGACCTACTACTTGAATTTCAATCTTGGACTACGAGTAATAGCGCCAAGGCGAACATAATCAGATGCTACTCACAAAATCAAACCACGAACTCTCGCTTCCGCAACATGAGGTATCATTAGTTAAACAGCAGGCTTTCCCGGCCGCCATATCGCACGTTAAGATCCATACTCCATCTTTGAGCATACCTAACGAAGTTAATTCAAACTAAGTATAGTGTCTTTGAGGGGGGCAGCTTACCGTCTCCTAGACACATTTTAGGGCAAGCTGGGTCTCTAAAGGTCGGGTCTGTGCAACTTTGCCTATACACTTTGAGATGGTCAGTCTTCATGCTTATGGGTATGAGGCAAGACCAATAGGAGGTAGGTACTTACTAACTCCCGACCAGTCCTGGAAACAAGCACCACTATCATAGCAAGCATCGTTAGGACGGCAACACGAACTCGCACCACCAAGCTCTTGCGCGGTATTATTGCAAGGTACGCTGAGCGTGTCAATCGACCTATCAGGAAAATAACAAGTTGGGAGGTTGGTTTGGCTCATTTTAGCGTAGTGGTGAGAGTGATTAATACGATTATTATTTCTTCCTTAAGCGATGTAAGTGATGTAAGTGATTGGAACCACGGAGAAAAAAATTGGAATATCAGAAATGCTCGAAATGTAGCTGATTTTGAGTGTAACATGCTAGTATCTTCATCAATCCTACGCCACCACTAGAATCTGACATAGCAGTGAAACCGCCACGTTTCCCCTTGATACTTCATAGGCATCGAGCTGCGTCATAATAAAAGCACATAGTCATACAATCTCGAAATGAGTAGATGACTAAAAGTATGAAAACAGATATAAAGCTTACAGCTTATGAATATCAAAGATAGGTACACCAGCTTAATTTATTGTGGATTATTCTTACCGTTAACTACCTAGTGAAGCTTCGCAAACGACGTCTTACAGACTTTTCCAAGAGTCGCCAGATGACTGCATGGTCAACGATTTCCCACCTTCCTTTAAGTTTCAGCCACTAGCAAAACAAGCGAAGTCCTACGCCGTAATTTGTGTACCTACACATATTGGGTGGATTAGAGAATGACGCAGGATTCCGATGATCTATCGGACTACTCCAAACTTCCCAAAGGGATCAAGAAGGTACTTGACTCACGTAAGTAGGTAATACATCTCTCGCCCGGATATTTGAGTTTCTCTTACCTCGGGAGGATGCGGAATGGCCCCGTTTGGGTAGATGAGATTCAAATACGCACACACATCCCGTCGCACCCCAAAGTCCCCGTTGATACCTATCTCAACAGGACGATGGCAGAGATATATACTGCAAAATTCATTATATCGCATTCGACTCTCATATTTTACCATATTAGGAAGTAGGTAGTCACAATCCGCTGTTATGTCTAGGAAAATCCCAATCTCCTCTTTCGCTCTTCAGCCACTTCCGCTCGTAGAAACAAAAACTACCAACACCGCCGCACAAGCCGCTGTAGCCAGTATAATATCCGTCCTCCGCCCATCCGTCAGCACTGCTAGACTAGTTGCGAAGGGACTCGTGAAAACTGTGATCATACCCAACTTAACATTCTCATCCTTCACCACGTAAAGGGCGACGATGGCACCGTTTATCACCAGAGAGGCCAAGAACACCGTAACAGCGGTTACCAGACGCGAGACGTATTTCGCAGAGTAGTATTTGATTCCGGGTGTGGTCTCGTGCCGAACGCCCTGGATTTAGATAGGGGTTAAGTCAGGTAGCTAGTTCAGGGGCTATGTGATGGGGGCAGACTTACAGGGAATATTCTTCCGCCCAGGTCTTGAAGTGTACTTGATAAAAAGTCCTGATCTGTGGATGTCTGAAGGGCTACGAAGTCATTTGGATTCCTCAACAAATCTTCCCCGTATCCGACAAACGGCCGTTCGTTATCAAACCAGCCACGGAAAGCTCCGAATGCTCGACGGCCGGGTGCCGATAATTTTAATATTTGGTTTTGTAATAGGAGTGCCTCATCTGAGCTTAGGTGTTAGCTCATATTATCTTGGAAGTCAGGTAGGTAGGGCCTTTTTTTTTTTTTTTTTTCAAACATACGATACGCTTTGAGCTTCGTTTGCATATCCTTAATCAACTCCATCCGTTCCGCCTCGCGGGGCCTATCCTCCGCCGCCCTTGCCGCGAAGGTCTCCCAGCATTTTGACGACAAGAGACGGTCAAAGTTGGATTCCTTGTTATCGCATTCGTCGAATTCTTGAAGCCTCTTCTCTAATGATAAGAGTTCCGATTGCTGGTATAGGAGGTTTCGCGAGTTGAGCGTCAGGAATGACCTATATATTGACAGTTCAGGATCCGTAGCAATGAAATCGGAAAATGAACCGTATCCAGAAAATCTCGGGGATGGCATCGACATATGTGTCAGCTACATTCGGTAAGCTCGCGAACCCCTTTATTTCTATACTATCTAAGTTGGTCAAGTTGTTTTACTGCCTGAAGTAATGCGCTAGATATCGGGATAATGCAAATTCAGTCATCGCCTTAACATGGGAGAACCGGTAACAACAGGTAGGTTAGGCAGAATGGTAGGCAAAATTACTTCGGATACTTTCACTTGACTCGGGGCCTTGGCAGCCAACTGGCAACACAGCCTACATACACAGTTACCAGTGCCGCCTTATTGACTGATTGGACGACAGCGGTGGCAGTGCCCCGGGGCCGATACACTAAGCTCTGAAGCTGATAGACAGCGGATGTCAGGCTTCAAAACGATTGTTGCCCCGCGAACAACTACCGTGGGACATTATATTATCAAGCTACTTCGTGTCTAGTTATGACCTCGACAATGTCGGATGAAGGTTTGGAGCGTCTTCCGCCGAATCTCTATGAGATATTAGGTGTCCTTCCCACCGCAGAACTACCCGAAATTCGATCAGCCCATCGCAAGCTAATCCTCAAGTGCCACCCTGACAAATACCAGGACCCAGAACTAAAGGAGCAAAAAAGAAAGGAATTTAACCGCGTTCGAGATGCTTATGAAATTCTCTCCAACGATACAGAGAGGACGAGATATGACATCAAGGTGAAATCGGAAGCAGAACTGGCAAAGATGGAATTGAAAGCTACCAACCTAGACTGTGCAATTCTTGAACATAATATCTCAATCCTAATAGATCTTTATTCGGAAACCGAACAGCAATTTCATAATGAGGAATATCCAGCGCCAGGGAAGGGTGTATCTTCTGGTATTCTTGTTGCTCGAGGACGAATCGACGGTACGCGTACTTATGCTATTCCGGATACTGGCGCCGAGTGTAACATTATAACTGCTTTTTTTGCATCTACGCTCAAGCTCAGAATCAAGCGTCACAGAGAAGGAGAGGAAGTTCGCCTTCTCACCGCAAATGGAAGATACATGGTGACGCGCGGTACTACGGAGGTTAACTGGCAGTTCGCATCCGAGGCGCCGCGAACATTCAGGGTTACTTTTCACGTTCTAGAAGAGTTCATGTATAATTTGGTCCTTGGAAATGCCTTCTTGATGGAGACCAAAACCATGTCTCATCACAAGGGTCGTTTATCTCGCATCCCAAGACCGACGAATGCACTGTCTGTTTTGAGAGTCAACCTTCTAGGTCAAACAAGTCAAAGAGTACGAGGTCATATTCGTACGTCCGATGTACTGGCACTTCCTGACTCCGGATCGGAACCGAACCTCGTGTCGTGGAAATTTGTCACGGAAAATGGTTTAGAGACCCTGATCAACTGGAATGACAGACGACTACTTCAGTTTGCCGATGGGAGCCTCGCAAAAACAGAAGGGTCCATCCGGACGCAATGGAGATTTGCTTCGAGGTATCCATTACACTGGTCGACTAGAGGCGTCAAGTTTCACGTATCCCATGACTGCATCTACGATGTCATCATCGGGCAAAATGTTCTCATGGAGACAGACGCATTCCTATATCACAGCCGGGACTTCGTCCGCGCCGAATCCGATCCCGAGTTTGCCGGGATGAATCTCGTTATCTTCGCGCCGAAGAAATTAAAGAAATCTGCGTTGTCCCCTCGCGCAGATGACGCAATTTACTCGGAGCTGCAGCGTCGTGCGAGGGCAGATAATGAGGAAAGACGGGCACAGAATGATGCCGCACGAAGTTTGGCAGAGGCTAGACGAGGGACGGCTAACGGGACGTCTGGTATCTCTATCGACCCAGCATTCCACGATAATCATCAGGAGGATGTCGAAAGCCGCGCTCATTGACAGAATAGACCAGGTCAACAAAAGTCGCCAAGGGACGTGGGCCGCGTCACCGGAAACACCAGCAAAGACACGTCTAACAGAAACAAGTTCGGTCGTATGAAATCGCTAGCTTCTCTTAACTTCAGAAATAAATAAACCAGGTCCGATGCTTACAGTTACGTACGGATAGCACAGCGCAGAAACATTCGTCCAGTCCCTTACAGCCGGATAAGGCTTTTACATAAGGTCGGAATTTCTTTTTAATAGGAACGTACTGTAGGACAGGTCGCTCTAAATGAGCTCCCCGAAGCAGCAGTCTACACTACGTCCATAAAACTCATATCTCACGTTCAGGCTTATGGACAGGCTGTGCCTGAGAATGATAAAACATCCACTTGAAGATCCCGTGATTTTTTTTTTCTAGTCTTCTTCAACTTGTGGTTGCATGGTATTGGCAGGCATTGTGCTTATTATAACCCGAACTAAGATTGAATCGCTCTGATAAATTTGAGATGTCTTGTATGAACATACCTACTCTGTGATACCAAAATTGAGGCGGAGGTTGCTTCAACAATTTAAACTTGCTTGAATAGAAAATAAATGTAACTGTGAGATTGCCACCTAGTAGATATAATCCTAAGCGGCAAGAAGTACCTAATTGGCAAGCTCTAATCGGTCGACGAGCCGTTATGTTACGAGGCAGTAGACTTCCACAGATATGAGAAGAAAAAAAAAAAAAAAAAAAAAAAAACTTCGCAATATATTGAGCTATCTTCTTTATTCGTGAGTACCAAGGTAGGTATACATGCATATCTACTATAGGTTAATCAGCTCCTCGAAATTACCTCCGTAGCGCTCACCACTAACAGGCAGGGCCTCAAGAATCCTCCGAATCTCAATCAAATCTTCATCCGCCAACTCCGCAGCCTTCGTATTTTCGATAACTCTCTCGGCCCGGGCGGAGCCGCGGATAGGGATGGCACCTTGCTCGACCACCTACCCGATAGCCACCTGCGCCGTCGTGACGCCCTTGCGTTTGGCGAGCTGCTCTACGGCCTCGATGAGCTGGAGGTTCTGCTCGAAGATACCCGGCTGGAAGCGCGAGAGCATGCGTCGGTAGTCGTTCGCTGGGATGTCCTTGGGCTTGCGCAGCTTGCCCGTTAGCCAGCCGCGGCCGACAGGACTGTAGGCTACAATAGGGATGCCGACTATATATACACACATAAAAATCACACGTTGTTAGTACCTAACCTAGACAGACAGATTGCCTATGATTTTATATTCTAGGTGCGCTCAGAGTAGGTACGCTAGGTACGTTCATGGCATGTATCCGCGATACCGTTATGCAGCGGATCGGTTGTAAACAGACTTAACTCGATCTCGACGGCCGAGATGGGATGTACGGCGTATGCTTTGCGGATCGTATTTGCGCTGACCTCGCTTAGGCCGATGCCTCCGATCTTGCACTCCTTGACGAGTTCGGCCAACGTCTTGATCGAAGTCTCGACGGGAACATTGGGGTCGACACGCGCGCATATGGGGTGAAAGTAAGCAAGGTGATTTAGGACCCTCCGAATCCTAACCGTTGGGCAACATAATGAATACGGTCCGGTCCGTCTGGCGGCTCAGCCGCACCGGATTTGGCATATAATCAGATCCGGCTCCACGCGGGGTTCGGCGTTGGATCAGGGATTTTGGACATAACTCCGGATTTAACCGGGGTAACCTCCAGCTGATTAACAAGGCTATCAATTTTCTACGATGCCCTATCATTTGGAACTTCTTTGAAGTAGAACGATATCCGAGCTGGTACCTAATGCCTACAGCAGACTTTTGAAGGGGTATCAAATTTCTTCGCCTCTCATTAGGTTTGCTTATATACGGCTACAGCGATGATAAAGTCAGTCTCAAGATATGTATTGACTTGAGATCCAGCCCAGACAATGGGATCTTCTGCTTAACCACCAGCTACGCCAGCAGCAAGGCGAGCTCGGCGTTACCTTAGGTAGTCATGATCTGTCCGTGTCGATGGCCAACTTTCCCATCAGTACCATCATAGTATGTGATATGATGTTTGCAGGATGACCAGCGACTTACTATCTTGCCAAGCTCAGTTGCTTCGAGGGCCATTCATGCCCCGGAGTAGTCTAACTAAATCATCGAATTAAATCCGTAGCCTAGCGCGCCTAGCACTACGCAGCAGAGACTATTAAGCACTTACTTGGCTTCTTGATGCGCGGCCTTAACACCCAGTCGCGGGAGCGGGACAGGGTGGTGTGCTATGAATTCGTAAAAGGTTTTTTTCTCCAAGTCGTAACGTCATGAGCATCATGCTTCACTTGGATGTCTTCTTATTCTTTTTGTCCTTATGCTTCTTTTCCTCCTTCTTCTCTTTCTTCTTTTTCTTCCGCGAATCCTCTGATTCCAGTTCCTCACCGTTGGACTCAGTTGTTTCTTCCGGAGGGGCGGATACTTCAGCTTTTCGCTTACCACCTGCTTTGGCGGCCTTGAGGGCAGCCTTGGCGCGTTCCTTCGCGATCATCTCGCTAAGCTTGGTGTTAACAACTTTGTTATTGTTCTCAGCTAAGTCTGCTTTAATGAATCGGATAGCGGCTTCCTTATTCAAAGTCTGCTCGGGTTTCTCCGGGGGTGTCTCGATGTTCTTGATCTTGTCGAAGTACTGCCGCACGCGGGCTAGTTCCTTGAAGACGGGGTGTTCCTTCGCATCAACGCCATTGAGTCGGAGGGAAGCTTGCGATTGGGTTAGATTCTTAAGGGATCTGTAATGTAAGGTCTAGTAAGTATGAACTTACAGAAGAGCATCGATTCTATAGAATACGTCGCAAGTACGTAGAGTTTGGCTTTATCAAGTAGGGGTAGCTTGTTGGCGACATCCGAGATGTTACCAAGGATGGGCTGTAGTGCTTCCTCGAGATTATCGAGCTCATCTTCAAGTCGATCCAATAGAGGTGAAATGCTTGGAGGATCCATGATGCGAAAGTTTGGCTCTAAGGTGTGCGCGATCGTCGTTTGAGAGGAACGTCAATCTGTCTTAGACTGGCTATTATAAGTATGAGGATACTTGGTTCTATTGTTAGATTACCTGGTATGGATTAGAGATGCAAGAATTATGGCGGTGATGAAAGGCAGAACTTTAGGTACCTAGGTACGGTAGGTATCATGAGAACGGAGAAAGAATAAAGCGATTTTTAAGGTTGCAGGTCACAGGTCACAGATCACAGGTGCCCATTAGGTAACCTTGTGAAGTGGATACCTTAGGTACTTACCTTAGGTACTATAGGTACATGCCGTAGATAAAAATGGGCTTGCAACTTGCTCCGGGCCAATGGTAACGGATTCAATTCGCACCGATTTAGCGCAATCGCGGGACCCGACTCGGGTCCATTTGAAGAAAAAAAAAATTTAATATGATCATGATGAAAGCCGCTGAGAGGCAATATACATTTATTTACTTACTTACTTCTCCTCCGACTTCACTCTCTTCGGTGCCGCCTCATAAAATTCGTTAAGTTAAGTTGGTCAAGTTCGTATTTTTCTTTATTTTTATCTTCGATCAAACTTCGGGTTTTACTCCCACCTTATTTCTCTTCAACCTTCTTCCGATGTTCAGGTTTTGGCCTCAGCAAGAGTAACATCAAGCTCCTGGTCCAATCACCTCCCCCATCCCCCCCGGCTACGAGCCGTCAACGATATGAAAGCAGTCGGATAACCTGCTACAAGTTCTCACCCTGTATTCTCACATCTTTCGCCAGCCGCTTTCGCGGGCTTCAGCGCGAATACCTAGCAGAGCTACGATATGGAATCGCGATAACCTCTTCGTGGGCCGGGGGGCCACCAAGCACCTTTCCGCCGTTGCTGTAGCTGTCACTGCTGCTGCTACAATGCCGAACGAACTACGGAATGGCAGTTTCCGTCTTGATCCTCCTATATATTACCCCCCAAATTCGCCCCAGAGAGCAGGATCAGGCGAGGGTATTTCTCTCCCTCATCTGTTCTATGCGTCGCCACTTATCACTGAAGTTGCTACGTCTGATCTCACGGATTCAGATCCTACTGGAGCCTCTACGGCGGTACCAGTAAAGATGACAGTACCAACCGAAGAAGAGGCCAAATTTCTGAGACCGGTCCCACCGATTCAGCTCTCAAATAAGATTCATGTTGTTGGCTTCGATGCACACGCAAAGTTCATTACCCACGCTCTCGCTGCTAATCCTAAATTACCTCCGGTTCAGATTCTCACCCACAATCCGCTACCACTAAAGACGTGGGGACAAGAAGGCAGAGCTATCAATATTCATGATAGTAGAGGGCACCCCTTATCTACCCGAAATATCATTTGTCCAGACTATGTTAATCCATTCCCTTGGAGGACGCGAGGTCTCAAGCCTATTCTGCACAATATCATTGTGAGCACCACGTCTAGGGCCCTCCTTCCTACCTTATACGCGCTGCGTGACCGCATTGACCGTCGAACAACAATCTGCCTGCTTGAACCAGGGCTCGGGGCGGTGGAAGCGCTAAACGAGGGAGTTTTCCGAGTGCCCGCTCTGCGGCCGAATTATGTGATCTGCCACAGTACTCATAAACTTTCGAAGCATTCTTACTATAAATATTCTTTGCGACACATACCTGGGCGCTTATATCTCTACGCGGTTCCTAGGGACGATGAAGATGAGGAGATTGACAGGGTGATGTCTCAAATACTTGGGAGCCGACATACTCAACACATGATCAATCTCCTCTCTGCTGCCACCGAACTCGATGCGGTCAGCACAAGCTGGATAAACATGCTGATACATAAGTTACCCGATATGATGTTTGAGTCCCTGGCCGATACCCTTTCCGCCGTATTGGATTGTAGGTATGGTCTCGTTAGGTCCAATCGCAATGCGATGGGTCTATGGCACGAGCTATTCGAGGAGACGGTAAACATCATCTCGTCTCTTCCCGAATTTCAGAACCATCGCAAGAAATTCCGGTTTCTACACGAAAGGAAATTTGGCACAGATCTCAAAGTTAGGTTAGAGAGACAAGAAAGCGAGTATAGCAAATGGATAGGCCAGGTCCGGCGTGGGCGACAACCACCTGTCCCGTACGTCAACGGCTACTTCGTGAGGCGTGCCCAGGAGGTGGGAGTAAGCCATGAGACTAACAGCCTAGTTATGTCCATGGTTGAAGCAAAGGTGGAAAGCAGACGTAAGATGTACCAGATTCCGTTTAATCTTGTGCAAGATTACGATGATTAGAAACTGCCGGATCGCAGTATGGCCCGAATATAGATAGACGTCGGGGGCTAAAATCGGTATTGTATATAGTGTACACTTACACATAACGCTTGTATAACGAATTAGAAATGTCGTTAGATTCTGTTTAAATTATAAGGCATCGCCTCTACGTTAGAGACATTGGATATTGGCATACTCGTCTCCTGGTAACTGCTCACCAGCTCACCGCAGATCAATACATACTACACAAACTACAAAATATAAATAGCAATTGCACAATAAATATACTTATCCAAGTTTTAAAACAGGCGCAATACGACTAAAGATGACACAAGCATTTAAAGCACAGAGTGAAGTTGCCACTTATATAGAACGTCTTGCATTAGTATATACAGTAGCACTCACTTAGAGACTCTGCAAGCGAACGTCCATATAATCGGGGAACATAGATAACTATGCGCTCTAGTTAAAGATGATAAAAGCAACCAATGGGCACGGTTCGTGCAGCCCAAAGTTGCAGAGATGGGAGAATTCTGAGTAACCCCTTTTCCTAGCCATCTTCATTCCTCTCTCTCTCTCTTACACCCCTCCTCTCATCCTTCGCTATAGACACCTATCATGTCCTAACACACTTCCATCCTTAGGTACGATTTACCCAAAGGACGGACAGACAGACTACACTAGGTTAGGTAGACAGACAGTTTAGTACTGGCTGGCAGCGGCCTGGCAGGCCTTCAGCTGCTCGAGGTACCAGCCGCAGATCTGCATGTTACCGCCCTGCTCGTCCATGCACCTGGTGAAGGCCTGGGTGGCGCCCTGGCAGTTGTTGCCCCACTGGTTCTGTTGCTGCTGCGGCGCGCTCGCAGCCTGAGGGGAGGCCTCGGCGGGCGCGGAGCTGCTGCCGCCGCTGAAGAGCCCGCCGATGGCGTGGCCGATGGAGGAGCCTACTGCGACACCGCTATAGAGATGGATATATGTTAGTTTAGGTACCACCCCATCAATCACATACATGTATGAGCGTTGGGAAATGCAAATGCGCAAGGAGAAATAGGATAGGAGACGAGACGAGACGAGACGTACGCCGCGGTGCTGGCCATCTGGCCGAATAGGCCGGGGCCCTGGGAGGCCTGGGGAGCGGCCTGCGCGGGGGGTTGAGGGTGCGCAGTTTGTGCCGGGGCGTAAGTTGCCGCGGGTCGCGATTGTTGGGGAGCAGGCGCTCTGCTAGGGACCGTGGGACGCGAGGGAGCGGGTCGAGCGGAGGAACGGTTGCGAGGCATCTTGACTTTGTTTTTGTTTTTGTTTTTTTATTGCGGTTTTGATGTAGAAAATGCGAGTGAGTGTGATTGTATGTAGGTATGTATATGTATGTGCGGACTTGTTGGAAAATGAGCGTTGAAGAAGATAAGAAAAAGAAAAGTGGTTCAGATGGGGTTGGCGACGGTAAAATAAATTTAGAAAAAAAATACGGTAGAACTCGACGGAAAGGTTGCAGGTCACTAGCTCGGATTTAAAAGAAAATGCTGCTAAAGTAAGGTACAATACAGTGAGGCAAAAGCTGGGAAAGGGCCGGACTATCGGGATACGTATTGTACTGTACAATGCATCGGAATTTACATATGTAATTTGAGTCTTGTGGCGGTGGCCAATGAGGAGTCATGAATCGGTAAATGTCACCTGCACCTGTAGTTTAAAATGTGGCGCTCAGAATTCCGAACATCCACTGCTTTTACATAAGGTCGATAACTTTCTTGTATTCATTCTCATCAGTACAGCATCTTCTACCCATACACAATATTGTATGGTTACTGATTTGTTGCTCTACGACCTTTAAATAAATAGTACGGCATGATTATTTCATTCCTCCTACTTGAACTAATAATATAAGTTGGAAGTTGGAAGTTTTCACTTTTCAATTCTTTACATTGCGATTTTCTTCTCATTGGACAATTGGCATCGCATCGTAAAGAAAAAGGCATACAATAATACGTCGAGCTTTCAACCTATGAAATCGATCCCTCTACAAACGGTCCAATAGAAGCCATAACCGCCTTGTCAAAATGCAGGAACATTACCACATTCGATACTAAGCTTTTGAATTCACCTGGTCAGTGTTTAGGTACCTAGTAGGTGCCGATTATTCAAACACTTCGAAGCCGACAAGGTCCGGAGCTGGAGAATTTCCACTCGTAGCAAATACAAGCTTGTTCTTGCCAGCTACAAACCCGTCAACTTCAATAAGCAATCTATCAGACTCAGACCAGTCTCCTCCAGAGATAGGAAACGCCCATCTCTTCGGCGCACCGCCATTAACCGCAATCGTCATGTTTCGAGTATTAGAGCCCCAGTCCCAGGCAGTATCCAAGGCGAGCTCGTAGTTAATGAAATCAACGCCAACTAGTTTCTTTCCCTCTGAGTTCGTAGTTACCGAGCCGAAAGTTGCCTTCGTTCCTTGGACAGCAATGCTGATCTTGCTTCCTGCAGGCGCGCATTCACTTTCGCCGCATGAGACTTTCTTCGCGTCACCTGAGAGCGTGGCATTTTCTACCGAGTAGTAACCCTTCGATGTAGGTGAAGAGGTTGGTGCAACGATGTTGCTCAGAATTAGCAATCTCATCTCATGGCCGGCAAGCTCAAGTTTCTGGACCCCTGAGATGGCACCAATGTCTTTCCCCGCCCAGACATCGCGAGCCTGTGCCTCCGACACGTTCACTGCCGAAAGGTCGAATTCTACCGTCTGAGAATTATTCTTCCAATTTGCGATACCGAGAACAATTCTTGATCCTGAGAGCTCACCAGCCCAAATGTCCCACTCTTCTTCAGTATACCGACGGATGAGTCGCGCTTGTTTGCCTAACGAATCTTGGTTGATAGCTATGACCTCCTCGTTGCGAAGCACGTCAAGAGAGGCTGCAGGTGTGAGCCTCGGGTCCGTCGGCGCCCCGATATTAAGCGGTGACTTATTAATCGCCCACATACTAAAGTGAAATTTCTCTTCTTCAAGGGACAGGGCGTTAAGTCCAACACTTGGGTAGGTACATATCTATGTCAGCAAAGCATGGTCAATCGAGTACACGTAGACTTACATGAGCATATCCATATCAGGATAGGCACCAACCGAAGTCGATTTATAAAACGGCACGGCCTGGTTTGTAATCCTCCATACGCTTCTCCACGAGTTATAGATGTCATTGCTGATCCTATAGGTGTTTCCTATAGGCGAAGCCCACTTGCCTAGGTCCACGCCGACTCCCCATTGACATATGAAATAGGCGATGTCTCGATCTACTCCATCCAAAACCGCGGCCATCTTCTTGTAACGGTCAGGTGACGTGGATATAGGTGACACATAATCAACCATTTTATCTCTCGAGGAGGAATAGCAATTGTCGTATCTATAACGATTTAGTCATAAGTAATAGCACGATGCTTGCTGATAGAAAGTAGCTCACTTTAGAGAATCGCCTCCCCACTCAGCAAATGATGCCGCATCGATCTCTTCGAACCCTGTGGCAAGTTAGAATCCGCTCCAACAAGTAGAAATACTGCAAAGTTCCCACCAAGAGAAGCTGGAAGGTCTGTCGAGCCGCATTGGTAATATCCAGCACCGGAATACAGACCGAATTTCAGATTCAGACTGTGGATATAATCTCCCAAAGCCTTTCCTCCAGATGGGAAGAGTTCAATATTCCATTGCAGGCGGCCTTCCGAGTCCCTGTCTCTTGTCATCCATCCACAGTCGGTTGTGACGTATTTGTAGCCTAGATCAGCCAAGCCTAAGTCTACGACCCCTTTAGCGTTGGACTTTATGATGTCCTCGTTAGGGTAACAGTTATAATAGTTATAACTATTCCATCCCATCGGCGGTGTCTTTGACTTATACAGAGCAGCTTCAACAGAAGCCCTCAGGAGGACTGCGAAAGTAGCGAAACTCTTCATCGTGTCAATAATCTGCCCCAATCTTGCTGTACATGCTAAGACAGTCTGTCCGAGTGACTTCCAAAATCAACATCTTGCGGCAACACTCCTGAGCGCTATAGTGCTTTTTATACGTCATGATAACCGCCAAGATAGCTTTCTCCAGTTAACAGCGGACGGTGGTGCCCCAACGCCAACGGCACTGGTTTAATTCCCCGTGAGGCCGTTTTCTCCATCGCGATTCTCCAAACGTCCAAACACGAGGTGCCGCTTGCGGGGAACCCAGTCTTCTCCACCCGCCCATTGGGATAAGTCTATGGTAACAATACAGGCACCGAATGATGTGTTATAAGCGGCCCTATGAGAAGCCGAGACGGGCAAGATATCATGGGAAGTTTTGCCGAAGCAGATGTGGATATTTACAGCTAATACAAGGAGAATGAATGCCGTACGTAGGCAGGTACTCATTCTCGAACCAGTATATCGTACAGAGACTAACCCTTAGAGAGAAGAAGAGCAAGCTTTGATCAACTGCAAGCTTATAACTTGAGGGCTAAATGCGGAAATTCCTATACGAGAATAACGACCTTAGATTTGCAGGTACTTGTGCAATATGCACAGTAGGTGTAATGGACTGACATATTCTGTCCATAGAGAAGCTTTCGTCGCCTAATCAGGAAGTATGGGTTTGAAAATCAAGATCAATATTCGCTTTGGCTTTCTCCTTCCTGAGCCTGCTCCCACGTATTGATCTGAATCACAGCCGCGATATCATCATGGCCCCAACGTCTGGCTAGCTGATACGCTGTTTCCCCCTTCCTGTCTTTGAGGGTCGCATCGGCACCATGGTCGAGCAGCCATAAGACTTGTTCCATATCACCCTGCTCTGCAACCCTCATCAAGGCGGTCTGCCCATCTTCATCGGTCTTGTTAATCAGTTTCTCTAGGCGTATCGGACGCCTAACGATGATTTCCCGGGGTGAATTAACACCTATTCTCGCAAGGTTGAGAACTTCCTGCACGGCATCGTAGCCACTGTGCCTAGCTTTGCTGGTGTCTAGATCTTGGGGGTGCTTGGACTTGTTTTGAAGGGGTACAGCCGTATATGATCGTCTTGCTGCTCCTGTCCGTGCTTCGAGATTTTCCATACGGACTCTCTCCGCCGTCCGGTCCACTATTTCAGTTATAAAACTCTCAGGATGTTGAATCAGCCTGCTCTTTGCTATTTTATCTATACCATCGAGAATGCTCAAAAAGGTTCCCTCAGTGGATCTGTCCGCGACTGGGTGTAATAGGCGGCGCAGATCTTGTGACTTGCGTAACCTCCCGAAGAAACGCGCAGCGTCGACATCATTATAAGTGCCATCTCTTGGGCCTCTAAGCTTGGGTCTAGGTGTAAATTTCCCTAGGGTAGTAAAGTCCTTCACCCTTGCCCCTTCGACATCCTTCATGGACCGTATCAATTCGTAGTAGCCTACCAGTATCAAGACCACCAAGAGCAGGCATATCATGATATTACGATAGTCGTTTACATTTGGCCCGGGGTTCTGTCGCCACATGAGGGTCGTGTAAAGTATCAGGGCTACGACAAACGTGATACACGAAATAGCGAAAAGCTCCACCGGTAGTTGTAAGATCCGGATGGCGTGAATCGAGCTTTCAAGGGGCTCGTCAATACCATCATTATCATCATAATTCTCAGGGCCAGGGCCGTTGTGCGTTCCCGCCTCCTCGGCCTGCGGTAAGTTTTCCGTGTTGTCAAGATTCGGTCCTTCTACACCATTATGCCAATGGGGATCTTGGCGGGCTTCCCAGTATACCTCGCCATTGCTAAGCCATAGCCGCAGGTCCAACGGAGAGCCGATCATATAAAGTCTCCTCTGAAGTCGACTACCGAAAACTACCGAGAGGACGCTTGTCGCAAGACTTACCATAAATATAGCTCGGACTGTCCAATTGATATCGGACAGCCCTCCAAGGGTAAGAGCTGTGATATCGACTGCGGCGAGAACGCTCCCCTAAGCACCGACTTGTTAATGATGCTCAATCATCCCAAACATCTCAAGACCAAGGCACATACAGCGACACCGATGGCGCTAAAACTACCCAACACACTTTTAGACCAATCTTGGAGTTCTTCGTCGTTCCAATGGTTAATGATATCCGACACTTGCATGAGCAAGTTCGTGTCGATGAGCATGCACCAGATGACCCATTTCTTCCACCTGCCGAAGCGATACTGCGCGTACTCGTACCCTTTGAAGTAGAAGTCGCGAAATTCATACCGATCGAATTCCCGCCTGTCGAATGCGATTTCGTATAGAATACGAGAAGCGACGAAACCGAGGCGTACTATGCCGCCTAGAACCTCAGCCATTATAAAAGCGTTTCCAAGAAGCATAGAAAGTGGCTTGGTCCGTACAGCTTTACGAAGAGGTGATAGAGTGCCCGGTCAGGCTGGGCTTTAAATACATGGGTACAATACAGTATATCTGGAAACAGGTACCTACCTCAACAGCCACGTCTATGTCAGTCAGCCATCAGCCGATAGTATCCCGGATGGCGGCATGCATCCAGGGTCTATAAGCAGGCTCCAAGTTACACTGCTTCCCGACCAATGTAGTACCGTGGCTGCTTATGACGCAACGCCGAAGACGCAGGCTTTGGGGTAACAGTTAACTGTGCTTTCGATTAGTTTTACATCAAGCCTTGTCAGGTCTTATTCACGATGCAAATATAACCAAAGAACCAGAAATGTTGTGAGCACCGGATGTAATTGGCAGGAAAATAAGTCATGGCAGTTATCAACTGTCCTGCCACGAACGCGATATCCCTGCTACAAGCTTCGTTTTCAAGTCTTCCGAATTATGTTCTAAAGGAGGAAAAAAATATTATTAGATCTTTCAGCTCCTACGCCACAATAGGGGTAAATCTGTAAAAGCAAAATACCTCCAGGTACCTAAGTACGTGCGATACGAAGTACAAAGGTACCTAGCATAGTAAGGTCAGCAGTTTACACCTGATAAGTGGGGTTTTTACAGCTGACGCAGACTTCTCGTCTGAATTTTTTGGAGCGCTGTCCAATCACAAGCCCTGTCTTTTATACTTTTACTTTGTAAAAGGCAACTTTAATAAAAGGCAGCTTTAAAAGGCAACTTTACTATGTACCAAATTGTCTTCCCTTACAAAACATAACTGCACCATCGCATATGGATAATTACGATAACTACGAGGTTAACGTAGATTACCTCTCCGCTGGTGCCAACAGGCACACGGCCGTGGCAGATTGGAACCAAGATGGGATCGTAGCTTTCGGAGCTGACTCATATATCGCTCTCTGGCGACCTCATGTAGGTCCAACTAATTATATAATCCAACCGTCTGAAATATAATTTATTTAATTTCTAATCATCTTTTCTTTCATCAGGACTCTCAACCCAGGGGTATAACCACACTCGTCTCCGGACACAGTGGTGTTGTTAAGTCTGTCAGGTTTCTCCCCAAATTCCACGGAGAGTCTAAGACATATCTGCTCAGCGGTGCCGATGACCAGACACTAAAAGTCTGGGAAATCTCATCCAACGACTCTGATATCACCACAGTGTCTTGCATCCAGACTGTACAGGCTCACGCTGCCGCAATTAACTTTATAGCGGCTTGTCATGAGGGAGCATCGGCGACTTCTACGTCGAGAATATTTGCTACAGGAGCAGCAGATGCCTCGATAAAAGTATGGGCTCTGGAAGAAAGCCATGTCCGCTTACTACAAACGATTAAGATTTCTCCGAAGTTCTTTCCTCTCTCAATAGCTCTCAGTACACTCAGACGGGATGGTGAAGCTCTGGTCATGGCTGTAGCGGGAACTAGAGATATCGTCCAAATCTTGGTGGCGGATTCTAGAAATAACCCCGAGTTCCAGCTCCAGGCAACTTTGTCAGGCCATGAAGGTTGGATTCGGTCGTTAGATTTCACATGGGAGGGGACTAGTCCCGATAGCGACCTGATATTGGCCTCTGCGAGCCAGGATAAGTATGTTCGTCTTTGGAGGTTCCACCAGGGTGCAGAGCTGCCCGCTGCAACTGCAAACGGAGCTGACCCGTCTATGGGTGCATTCATGCCAGGTAAATCTCCTTCGAACAAGGCCCATCGACTGAAAACTGTAGAAAAGGAATACTCTATTACGTTCGAGGCTCTATTGTTAGGCCACGACGATTGGATTTATAGCGCGAGATGGTACTCAGATATATCTACCGGGAAGCTTCAGCTCCTTTCTACTTCTGCAGATAATACGCTAGCTATATGGGAGGCAGACCTTTCATCGGGGATCTGGGTGACGACTGTCCGGCTCGGTGAAATCAGCAGGGAACAGGGTGCCACAACAGCCACGGGCAGCACAGGTGGTTTCTGGACGGGACTTTGGTCCCCGGATGGAACTTCAGTGGTATGCCTCGGGAGGACCGGTAGTTGGAGGATGTGGAATTACAATAAGGAACAAGATCAGTGGATCCCACACATTGGCATCACTGGCCACACAAGAGCCGTCACCGGTATAGCGTGGTCGAAGAATGGCGACTACCTCCTTTCTACGAGCTCAGACCAGACGACACGGTTGCACGCGAGCTGGAACAACGGACCTGATAAGAAGACGTGGCACGAGATGGCTCGGCCGCAGATCCACGGCTATGACCTCAACTGTATCGACTCGCTCGGGAATTCCAAGTTTGTCTCCGGGGCCGACGAGAAGCTGATGCGTGTGTTTGAGGAGCCGAAGGCGGTGGCAAAGCTGCTGAGTAGGTTGTGTGATATCGGCAACGAAGACGTCGAGACTATGCCCGACGCTGCCAACATGCCGGTTCTCGGCCTCTCAAACAAGGCAATCGAAGCTGTCGACGACGATCTCGAAGTCCAAGCAGCCAATCCCGAGGCGGACCGAGACGCCTTAGATCCGGGTTCGACCGTCCGCAAATCCGTGTTGGACATCGACCACCCGCCATTCGAGGACAGTCTCTCTCGGCACACTCTTTGGCCTGAAATTGAAAAGCTCTACGGACACGGCTACGAGATTTCATGTTTGGCTGTAAGTCACGATGGAACTTTAATCGCTAGCGCTTGTAAAGCAAGCTCAATCAACCACGCTGTCATCCGTTTGTTCGAGACGGAGAAGTGGACTGAGGTGAAGCCACCACTAACGGCTCACTCCCTAACTACGACACGCCTACGGTTCTCTCCCGATGACAGGTATCTCCTGAGCGTTGGACGAGATCGACAATGGGCGGTTTTCGAGAGGGACAACGATAACAAGCAGAATTACAAGCTTCTGCAGTCTAACCCCAAGGGACACTCGAGGATGATCTTGGATGCAGCATGGGCTCCTTCGACCAGTTCATTTGTGTTTGCCACCGCGGGTCGAGACAAACAGGTGAAAATATGGCGACAAGCATCGCCCGACTCTGCGGACTTAGGCATCACCTGCGTAACTACCATACCAGAAACTCATCCGGTCACGGCTATCGATTTTCTACATCGTGACACCGAGAACAATAGCTTTCTCCTCGCTGTAGGCACGGAGAATGGAACCGTTTCAATATATTCGATCGACGCGACATCTCTCAGTGTATCTTCAAAATTAAATTTAAAGCCAGAGTAAGTTAATAATATCTAACTTCCAAAAGATAGAGTGTGCTGACAATTTGACTTTAGACTGTGCCTAGCTAAGGCCGTCCTCCAGCTCGCATGGAGGCCACTAAGAGCTTCAAACGAGCTGGCGATAGCTGGGGAGGATGGTTCACTAAGGGTATATTCGTTCTCCGAAAGAACCCCATGAAACTAGCTTGCTTCCGGCTATGCGACTATTTGGAGACCTGCACTCGTCCAGGCATCTTTCTGGGAGGCATCAGCGATCCCAATGATACAAATCCATCGATCCAAACGCCAACCTATTTTTGCTCAAGCATATGAACGCCTAATGCCATTACTTCGTAGACCAGGCCACACTATAAACAAGCAGCTCCGATTACCATTATTATATCGTTTATCATTCGGTTCGCGCAAAGAGAATTATGTCCCGAGGTTTTCGTCCATGTATGTCATAGCTCCCGGTTCATATATTCAGCCGTCTCAGTAGCCGCTGCTGCCATAGTCGTCGCCACGGATGAAGTTGCCAGTGACAGGACGTCCTTGCTACCTGCGACTATGTTGGACGCAACACCGCTGTCGCCACCATTAACGTAGAACCAGGCGCGGCTGATGATGAAGAGAAGATGTTGGGGTAGGTAGAGTACGACGGCGATGGTCAGCAAGCTGCACAAGAGGAATACGACAGACCCTATAAGCAATAGATGATAGATGATTAGCAAATGGATCGTCTTGGGCTCGACACGAGCATCGCGGCATGTGCTATAAACCACTTTTCCTGACGTAAAGCGGATCTCGCAGAGGTCTCTCCAGGGACAGGACAGCAAAGAGACAAGAAAGAGACAACAATGGCGTAGAAGTGAAGTGCAAACTTACAAAATATAAACCTCTCAGCCGATGTAAACATGTAAACACCGAACGTGACCTCGATCTGGTACTGCTTCAACCGAAGCCAACGGCCGAAGCGCTGGACGGCGTTGAGGTTCTCGGGCTCTTTCGTCAGGTATTCCATCTCGATTGTGTTTTTGCTTTTCTTTTTCTTCTTCTTTCCGGTATTTTTTATCGTTCTTGCCAATCCTGTTTTTTAGTCTTCCGCAGGTCTGATGTATGATTTTGCGCGATAGATTAAGTTGGAGAAACCTAGTTTTCTCTTTTCTCTTGTTTTATTTTTGTTTCCGAGTTAACGTCGATGAAGGCGTATCAAGAAAGAAAAAGAGAAACCGATATAACAGCGAATTGTGATTTAGAAATCCTTGCTCATATGAAGATATATATCTTTTGTAGTTGGAGGCCTCGACTCGATACTAATAAATGGGAGAAGACAGGGATAATCCGTAGGTAGGTGTTGTTCGAAGTAGTTTCTCGAACCACGCACGGCTCTATGTTTATTTCTTCGTTCTCGCGGGAAAAAAAAAAGGGTCCTTGGGGATTTTGGTAGTTAGTTACAGTCAGTACCTAACCTAAAAAAGCTATCCACCACTGGCCGGAGGAGGAAAAAAAACGGGACGCGTAATTGGCGAATTATCAAGGGTGCAACAGCATGGATCCTTAAACTTTTTACCTAAGCAGCTAAGCCTGGTCAAAGGTAATAAGGACAGCTTAATTGAACCAATAGGAGGTTGAAAAGTGGAAATTTCCCCCTTTTCATGGTACCTAGTGGAAGTACGTACCTGACCCAAAAGGTCTTTAGGTAGGTAAGGTACCTAAGTACATCGAGATAAGGATTGAAGAAAAGTAAGTGTTAGTGACGTCGCGGCACGAGTCTGGCAGCTTCAGTAATAGGTATTGATACCGCGAAGAAATACAGACTTGACATTGAAAACACTTGCAAAGGAGAAGCTCAAATAATTAAGTACCGTGTATATCTCATCAATGCCATAGAGGAAAGACAATATCAAAGAAAATAAGAAAAAGAACAATCATGCCGACGCTACTTCAGCGGCTACGACCGCTCGGCGGCTGCTACTCCCACATCCCCTCCTCCATCGGTCGACGATCCCGTAACCCTCTTTTCCCTCCTTCTCCTGCTCCGACCGCCCCGCCGTCCCGTCCGTCCAGCTTCTCCGCCTCCCCGGCCCTCTTCAAAAACACAAACCTGCCACCGCGTCCCAAGCCGCCTCCCGAGGACGAAATCGAGGAGTCCTTCCTGAAGGGCAGCGGGCCCGGCGGCCAGAAGATTGTGCGTGTTTGCTCTTCTTCTTCTATCTACCTCCTGACAACTCATCTTTTTATATTTATCCCCTTCCTATATATATAAAGCCTATATATAGAAGCATTCCACACAAGAAAAAGAAGACACAAAAAGGCTAACCCAAGACCTCCTCCTCCCCGCCGAACAGAACAAAACCAACTCGGCCGTCCAGCTGAAGCACCTGCCGACAGGCATCGTGGTCAAGTCGCAGGCGACGCGGTCGCGCACGCAGAACCGCGCCATCGCCCGGCAGTTGCTAGCGGACAAGCTGGACCAGCTGGCGCGCGGGGACGAGAGCCGGGCCGCCGTCGTCGGCGAGTTCCACCGCAAGAAGAAGGCCAGCTCGGCCAAGAAGAGCCGCCGGAAGTACCGCAAGCTGGAGAAGGAGAAGGAGGAGGAGAAGGAGAAGGAGAAGGAGGAGGAGATGGAGGACTACTTCGACATCTACCCCGACTCCGCACGACTTAGAGAGATAAAAGAGAGACGTCTAAGAAGAGAGAGAGAGATAGACCATAGGTCAAAATAACGACAAAAAATAAGAATGAAATTAAAAACGTACATTAAAAAGAGGAAGACAGTAGTAGATAAGCTCGTTTGGACACGCGTTACAACGTGAGTTGTTTAAGAGTATTTTTTTTCTCTCAAAACTACTATTTTATTCCGTAATACCGCCCCCTGGGGGCATTATGATAGCCATTATAAATCAGTATAATCCGCACTGGTCTGTTTATTACACGAGCAGGTCCACGCACTGTTAAAAGAACTAGTTTCTACTGAATCATTACGTAGTAGCTTTTTACATGCTTGTGGTTCACAAGTTTCACGCCAGACTTATTAGTGTAACGAAAAAATAAAGTAGTATATGATCAACCTCGGCTGGAATTGTCTAGTCCACCCCGTGCTTGAATGGGCCTCCTAAAAGTAAAGCACCTCATATTCTCTTTCCCCTTGGAGTAATACAGCCCCAATCTCTCGACCATTATCAGAACTTTTCGTAGATACGAGTCTCGACGGGGATACATTCGCAACGGCGGGAGCTCCGAATACGTCGCGCCCTGCTTGGGAACACTACGGGCTCGTGAGAAATTATTGGGTTTGCGATATTTCAAGAGCTAATTTTTTTTCAACTGTTAGATCCCCAAGAAATAAGGAACAAAATACATATCGTCGGGGTTAATTACCTTAGAAGCACTTGCGGTGAACGATCGAGGGACCACTCTCGTCGTACTCCTGCTTGGAGATCCACATTTGCTGGAAGGTGGATAGAGAAGCCAAGATGGAACCACCGATCCAGACCGAGTACTTTCGCTCAGGGGGAGCGATGATCCTGACCTTCATGGACGACGGGGCCAAGGCGGTGATCTCCTTCTGCATACGGTCGGAGAGACCAGGGTACATAGTAGTACCACCAGACTATATATAACACGTTAGCATATACATACACGCAAAAGCCGCGCCTAGATATCAATACGTACCATAACGATGTTGCCGTAGAGGTCCTTTCGGACATCGACATCACACTTCATGATGGAGTTGAAAGTGGTGACGTGGATACCACCGCTCTCAAGACCCAGGACGGAAGGCTGGAACAGAGCCTCAGGGGCACGGAATCGCTCATTGCCAATAGTAATGACCTGACCGTCGGGAAGCTCGTAGGACTTCTCCAAGCTGGAGCTCTGGGCAGCAGTCTGGATCTCCTGCTCGAAGTCGAGAGCGACGTAGCAGAGCTTCTCCTTGATATCTCGGACGATTTCTCGTTCGGCGGTGGTGGAGAAGCTGTAACCGCGCTCAGCGAGAATCTTCATGAGGTAATCCGTCAAGTCACGACCGGCCATATCGACACGGGCAATGGCGTGGGGAAGGGAGAAACCCTCGTAGATGGGGACAACGTGGGTAACACCATCACCGGAGTCGAGCACGATACCAGTGGTACGACCGGAAGCGTACAGAGACAGGACGGCCTGGATGGAGACGTAGAATGCAGGAGCGTTGAAAGTCTCGAAGACGATCTGCGTCATCTTCTCACGGTTAGACTTGGGGTTGATGGGAGCCTCAGTGAGCAGAACGGGGTGCTCCTCGGGAGCCACACGCAGCTCGTTGTAGAACGTGTGATGCCAGATCTTCTCCATATCATCCCAGTTGGTGACGACACCGTGCTCGATGGGGTATCGCAGGGTTAGGATACCACGCTTCGACTGTGCCTCATCACCGACGTACGAGTCCTTCTGACCCATACCAATCATGATACTATGTTAAGCATATCGTTAGACATCGTTTCGTGTGCGTGGATTATACATATAGTATATCGAGCTAGCTAGCTACTTACCCATGGTGGCGGGGACGACCAACGATGGACGCTGTGTTGACACGTTAGAATATGATTCAAACTTGAGCTCATCCTGATGAGGCTGAAGCGGGGGAGAGAGATGGTTGGGCGAGGATGGAAACTTACGGAAAACAGCTCGGGGAGCATCGTCACCGGCGAAACCGGCCTTGCACATACCCGAACTAGGGACAGAGTCAGCTCGAGTATTCTAACATTATTTATTTCGAAATTCATATTGAAGCTTTTTCTTCTTCTTTTTTTTTGCTTTTTTTCTGGATGGTGATCGGATCTATGTAGATGACCACCACCACCAGGCAACGAGGTGCGCTTCGGGATGCGGTGAAGCGAGGTTATATCTTACCCATTGTCGATAACGAGGGCAGCAACTTCCTCTGCGATGAAAAGTAATGTTAGCACGTTATGAACTCGTTAGAGGCTCGAGTAAAGGTAAAGGGTTCGGATGATCCAAGTTGGATTCGAGACGGGAGCTAAGGTTGAGGTTTAAGAAACAAACATACCCTCCATTGTGATGGATTATGTAGGTTAGGTGTTAAAAAAAAGAATTAAATTAGAAAGGAATGAGGAGGTTATCTGAGAGCCCTTGCGATTCCCGGATCGTGAAGAGCAAAGATGGTGTTGAATTCTCGACGTCTGCTGGGCAGAAGGATGACGAGAAAAGGAGGTGTTTTGGCGAGTGGAAGTTGATTTTAAGGTAGAGAAGTCGGACAAGTTAATTGCTTTCTGGGGCGAGAGTGTGGGAAAAAAGGGAGGAACGAAGTTGGCTTGATGCACCGATCCCACAGTCGATGGGAGGAACTTGTGGGCCGAAACAAAAAGAGAGGCGGGGCACGACCAAGTACAAATATACCACAAATACCACAAATACCAGTAGAAGATACGTATGCCTATCAGCCAACTCCCATACCGCTACAAAGTACCAGGGTACATTACTTTCTAATTTTAACAGGGATAGGGGGGAATGGCCTTACTATTAGAGGTACGCACGTCGCACACAACCAATTCACTTTAGACAATTACCACTGGATAACGACTGGATACAACTGGATACAGAATGGGTAGCGCACCCTTCACCGCTGACGCAAATCGGAAATACGCCTAATAGTCTACCAAAGTAAAATAAGCTCCTTAAAAGCTAGGTACAAGAGTTAAGTAAATACGGGTACATCCATTCCATATTTACCAAGTATCTGCCTAAGCTATGTACCTACCTAGTATCTAAGTAGTAACCTTAGGCAGCCTTAAGTATTGTACCTAGGTAGGTAGGTACCTAGCCTTTTGGCACACTACCTAAGATACCTACATCATGTAACTGACATTTATTTTCATCAGGCATCTTCGAAAAACCTCAACTTCCTACCATTCCACACCATCAATCGATTTTAATATATCTGACAAGGCATCGCTGTTATTTAGAGGTGCCTAAAGTCCTAAGCTCTCATGTAATATGGTTACCTACCTCACCTACCTGACCTAGGTAATCATTTAATGGTACCTACCTAGTATTCACTTCGCCAAGGCTTACCAAAAGACCACTTTCTAAAGTACCTAACCCACCTCGTTATCGTGGTCTGTGACCACTAACCTATATTACTATTTACATGGTATTCAGGGGTTGCAAATTCAGAAGGAGGTCGGCAACTCATCTCGTACTTGAACATGCGCCGAGGACCTACACACCCTACACACATGCCTTTGCAGTTTTATAGTGTTGCCTGTGGCTTAGCATAAGGCATCGATTACGTAGGTATATTACAGCACTTTGATCCTATCTGACACTCTAGTTGACAGCTGTATTATGGAAACTCAAATGCCAAGCAGGCATCGCCGGTACTGGTCAGAAGTATCAATTTCATAGGGGCAAGTGGGTTGGGGGTATGCAGGGGCAAAGTGAATTCGTGCTGTACTTCTCCTTCTATCCCAGCCTCACTCACCTCCTATACAAATACCTACCTAACATAACCTTAGGTAGGTAAGGTACTCTGACTGCCTACATACTATGCAGATACGATGATTTGCAAAGAACTTGGCTGTTCCTTTTTGCTAATTAAACAGGTGCCTAGCTAGGTTACTCGGGATTAGACAGATACTTTAAGAGTGAAATGCAACGCAAGGTACCGCGTATACGTTTGTGAGTTGCAACTGTAAAGTTGCCAGTTGTTTACGATGTAAGAAAATAAAAGGAGCCAAAGATTCGTTAGCAAATAAGCTTCTCGATTATGGCATTAAGGCATCAAGTCGTGACATGGCAACTTGATCAAATTATAACTACATCTTTTGAATGGTTAGGGGTAAAGGCGGTCAAGACGGGAAGAAAAAAATAAGGCGGGGTGAGGGGTATCCAGTGGTGGGGGCAGCTCATTCATAATCATTATCATCATCTTTGACACGGTAGGTATTTGAAAAGATATCATAGCCAGGCTCCTTCTTCTGAGGATATGCCCGCTAATATATATCTAGCTATCTTCTGCATCTGTATCAGTTATCAAAAGAAAATAGGAGTTGTACCTAAAATTCTATTCTACCCAAACTACCTACCTAGCTGCCTAGGTACTAATGGCATCAACCCAAAGCGTCTTAGCGGTTCATTTAAATAAGTCCTTCCCTTTGATTGGTCGGTACCATACATTGACCCCACTCTATCAGCTTAACAGCCCTATGTTTTGAGTCTTGTGAAGCTTCGCGAATCTTGGGGATCTCTGGAGAATACTGTATTGTACGGTTACTCAGCCAAAATTTTCGTAAAAGTTAAACGGACATGGCTTGAATATACAATACAGCCTATATAATACAATACCTACATGGAGATTTTCGTTTGATAAGAAATCCAACATATACAATATTTGGCATTTAGAACTGATATCTGAAATCGATTTGATTACCTAAGGTACCTTTCTTCCGAGGCGAACCAATTTGCTGGGTACCTAGGTACCTAGGTAGATACTCAGAACCTTGTCCTTGACTTCCTAGGTACGTAAAAAACGACGTAAAACGACGTAATCAACCAAGCTTCAGCAAATCTTACCCTATAACCCTACCTAGAGACCTCAGATTTTCAACTCCCTTACATCAGGTGCAGTATATTTTTCAACCTTTCCGTTGAACGACAAGAAGAAAAAAAAGATTAGACATAATAAGAATTTAAAATTTTTGTCTAATCAAATCAACTTTAGAAAGATATAAATACCTTACCTACCTATATAAACCCGATCAAAGGTAAAGAAGAGAGCAAGACACATCATAAAAAATGGCCGGAGAAAAAAGCCTAAACGAGCTGTTAAAATGGAGCATCGAGAACTCCACCGAAGCCGACCCCTCGGCGGCGGCGGCGGCGCCCGTCGTCCCCAACGCGCCGCGCACAGCCCTGAACGCCGAGGCCCTCGCGGCGCTCATGGGCGCGCCGTCCGACGCGGAGCTCATGCAGGCCGCCGTCGAGCACATCACGTCGAGCGACCCGGAGATCACGCTCGAGTCCAAGCTGACGGCCTTCGACAACCTCGAGCAGCTGGTCGAGTCGCTCGACAACGCGAACCTCCTGGCCAAGCTGGGCCTGTGGACCCCGCTGCTCGAGCTGCTCGGCCACGACGACGACCAGATCCGCCGCATGGCCGCCTGGTGCGTCGGCACCGCCGTCCAGAATAACGAGCCCAGCCAGGAGCGCCTCGTCGCGCTCGGCGGCGTCGAGAAGCTCGTCAGGATGGCGCTTGGCGACCGGTTGCCCATGGAGAAGCGCGCCGGTGCCGGCGAGGAGACGACGGAAGAGAGCGCTGCTGCCGATCGGGAAGAGACGAAGGACGTGCGCCGCAAAGCGATTTATGCGCTTAGTTCCGCCGTGAGGAATTACCAGCCCGCGTTAGATGTTGCCGCCAAGGAGCTGCGGAAGAGGGGTGAACAAGTCCCAGAGGGTATCGATGCAACGGACATGGATGCCGTGGACGGAATCATCAATGGATTGAAGCAGAAAGCTTTGAATGCATAAATACCGGTGGTTACGGGCGGCGTGGGAAAAGTAACATCGTGGCATCATCGGCGTTGGCGGGCACATCTAGGTCAATCAAAAAAAAAAGGGGGGAAGGGATCTACGTGGTCATGACACATCACTTGAGAGAGATGGTTACGGATTTTAACAATCGTAAAACACAAAAAACAACAACATGATATATCTTCCAAATGTTTTTGATTTGTGATTCCCGCATATGGTACAACTGTATTAATCCACAGTACCGTCCCAATACCAATACGGCAGGACGTCGAATATGTACATTTTCAGGGAATGCGAGTTGCTATCCCTTAGTCTACCAGTTTCCCGTAGAACGGAATGCCCAAGCTCATGCAGAGTAGTCTGGCATGTCTGTCAGACTTTGCTGTCGTTTCAAGGGTCATGCGGCACCCAGATATCATCTTGGATGGATATAGCTAAATGCGCCTGTAAGTAAACGGCTAATCACACTGCCTAACCTATTTTTTCGGGAACTTACAGAATAATTGGCTTCGACTTCCGGGAATAGCAGCATGTCCTGAGCTGTGAAACCCCAGTTGATGTTGCCGGTGCTGTCGCCGCTGGTGCCTATATCAATTGTCAGTGCCTAGTGTTTCCTAGCGTTTTTGAAATGGTATGGTCATGAGAACAGGGTACAAACCTGGGATGCCACTCCAATCCTTGATCTTTGGGAATACTAGATGGATGACCTTATCCACAAACTCGTACGCCTGATCTCCGTATATCGAGCATTTTACTCCTGATCTGTCCCCCTTGACGATGCCCCACTGGGAGACGCTTGCCTTGGTTGTCGTAACCTCGGGACGAACACCGGTAATAGTTCGCAACACTGCCTTTCCTACGGTGATATGATCCGGGTTCTTCTTCGCCTTGGGCAAATACATGGCTAAATGTACAGCTCTAATCTCAGGGATGTTCTGCCAAGTAATATTCTTCTCTAGCGGGAAGAGAACATCGGCACCCCTAGGCCCCCTCTTAGGTCGATTTATCATGTAGGGTGATGAGTCGTCCCATTCCCGAAGTCGTATCCTTTCGGGCTTATCTGGTGTTCCTGGAGGAACATGCTGGTACATCATAGTCATGATGTCGGCGGCGATTGTTGAGTGGAAGGTTTGCTTTAATCGGGGAAGGTTAAACGGCCCGGGAGAGAAGTTTCGAGCGACGGGATCGGAGGATGGAGGGGGTTGAACTGGGTGCAAAGGTCCTCTGTCATATTTGGGAGGATGATATCGGTATCTACGCAGTTGAATTTCAGTAACCGTTCCTCCATTTAAAGATATATTATCCTGATCGCATTGTATCTCCGACCTACCTCTCGTGTGGCAGCTCATAGTTTCTGCGACTTGCCCTCTTCCTTGGATCCGTAATCTTCACATCCTCTCTCTTGACAATCGGTGCAGCTAGGCCAGAGTCGTGCTCAATATCAGGAATATCAGGTATTGCAGGCGTAGCGTCGGTGGATGCACATCTCTGAAAAGAAGCCGTACAAGGCATCCAGCGGGTGGCTGTACCAAGAAGCTGGCGGCCAGCTCTGGGGGCTTCTCTAAGAGCCGCCATGGTATATTCGTGCGCTCCGACACCGAATTGCTCACAGCCTACTCCTCGCAATCGACGTACAGCCTCGAGACCTCAGATGGGCGGAAATTTCTCTAGGCGCATTTCTCTACTCCCGTGGTTCCACAGCGATGGGAAAGTTTTTCGGTAAAACCGCTAATCCGAAGACTTAGGTACATGGATGTACCTATTTTATTTTAAGCCCTTTGATTGGCGACTTTTACATAACTTGTACCTATGAAATCCTACCTTAGGTAGGTACCCCCACGTTGTGTAACCTTAGGTAGGCTCTACATTGTACGTACATGTACCTAGAACCAAATTAAAGTCTTATCGATATGGACTATGCAGCGTTTCTATTTCTATACGATACCTCTTACTAGATATGTACCTATACGATCGATCCAACATCGTAACTTTTTCATATTTCGTCGAGGATATGTCTCTTATCTCTAAGTAGAGATATACTCATTGATATTTACTATTAGTTATGCTATCATTGAATGTATTACATAGCCGTTCTTTCTGCAAATTTATTCGATGCGGGACCGGAGTTAACATCACTACCATCTCGGAGGTTATAAATCTAAGAGTGGACCGGGCCGACAATATAGATATGTTATATCGTCACCTACCTAACGTAAGTTCCCATAAGTCCTAGTATTTAGCTTAGAAAACCGAGGAAGCTCGGGGTATTGATAGCGTCCGACAACGCGGTGGTATGTCGATCAGCTGATAAATCAGCATTTTTAAGTGCTATTAACTACGCCTAACAGCTATAAGCTTGTCTCCTTTTGGTATTGCATTACAATGGCACTCGAGCGATACGACTACCTACCTACGGAGTTACCTAGGTATGGACAGACAAATATACTTGAGACATACCTGCAGCATGAGACCTGGGCACCCGAATATCCGGGTCTTGGTCATTCACAAGACGTAGAGGCTGATAAGTACGCACACTTAAAGTATGATAAGCGGCTAACGAAACCAGCGAGATCTCATTCGATCGCCTGCAGCACGGAGGCCCGCCAATGGAGGGAGAGAAACGGGCCTTCTAGACTTCTTATTAAGGAAAAAAAAAGGTTCCATGATATCCAAGTACGGGGGTATATGGTTGCATACGGGGGGCATATGTACTTACCTCTATTCATTAACTAAAGGTTACGTAGGTAGGTATTTTACTTTTTGAGTTACGTGACGCCTAGTGTACCTGATTTAGAGTTGCGCCTGCTGCGTCTTTATACATTTCAATGAACTTAGGTAGGGGTTACATACCTCGCACTTATACATTATAGATTTAGGTATACATTGCACGTTACCTACCAGCACCAACATATAAGTAGGTAGGCACTGTCTACCTCTTACCAACTAGCAACTCACCTAAATTCGAAAGACTTCTTTCTCTTGACGACTATGACTAGCTACCTATTACTAAATTAGAACTCGTGGTTACCAAAATAAGTCCCTAGTTTGCATCACGCGAATACGATTATATAACGTAACCGGTCATACCTAAGTGACAAGATACAAAGCGAATTTAGCTTCCCCATATTGGATCATTCTTTTTTTTTTTTTTTGGAGACCCCTGAACGGCGCGAAACGCTCAGTCTTTTACTTAGGAACTTTATACAGGCAGCACAGAAACCCCCGTACTGCCACCGCTGCATCAATTCATTTACTTCAGCCTCTTAAACTTCCTTGGCTGCTGCAAGCTCCCGCTCCATTTCAAGGTTGCAAACAATTCTTACCCAGTATTTTTTTTAATTGCACCTGTTCTTCTTTTTTTCTTCTTTCTGAGCAAAACAACTCGACGTTTCCTATCATTTTTGAACAATGCGAGTTCCCTTGTCGTATCATCATCACCTTCAGCCTTAGCACCAAGTCCTAAGTCCCAAGTCCCAAGTCGCATCGTCGCTCAACTCAGGCTTGGCATTACTGTCTATCGGCAGTGATAGTTCAAACGGTCGACGAATTTTATTTATTTTAAAAAAGAGGAAACCAAAAGAGGAGTCCTCCATTATCATCGTCGTACAGCGCATTTCCATTGTCATTATCAAATCCAAACATGAGCGAAGGCTGGTGACGTTGTTGTAAATTCATAAATCACCAACACCTACCACCTCTGTCCTCCTTTGAGCCAGGCCCTCTAGGCCAATTTTCAATGCTGCGAGACCCCACCATTAAGGTCAGCATGCCTAAGAAGTTCCTCAGCCGCCGTGAGAAGAATGGTCACCGTCGTAACGGATCGTCCGATCCAGCCACTAAAGTAAGGTGACATTGGATATGTCACTTCTCCATCTTAATAGGTATATACATTGTATTCTAACTACATCTTTCTAGCCACACCGTCCTCTGTCGGCCGAGGCCTTCTTTTCTATATTCAAGCCCGAATCTCGACAGTCTACCAATGCCGATACAGAGCGAGAAAGGGAGGGAGCTAAGGTGCGTCAGCGCAAACTTCGACACCCACCTCTACGCTTCAAATAACCCTAATCGTTAATTCGAGCAGATCGACGACATACGGCGACGAGTTGCCGATCTAGATTTCCCCGTCCTAAGCGATGATCAGATACGATATGTGCTTAATTCTAAGTATTCATCTGGCGATGTCGACAAAGCTATGGAGCTACTGTTATTGCAGCAATTTTCCCTCTCCGGCAAGATTCTCAGTTACAACCCAGCAGTCAACATGCTCGGAGCTGAAAATCGAGGAAATGTGACCTGCTATCTCGACGCGCTGCTCTTCGCTATGTTTGCTAAACTTGAATCGTTCGAGTGCATGCTTAAAAGCGATTTCATGGATGAACCACAGAGGAAGTTGGCCGCGCTACTGCGACTTTGGGTTAACATGCTACGAAGCGGGAAGTTGATTGAAACCGATATGGTACGTGATTCCTCTATACTGCGAGGCAATCTACAATGGAACTGATGATAGTGGACAGACCCAACATATTCAGGACGCCTTGGCCGCATGTGGTTGGAAAGACGCGCAATTACTGGAGCAGCAGGACACATCTGAAGCTTTCGCCTTCATTACGGAGACTCTCCAACTTCCTCTCCTTACTTTACAGGTTGATCTATTTCATCAAGGAGAAAAAGATGATGCAGATCACAAAGTCGTCTATGAAAGGCTCTTAAATCTTGCCGTGCCTCCGGATAACAACGGGAAAGGGATCCGATTAGAAGACTGCCTAGAGGAATACTTTAACTCCCAGGTCGATGTGCTGAGGGATAGCCTAGAAGAGAAAAAGGTGGAACGATCTGACGCGATACCGACCCTACAATCTGCCGATACTTCCAACGAGCCTAGAAGTACGATTCGTATCGTTACCGAGGAAGATCAGGAAGGAGGTACCACACTCGAGTCTGAGCATGGCCCATCTCTACAACGCAGGTGGACGATACCCCAAGAGACGCATTTGTCGGACCTTCAAACAGATTCGGAGGCGGAAGCTTCAGGGTCCTATATAGCTTTACGACCGCACAGGAGTCGGACTGAAAGCATAATCCAACGAGTTGTGGTTGATGAGCAGGGCAACTCGACCGAGTCCGATACGGCGAGTTTGTTTCAGAGAGCCAAGCAGACAGCGGCGGTTGTTAGAGCTGTGACAATACCAGCTTGGCAGTTCTTCAGACTTATACGTACGATATACCATTTTCTTGTAAGGGCTACGAGACTAACATAGATCATAGCGTGGCATTCCCCTGCCAACAAGGAACCCGAGAGCGACCTAGAGGTTGCACGGCATTTCAGCCAACGACCCGTTGTCGGAATCTGCCTGAAACGGTATATGATGGATGCAGAAGGTAACATGAAACGGCAAAACACATATATCGACATCCCCGATAGTTTGAGGTTGCCACATTTTATCGTCGACGAGAGGCGCGTGGAAGAAAGTGGGCTAGCTGCCGAGTACAAGCTTGTCCTTCAGTCCGTGGTCTGCCACCGGGGCGATTCGCTGCATTCCGGCCATTACGTCTCCTTTTGCCGCGTAGCTCCCAAGCTTCTCACTGATAACCGCAGACACGATAGCGATCCGCCCCCCGACTACGAAGAAGCTCAATGGGTCAAATTCGATGACCTTTCAATCGAGAATCGAGTAACGCTTGTTGATGACATAAAGCAATCACTCAAAGAAGAGATGCCTTACCTACTCTTCTATCAGATTGTCCCGATAGTAGAAGTAGCGGCTAGCTCGACCGAAAGCACAGACATAGAGCCACCGTCATACGATGATGCGGCCCTCAATTTAACTAATTCCGAAACTTCGGCGACGCAAAGTCAGGAAAGACTGTCGATCTCTCGTCGGCCAAGCAGCTACTTTGATAATTTAGTCCCTCAGCCGGTGACCAACGGTGGGATACGCTTTTCGGCGGACTTAGAGCTGCCGCCACGTCGCAGCTTCGCGGATGAGGATGGATTTCTTAGCCTGTCTCGCCGGGGCAGCATTCACAATGATTTTAATATCGCAAGCCCTATGCCTGTATCAGAGGGCCCCTCACCAGTCGTCACACCTGGGGAGGAGACTACTGCGCAAAGACTAAGTCGGGCTGCTGCGAGATTTAGAAGCAGCAATAAAAGTCGACCCCAAAGTCAGGCCGGTGAAAGCCGGAAGAGCTTATCGGTTCCGAGATTTGGAGTTTTCATAAAGTCAAGCAAGGAACCACTGCGGGACTCAACATCATTGGAGGCCGAAGATGAGTACGAATTCGTTGAGAACATTGAAAAGGAGCGCATAAAAGAGAACGGCGCAGACGCAACCCCTACACCGAAAAAGGGGAAGTCGAAGTCGCATCACGACAAAGGCAAGGGGAAGGATAGCAAAAAAATAAACATGCCAGATAGGGAATGCATTGGTGAGTATAGCTTTTTTTTTTTTTTTTTTTTTTTTTTTTTTTTTTTTTTTTTTTTGTAAGAGGTGGGATATATAAAAGAGAACCAAGTGCGGGGGATGAAAAAAAAACAATAAAAAAAAAATTTAAAATTTTAAAAGATTTTTAATTA